CGCGATTCCGATCCGGTAGTAGATTCATTCGCGAAGCAATTTCTCTTGAGTTGTTAGGTCTCCTTCGGAGGCGCTCGGGCAGTTGTTAGCAAATCCCACCCCTCCTGGCTGAGCCTCTGCTCGCCCACCTGTCCTGGTGAAGGTGGAAAGGCCTCCGAGCCACCAGTAATATTTCAATAAATAAAAAAAAAAATTACATACACTTACTAACCTAACTAACTAACTAATTTACTGGTCGTAGGACCTATTGTGAGTCCGCGCGGGTAGGTACTACCACTCCGCCTATTTCTGCCGTGAAGCAGTAATGCGTTTCGGTTTGAAGGATGGGGCAGCTGTTGTAACTATACTTGAGACTTTAGAAGGGTGGGTGGCGCATTTACGTTGTAGATGTCTATGGGCTCCAGTAACCACTTAACACCAGGTGGGCTGTGAACTCGTCCACCCGACCAAGCAATGAAAAAAACACCAAAAAAAAATTTATTACACTTACTAACCTGCTCCGCTCTCGCTCATCGACCCGAATGTATCATGGCCTCCGCCCCAATATAAAAATTCGCCAGTGATTATGCTTTTGCAATACCTAATCATGGTTAGATACATTTTTTTACTTTCACAACGAAGGAACAATATCGTGAAATAAAAATGAAATACACAAAATTTACAAATTATCGTAATTACTAGTGGCGGGGCGTATTATAAGCCCGGCCAGGTCCTTCGTCGTGCCTATTTTAGCCACGAATCAGTTACGAATTCTGGTTCAAAAGTTAGTATAACAGTTGTAAAATATAATTTAGCTTTTCACTCGATATCTCAGAGGATATGTGGGAACATTCACGTTGTTTTGTGTATTGAATCCGGAACCCTTTAACACCAAAAAAATCTTGAGATCCACGTAACGATAAGACTACTGATAATAGACTAATTCGTGGATATCCTTTTGTATCATGAAACAATGCTGGATCCTTTTTTGTGGAAAGATTTTTGCTAGCCTTGATAAAAATAGTTATATTCGAATGTGTTTCAATTATGTGGAAATATACTATTAGTTAATACCTGTTATCTTCTCAACGGGCTCAAAATTATTGCTGAGATTACTATGATGATTGTAAATACAAAATTTAAAAAAATATGTTTATAAACTAACACGTACAATTTTAAAATCTTATTAAGGTTTTTTAACAGAATCTAAATTACTTTTTTCGGTTTAATATTATTATACCGCATTTAATATTTTTGTTTCATGATTTTCGAAGTTTTGGACACTCTAGAGCCCATGAATGACTTAGTGTAAAAGTAGATCTCTTCGAATGCACCCCGTTCTCTTCAGTCTTTTGCCTTTCTCATCCAGTCTCTACCAACTACTTTGATCAGGTCATCGGTCCACCTCGTTGGCTGTCTACCCACGTTACGAAGTCCAGTACTCCAGTACTTTTGTGCCCCACCGATTGTCAGTACGTAAATAATATAGTACATTGTGCACCAAGGGAGAAAAGTTCCTCCCTCGTGTAAAAAAAACGATTTAACTGTTTTTCAATTTTTAAATAAACTACTACTAATTGAATAAGAACTGTCTGATGAACTCATCTTTGTTTAATACTTCACTATTAAATTTTATTGCCTTTTGTTTATTTCACTTATACACTAAACACAATATTGCAAATTACCCGAGCACAACAATGGCGGAGAATTTTAGGTGCGTGAGAGCAGACGTAGACACTAACGCGCATGCGCACTTGTACCCAGGGAGAAAATGTTACACTTTCTTTCCTGTACAGCGGGAGGAAAAGTTACACTTTCTTCCCTGTACAGCGGGACGAAAACCGAACTCGGTTTTCGTCGGAAAAGTTCGATTTTCGTCCGAAAAAGGTAGAAGAAAGGCTCTGTCTGACGGTTAATTTACTCGCCCAGCCCTTGATGGAAATGATTCGTTGCTAATAACTATGTTTGCATAGGTACGTAACTTAAAAAAATCGTAAATCATTATGCGATACAGATATTAGCTACAGTTACAAATTCTATTCAAATATTTAAAATGCGAAAATGTCCGTGGCGCACATAATTAATTATATGTATATCAATCTATGGCATGTGAAAATTCAATATGGTACATAGGTCTTGTCTCGCCTCTAAGAATATTTTCAGCAATATTCATATCTTTAGCGTATTAGCGGTCATTACTCACGTATCTTTCAATCATTATTTTTATTTAACTCTATTTTTTTCCTATTTCCATACTAATCCGCTCTAATTTGCTCAAAAATGACGATATACCCTTGGATTCCTTAATTTAATTTATAGTACCAAGCTAACTCTTTTATCATATTCACTGCCTTTCGATTATGAAATCACGAACTTTGCTTAGTATATTAGGTTTTCCCATTTTAATCTTTCAAATAAATATATTTCATGTAAATTTATCAACACTATTGTATATTTTAAACCCGCCGTTTTTTAGGTTTTCCCATTTTAATCTTTCAAAGAAATATGTTTCATGTCAATTTATCAACACTATTGTATATTTTAAACCCGCCGTTTTAAACTAAAACCAAATAAACCAGCAGCCCCTAAGTCGAACTCGATGATTAATTGGTCATGATTTCATCTTCAGCCTCATCATGGTCTTGATTATTTTTCCTGTCAAGTACAAAAAATTATAATAACGCAATAGCTTGTTACTGTAAATATGTCTTCGGTGTCGTGAATTTTGAAAATAAGTGTGTTTATCGTATAACGATGATTCATAGTATTTAAATTTATTTTGTTTCATTTTCAACATTGAAAGAAATTTTAAGTTTATCACTTCTCTTTATTGCCTTTATCGTAGATGAGGTCATTATTTAATAAGTAACCAACCTAAAAAAAGGAGGAGGTTCTCAATTCGATTGTTTCGTTTTATCTGCGTTATTCTCTGTGAACTGATTTTGAAAGTTCTTTATTTGAAAGATGGTGCTTCGCAAGTGGTCCTATTTAAATTTTACCAAAATCTGACCACTAGTTTTTCACTCATCGTTAATAATAAATATTTAATTAACTTGGACTGCATAATGAAAATATAATTTTGTTTTGTTGATCTCGGTTTACTTTTTTTCCTACCTATTCTAGTTACCTCGAGGGGCTATTCTAGATTCATCGAATTAGTAGGTGAGCTCTCGGGGCTCAAACCTGACGACGTTGCAAACACTAACCCTAGTGAGAGTAGTGCTTCGCAGAATCTACCACCGGATCGGAGACATGATCCACCGAGAAGATCCGGCGAGAAACTCAGTGGGCTGTGGCTGTGGGTTAATTTACTCGCCGAGCCCTTCGTGGCAAGCGACGGGTTCGACAAAAACCGACCCGACAGCATGGCGATTTTATCCCATCTAGCCCGGTCATAGTCAGCTGAAAGGACAGGCGGATTGAAGAAATTGTTCAGATACTATTTTCAGTGCTAATTTACAAATACAAATACTAAGTACGCGTCTTAAGTTATTAGCGACCACAGCCATTTATTTATTCTTTTTAATATTAATGGCGGTGTTCCGAGCGCGCATAATTTATTGAACTTTAGCACGGCGCACGTACATTGTGTGTAAATCTACCTGTCAACAGTGACGCCTTACCTGGACCTGTACAAAAGCCAAGTTTTTAATTTATTTTTCTATTGTAGTATTGTACGATTTGCAAATTACAATCGTTGAGCTCCGATAAGGCGGAGTTCAAGCTTGTGAAAAAATATGCAAGATTCAGAATTAAAACCGTTTCGTTTTACCAAGTTTTTTTTTTTTATTGCCCTTGTAGGCAGACGAGCATACGGCCCACCTGATGGTGAGTGGTTACCGTCGCCCATGGACTTCAGCCAGGGGCAGAGCCAAGCCGCTGCCTACCGCTTAATACTCTCCTCAAGCCGTTATTATTATTTATATTACTATAGTTATTCGTCGATTGATTTTGCTTGCTTTCTTTCCTAACTAATTCGTTATTACATACTCTAAATTTACTCAGTTTTTTTTTCGATTTATGTGTATTTTTGTTCATTAATTTATGGCAATTAAACAACCAAAAAACCAGAATTACGATCTTGAAACAAAGTACAAATTTATGCTCTAATGAACTCTCTATTTTTACCAAGTGCTTTAAGTTACTTGAAAAATACATACATAATTTCAAATGTATCTATGAACGAAAAACTTGCTTGTTGCTTGTTGATGTGTTTGGATGTGTGTGATATTTTTATTAAAAATTTGTTTGGTGGTCGAGTAAAACCCAGCCGCACCATCGCTATGATAAATGCATGAAACTCATCCATTTACTGTAACGACTAATGCTCTACCATTCGTAAGTTTGGTGTACTAAACGTTAGAAAGGTTTTTGTTATAGTCATTGTAGGTATAGGTATAGCATACGTAGCACAGGTATATCATATGGGCCACCTGATGGTGGTTGCCGTTATTTATGAATATCAGCAATGCCAGGGTGACTGGCCAAGCCGCAGCCTACGAAACGTTCATGCGAAGTGTGACTGACGAAGTGCCAACAACAACAGTAGGTACAGACTTTGAATTCAGTCTGATAAGCGAAGCTTGATCTCTAAAAAACACGAAACACAAATATTCTTATATTATAATAATTAGACGAATTATTTATTAAAATAGTACAAACTGCCCCAAAATCTAGATTTCCTACAACATTAAAACAAGCATGATAACAACCTTATCACGTATTACGCGCCGCGCGATACATCTCAATCAACGTCTCGCTTCTAACTAGTCATTACATAACGTCTTGTTCATAAATTCATATTATTTATACCCTGATATCAATCACTATCTATAGCCAAAGAATACTAATGTACTTTTTGACAAAACATAAAAAAAAACTCATTGGTATTATTGAAATGTTTTATTCTTTATTCACTATAAACTTAAGTTAAATTATTACACCTAAAGTTGTTTTACATGTTTTAAATTTAATTTAGTCACAATTTAAATACAATAATTGAATACTTGTTACATAAAATAATAATAAATCGACTAGTACGTTTCCATGTTCTTTAGAATTCGGTAACTAAGTTGAGAACCAATTTTATAACTGGAAATTAGCGAGAAAATTATAATCTATAATACTTTAAGTTAATTATTCAGATTAAAATGCATTAATTCGTAAATTATGTTCCTTGAAGACGAAGGTATAATGACTATACCGACTAACCACATAAACTACAAAAATATTTTGGCAAGATGATGCTGTTTAAAAACTACCAAATTAAGTTAAATTGGATTAATTAAAATAGATTGGATTAAACTAAATTAAATTGAATTAATTTAAATTAGACTAAAGTTGTGCGAACTGGGTCCAAAATTTATTGGCGATACCTTAGCCATTGTTATTATCAAACTACACTGAAACAGACCTACATCATTTAGTTATTTACTACGAAATGCTCGAGTTGTCAGACTCTGACAATTTTGTAAATATCAGTCTTTTAGCGATATTTCTGTTAATCTTAGCATATGCTTTAGTTGAATCAACTGCAATATGTTTATACTATGGAGAGGTCAATGACGTCAAATGACTTCCTTTTTCCCGTTTGACGTTTGTATCGACGTAATCGACAACTTCCCTAGTTGTTCTCCGGCGCAGTTACACTGGCCAATATTCTGTTGGCACTTGGCAGTCGTTAGTTATCCACACATACCAAAGTATCGGAGTACTATATTTTCTATCAACCTATCGTCTCTAAGTCAAAATTGAATTGTGTTTTCAACTGTTGACATAAGAATCGATCTAATATAGTAAGTTAGTTACGTTTTTAATGTTAATCTTTGAAACATTAGTGACACATCTAAGCGTAACCGCAACTTGATTTCATACTGTAACACGTCATAGGCGTAGTCATTTTGGCCGAAGGACTAGTTTGTCTACGTCTTGACTTCAATTAAGAGGAGTCATTTCTATGAATTTCCACGTAGTCGACTACCTCCCAGTTGTCTTCAGGTTCATCGGGTAAACTTGGAGGAAATGCGCCTCTCGTAAGAGGCACTCCATGGTTGTCTAAAGATAAATATTCTCGTACAGCCGCCTGGGCGGCTTCATCATCAGGAGTGGTCAAAGCACGAGCGTTAAACGACCCGCCAATGTCCTGAGATGGCAACTCCCAAATGTGGTATTGCGTTGACATCTTGAAATTCTGTAAACATACACAATAATGTTACACGATTTGAATGTGAGACATCATTTTACTATAGTTATTAGGTACTAGCTGTACCCGTCCGCTTCGCTGGGAAATTAAAATTAACATTATTATTTCTCACCCCCACAAAAATTATCATTATTAACGCCGCCGCAACTGGTGTAGGGAGTCCAACACTCCTATAAATATTAGCCTATCCATTAAGTATGTGTTTTCTACATGGGTACCAAGTTTCAAGTCAATCGGATGCATGGTTCAGTAGTTATAACGGAACATCCGTAAAAACCACTGTAGATTTATATATTAGTATAGATAGTTATTGAATCTTATTTTAGGTTTTATTGTTTACGAATTGAGTGTTTTTATATTCTCATAAGCTTTAGTACATTCAATTGAGTACAGATTTCGTATTAATGTATGCTTACAGTTTTTTGAAGGATATATTGAAAAGCTATATAGATCCATGTGAAAATGTAAATGAAAGACTATCAAAGTTCTGAAACGCTCTTAAATGTTGACGTCAGTTAAATTTGTAAAATAGTGCACTTTCGTCTAGCATGAAATAAGAAAACAAATAAATTCATAATTAAAACTTCTTTTACAGTTGAATCTCGCGGTTTTTATTGTCATCATATTATTGCCGACACTACGAATTCTTTATTGTTTTCGTGGTCATGGACGGATTGCATGTATGGTGCGCGAGGTCATCAAAATGAAAAAAGCAGCCTAACTTCAATAGAGAATGTGGTTGATGCTTATCTAATAGGATCCTTTATTGTAAACATGAAAACCCATGTTAAACAAACTGCCAAACCACAAGATCCTATTAGTCTGTTTTGTGTGAAATGAAACGTACCTAAGTGTCTATTTAAAAGAAAAACTATAACACCTTAGTCGTCCGTGGCCACGAAAACTGTTTATGATGACAATAAAAAAACGCGAGATTAGTATCGTAAAAGTAGGTTTAATTAGTTATGTCTACGAATCGCGAAACCAAACAAAAACTACATAATTCTATTATTATATAACTGAACAGATTTTTTTCTTTTCGTTGATAAGCTGTATTTGTGGATAGTTTTTTTATTATTATTATGGGATAGTGAAAATAACGGTCAATATGCGAATCAGACATTAATAAAAAAAGATTTTTAAATAGTATAAAACATATTTAAGACACAAAAGGATTATTTTCTCTCATAATAATTGTGGGCTGGAAATTTGGTATCGACAACAAATTGTCACTTGAAAAACTATGAAGAATTTTCTCAAAAGGCGTTCCGGTCAAACCGTCTTTTACAGTCCATTAACTATTTCAATTAATCTCATTTCTAGTTGCCGCAAATAATGCAAACCTTCGCTTAGCAGTGCCGAGTATAGAGACACAGTACAATACGTAGCCTTGTGTACTTCCGTTCATTAGTATGACATTAACATTTCCAGTAAAGCTACTGTTGTAATAGGTTATCTAACGTGTTAGTTCGAATATTAAGATATGGTTAAATAACATAGGTATTTTTTTACCTTAAATGATACAAGTTTACTTTACCAAAATAAATAAAAAATCCAACAGATTGTTTCGTTGAGTTAATTAAATTTTCTTCTGCCGTCATAAGAGAACGTGAATGCAATTTATTATTTAATAACAGTCTGCCTGTCTGAAAGGAAGATACTGGTAGACCCCGAACTAATACTTCTAATTAATTAGTTGCAGTATTAGAAGATTCTATATTTACATTTAAATATAAATAGGCAAAGAGAATAGTTTAGTATTATTTTTCTTTTACATACGAGGATTATTCAATAAATAGTGATAGGAAAAAAATACTGGTATGCATAGCCCAATATTAGATTTAATAATAATAATAGTCATTTAGTCTATTTTATTTTTTAAATATAGAAGTCATTTGTTTGCTTCGGATCAGAAAATGTTCTCATACAAATAGATAAAATTGAAATTCGCGCGGTAATAAAATATCTGAGCTTATTTTTTTACTACGGAACTGGTAAATCAAGACTTGAGTGCAACATAATGGATTCATGCTCCTCCATATTTTATGATTGAGCGTTGGTGTACTGAGTTCAAGTAAGGAAGAACTTCCTTAGCGACGACTCGCGCACGGGACGCCCTACATCAGTAGTGACTGACCAAATTATTAAAAAAGTTGAAAACATTCTCTTAGCGAATCGTCGTGTTAGTATTTGTTTTATAGCAGAAGAAATGAAGATTTCTAAACGAAGTGTCCATAATGTTAGTGAATAACACCAACAACCATATGGTAGGTATAAATGAAAAAAGTGACACCGCGCTGGGTGCCTAGAATACTTTCTGAAGCACAGAAACTGAGAATTCCACAAAGCTGTTTGGGTTTGTTACAACAAGATCTTGACCGATTTTTGGCTCGATTGAGTACAACAAGATCTATGAATAAACCATGGCTTCACCATTATAACCCGGAAACGAAAAAACAATACACGAATTGAAAGAGACCGTCATCTTCAACTCCGAAGAAATTTAAGGTGATTCCATCCACCCGTAAGATCATGGGCGGTTTTTTCTGGAACAGCCCTAGGATGGTAATGATCGAATGCCTTGATCGTGGAGCCGTTATTACGGGGACTTTGTACGCTGGACAAATAATAAAGTTTGGTAAGTAAATATGCAAGCATCGAAGTAACAAATCTCGCTAAAGTTCTTTAGTTTCACTAAGATAAAATACAACAATAGGTAATAAAATAATAATTAAATAAAATAATTTAAGAATTAATATTAATTAATTAATAATTCAAGAATTATTTTATATTTTCAACTTAAAATTTCGTAGAATTTCGACCACTGAATTTACAGTTTATGAATATATAAAACGAGCAAGCGAGATTCTTATTTTATTCTTGTTTCGCATGGTAGTTCATCCAGTCAGTCCCTATCCCATCCATCCCATCAGGCGTATTGTAGCTGTACTTTGCGCGTTTAATATTTAGACAAATTTATTCCTTCATCATGTTGCTGTTGGTCATCGAAGGCTGTTTGCCTCAGATTTTGAACCACGGTTCAGACACTTTAAGGATTACTTTATCGGCGCAGACCAGTTTCCGGCCCATCTGATACCAAATAGTAACCGAAACCCGTAAGTATATTAAGTAGTAAGTAGATAAGTATCACCAATCTCCGACATGTATAAAATCATAACCGCTTAATCTTACCTATACCTTGTTTATTTTGATATGATCTAGTAATATATACCTAGTCTTGCCATAAATACTGAGACAAAGGAAGAAAAAAAAATCTATTGCAAATAACATTTATTACTTTTACAGTGTGTTAGTTTAATACATAAATATAAAACAATTTAAAGTATAAAAAGCTTATTCGAAGTGGTCTCCATTGGCTGCAATACAGTCCTTTAAGCGTTGAGGCCAATTATCAATAGAAGCACGTATTCTTTCCATGGGAAATATTTTCACTGCCAATCGTACGGATTGTTTTAGGGACTCCAAATTATCATGCCGTACTCTCTAAAACTGACCATAAATCATAATCCAGCGGATTAAGATCGGGACTAGACGACGGCCGGTCTTCAGCTCTGATGAAGTCCGAAACGTTCGTTTCCAACCAAGACTGCGTAAACCGAGCTTTATGACCTGGCGCCGAGTCTTGCTGGAAGGACCATTCTTGATTATTGAACATGGTGTTCTTAAGGAGCTTCACTACGTTCTCAAGAATGGTATCTTGATACACTGGTGCCGATGTTTTGATACCTTTTTCACAAAAGTATGGCTCAGTCACTCCTTCATAGCTAATACCCCACCAAACCATCACTGAAGTCGTATAGTGCCCACGTTGCACTCTGTCGACTAATTGGGAAGCTTCCTTAGAGCTTTGAGCATAAATAGGGTCATTTTGTTTGTTAAAATGTTGCTCAATTGTAAATTTCTCATCCGTAAACAAAAAATTTCTATGACCTCCCTTTGCGTACCGCTTCAGTAGTTGTTTCGATTTTACCACCCTATTCTCTTTTAAATTATCAGTTAAGAAATGACCAGTACGTCTCTTATAGGCTGCAAGTCCTAAGTCATCTTTTAAAATACTCGACATGGTTCTAGGTGCTATCTTCATCTCCCGAGATAAAATCTTTTGCTTTCGGACAGGATTTCTTCGAATTCTTTCCCTTACTGCTTTGACCACCTTTTTCGTACGAACACTACGTGGACGGCCAGATCTTTTTCTGTCACAAACAGAGGAGGTCTCATTGCACCTATTAATAGCCCGGTACACAAACATTTTACTAATACCAAGCGTATGGAGAGTTTTAAAAATTGCATTGGCCCCATACCTACTTTGTGTAATGCAATTACAGCGATTCGGTTCTCTTTATCACCCCACTCCATTTTAATATCGCAAAATATTGTACAATTTATTGGCGCCAAAATGAGAAAACTCAATGAGCAATCATATAAAAATGACAGATTCCAAACTCAAATGTAATATTTTGTTTATTTTTAATTGTAACAGTAGGTATTTATGGCCAGACTAAGTACACACTAATTACACAGTTCCAAATCTAAATTACGAATAAATAATAATTTTTAATAAGGCTACGATAATTAGTCTTAATAAGACTTATTATTTATTCGTAGTTCCAAATATGAAAACGTAAAGTCAGATGAAAAGACAGCCAGAGAAGATGAATTTTCGTTAACGTTTCTTTGTTCAATCGATGAGCCTTATCAGTTATTGGCTTGTTAACAAAATTTAAAAAATAAAAACAGTACATTTCGGACTCGTATTAAAATACTACAGTGAGGCAAATTTAGTGGATTATGGCAAATAAGGTAACGCATTATATCCATTAGCATTCATAAAGTTCATTCTGGCATATGATGTGAAATAATTTCAAAGTAAAAATCGGGAAGACTTCTTTGTGATTATAAAAATTAAAGAGGCGCTAAATTTTTCGTGCCTACAGTATTTTAAGATTAATACTTTTATGACTGTTTATTAATCGCATAGAAAAAACAAACATAAAATTCCGTACGTCACCACGTGAGATAATTTATCATGGCCCAATTTAAACGTCTAGATAAATCGTGACAAATTTGAGACTAATTTACGGCATATTAATATAGTAGAATGACGCATGTTGTTAATGATCTGTATTGTTTGATGGTCAAACACGTGTAAACAAAATTGGGCAGGTAACAATGCGTTCTGTTCCGTGACGTCAACAAGGTATTTCAATAAAGGTAATTTAAAAACTCAAGAAGAAAACTAGCACATTAAAAACCGCAACTTTGACGAGTTCACTTCTAAGACCGTTTGTCAGTTTTATGGAGTTATTTATTCTCTGCAGTGAAGCACGTGAGCTGACGCGGGCTTGTATACAAATATCAAGATTAGATCTATTATGTCTGCAGAATCTTTATTCGTAGGTACTCACTGCCGGCTTTAATCAAGTTTACTACAGGGATTTAAGAATTTTATGATGTTTTAAAGCCAAGAAGTTACTTCATGTGTAATATGAAATAAAACGTAAGAAAATGAAATTGATGAAACATAAATTTCGTCAACAACTGTTTTAAATAAAATACTGGTTGTAAGTCATATTGTAACTCGTATGGGTAGATACCACTATATTTTCTGTTTCTGACACCATGGAATCAAGCTTTCCGGTATGGCCACTGCAGGGCCCACCTTTGTTATTACATAACATATAAGATGGGCCCTTGAGTGCCTTTGCCTATCTTTGTTCAAAATAAAATGGAATAAGAAAGCTCATCGCAAATCACAACCATGGTAAATTTGGTGCATTAAGAAAATCAATACAATCCCTGTGCGCTCGTGTCAACAGAGCTCAACTCACATGCGCAGAACTAGGGGACTCGCTCAATAACGAACGTACCTTAGTAAAAAAACGGTAAAACAGAAAACTAAGCCAAAAAGAAGGAAAAAACACTTTGAAATAGAGATGGGATGAAAGATTACTGAAATAATGCAGTAGAAGATACACAAAATTCTTAATCTAAATTTAGTTGTTCGTATTGTAATAATTCTGTCGAAGTTTAACTTTGGCATCATTACAGTTTTGTTTACAAACACAGTAAAGATTAAATTTAAGAACATGATTATTATACGTAGGAACGGGTTGTTTATATAATATTGTAACAATGGCTACCATGCACAATTTAGGGACAAAACAATGAAATATAAAGAAAATAACTCGTTTATATTATAAACAATATGTAAAATATGCTCTATTTGTAAAAAAATTTATTAGGATTCATTAATTATAAATTAAAGGGAATTAATTTCGTAGTTACTTCGTACACATCCAGCTTTCACAAGAATTAGACATTATACAGACATGAAACCCTTTTTAACACGCTTGTGTTGGCTTGGATTGTATAAGTAACGAAATTTGTCAACTTAATGTACACCAAATTCAAGACATTCGACTAACTTGAAAATTTTCACACATGTCAAGGACCGATGACAAAACAATTACTTTCACCTAATATTTTTATACTGGTGGTAGGACCTCTTGTATAACATCACCCTGCCTTTTTCTGCCGTGAAGCAGTAACGCATTTCCCTAATCAATAAAAAAAAAAACTTTTTTTTCGTTTTTGGGCCTTTACCAGTGGCTTCACCTAAAATTCTGACTAAGGTAGCATTTTATTATTATTTGTAGGATTGTCTGCTATTGCGTTTTTTTGGGATAAACTATACATTTTTACTTATACTTAATGTAAATTCTCAAAAATACTATAGTGTGTACAATTGTTGCTGGCGGCAGTTTATCGGCGGTTTTTTGGGTACTCCTGACTTCTTTGATCAACCAAAAGCATGCTTGTTTGCCCTCGATGGCCGAAAAAGCCCCTCAAGTGCTCGTCAGACAATGCATAATGAATATTCCAAGCCAGATTGAATTTCACTATTATCATACAAAGGACACGTTGATTTCAAAATATTTGTATGCTTGCATTGTGTATATTGGACTGTTGAAAAGCTGTGAAGATTTTTCTAACAACTTTTAAAACACATATCTTATGCGATTGTTTAACAAACTTAGCAGTGTGTTGAAAATAAGCTCTTCATTATCGGTAAATAGTTACTGTCATTAGAACAGAGAACCAGAGTTTCGCTTTGAATGGAATGGATCCATGGTAAAATAGTTTTTTTTGTTTAAGACAAAAACACTTATAAAACTAACTCCCGTGACCTATTTATTTATTTTCCATTCTTCACTACTTTTTTTTTTATGATTGAAGGATTACTGGTGGCCCGGAGGCCCCTCCAGTTTCACCAGGACAGGTGGGCCTGGAAAGGCCTCCGGGCCACCAGTACTTCACATTCGTCCCTTCACGTCGTAAATAATCCACTCTATATAAATTATCTTCTCACGTACCTCTGGCAGACAATGATGTTGCATGCAGTAATAGTCATGTTTCCCATCGTTGTGGCACCAGGTACCGTCAGGCAGATAGGGATCGAGACCTGCCGCGTTGAGTTCCACCCGAGGAGCGTAAAACCCACCGCCGGATGCTCGCCTGCAGAATATTGCGCACCCCATCCACATGCGAGCTGAGAGAAAAGCAATAACATTAAATTTAGGGGTTGGGGTGTAGATCCGCAAATAACGTCAACCCAAACGATACAACTCTACTCCTCCGTCGAAAATAGATTTATTATGCATGAAATAACTGTAATCAGCCGTTGTAACTATACTGAGACCTTAGAACTCATAACTCAAGGTGGGTGGCGGTACTTAACACTAGGTGGGCTGTGTGCTCGTCCACCCATCTATGCAATAAAAAAAATAAAAATGTAGTCTCGAAATATGTTTATTTATATACTTATATGTTGTATGTTTATATGTTCAATTTTGTTTATAGTGCCTTCACTATTTTGGTTTGGGACTTTTTATTTTAGTTCGGAAATTATATTATTGTAGACACGCACGCAGTCGTCAACGTAATGAAAGCCCAGTCTTCTTACACCCAGTTCACTTCGTGTGAATGTGAACGACCGATAGCGGCCGCGATGACTTTTTCAGTCTAATACGTAACGCAGCAAAAAAACCTAATATAGGTTTGCATGCTTAAATTTGTACAAATAAATCCTCAAGGTCAATTTTTAGTCAACCTCTTCGGAAATAGAAAACAACCTCCTCCAAAATAATTGTAGGTTATGCTAGTAAAGTTTTACAATAGTTGAATTTTTTAATATATTTTTTATGAAGGAATTATTACTGGAGGCCTTTCCAGTTTCATCAGGACTGGTGGGCGTGTAAAAGCTCAGCCCGGAGGGAAGGGATTTACTAACAGCTGCCCGAGCGCCTTCAGTGTGTTTAGTACGAATTATTTAACGCTCTCGATAGCGTAAAAGTTAACTCGATTTTGTATGGAGTTGGAACGTTTGCCTTCGTTTGCCGCTAGAGGCGCTGATCCAACTGCATACAAATAAGAGCTCACTTTTACGCTATCGAGAGCGTTAAAAATTCGCACTAAGCACACAGAGGTGACCTAACAACTCAAGAGCATCTGCTTCGCGAATTAATCTAGAAAAATAGATATTTTTTTTCATAGATAAGCTGATAGCCTTGAGAGAATATTTCAGCGTAACCTTAACTAGTAGGTGAGCTCACGGGGCTCAAACCTGAGGACGTTGCTAACATGAATCCTAGCAAGAGCCGTGCTTCGCAGAATCTACCACCGGATTGGAAACGTGACCCACTGAGAAGATGAAACTATAACCATAAGAAGCGAAACTATAAGAAGCTGTAACCACTTAAAACCAGGTGGGCTGTGAGCTCGTCCACCCATCTAAGCAATAAAAAAAAGTAATAATAATAAAAACTCAGTGGGCTGTGTCTGTGGGTTAATTTACTCGTCGAGCAATTCGTCGCAAGCGATGGGTTCGACGAGAACGATGACCGGTGCTTAGTGGATCGGGAGGATCCGAAATGACGTGTTTTGGGCGACGTCGACTGCTTTACGTACTATCCTCAGGATCGAGAATGTAGTTACCGGCGGCCACGATAATAGAGTTCTAGTGTCGTGCCGCTTTATCGAAGTTTAGAAAAATAGAATGGTCAATATCATTTGTATTTATTTATACTGACTAGGATCATGCGGGGCCTGCAGCCCGCCGGCGCGCGCGTCCAGGGACGGCACGCGCGCCGCGTACTCGCTGCACTTGCGGGAAGCAAGCTCATTGGCACTCACTCGGCTCTTCTTGCCGCAAACCTGCAATATCCAAGAATGCTAACACAAAAATACTACACATAATTTGAAATTTTGAAAAGCCGTCGCGCCCTAAAGTATGACACGTTCGGTGCATTCGTATCTAGCGATGCACCGGTGTTCGAATCCCACAGGCAGGTACCAATTTTTCTAAAGAAATACGTACTTAAGAAATCTTCACGATTGACTTCCACGGTAAATCGGGTGATAAAAATCAAACCCGCAAAAATTATAATTTGCGTAATTACTGGTGGTAGGACCTCTTGTGAGTCCGCACGGGTAGGTACCACCGCCCTGCCTATTTCTGCCGTGAAGAGGTAATATGTTTCGGTTTGAAGGGTGTGACAGCGGTTGTAACTATACTTGAGATCTCAGAACTTATATCTCAAGATGGGTGGCGCATTTACGTTGTAGATGTCTATGGGCTCTAATAACCACTTAACGCCAAGTGGGCTATGAGCTCGTCCACCCATTTAAGCAATAAAAAAAAGAACAATTACTAGATGCATATAGATGAACAGTAGAAAACGCATTTCTAGTTATTGGTCCTCCTCCTCTCTAAGTCGCATTCCAATTGTCTAAGGGTCGTGACCATCTCGTCCCATTATCCTTTTCTGGGTGATATTTCGCAATCTTCCTCTGTTCTCGGCGGTGTGGCGATCAGCTGATTTCAGAGTCAGCACCATAGAGAAAGAAGTATTGAGAACACCAGAGTTCGGACAAGTCCCATTTTGCTTTTAACATGTTCTATGGAGCTGAAACATGGCACTCTTTGCTATGCTCTAGTTATTGATAATTTCTATCTAAACGAGTACCTTGGTATCATCACACAGTACGACATCGTAAGCGGATCCTTGGCAGGTGGTGGTCGTAGCGCATTCCCGTCTACGTTCTCTAAAGCCCCGCGACTTGGCTGAGCAGCCGGACCGACACGCGCCTTCTCTCCATACGGTCCAGCCGCCAGACTCGCCCTCCGCCATACCGGCCGATGGCGGAACGCGCGTGCTGGATGTCGGTACGGAGTTCGAAGGCACACACTCCCCACCTTGACACCACTGGAATAAAATGTATATCATTCCTACTAAGAGTTCTAAAAACGTACATTATCACTATACATTGCTTTATATACAAGCTTGATCACATATTTAGCTCGGTTGTATGGAGCTAAATATCTAACAACGAAAATTAATCATGCAAATGTTCCGGTAAAAGAAAACCACCTTTTTCAACTTAATAAAGAAAACCCATCCGAGATGGTTAATGTTATTTATTTAAGTAAATGATGTTAATGATTTTTTATTTATGATTTATTCATGATTTATTGTACAATTTGATTAATAGTTTTATGCAACTTGTTATTTTAAGTAGACGTGTATTCTGTGTGGTGTCGATGTAGAATAGCACCACCACCAACTCTTCCGTGGACCTTTTTCTACTTAATAAAAAAAAACGAGATGGTTAATGTTATTTATTTAAATAAATGAAGTTAATGATTTTTTATTTATGTTTTATTCATGATTTATTGTACAATTTGTTTAATGGTTTTGTGCAACTCGTTATTTTGAGTAGACGTGTATTCTGTGTGGTGTCGATCTACATTAGTACCACCCCCAACTCTTCCGTGGATATCATAAAAGGCGATTTTTTTAACGGAGAACGGGTAGCGATTTTAATTTTTATTAACAGCAGGGCGTATTGTGAACCCGCACGGTTGGGTATCATCATGAGACAGCTGGTGTGTAAATAAATTAAGACTTCGGCCTCATGGTGAGTGAAGGCATTCACGTTGCGATGACCTCCAAGTGGGCCATAATTTCGTACATCTATCTAGTCCAGTTCTGATAATTTTATCCATGAGAAAACCATATAAGTCTTAAATTTTCATTAAGTACGTGCGCGACAAGTAGATGAATAATTCAATAACTCAATGTCACGCCAACCGATTTCGATGATCATTGTTTTTAGTGTATATTAATTTGTTTTGGAATATCTTTTTTTTTCTACTCGAAGTCGGGTTTTGTTAAAGCATGTCTATTTACAATTATAAATAAATATACAGCAAAATTATATTTCGAAGCCAATATGTTAATAAATTAGTAACTTTGCATAAACGAAGACAGTACATTCATTTATTAAACAGAACATAAATACTCTTGTCGTTTTAGTTTATTTTATTCGCGAACCCATGTCGGAGGTAGCTGGTGAGCGCTCCCCTGTGGCGAGGGAACATGCCCATCCGTCTCAGGACATTTTAAATCATTATTGCGTGCAGAGCACTTAATCATAATAAATTTCAAGCTACCGGCCGTAATTTTATAATAAAAAAAAAACTACTGTAACTTAAAAATTAGAAGCTACCGGCCGCAATTTATACTATAATTTGTAAAGTTTATAAAACTTTTACTATAACTTAAAAATTAAAAGTCACCAGCCGCAATTTTATAATTTTAAAAAAAATCTACTATAACTTAAAACTTGATTAAACACTATTTTATTATACCGGCGTTTCTTAAAATTAATTCTTCTATTGTTTTAATTTTTTTTTAAGGTAGCCTCCAGATGCCTTCTGGGAAAACGCTGGATTCATAATACGCCAGAATAATGCTTAGTAGAAAAGTTTTCAGATGATCTACTCGAAATCCGTTTCTGACCGTGATCCGTGTATGATTGTGTTTCAAAATGTGATCTGATAAATAAAATTATGATTTAATCTTTCAGTGCTTTTTTTATGTTCTTTATTAGTGCCATACACCTATTAAGTTAAGTCGGCTATTTCAGTGCTTTAATTCCATTAGATTAATATACCATTTTATTGCCACAAGCAGTGCCGGGCAGCGCGGGGCCGGCGTAGAAGAAGCCGGCGCGGTGCGGGGTGCGGCACGCGAGCTGGGCGCATTGCCCCCGCTGGTCTCCGCCGCCCGACCAAGGCGCTGCGTCCGCGTCACGCAACAAAACCTGAAAAAAACAAATGCCCTTGTAGACTGCATTCTTGTTGAGCGATGCACCGGTGTTCGAATCCCGCAGGCGGGTACCAATTTTTGTAATGAAATACGTACTCAAGAAATATTCACGATTGACTTCCACGGTGAGCGAATAACATCGTGTAATAAAAATCAAACCCGCAAAATTATAATTTGCGTAATTACTGGTGGTAGGACCTCTTGTGAGTCCGCGCGGGTAGGTACCACCGCCCTGCCTATTTCGGCTTGAAGGGTGGGGCAGCGGTTGTAACTATACTTGAGACCTTAGAACTTATATCTCAAGGTGGGTGGCGCATTTATTTTGTAGATGTCTATGGACTCCAGTAACCACTTAACACCAGGTGGGCTGTGAGCCGTTACACCCATCTAAGCAATAAAAAAATAATAAAACAAAATACTTTTCTTTAACACGTGACTTTAGTCTTACAACTTGGATTGTTGTTGCTTATTAAAATAACCGGTTTGAAAATTTGTAAAATACCTCTAGATTTAATTATAGAATTTGCTGCGCACTATACAGATAACTTAAATTTCCAGGCTATACAAACATTTGATATCGGGGCAAGCTAACGCTCAGTTTGGGTGTGAATTTTCACAGTTTAGCAAAAAAGTGCTTTATAAGTAGAGAGCTACAAACACAGACTTTGTCGAGGGATAGTACACATATTATTATGTTATATTTATAATCTAACAAATATACTCGCAGCTTCGTGTTAAGTAGCAACTAATCTAAGTTGAACTAAATGCTACTTACTTACTTTATGATGATTTTATAATAATATGATTTTGTGATTACTCGTATAAGACACGGACAATCTGTCAGTTGATATGATGTTAAAAATTCTAATATAAATACACCTGCTTCTTTTATTTATTGAGTAAAACCGTGGTAACCGTTTAATTCGTTAAATCAAATTATGATTGAAGTTTAAACACAACTCAATATTATACAAACAGAGATTCGTTTGGACATATTGACCAATTGTATTTTTATCGTAAATAATTAGGTACATAAAATACGGAATTAAAAATTAAGAACTAACCTAGAATGTCTTATGCATTTAATAGTGTATTTCGAAATACCTCACACTGTTTCTTTGCGCTCCATATAGCACCAGGCGCTCCGCTAAATCGTTCATGCTGAAGCTCGTTTGGGATGTCTTCCTCGCCGTCGTCTCCATCCAACAGGCAAGTAGCCCATCTATACGTACAATACAGTCTATATGTTCCCATCAAGAAATTTCTATGGTTTCTATAGGTTTTATAGGTTCAAACCGCTCAGATAAAAAAGAGAATATCATGTACTTATACAGTGTTCCCGTTTACCGCTATTTTAATACTTAAAAAAATCATTTCCGAAATGAGTGAATAAGCTCACGACCATCATAATGACAAGTGGTCGATGGAACCCACAAATTTCACAAAATAAACGTCGCCGGAATCTACTACTATAGTAATATTTTTTCCACCTGACAATCTAATTCGTGAGCCCGACATTATAAATCCAAAAATCGTAGGATGTAAAGCTTCCACGGCTACTACCTATAACTATTTGTCTATCTGTACCACAAAACAATCATGCGTTCCGCTTTGAAAAGCAGTAAAGTTATTGTACCAAAGTAATTGAGACTTTAATGTTATGCCTTAGAAGAGTTGGGAAACGGCATTTATGTTGTTTTGTCGGAAATCATCTAACCTCAGAAGAGCCATAAGCTATCTTAGTATATAAAAAAGTTTCTACTGTTTGCTGACGTCATTGTGCTTAAAGGTTGCGTTTTCACACTAGAAATGAACGTAGCTATTTTAAAAAATTGGACAAATGAGGTTAGATAAGCACATGTAAAAATTTCATAACAACAATAAATTTATGTTCTAATTTTATCCTTATCTAAATCAATTTAACACATAATTTGCCATAGCAAAAAAATAGGGTATACTTGAGGTCGGCAACGACTCTAGCACTGCAGGATGACCAGGAAGCCTCTCCATTGGTTCCCCGAGACGGTGACATGATGTAACCGTCGCGGGCGCACGTGTTCCCGGTACCGTCGTGATGCATACCCAAGCTGGAAACAAAGATAACGTATTTCAAGATAATCCTACTCATAAAAGTTTAATACAACATCACATGATTTTGTGATGTAATTTTATGTACCTACATAATTACACAACTAGGTTTTTTTTAGTCAGAATTATAGGCAAAGTTAAAGTGGTTATTTGGTTGAGGTTTTTTTATTGCATTCAATGAGTACGAACGAAGTAACAATCCATCTGGTATTAAGTTACCAGAGCCTGTTACAATGCCACAACCTGATAGTGGTACTTACCTACACGGACTCAAAATACGTCCTAACGCAAGCCGGTAAAAACACAAGACAGCATTATTGCATCCAATGAAGTTCTAACTAATCAGAAAGTTTAATACTCAGTAATACAGACTTATTGGTTCTAATTTTGATCATACTTAATTAATAAACACTATGCTTCCCTAAACACAGTACTGCGTTATACTCAAATTCCTTTACTGTTTCAGCAACTCGTCTATGAACCAATAATAGTCCACCACGTCTATGAAATAATAATAGCCTTCGCCCAAGTTTTCGTGAGGCACGTTCAGTTGATATTTTGAAGGCACATGATCTCTTTTTCAAAGCACAGTGTGCTTGGTGTGAGTTTTTTAAAGTTCTCGATAGCGTAAAAGTTAGCTCATATTTTTATGGAATGGGATCGTTTGTCTACGTTTGCCACTAGGGGCGCTGTTCCAACTGCATACGAAATTGGGTTAACTTTTACGCTATCGAGAACGTTAAAAAACTCGCACTAAACACACAGATTGCTTGACTGTTTTGTACTATGTTGTGGTTTATGTAATTTATTTTATTTGATATGTATTTATTATCTATGCATTTTGTATGTATTTGTATAATTCACTATGAAAAGAACAAGTCCCGAGTTTCTAGCCGAACGTTTTCAATAGTGAAATTGTAATCCGAACAAGTTGTAAAATAAATACTATTTGAAAGCGACTGTTAAGGTATGTCTTATTACATTTTTTTTTTTATTTGATTGAATTATATTTTTGTGGTCGTCTTTAAGATGTGCTTTATTACTAGTTATTAAAACGTGTGTTTAACCCTACGTACGTACACGGCTTTGCAATAAAAATAACACTTTATAAGTATTGAACACACCCGCATTTTAATTAACAGTAACTTGTACCGAATAGTAATCACTATCTAATGATATATTCCTGTAAAGAGATTGTTTTTATAGTTGAAGATTTATAATAATGAATTCTTTAATACTGACGTGAAATAGTATCGTTTCGTAATAGATAACTTATTACCGACGAATCTGTTTAACCATATAAGTTGTACATAGTTGTGACAAAAGCGATTTTATTTTTAAGATTCAGAAGCGTTAAATATATTTAAAAAAAAGACACTTATACATAATTAGTGTAATTTAATAGAAATTTAATTTATTTCAATTATAGGGCACAAAATCAACACAATTTAGAACAGAAAAACAACAGTTAAATTCCACACAATAAGAATTATCACAATTTAACGAAAATTATCACAAAATGGAACGAACTTACAGTAAGCAAATTCGAAACCAACCTTATGAAGTGGCGGCTGACTTGCTCATAATTTAATACATAATATAAAAAAGGATTAACGTAGCGAAACTAATATAAAACAGAATTTATCATAATACTTCATTTAAAATTGGTCCAGTACTTTATCCGTGATTATCAAACAAAAAATAAACAAACAAACAAAAAGATAAAATTTGTGAAAGCAGCAGCTTTCCTGTGCCCATTGCCTACGAACAAAATTTACTCATCTTTAAAAAAATTATTGCTTAGATGGCTTGACGAGCTCACGACCGACCGGATGTTAAGGTGGTTACCGGAGCCCATAGACATCTACAACGCAAAACCGCCAGCCACCTTGACACATACATTCTAAGGTCTCAGTTTTTACAGACAACCCTTCAAAGAGAAACGCATTACTATTTCACGGCAGAAATAGGCAGCGTGGTGGAATCTACCTGTGCGGACTAAAAAAATGTCCTACCATTAGTAAAATATAATTTTGATTTTTATTACACGATGTTATTCCTTCACCGTGGAAGTCAATCGTTAACATTTATTAAGTATGTATTTCATTACAAAATTTGGTACCTGCCTGCGGGATTCGAACACCGCCACACTTGCATCTCTTGATACGAGTGTACCGGGTGTCTTATCTTTATTTTTTCCCTATCTATGCTGATAGCCTTGAGAGCCTATTTCAGCTTCTCAGGTGAGCTCTCGGGGCTCAAACCAGAGAGTTGCTAACACTGACCCTAGCAAGAGCAGTGCTTCGCAGAATCTATCACCGGATCGGAAGCGCGACCCACTGAGAAGATCCGGCGAGAAACTCAGTGGGCTGTATCTATGGGTCAATTTACTCGTCGAGCCCTTCATCGCAAGCGACGGGTTTGGCGAGGACGGTGACCGGATGTCTTATTATTTAGGCGACGACTACATCAATACTTTTTGTTAACCGACTTTAAAAACTGAGGAAGTTTCATGGTCGTCTGTGTGTAGTTTTTATGTGTGTTAACCCAATTTCGCTATCTTTTATAAACTAGATCAATTTTGAAAAATACTTTTATGTGTGAAAGGATATACTATCGAGGCAGCTCCGTTGTTAATTTTAATTGATATATTGTTGATTTTTTTTTTGTTAAATTGCAATTGTTCTCAATAACTTCAAAATGAGGACTTTTATAATATAAATCGCGGTAGTTTTCTACTGTTTAATAATTTTTTTTCGGTAACTACATATTATTAATAAGCTTTGTAATTTTTATTTTATTTTTATTGCTTAGGTGGGTGGAAGAGCTCACAGCCCACCTAGTGTTAAGTGGTTACTGGAGCCCATAGACATCTACAACGTAAATGCGCCACCCACCTTGAGATATCAGTTCTAAGGTCTCAAGTATAGTTACAACGGCTGCCCTACCCCTCAAAACCGAAACGCATTACTGCTTCACGGCAGAAATAGGCAGGGTGGTGATACCTACCCGCGCGGACTCACAAGAGGTCCTACCACAAGTGATATACATTTATAATAATAGTATAAGTAATATAACCGACTTGTGTCCGATCTCGTGCGCCAGTATGTAGACAGAAGTGAAGCCTGCTGATGGGTAGGGGCGGCCGAGCACGTCCGTCGCACCGAACTCCGACACCACGCATGCGTGCGCCGGCAAGCACACCCCACCCACGGGCGCTAGGCCCATAGTGACGCCGTTCCGCCGACCATTTTCTTCTGAATAAAAATCTAATCTGGAAATAAGATTTTTACCTGCCGTATTAAAGTCCTTTCAAAGCTCGAACAGTTCTAACAGTTAAATCTATACTAATGTAAATCTATAGTGGTTTTTACGGATGTTCCGTTATAACTACTGAACTATGCATCCGATTGACTTGAAACTTAGTATCCATGTAGAAAATACATTTTTTTTTATTGCTTAGATGGATGGACGAGCTCACAGCCCACCTGGTGTTAAGTGGTTACTGGAGCCCATAGACATCTACAACGTAAATGCGCCACCCACCTTGAGATATAAGTTCTAAGGTCTCAGTATAGTTACAACGGCTACCCCACCCTTCGAACCGAAACGCATTACTGCTTCACGGCGAAAATAGGCGGGGTGGTGGTACCTACCCGTGCGGACTCCCAAGAGGTCCTACCACCAGTGATAAAAACATGTACTTAATGGATAGGCTAATATTTATATGAGTGTTGGACTCCCTAATAATAACGACAATAAATAATAATGTTAATTTTAAATGCCCAGGGAAGCGGACGGGTACAGCTAGTATGATTCTAAGCTTACGGGTATTGCTTAGCAAACCACACTTCGTATCTTTTTATTACCCTTGTAGGCCGCTGCCTACCGCTATCTATTTTTAAGCAATTACTCTAGTGACTGATAGGAGTTTCAAAAATGGTCTGCTACTTTAAACAGTAATGTTTGGTTCCGTGCAAATGACTCTTCGTAATTTGACAAAACTATGGTTGTTTCATCACACAAATGAACAACGTGTTGTATAAAAACCATTTACTAAATTGGGAAAATTTACCATCTCTATTTCATTTATTACTATATTTTAAGTCCATACTTAATCAGGACATGTCTGCATTTCAACAAAACACAAACTTACAAAACGGTCAGGTAATACTGGTTTTATTTAAAAAAAGAAACAGTGTACTTCTGTTGATACACTGAATACCGTATATATAAATACCTTCGAAAACTTTAAAAAGATCAGACAGACGAGAGAACACATTGTAGTGTAAGTTGCATTGGTTATGACACCCTTCTAGCCGGAACGTATCTAGATCAAACACGCGGACTTTAAAGTGCTATCAATGATACACTACACCAGTGGTCGGCAACCTTGTTACCCAAAAGAGCCAAATATAGATAAAACACAATTCAGATTTATTCAAAGAGCCATTTTTATCATATATATTTTATGGCCTTGCGTTTCAAAAACTCTTACTCGTCTCTCACAAGGCAAGTTATAATATAATAAGTTTTTTTTCCCTACCTATGCTGATAGCCTTGAGAGGCATTTCAGCTTCGCCTTGACGCGTAGCTGAGCTAACAGGGCTCAAACCGGTAGTGTTGCTAACACTGGCCCTAGGAAGAGCAGTGCTTCGCAGAATCTACCACCGGATCAGAAACGCGACTCACAGAGAAGATTCGGCGAGAAACTCAGTGGGCTGTGTCTATGGGTTAATTTAATCGTCGAGCCCTTCATCGCAAGCGACGGGTTCGGCGAGAACGGGGATCGGCGCTTGAGGTACCTAAAAGCGAGACCATTTGGTCCACAGGATCGGGTATGAATAAGTAATACTCCGTGTCTGAACTATATATTTATCGGAAGAGCCGTAGCCGATGAGTCAAATAGCCTTCACGTAGCAAAGAAAATTCAATGAAAATTCAAAAATAGCAATGAATTTTCTGGAAAGCTAGTTCAATAGGGATAGAATATCGTTACTAGGCTCCTTAATAGATCTTAGTTAAACGATGTGATGGCCGGTTGATACTAACTATTATGTAAATTCACTAACCCAGATAACAGTAAGGCCATATCCCAATGTTCGGGATCTTCATCATCTTCAACGTTTAGTGATCTTTGATATGCACAGAAAGAGTCTAGGAGTTTGCCACGTTCGGCATGCGCTGAAAGATCAGTTGGCTGAGACCTTAATAACGTTAACCTCACTAGTGACAACTGGATATGAGTACCAAGGGAAGAATNATTATGTAAATTCACTAACCCAGATAACAGTAAGGCCATATCCCAATGTTCGGGATCTTCATCATCTTCAACGTTTAGTGATCTTTGATATGCACAGAAAGAGTCTAGGAGTTTGCCACGTTCGGCATGCGCTGAAAGATCAGTTGGCTGAGACCTTAATAACGTTAACCTCACTAGTGACAACTGGATATGAGTACCAAGGGAAGAATGTTGATATAGCGCCTGTACCTAAAATACAATAAATATAATCAATAAACATTTTACATGTCTAATATTAATTTGGATCGTGTGTGAAATTAGTACTTTATTTATTTATTGGTTACTGTGCGAAATACGTAGGTAAAACGACCAATTAAAAAAAGATGTACAGATGAGCTTAAGTCAGGTCAAGGTCATATAAAAAGTGGAAAAGTGTGTAACAAATCGAACCAAAGTAAAGATATCGTATCAATATGCAAGTAGTTTTATTGCTTGACAAGTATGTAAAAGTAATAAATAAATATTGTAATTACATATATTAAAATTGTAATCTTATTACTAAGGTCATACGGTATACGGTCATACGGTCATAAGGTACCTATACAAAAACTGTCAAGTGTGATTAAACGTTAACGTACCCCATTTATATAAGCCAGCAACATATCACGCAAATCAGCTTCATTGTAATGAAAAAATGGATGAAAAATTTTATATGCAGCTTCGTCGAGAAACAGTGCTATTTCTATGGTATAGCTGGCCGGGCCTTTCTTCACTGGAGGAGTGTGGTTTCGCGGACGGCGCCGCGGCCGCGGTCTTAGGACTCTGGCATCATCGACGGGCGGTGAAGGAGGAGATGCTCTTCGAATTACGTGTGCAGTACGACCATGGCTGTTCTCAGCACGGCCAACACCAGAAGGCAACGGGCGGACCTCATATGTAGAGTTATCGACGACGATTAGTCCGTGCTGGAATTAAGAACTCTTTGTTCGTAATTAAATTTAATAATAAACTAGAACAATAAATGACCATATAGTATAGAACCGATGATTCAAATATCCAGGGGTGTGTTAAACATTAAAATAAAACCGAAACTTATAGAATCATGTCTTTAAATGTGACATAGAGATCGATTTCATGGGATTAATATCAAGAATCGAACAATCATTTCAAAGAATTAATACAAAGGTCATCAAAGGACTGTAGCGCATATAAATGTATGGCAATAATGTTGTACCAAGTCATTCAATATTTTGCCCGAAAATTGTAATTAAAATCTTCATACGTCCGAGAACTTTAGTCTTCACGGATCGAGTATGTTAAAAGGTAACTATTTTGCTACTGTTCGGAGATATAATAACCGTCTGTTTATTTTTTTTATATCATAAATTAAACTGCTTAGTGATGGCTCGAAATAAAGCAAATTTTTACTAGTGCATGATCTTTGCAAGCCGAGAAGGCAGCTACTGCGTTAGGACTAGCATGCAGGAAATGGCAAGAGGCATCCACGCTGGACAAGGGTTTCTCTTCCCCACGTTCGGTCCACACGCGGAACTCTGGAGACACCAGTCGACGGTTTGGCACCAGCTGAAGATCGAAGTTACTGTAACAAAAAAGATCATGATTGAAATGCTCAAACATTAAGTAATTAAATTCAAAGAGGTTGATTTTTAAACTTTATTATTAACTAGCTGACGCGGCGGACTTCGTAGTGCCTCAATGGATAAATAAAAGACCTAAACTTTTGTATAAAATAAACATAAAACAAACAAAAAGAATCCGTCCGACGGGGGACACATCAAAAGAAAAACAAAAATGTTATTTTTATTTAATTCCGAGCATTTTCATATTTATCTACCTTTTAAACCTTCTCTGGACTAACAAACATAATTCAAGACCAAAATTAGCCAAATCGGTCCAGCGGTTCTCGAATTTTAGCGAGACTAACGAGCAGCAATTCTTATATAAGATGTCGTCTTTGATTTTTACTACACGATGCTACCCTCATGCAATCATCATTGTAGTAGTAAGTAGTTAACTACCACCACTTTGTCCATTTCTATCGTGAAGCATTAATGCGTTTCCACCGTTGTACTATAAAGCTGAGATTTAGAACTGAAGTCTCAATGTGGGTGGCGGCAGTTACGTTGTTGATGTCTATGGACTCCGGTAACCACTTAACAGCAGGTGAGCCGTGAGCTCATTCACCCATCTAAGCAATAAAAAAAATATATTTGTCCATAAACATAAAACACATGAAACTGTAAGTGACAGTGGGGTTATAAAACAACATCTAAATATTTCACAAAGTCAAACTTTTTTGTGAAAGTTTTTCCCGCCCTAACCTCAAATTGTAATCGCCACAAAACAAAGTTTAAATAATTATATAAATTTACATGTGTGATTCAAATCTATTCTAGTGCACAATCTAAATATCTGTAGCTTTGTTTAGTGCCAGTTGGTGTCAATTATTTAAAAAAACCTTTCTGGACCCGAGGATTTTTTATTCGAATATATTTTAGATTTGATTTGTACATGTAAATGAAAACTGAACATAGTGTGACATACTGGAAAATCAACAGAGTTCGAATTTATTTATCGAAATTTTTATAAACTAACTTACCGACCGAACGCATCAAAGTTGTACGGTAAAGGAACGTCATCATTGCTACCGTCCACGGAGGACTGTGCTTCCCGCGGCAACAACGCTGGCAAGTACACTACTTGTACGTCTGCGCCGTGACCCCGCTCACCACGCCCCTCCTCCTGCCACCACCCAAATGTTGGCAGAAGCTCCTGGAAATTTCGATACGCCATTACGTTTCACGCACCAGACAAGACTTCGCATCGTCATAATGCTATATGGCAAATATTCTTATATGTATGAACGTATGAGCTTTCTACATATAAAAAACTATTTAAATATTTTCTCTTTTTATTTTAAATTACTATTAATTATTATAATTCAGATTTCGACCTCATGTGAAGGTGGATGACGTTATATATTCTTAAGCAGTCTTTGGCCTTTAGACTTAACATTTGCCCATAAAGGCCTATATTTTAAATCAAAAACAAAGATTTCTCGAAAAAGAAGATAGATAGGACGCAATGACAAAGTAATACATTTATTTGTTCATTCTGTACAAGTAACCTTCCTCAGACATATATCTCTGAAGAAGAGAGGATCTTCTTTCTTTTCTAAATTGGGCTTAACGCCAGCAGATAGAACCGTTGTTACTTTTCCTATTTATAACATTTGCTGCTGATATTATAATATTACAATTATTAATAATCACAATAAAACAGCAAGGCTGACGCTGACTTATAAATACATTTATCAATCAATGTGGGTATTGAGAGCAGTCACAAAATAATCTTCAGAAAGTAATAACAAATGTTTTTTTTTCGTGAAGTAGGTCAAGCCGCTGAAGGCTTATAAACGTGACGTATTGCGGACGCTCGCATGTCACCGGTCACATTAATTCAATATCTATCTACAATATTATAATAATACCTACTAGCTTTTGAACTTGGTTTCGCTCGCGTTAATATAAAAAAAATACTATCCGAGTACATTTTCTTTTTTTCTAGAAAAGTCCTACCCTCTATATTCGTTTCTGTATCCCTAACTTCACAGCCTGTACCTCTTCTGCACAAAGATTTCATGATCGATTTAATATAATGCGAAATATAATTTAAAACTCACTTTTGCATTTAAAATATTAGTTTAAACTAATTCCAATGTTCATAATATATTAAAAAGACTAAATGTTAGGTATATAATATTCTAGAGCTAATCATTCTAGAGCTTATTTGGACTGGTGGATTTTATTTACTTTATTATCCCAACAACGATCCCAAATATACTCAATATCAGCGTAGATATGGTCATAAGCATATATTAGGACGAGTAATTAAACAAACTTGTGAGCGTTAATTTCAATTGGTCTAACAGAACAACGCCGGACTGACTGGCGTCCTTGTTCATTTATGTAATTGACATATTAACACTTTCGTCATTGTTTTAGACGTGTTTGCGATTATACATTGTTCAAAATATAAGTTAGGAAGATTATAAAATACGATATGAATGAACAGGATCTGTGTAATATTCACAAAAAAAGCGAATAAATTATTATCATACACCTATTTACAGCATAGCTATAATTTAATACAATAGGTACTATTTAATATTTAAGCGTAAGAAAGTTTTTGATTATTGCTTAAGAAGACTGGTCTCATTTCAGTACATTGCAACGTGCTCTGTAAGTACAAACTTCTAAAAACTCAAACTGTCACTGTACGGAATAATGCACGCAATGATCAGATGGACAATGATTTCTTAAATCTAATCTTTACTTTATTTAAGAAAATTCCATACAGTTTACAATGACAGTTAAAATTATGAAACACCTAAAATAAATAACTAACGACACGTTTTACATTAAATAACTTTCAAAAATCCTGTTGGTTCTAAAATTCAGTGTCTTTCAAAGTATTCCAGTATTTAGATTTCAAAACTTTCAATATTATAGTAACAGTAAACTATGTAGAAAAAAAAACATATTAGTTTTATATTCCGTTAAAAGTTTAAGTTTAATGAAAAGTTTATACTAGAAATGAATGAAGAGCTTTTCAATCTATGATGGCCGATCAAAGTCGCTTAAATTCATCGTGAATTGGGTGGAGTTTCGGCTAGTCAGTCATATAGACGCAGTGAAACCGAAATCAATACCACATGAGTCAGCTAAGTGTAGGTCCCACATTAGCGGATGCGAGCGAAGTAAAGGGGAAAGTAAAACTATTTGTTTTTCTTATTCTTCGACGCGACAAAGAACGAATGGCACCGTAATAGTGCGCAAGTAATTGCTTTAATTTTGGGTTCGTATTGTGTAACTTCGGAATGCGTCTTATGATGAAAGTTATCGGTCTCAATTACATGGAGGCTGCAGGCACGTCGCGGCGTCGGCGTCGACCCGTCGCTGTAATGAAGCCCCCACCGTGAATCATCGATAACCGATTGAAAAACTCTACGTGACGTTAGGTTGTGTAACTCGCGACGTGATCCAGTACGACTAAGTACCGTATTATGTAACGTAATTGTGAAAATAAAATAGTACGTCTTAATTCACTATAACTTGGTGAAAGTAGGATTCTGGATGATGTGACTTAATTTGTATTATGTAAAATGTATAGGTAGGTAATAATCGTCAAAGATCGAACATTAACATGTTTTTTTTTCTTAATACAAAACAAAGTGCTTTTAAAGCAAAATTATGTTTTGTATTTAACTTAGTGTGGATTTTTGTGTGCTTATATAAAAATTTAATCTCAAAAATAAAAGTGGCTAGTCCGCAGCCATTCAGCAAAGTTATAATCATATGCAGATAAAGACAGTGCCAAAATGTATATTCCTTGAAGGTTTATCTAACTACTTTATAGGCTATCCACGGGGTTCTGGCACAGACACTACAAAATTAACATTAATGACATCTGTTTTGAAGTATATTTTATTCATGTGACATCATACAATAATTGAATTTCTTTATAAAAGTCGACGTTATTGTGACGAATATTCATTTATCTAACGGTAGGCTGCTGCTCGTAGGTGAGATTATTCAGTAAGAAATAAGATTTGATTGTTACAAACTCTTGTTTTTGAGTATCGAGTGAAGCGACTATGGTGGCTTCCGGATACTGCAGTCAGGTACCAATTACATGAATGAATAAATCTTCTTATCAGCCCACAGACGTCCACTGCTGGTCATAGGCCTCCCTCAAACCTCGCCACAAAGACCGGTCCTGCGCTACCTGCATCCAGCGGATCCCTGCGAACCTCGATAGATCGTCGGTCTATCTTGTGAGAGGCCTACCCACGCTACGTCTTCCGGTACGCGGTCGCCACTCAAGAACTTTCTGGCCCCAACGGCCATCCGTTCTACGAGCAATGTGTCCAGCCCACTGCCACTTCAATGTCGCAATCCTTTGGGCTATGTCGGTTACCATGGTTTTCCTGCGAATCTCCTCATTTCTGATTTGATCTCGCATGATAAATAGCATCGTTTAATAAAATTGAAACCAGAAAATGTATAATCTTGCATCATTTATGGCGTATTGTGAACCCAGATGAGGTAAGCGTCACCAATTTGCCAATTTCCGTCTTTCGTTTGAAGGATGGGACGACCGTTATACAATAGAATTAAGATTTCAAACCCATGCTTCAAGCTGAGTGAGTGATATTCACGTTGTGATATCAATGGGTTCCGGAAAACTGTTAACACCGGATGGACCATTATTCCACTTTGACCAATGGAAAAGACATCTTGGATAACACTGGTGGAGTCATGCGAGTCCTATTTCGATCCTTGAGCAGATATAGAAGAGCTTCGCCCTAGCGTTCTAGCGGTAGCTAGCGACATTGAAAAATACAAACTCTAGCTATCGTAAAAGTCAAAAAACATTCTAGGTACCTACCTAAAAGTGAAGGAAAATCATTAATAAAGTCGGCACGGACCGGCACCACTATCATGCCTATTTCTGCGATAAAGCAGATTATTCATTCCAATTTGAAAAGTAGGATAATAACTACTAGCGTAATAGCATACTTCTTGATATTTAAGAGTTCAGTCTCAATTGACAAGACGAACTGCGATGTTTGATCATGTATACCAAAGCAAAATCAAAGAGCTGTTTCCATATTTATAGTGTCAATAATTGGTGTTATAAGATTTTAGAAACTAATGACTGTTGCTGACTTTTTGAATTTTTAGAATGAAGCTGGCTTTTGAACCTATGAAAAGTAAATAGATTAGTAAAGAATAAAATTACTTATTAAGTCACGACATATGTATAATATAAGAGACTCTACAATGCTCTTAATCGACTAAGATCTCAAAAGCTTCTACGTAAATATAGCTTAATTTTTTTTAGGACAACTCTCTTAAATTTCCTTTTTTAAATTTATCCCATTCAATTTGTTAATTTCATAAAACTTTGGTGAATAATTAAAATACAATAACTCATATTCGTATCATTCAGTCACATTATAAAATCGCTAGAATCATTTGAACATCTAAAACATAGCAGACTTTTAAAAGCGGTAACAGCTTAATACCTACGTCAACATGTAGGAGTAGCAGGTAGGGGATGAGGTAAATGTCCCCAAGGGCCGAAGTGTCACGAAAGTATTTGCTCGGGCCGTCAAAAACAGAATAAGGTACCACACAGGTACATTTTGCCTCAATTTAGAACCTGTATTAATAAATACTTGCACTTTTCTTGGAGTTCAATTAACTACGCACAATAAATATCGTTGCCGGAGACTGCCATATACTGTCGTTCGATTAAAAACGTTTTTTTCATAAACTGCTTCTCGGCCAACGTACTATTCAATAGTGGAGCCCATGGATTTTATGAGAATATTAGTATCAATAAAACGTATTCTTTAACAGATGTCCCATTCCTGAAGCTGGAACAAATAACAGCTTCGCCGTAAAAATAGACAGGAAATTATTACCTACACTCACAGACTCACGATAGCACTATTAACTTTATAAAAAAATATCAAAATTTGCACGACATATTATTATGTACAAGACTGTAACTCGCCTAGTGTTAGGTGATTATCGGAAGGTGAGACGGAGGTCTAATTGCCAATACTTGACCGGCTGTCCAACCCTTCAAATAAGAACACAAAAATAGGCAGGCTACCACCACGTAGTCTAGTCACGCGATCCTACAATACGTCCTACTACCAATAAAAAAGTATGTTTTATGGGCGAATTCAAATAAGCTTACGGCTCACCTAATCGTGTCCGGTCTTGACCATCGCTCATTGACGTTGGCAATACCAGGAACACAGTGAAGACAAGGTTGCTTAGCACAAAAAATTTAAATCTTGCCATTACTATGAAGTAATTAATTCGTAAGGTCTCTTAGGTGGAGGACCACAATCATTTGTGAAATCATGTCAATCATATTAACATTTTCTTGAAACTTTTTTAAGTGAAATATATTTAAACATTAAAATTCTAGTAAATTAAAAGCGAAATTTAATAAAAATTTGAAACTAAAAACATACTCCAATCGAACTGTCATAAATTACAATAATATTGCATCATAACATAAACGAATCTAAATAGTATATTTCAAAATTAGCTGTTAGACGCGGCTTTGCCCGGGTGCTCAAGGAAAAGTGTCTTGACATAATACTATCACTTTGAAAAAATCATGTCAATCAGTTGTTAACACAAACACACACTCAAATACCCAAACAAACAAACAGACACACTTCCACATTTATAATATTAATAGTGTGGATTTTACAAATAACATGTTTAAATGTAATGAATTGATATAAAAACATTTTATTGTACTAATTAAGAAAAATATTTTGTTATCAATTACCAATAAATCGAGATGAAAAGATTGTAAATTGAACATGAACAACAATTTAATTATCTACATATTGGAGATACTATGACACAATTATTATTTTCATTCAATTGTTTTACGAATTAATTGTGTTGTTTCAAGTCTTGACTACTAATTTTAGTGATATTTGCAATTACTCAATTCATTCATTAATTCGTTCATACTCACCGGAAACCGCGCCGGAGCAGCGCATTGTACCAAGTACATCACAATAAGAGTCACTATAAAAGTTCTGAACGACATTTCTGCCTCACATCGCAGCACACGAAACGAACAACTAATCGTTCTTTGGCAAGAGTCGCACTGCTTATAAACATTCACTCGGAAGTAGCATGCAGGTGTTTTGAATATCTGAAATACGCGCGCTGCACCCTTCGCGGAACGAGGGCCCGTTTCGATCGCTCTTGTCGCGATTAGAACGCGTACACTTATGAGGCGCCAGCTACTGAATAAGCATTGTGAGCCCCTCGAATGATTTGAACACCTTTCGCACCTCCGAGAGAAAGTCGAAGGAAAGTGCACAGATTTTGGCTGTCAAGACAACGCCTACACGCGTCCCCGTAGGAGCATTGTCACGAGTCATCCATCACTCGACCTAGCTGACAGTCATGGGCTTCCGCTAATCAAAACAAATGAATAATAATGTTCTGACAAATTGTGGTCAGGCACTCCCGCAATCTTGTTTTTATCTACCTTCTTAGAGCTTTGACAAATCTTAATCTAGGCCACTGTTTAATAATTATGATTTACCTAATTTTTTTTTAAGTTAATTAAAATTTTAAAACTGTGACAGGACGATGCGTTATTTATAAATAATGATTCAATCCTAATTTTATTTTGTAAAAACTTACCTAAATCAGTAAAAACATAGATAGGTGGTATCACTTTTCAACCCATATATAGCTCAGGATTGTACAAAAATTTACAGCCTCCTATCATAATTCCTCGCATATGTAAAAAACACCCGCATTGACATTATTGTCAGTAAGGGCTGAGTTATAGAAATATTATTCAGAATGGTGGACATACAAATAACATGAAAACATATCATGTACATTTGTATTTGAGTAAAATCATTTATTTATTTTATGTGTATTTATGTAACAAATCCCTCGAATAATTCGAACGTATAAAGCCTACAATGAAACGACTTTAATGGTTAATAGCAATTTTTTTTCTAAATTACACTATTATGAGTATACTTGACTTGTTTGTATTATATATCTACGTAACGTATAAAATTTAAAATTTGGTTATATATTTAGCATATCTCGTCACTATTACATGAGGCCAAGATTAAATAATAATTAGTGTACATATCTGTATCGTGTTTCACATTCAACGACCCTGGCGAGGATTTTTCACCTGTTTATGGTGACGGAAACACATACAAACCGGGACTAACTACACCCATTATGTATGGGTTTTTTTATACAGATACTGACTCCCATCAGTAATCGAACTCAAAGCCCATGTTATTAGTAGACAGGTTCACAAATCACTTAGCCGAAATCGAAAAAAAGTAACGTTCTTGGTATTGCATGCATGCAATGTAACATACGGAATCCAATTTCATACAGCGTAAGCGGGGAGCTTTAGTTTGTCGGTAGTTAGTTATTCGCGAATGTAAAAATTACTATAATGTCAATCATTACAAAATTGATATTCCTGCCATCGTTAATGACTAAATAAAACGGTAAAAGTAGTTTTAATTATGAACAAGACACGCGAAAACCGAAAGAAATACTCTATTATATACATACTTTATCTTTACAGCTTCGGGAACAGTTAACCTGTGCGTCTTTTATAACGTTCTCGACAGCGTTAAAGTTAACCCAATTTTGTATGCAGTTGGAACAGCGCCCCTAGCGGCAAACGTAGATAAACGATCCCATTCCATACAAATATGAGCTAACGCTATCGAGAATGTTAAAAAACTCGCACTAAGCACACTGTATAATAAAAATCGTACACGAAGTGACCTTCTGTCTACTTATCCGCTCATTTGAGCACTTCGGGAATGGTTATTCTAATATTAACTAATTGCACTGGGTTTTAATTTCAGTTTGAATATCAACGTGAGTAATATTTGACTAGTACACATATGATTATATGGAAGTTTGCTTTGTTTACTCCATTGATTTAAAATTTAAAATGATCAATAGCGCACGTGTCTCGCGATGCGTGTACAAATCGGAAGACGGGGCGTCACAAAGGACTGATCGACGGCTTAGTCGCCGTTCGCTGACTAAGCTATTATGGCTAAGTAAAATGAAATTATTTGAAAATAATAGAAATATGCCGCTATTAAAATAATTGTACGGTGCATAGATGCTACATGTTAGCGTGTAGTAAATTGCAAGAGCGCGCTTATTTTCAATATCAATACAATGAAAGTCATGTTAAACACATGTTTCTTGTTTGAGATTTAGAAAACGCTTAATCATAAAAAATATATGTAATACTAACCTACTTGTACACTGATAGGCGCACATCGATCAGCACGTATGTACACTCAACCTCTAAACTGTGAGTCACAAAGAAAAAAACCTGCAAAGGATATGCAACAAAGGGAACGTTGTCCGTTAGGTTGTTATAAAAAAATAACGGTCTTTAAATCGTCGTTTGTCAAAATAATATGAATTTAATAAGTTATTTCACTATAAATCGATTATTAGTTTGATCGAAAATCAAAACTCGTTTTTATCTATTTTCTCAAATAAACAATTTTAACAAACTTTGTATTATATCCCCCTGATTGGCTTCATAATTTGGTGCTTAAGGGATTCTATGTTTTTTACAAGATTTTACTTCCTATAGAATGAAAAAACGTTATTTAATTTGTGAAAAGCGATATTGAATAAAAGTTAAGTAGTACCTAACGAAGAATTAATTGACAGGTTAACTTAAATTATTTATTCTAAGTGCTTTACTTCCTCTAGCTTCTGCTTTTATAGTATCTCTCTATCGTGTGTAATCTATAAGTGTCGCTCCGCATTGCAGGAACGTCGTCGCCAGCGATGAATTTTATTGTAGGCGTTGAATATTAATGAAATATGCGGATACGCAAATTTACACACGAAGTCCTTTTATTACTTTACTAATTCGCGGACTCAGTCAATATCCTGTGCACGACCGTGCTCCCTCCGTTAGTTTTCAGTTTGTGCCTTGCGTTGTCGCTGGCTACATCGTTTCGATAGAATATAAAGACGACAATAATTAAATATTATTCGACTTATTAGAGTCAACACTGTCTTCGCAGTGTCTCATGTGGTGCACATATGGGAGTGGTGATTCACATTTGAAGAAAAAAAACCGAGAGACGGTTGATTGCGACGGAGAACGCGAGTGACGCAGAGTCCGAGAGTCATTGATCCCGATACATTCCCGGACGGCCGACGCCATGTCGGAGTCTGCGCGTTCCGCCGGGTCTCTCGTCTCGCCGTACGCTCTTGCGGCTTACGTCGCGTGTATTGCTGGCGTTGGTGCTTTATTGAACTGCTCACTTGTAGCTGCGCTTCTCAGAACTTCAAAAAATGGTACTTATTTGTTTACATAAATAATAATATAATAATAAATATTTAATAACAATCACGCCACGTTAACTGGCCCCGTGCTAAATTCGTAAAGAACTTGTGTTACAGGTACTAGATAACGGAAATAAATGTTAGATTTTTATTATACACGTACATATATTTAATATACATCCATAACCCTGGGAAAGACATTTATATTTATCATACAAATATCTTCCCTTGGCGGGATTCGAACCCGCGACCCCCTTGTGTAGTGACCATGTCACTTACCACTACACCAGACGGCCGTTTATATATTTATTCTATTGAATAATTTTGTTTTAGTAAACATTTCAAGCATTCTACTTTTTCTTAATTACACTTTAAACGCGTTTGTNACATCCATAACCCTGGGAAAGACATTTATATTTATCATACAAATATCTTCCCTTGGCGGGATTCGAACCCGCGACCCCCTTGTGTAGTGACCATGTCACTTACCACTACACCAGACGGCCGTTTATATATTTATTCTATTGAATAATTTTGTTTTAGTAAACATTTCAAGCATTCTACTTTTTCTTAATTACACTTTAAACGCGTTTGTTGTTAGATTAATTTAAATTTGGAACATTGAATTGAATGTTAATATTTACCAACAGCTATCAATATAAAAAATATTATTTTATTTTTATAGTTGTAGTTTATAATTTTTTTTTATTGCCCCTTTTGGAAGACGTGCATACGGCCCACCTGATGGTGAGTGGTTACCGTCGCCTATGGACTTCAGCAATGCCAGGGGCAGAGCCAAGCCGCTGCCTACCGCTTAATACTCTCCACAAGCCTCGTTTGAAGAAGGACATGTCATAGCGCTCGGGAAACACCGTGGAGGGGAGCTCATTCCATAGCCGGATGGTACGTGGCAAAAAAGACCTCTGGAAACGCACTGTGGATGACCGCAGTGGTATGGATGAACTCTACCCCGGTGGCGGGCGGTACGATGGTAAAAACGAGATGCCGGTATCATCTCGAACAATTCCTCAGAGCACTCCCCATGGAACATACGGTACAAAATACAGAGGGAACCGAAGTCCCTCCGCAGACCCAGAGGTTCCAAACGATCCGTAGTAGTATCACATAGTAGTATATCATCCGTAGTAGCACATTAGGGCCATATGATCTAACATGGTAATAGATTGCCCGGTTAGCAGCAACTTGAGCAACTACATACTACTCCTTTCCTCCATCATGAAACCGAAGTAGGTAGTATTTTTCAATATTTTTTTCGTACCTATCTTCCTCTATTCGGAAACATATTCGCCTTTCGGTATCGGCGACTAAATATTACTGAGAGCTCGAGTTGCGATACTGGTGGTAGCTCTTGTGAGTCCGCACGGGTAGGTACCACCTCCCTGCCTATTTCTGTTGTAAAGCAGTAATGCGTTTTGGTTTGAGACAGAGACCTTAGAACTCATAAGTATCTCATGGTGGGTGGCGGCATTCACGTTGTAGATGTCTATTGGCTCCGGTAACCACTTAACACCCGGTGGGCTGTGAGCTTGTCTACCCATTTATGCAATAAAAATAAAATAAAAAAAGATTCAAAATGGGCTGCGACTTTACTTATTTATTGTCTCCTGACAGTATTGCCTACGAGGCTTGTGGAGAGTACTTAATGGTAGGCAGCACCTTGGCTCTGCCCATGGCATTGATGACGTCTATAGGCGACGATAACCACTCGCCATCGGGTGGACCGTATGCTCATTCGCCTTCAAGAGCAATAAATAAAAAAGAAGAATATTTTTGGAAGAATTATTCGGTCAAGTTTCTCAGTTTTATTACGTTTGATAATTTCTTAACATCTTATTTTTGAGCGATAAAAGCCCGATTTACGGGAACCATTTTTGCTGTATTTATAGACGAGCGCACGATCCACAAGCTGCTAAGCGGTTACCGGAGCCAGGATACGCAATTTTGGTCCATCTAACAATACGAGGCCAGTCTCGATTGGGTTAGATAACATATGGGCATGCCTCAAACTGGAGTGTGTTAATTTATTTGATACTAATGAGTATATTAGATACGTTATGCCATTATTTGTATCCATTTCAGGGTTGATGAACATTATCGTTCAATTGGCAGTGGCAGATCTTATCCTGGAATCGACAATCATTCCAGAACTGTGCTATTATAATTTCCGGACATGGCAATTTAGCAACAACGGATGTATTATCTATAGGGGATTTAACGTACTAGCATCAACAGCATGTTCTTATTTTGTCATTACTATTGCTTTACACACACTGGCAATTGTAAGTCTTGGCGAAAAGATAATTATGAAACGTATAAAACAAAGCGAACATGAAGATGATGAAGAGTTAAGATCATCGCGTCACAGTCTTGTTGCCAGTAGCGACTCCTCAACGCCCCCACGTACCATGCACGTGGATTACAGACTAAATGTGATTAAAATACCTGTCATTCAACCAATAATATTTATTTGGATATTATCACTTTCTTTAAGCGTACCCGATTTTTTTCTTGCAACCGCACTACCATTAGATGACGTTTCTTCAATGTGCGTAATAGCAGATACTGATCACAGACTGTACGTATATTCAGTTCTTGCAATTTTTAATTTGATACTGCCAACAGTTTTACTGACGATTAGTGGTTTTTTAGTAGCAATTAAATTAAAATCGAAAAGAGTTCTGACTTTCCTCGACAGTTGCGAATCAACAGAATCTCTCAAATTGTCATTATGGCTTATACTGACTTACATTATACTTTGTGCTCCTCGTTCAATATTTTCAGGTTACATTTTATATTCTTCATCTTTGACGGAAGGAAATAATACTTCTTTCATAAAAACATTGCACTCAAACGATACTACAACAACTATAAATTTAGCGCTAAGTGGGGCGTCACTCGGCTCTGCTTTCTTACGACCCATACTATGTATACTTTTGTTGCCAAGTGTGAGAAAAGTGTTTGCTTTTGGTTCCCTTCGGGCAGACGTCAACCATGTGTGATAAACAATGAATTAAATTTACCATCTACCTAATAATATTAGATTAGATAGGTACGATTTTTAAGAAAAAGCGATTTGACGCTATAGAATTTATAAATACTTATACATAATCGAGTTTTGCAAACTATGGACTAAAAAATCTAGTCTTAAGCATTTATGCCACTTTATCGATAGGGTGGAAAGTCTATTCCTTAACAAGTACGAATGGTAAGACGAGACGATGTAGGTACTTGGTCGTTGTGCTATTTTAGTTTGGTACTCTTCGGCATTTCGGCAAGAAGTACCTACCACTTTTTTTTATTATATAATATATCGAACAAAAACGAAGCAGCCGTAATAAATTCCACGGTGAAGTAGCGTCGGATTATAAAACAATAATTCAATTTAAATATTTAGCGTACTCGTATACCATTCCTTAAAAGTGGTAGGACGTATTGTAAGCCTGACTGCATTTACTTTGGCTCTGAAACCGCTAACACGACGAATACTGTAAACTGGTCCGCCTATCGGATTTTAAACAATTAAAACAATTTAAAACAATTACTTTGATGTACATATAAACAGTGAACATAACAAGTTCGTTATTATGTGCGTCTAAGTTTTAAACACTTTTCCCAACAATTGCAGTAGATACCTACATCTACACTGTATATTATTTTTGTATACCCACAGTAATATTAACTGTAATGTTATATTATATAAGTTTTATAAAATTGAAATATACCTATTTGAGGTAATTATTTTCGTATTTATATTAAATACAAAATGTTATTTTTTTACAATAAATTATCTGAAATACTAAGTGTTAATTATTTCGCATTTAAATTGCAAATTATTTAGTATAAGTAAAATTGTCTGTAACTAGGAAGTTGACGTTTTGTATGAAAAAGTTAGTTTTTTTTTAAAAAAAAAATTTTTTATTTCCTTTCTATGCCCTTGAAAGTCAAGTGTCAGTTGAGCCAGGTGAGTCTTTAGAGGCATTTTGTACTGCCTCTCGTGTTTTGGATTTCTTCCCTGCCATGAAGCTGTCCAAAGTTAAGAAAAGAAGAAAGAAGGTCTGTCGACGCTGTCATGTGAGTAATATGGATGACGAAAAACTACCAACCCTAGGTCTTGTAACTTCGTGTCGTGTTGTGCCGAATGATGTTAAGCGTTATTGCGTCAGAGCAGGGGGACAATAGATTTACGAGTTTCTCCATCATTATGTTCATTTCCACATAATACCCATTCGCTCTGTAAAGCTGGGGCCATTTGGTAAAAAACTGTGATGAATTATACCGGCACTAAACCAGCAAACAGTGACCATAACTTTTTTAGCGGTAAGCTTTCGTTTGGAGCATAGCTTACATGCTGAACCATGGTCTAACCAACATGACGACCACTTTCAATTATCAAAAAAGGATCAATTTTGCACCGCAAGTGACAATCAAAATCCAAAATCAAAATTTCCACGAAGCGTTCAAATCAATAAAAGTCGTGTGTTCATTTGTAGAGCCCACTCTGTAAGTCATAAATGTTGCCAGCCGTTTGTGCGGCATTGACATCGCGACGAAACTCGTATTCCTTAATTATATAGGTACTGATTTTTATTGTGTCCACATATTAATGAAAAATCCAAACGTAGTGAAAACATACGACTAAATAAACAAATGACTGAATTTGAAAATAGAATTTCATATTTTTAAATAAAATTTAAATAAATAAAAAACATATTTAGGCCAACTATTTAACATTAATCCATTTAGTCCGCTTTCGTAACAAATTGCCCTAATTAAAGTAAATGTTAAATTCAAGAAAGCACGATAGTATCTACAATAGAAATTTTGAAGAAATCTCAAAGATTATCTTTGGCTTTCGTATAATGAACGCCGTATAATAAATACCGTAAAATAAATATATACCGTAAAAGGTGTTTAATTTTTAGATTGTCCTTTTTCAGCCAAGGCATGTAACCTGCATGAACACGAATGTTGGTTTGCAATGTTCTTCAATCCAGTCCAGCTACATATGTACACCATAACAAGATACAGAGTCATGTAATTTGTAAGATAGAACAGAAAGTTTTGTATTCATCTTGAACTCGACCCTTCTAACTCTTCTATTCTGTTCTACTATAAGTTTTATAGGGATTCAATTTGCGGTTATTTTGGGTTAAAGGGATATGGTATTTCGACTAAAAATTTTAATTTAATACAAAAGTTTATTGGTGAAAACATGAAAAATATGATAAGATTAATTTAATGGTTGATAAAATGCAGCAGAAATGTTACAATATTGGCCATCACAAAACTATTTTTCTAATAAATGCCTGAATATCAAGAAAATGCTATATATATTATATAGTACAAATTACCTTCAGGCACAACAAAATAGTTAATGTCAGATAACTTTGGTACTACAATTTGAGAAAATTACAAGAACGAGACACTAACAAATTTTTTGTGCCATGTTTTGGTACAGCCATTTAAAACATTATGAAATGTGTCATTGGAAAATGAATATGAGTCAAATCGGAATAAACCATAATCTCCTTCACTGCGGTCATGCGGCGATAGGAATGTTACTTGGCCGACCAGGCTGCTTGTTTGTAAATCTATCAATAAAAGGAAAACACTTTTAACTTAAGAAACCGTAATTTTAATAACTTAAGTTATAAATATTTATATTCATCAGGTCAGCTCGATATCTGCAATCCAGTGTAAATACAGAAATACAAAACCGTCAAAGATGACACAACATTTAATTTTAGACGGAACGGGAAGGTCCGCTGCGAACGACTTTTAACATTTTTACAAGCGACGGCTCGCGTCGGCTTCGGTGATGATACCGCGCCAGACGACGTTCTCGAATGTTACTCGTTTTCTTATAAACACCGATGAGAACAAATGCGTGTGCTGGGGTGAGTGCGGCGAGATATTAGTTGTCGCCGCCCTCGGCAGGCTCGTCGCCATCGCCTTGAGTGTCTGACGTCCAAAGCGTCAAGTTATCTCGCAGCAACTGCATTATTAACGTAGAATCTTTGTACGAATCTTCGTTCAATGTGTCCAGTTCGGCGATGGCATCGTCGAAAGCCTGTGAAAGTTACATCTCATTTAGAAAAAGACTATCTTTCAAACAGTATGTATCAAAATCATAAAATGTATGTCAACGGATATACACTCTAGTACTGGCTGGATCGATTACATCATATTAAGGGTTAATTGCTAGACACGACCATGCTGGTAGGTAATGTTAGTATAAAACTGGTTTAAATTTTACTGTTGAGTTTATTTTTACTTTCCATGCTGTTTAATGGAGATCAATAATTTTGGATGGTTAGTGAAATTACGTAATGCGACCACACGTCCATTCATTGATGTTTTAAAGAACCTGTTTAGCTAAGTGGCACGCTCTCGCAGGGGAGTTGATAATCTCGTAATAAAAGACGGAAAAGTTGAGCGCTAAACCAAGCCGGATTGGATGGGTCGGTTGCATTTTGGCTTTAGCAATGTCGAACGCTTCCTGGTAGGCCTTCTGAGAGTCCTCCACGACGGCTGGGGACAAGCGACTTGTGTTAATTCGCGACTCCTACACCTTTGTAAATCGTGCCAGCCAGCACAGAGCCTATGCATAACTGACACAAATAATGACCTGTTTGGCGAGTTGACACGCCTTGTCTGGCGAATTTAATATCTCATAATAAAAGACTGAGAAATTTAACGCCAGACCCAGCCTTATGGGGTGTGTGGGCTGCATTTTCGCCTTGCTGATTTCAAAAGCATCTTGGTATGCTTTCTGTGAATCCTCTACAACAGCTGTAATATAAATAAATATTAACAAAAACATTTTTTTATTTTCTTTATAAGAAATAAAGCCTCAAAACAAAAAAAAACTTACAATGTCTGGTTTCTCCTGTGGCCACTTCTGCAAGGTACCTGTAGTAATCTCCTTTCATTTTGAGGTAAAACACTTTACTTTCTGGATTACTAGCTTTAGGAATTAGGTGTTTGTCAAGTAAGCCCTGAAATGCAAAAAATAATTATAAATAACAAGACCCTTACATTAATTTTTGCCTAGGGCAACGTCCGATATTGGGATCGCAATAGGCGCGCGCAACGACGCTGCGCAGGCTACCCCACCCCACCCCTCACCCCACCCACTGAAAAACCGCACCGCGCCCCTAAAGCTCACGTGCTATCTACAATTACTACATGATGAATTAAATTTCATTTGAACTACCAAGTAATTAATAATGGAAATCATTTTCTGAGCGCATTATTTCAATTGCAAGATTGATTGCGCTTCATAAACACTGACGTCGTTTACGTAGGTAGACAGATGACGGTTGACCATAAACGTCACATTTAAATTACTATAATGATTACAACCAATCCCAATATCGTAAAAAGCTGTGAAGAAATAATTGCTTACCAAAACGTCGTAGCAGATTTCTCTGAGCTCCTTTTCTACTTTAACCCTATATTCTTTTGCCATTTGCTGTTTTCTTTCTGAACCCTCGGTTTTCTGTTCAATTGAGGAAATGACACGCCATGATGACCGTCGGGCACCTACGACATTCTTATAAGCAACTGAAAGGAGGTTCCTCTCCTCGTTGCTAAGTTCGACGCCGGTTTCCGTCACTTCCTTCATCGCGGCCGCCATGTCGTCATATCGCTCAGCTTGTTCGGCCAATTTGGCACGTTGCACCAGTTCTTCCTTGTCGACGGACATCGTGGACGATGGAAGAGGACTAATTCACTGATGCCCCTGTAATAAAATAAGTACTTGAATAAAATTAAAATATAAAACCGAATGTGGTAATGAAGCAAATCAGCTTCATCAGAAAGACTAATCTTAGGTGTCACGTTCACCGTAGCGAATCGCTTATTGGGATTTTGTCATCATTGAAACCAACCTTGTAAAAGAGGCGGACAAGCGCACAAGCGCAATCTTAATTCAACTAGCTCAAAGAGCAACCCTCACGCAACACGCGACATCGACGCTACGTCCGCTCGGTGTGACAGCATCTCACAGACTCGGGTAAGCTGCAAGGAGGCAGGCACGCGCCGAATCGTCGCGCCGCCGCTTGGTCACCGCCACTGCGCCAACAGTATTGATCCGACGGCGCGGGATAAGCACTCCAGACGAAATACGGCTAGCTATGGTTGCACACCCCTCGCCCTCACACCACACCGCCCGTCCCGCGTGCACCGCACCCGTCGATCCGGCGCCTACCTCTCCGTACCCTATCCACCTACTCGCTTTTGCACCATAGCCCTGTTGCTAGGCAATGAAAGCTGTAATGATTTTTCCTTGCACCTAAGGATAGTCTCCGATATGATGACGGTTTTTACAAATCTAAATTTATTTTCCACTACGATTAAAATATTGAAGACCTTTACACACTTGACACCTAAACATGTTAAATGAGTGCGATATTACGCCCACTATATTTTGATTACATCATTCCAGCTCGTTATAAACTATGGTTGATAAATATTATTTACTAAAAAGTAGACTTTTAAACCGTACTAGACTTGACTGACGAACCAAATTAACCAAAACTATTGGGCCTACATTGGGTTTGAAATAAGTAGGCAAAATTGCTAGTTTCCCAGAGGTGGTGACAACGTCAATTAACTTACGTCGTAGGTCTCTTTGTCTAATGCCACTTTTAACCTTTTTTAGGAAATCTTACTTAACAAGTGTTCTCGAACGACTTTCACAACGAAACAACGTCGTATAATAGAAACAAGCCCGTAAAATGTATATATGTATTAACTAGTGTTAGGATATATCGTAAGAGCACGAGGGTAGATTTTACTATCTTATTTTTTTCTGCCGCAAAGTAGCGACACGTTCCAGTTTGACATGGCGGCATTCACGCTGTAATTTCTATAGGCTCAGGTAGTTGCTTAAAACCAGGACCGTAAACTTATTCACTCAAATACATAGATACTAAAAAAACATGCCTAATAGAGTTAGCGTTGGCCGATGGGACAAAGCAAATTTCTATATGACGGCTACACTCGAATGCATTCGCTTTTCATTTGTTCACAAAAACCGACAATTCTCGAAGTGAAAAAGAAAAAAGGCTAACAATGCACGTCAATCGCGTTCAATGATCAGCGTGCTTGGTTCGAGTTTTGTAACGTTCCCGATAGCGTAAAAGTTAACTCAAATTTTAATGGAATTGGACCGTTTACCTACGTTTGCCACTAGGGGCGCTATTCCAACTGAATACAAATTTAAGTTACCTTTAACGCTATCGAGAACGTTAAAAAACTCGCATTAAGCACGCTATATACAACTAGGCACTTACATTCATTTGTTCCACAACAATATCATTGTTTTCCTAATTATTGTAGCGGAGTACCGTGCCAAGCACAACACTATTTTCCTATTAAAAAGTTCGAGAATTATGATTGGGTGCTGTTGAAGTAACTTTTAATTTTACAGTTGTTTACGTGTTGATTATAAATGCGAGTCAGAGATAAACTTTAATTTGACAGAAAAAACTGTTACATTGAAACAAATTGAGATAATGCCACTTTGTATCTTGGGTATTGTTTAAAACGATATAGCCATGTTGAATTTATGTTATGTACAAATGAATATTAGTCTATTGGTTTTATCATTTAGTACATACCATTCATTAGCTAGATTGCCGTGTAACGTCGATTCGTAGTTGGCGGCTTGGAGGGAAATTCTGAGAATACAATCAACGCGCGATAGATGGCGCTCGAATCTTTTGTATAACAAATTTCAGTGTATTTCAGTGTCAATGTAAACCTCAAATAGGTTTTACATTTTGTTTTCTCTATAACCATACATCATTTGACATGGTATTCATTTAGAAAATTGTGAGCGTGTAGACCATGACTTTTTTAAATGCCACAAGTGGACAATCTTTTTTTTTTGAACCAGTTGGATCATGTCACAGAAAATCTCAAGCATAACACTGCATTTAAATAATGATGTGTAGAAGTAGAATACTTATATTTGTCAATGAGTGTAGAAATTAGCCCTCAGTAAAATTATTTCAAAAGTAGGAAGAGTGAATAGCTAATGAATATTTTGTTTTATTCTGTGAGCATTAAAAATCCGATTGAAGATTAACAGTGTTAATTTTCACAAAGTATTCTAAACCTATCTTGTGATTGAACTATAAATGCAGTTAAGACAAAACATGTCTTTCTCTAAATTTTGAAAACTGAAGAATACCCAGGTCTGTAAGAACGCCTTTTGAAATATGTATCATCTGAAATTTCCACTGTACAAACCATTGAGTAATATTAATCCATGAAGTATTCCTTATTTCTATTAATACAAATTAATTAACTCGTTAGATCTATAATATTTATTTGATTTAGTAGGTAACAGTAAACAGTAAGGTTTTTCATTAAAAATGAATCAACAAAAATTGAGGTATTAATGTTTTGTATGCTGTAATAAACCTAGTAACAAATGCATTTACAACATGTGTATTAAAAAAAATCTACAATTTTATATTGACCTAGCATAATTTAATGGCAAAAAGTTAAAAAGAAATCAGTTGATTAATGGATATGTACAAAAATAAGTAAGACTTGGTAATTTTATTTTATTACCATCGTTTGTTTAGACAAACTCTTAAAAAAAATTCAGTAAGATAGTGTTTTTCAATGCACAAAACGAACGATTAATTGAAAAATATGTTCCAAACTCCATATTATTTGAAAGAACATCTACACTAATCACGCACGTGCAATGTAAATGCAAGAGAAAATGAGTCAGGCTTCGAGGTTGTCACACCTAAAGCATTTCAATGGCAACGATGCTCATATAACTTAAAACTGAAATTAAACTATAAGAAAATAGAAAGATAAAACATTCTAATAGATATGATACCATGCAAGAAGAGCATAGTGATGTTAAAATCGATAAAGTACTAAATGGACAAAGATAACCGCATGACCACACAAGGCAAAATTACGACGCATTAGTAAGGTCGAACGGTTACCTGTCCAAATGCACACCCAATCTATATGTTCATTTATCAATATACCTTGACGGGTAGAGAAGCAATTTAATAAACTAACTGCTCTGCGATCCTTTTGTATAATCCAAAAATACAACGATAGTCTCACAAAATTCCGATGTGTGATCCAACACCGACGTTCACTACTTGTTGAGTCTTACATATACGACCAGCACTAAATCCAACTTTACAGAACAGATATTACTCACGAATTATTGAAACCCGCTGTCTTGGAGTGCAAACACTTTTTTTATTTTATTTCAAACCATCTACCTCAATCGCGGTAAGAAACCGTGTCGCCGGTACGTGCAAAATGGCTGCTGCAAGGGCACTCCTATGCGTCACAGTCAATTTTAAGAAATGTAAGTATTTTAGATAAAAAAAATACTGCGTTCAAACACTTAATACTAAACACTCAAAGAAATTCAATTTCACTTACTTGTCGGAAGGGGAAAAATGTATTTGAACCAGCAAATTTAAGCACAATATCAGTTTTTCTCTTGCGCTGAACGATATACTGGTTTTGACGGCTGCGGGGCCAGAGGGGAAACAAAACCGGAACAGGGTTCACGTAGCTAGACAACCGTCAACCATCTTGAAATTTAACCGGAAAAAGATCTTGTGTCAATGAAAACATAGTGGATTTTAAAATACTTTTGTCTCTGTTATATCTACGTATAAAATAAGGACAGTGAGACAAAATCAATATCCTCAGCATTATCTTTACTATGGAATGAGCATAGACAGCTTCTCAGAAAACGCGGGATATTCAAATAGCAGAATAAAAAAGTGACTTCCTCGACTAGTTTCCAAAACATATAGGTATAGAGACTGCAGTAGAACCGCTCTCGGAATCCTAACACCCGTTAAATCGAGCAATTTTAGGACGATGTTACCGTAATAAGATTCCTGAATTTCAAAAGAAGTACGTATCTACCTACCATAGTCATTTGTTGGTTGCGTTACTTTTCTGATAATTTTTTTTCTATTTTTTGCAAAGGTATTTTTTCATCCTGAACATTGTCCGTTTTTTTTACATTAGCATTTATTTAAGTTAAAAAAAAACCTTTTTTCTATTTCGTGAATTCGGTGAATGAGTCCACAACCCCAGATGATTCGGGTAGCCCTAGGTAACCTAAGGCTCTGGTAACTTTAGTGTAGTCAAAGTTTTAATAATTCTATTGGGTAAAAGCTGTCTCACCCTTGAAACGGCAAAAACAGGCAAGACGACGCCGCGTCGCGACGGTAATGCAGAATTTACATTTCGAAATTAGTGTCATGCATGTTGAACTCAGTTTCACGAAAGTAGTTTTGATATATTAATAGGCGAAAGTAATTTCGTTAAAAAATTAGTGTCGCGAAATCCACAGTATCGCAGTAAACATGGCGCCTTGAGCATCAAAGCTATATTTTGCTATATTCAATGTAGCTAAAGAAATGCTTATATACCTATAAACCTAAAAAAAGGCTATCCAGAAAAAAAAGACGTTGGTAGATTCGAGGATGGTTAACAAGAAGACATTTAGGTGCAATGAAGTTAGTCTCTGAATTGGCAGATGAAGATCTTGAGAGCTATAAAAACTATTTTCGAATGAGTGAAGATAATTAATATAAGAAAGAGTAAAATTAATGTAACAACAAATGATATACCTAAGTACCTATGTGTGCATTAAACTGTAATAAAAAAAAATATATCTTTATTCCTCTTCGTTAATCTAACCATACTGTATTCAAATTAAATATAAAGATAAATCAAAGTCCCAGTGAGGATTTTAAATATGAATGTTACACAATCTAAAGCAGATTATATCAAAGCATAATAGTGATTAAAAATAAATTGATTTTATAAATAAAATAGCAAGAAAAATTAAATAGAACAAGAACTAAACTAATAAATTTAGATTCAGTTTATATTCAATTCTAAAACCATTACAGATCTATTTTCAGCATCGTTCAACTCTAAAAATGTCAGTCAACCTGTCAGGCCATAGATTATACACTGTCAGGCGCACAGAACACTATTACTTCTAGCGAAGGTCAGGCGTCTCAAATATATTAAGTGTATAATCTATGCGTATCATGCTTTTAAATCATTACGAGACTTTTTTAGCGGGAACGCGAGCAGTGAAGTTGTGTGATTTGTTTTATTTTGTCTATTTAGTGTTTCTTCAGGTTTAAATGTGTAATAACGGTGGTTTATTAACTGTTTAATATCTGTGAAAGTGCACAAATGTGGGAAAATGAAACAAAGCTGCTGGACGTAACTTCTCGTGTTCCTCCAAAAAGTCCACTGAAAAAATCTCAGTAAATGACCACCATTTTACTGCGATTATATTTCATCCCATATCATCTCATTTCATTAAATTTCATCCCAGTTGATTAATGTCTCAAATTAATCATCTTCATTTCATTTCACTCCATATTATCATTTTTCATAAAATTAAGAATATAAAGTAAAATAAGACATGACTTAAAGGTCTCAGTTACCAGGTCATAAAATCTCTTAAAAAAAAAACATTACGAGACTTTTGGCGGGAACGCGAGGAGTGAAGTTGTGTGATTTGTTTTATTTTGTCTACTTAGTGTTTCTTCAGGTTTAAATGTGTAATAACGGTGGTTTATTAACTGTTTAATATCTGTGAAAGTGCACAAATGTGGGAAAATGAAACAAAGCTGCTGGACGTAACTTCTCGTGTTCCTCCAAAAAGTCCACTGAAAAAATCTCAGTAAATGACCACCATTTTACTGCGATTATATTTCATCCCATATCATCTCATTTCATTAAATTTCATCCCAGTTGATTAATGTCTCAAATTAATCATCTTCATTTCATTTCACTCCATATTATCATTTTTCATAAAATTAAGAATATAAAGTAAAATAAGACATGACTTAAAGGTCTCAGTTACCAGGTCATAAAATCTCTTAAAAAAAAAACATTACGAGACTTTTGGCGGGAACGCGAGGAGTGAAGTTGTGTGATTTGTTTTATTTTGTCTACTTAGTGTTTCTTCAGGTTTAAATGTGTAATAACGGTGGTTTATTAACTGTTTAATATCTGTGAAAGTGCACAAATGTGGGAAAATGAAACAAAACCGCTGGACGCAACTTCTCGGGATCCTCCAAAAAGTCCACTGAAAAAATCTTAGTAAATGACCACCATTTTACTAAGATTATATTTCATTCCATATCATCTCATTTCATTTAATTTCATCCCAGTTGATTAACGTCTCAAATTAATCATTTTCATTTCATTTCACTCCATATTATCATTTTTCATAAAAATAAAAATAAGAATATAAATTAAAATAAGATATGACTTAAAGGTCTTAGTTACCAGGTCATAAAATCACTTAAAAAAAATCATTACGAACTGTGATCACGAATATTAATTTACAACAAATCAACAAATCCAGTGCACGTGATTTTTGAAATAGCAGAACTAATTAAATTGTAAATTTTGTCTTTTCCATAATAAAATAATAAAACAAATATGCCGAAATCAAAAAGGGATAAGAAAGGTAAGTGACTTTTTAAAATCATACTTTAGCAGAGTGGCAATCACAGAACTTAGGGTTAAATTTGGTACCCTATGGCATTATTTGGATGTCAAAATAGATTGTATTCCGTAGATTTAATTTACGAATGCGACACTACAAAAAATCGTTCTAACCTTAAAATTGTCACCAAAAAGGGGTTAGGTTTGCTAGGAAAGTCTATTCTCTTTTCTAAAACTCCCAGAAGATAGTGAACAGCCTGTAAAGGTGATTAAAATATAAACAGCTTTCCATGCAGTATCATGCACATGTGAAACAAAACATCCAAGTTTCAAGTAATGATCAGTATCATAATAGCCTTCGCAAAATCCTTTTCATTTTCTGCCTTGAAATGAAAGTAAGCGAGTACTTAAGCAAATAAATCATTTTTAACCATTTGAATTACAATCATATAAATATAATAATTATTACTATTTCAGTGAAAAAAATCAGTATATCATACCTTAAATATTTGATTTCAGTATCACTTACAAAAACCAACAAAAAAGGTTTAGTACACAAACAAAAAGTCATAGAAGAAATAAGAAATTCACTGAGCAAATATGAACACATATTTTTGTTTACCATCAATAACATGAGAAATACAAAATTAAAGGACCTACGGAATGATTGGAAGGATTCCAGATTCTTTTTTGGAAAAAATAAAGTAATGGCTATTGCTCTTGGTAAGACCAAGAGTGATGAAATAGAAGAGCAACTAAATCTGGTGAGTGTCTGTAGCTTAATTTAGTTTTGAGTAAAGCTGAATTGTGAAGACTGGATATCTATCATCAACAAAATATTTTAGAAGACTTTGACTTTGACTTACTTATTTCATCATCTTATATCTGGAGAACATAAATTATTAAATTGTGAACAATTTATAAGTATAATTTGAGAGAGAAACTACTAATTTGTCTTAGAAAATGGCATCCTGTCTAAATAATGTCTTCAAGCACTTCAATATTGAAAATTAATAAAGACAGTAAGAGTTAAAAGTAAAGCTATTGGATTTTTGTGACATCCAGCAATAATAAACTTCTATCATTTAGCGCATTAAATGTTTTAAATAAAGTTAATTTATGTTACAGTTATCAAAAAAATTAAAAGGTCAGTGTGGATTGCTAATGACAAATAGAGATGTGCCTGATGTACTGAACTGGTTTAAAAGTTATCAAGCATCAGAATATGCAAGAGCTGGCTTCATTGCAACAAAAGATGTTTTATTACCCAAAGGTCCTCTAGCAGATTTTTCACACACTATTGAGCCACATTTAAGACGTTTGGGCTTACCTACATCTCTAGAAAAAGGTGTTATCAATCTAATAAAAGAATATCAGGTAATGTGAAACACATAGTATTCACTAATATTTAGTTATTTTAATAGGTAACATTTGTGTTCATAGTGAGAGACCTGCTTAAAAACATCGATTAAAGTGAATGAATCAATAGACTTGAAACATATATGAATTTAAAAAATCATCAGGCCCATTATAATTTTTTGTTTTGTAAATTTAAAGAGCAAATAAGACAACTACATAATTTAACAAAAATATTGCATTTATTCTGTTGAACTATCAGAACTGTTATTGTCATCTTCATCACTGCTGCTGACAGCAGTTAATGAATTGAATTAATAATATCTAATATGAGTTCTTAACCTAGATGAATTAATATATCTCTGAGTGATAGTAAAAATTACACATTACATCTTTAGTCTGATCTGAATCAATTTAGTTTTTGTTTTTCGAAAATATTTTCATAGAATTTTAAATGTGTGTTACTGAAAAAATNTGTTATTGTCATCTTCATCACTGCTGCTGACAGCAGTTAATGAATTGAATTAATAATATCTAATATGAGTTCTTAACCTAGATGAATTAATATATCTCTGAGTGATAGTAAAAATTACACATTACATCTTTAGTCTGATCTGAATCAATTTAGTTTTTGTTTTTCGAAAATATTTTCATAGAATTTTAAATGTGTGTTACTGAAAAAATAGCTTCTCCATCAAAATTTTACAAAAATTTGCCTTGTTTGCGAAGAGTTCTTAACAGTAGGCAGCAGATTGGCTCTTCTCCTGATATTACTGATTTCCATTAGCGATGGTTCCGACCCCATATAAAAACGGTACGCGACCGTGCCGCTTTCATACTAGGACGCCTCTACTATCCAATGATTTGCAAGCGAAGTAAATTGTCCTTTTGTAATAAGGTGACACTCTAAAAAACTTGCATACGCCCGGTCATGACCTATGCAAGTGTAGTATTCGCTCACGCGGCCCGTACTATTATGAAACCCTTTCAAGTCATTCAATCCCGTTTTTGCAAGATAGCCGTCAGACCCCGTGGTTCTTAAGGAATGTGTCGTGTGTGTAATCGTTTGGCCAGATCTTAAAAAGCTGTAGTAAAAGAAACCGGCGCTAGTCCACCAAACACTTACAAGTGACTTTTTCTGATTCAATTTCCATTTAGGGCAGGATTTGGCTGGGTCTCCAGGGCTCAGCCATTGTGACGAGCGTTTCCGATTATCGTACAGTATCCACACTGGGGTTGTAACCCTTTCGGCCTCAACAACTCCAAAATCTATAAGAATTACCAAAATACAGACATTATATGTTGTACAGCACAACATGTTGTCAAGCACAACATTTTACTTAATTTCAAAATTTTGTAATTAGTTATGTGTTACTTAATACCTCAAAGTGTTGACATTATCGAAACATAATGTAGGCTGAAGTTTTAGTTACTGTGGTGTAAGTAATAATGGCAAATTCGTTTTGATTTTTTAGGTTTGCAAGAAAGGTGCTCCACTGACCCCAGAACAAGCAAGTATATTAAAATTGATAGGCATAGAAATGGCAGATTTTAAGTTAGTGATTAAATGTCACTGGACAAAAGGAAAAGGTATCCATATAGACAATGATTCTCCAAGTGATGAAGAAGAGGCAGAGAATGATGATCATCAAGAAAATGTACTTGTAGACGAAATAATGGAAGAGACATAACTATTTTATTTAATCACAATAAATTATGTTAAGCATTACGTTTTTTTTACTAAGGTCAGGAATGATTTGTACATAATACTGCAAAATTACTTGCCAATTATCAATACTTCATTTTAAACTCAAGTGTAGGTTTTGCTTACATTTTTGTTTGGACTATCTTGTTTACTGTGCTAAATTTGAATTGTTAGGTACTACAAATAAAGTTATCCTAGATAATAAAAATCTTAAGAGAAGAACACTCTGGCACACCAGCCAGTCACTAACTTGTACAGGGTTAAACTATCCTTCATGGTCCGTCGATTATTGGGTCGGGGTGAGAGTGGGGGAGGGAGAGGGTAAGGGGTTTACCCTCTGCACCATCCCCACCCCGCGGAACCCCATGGTTACGGAGATATTCATGGTTAATGTTTTGAGGTTAGAATAGCACTAATTAGTAAAAATAGGATTAAAATTTACATTATGGTCCATCAATTTTGCGCGGGGTTACCCCCTGTACCATCATCAACCTGCAGATCCCTCATGGACATGAAGATATCCTTAGTAAAATTTTAGATTAAAATAGCATTGCTATTTATTCTTATATATTAAAATATTATATCAATTATATAGAATATAAAATAATAAAATATATTTCGGTAAAAAACAAGACATAAAATTTAATATAGTACATACACGTTTACCGTAAATGGAACGTGAAACGTCAACTTTGAGGTTTACCTTGATTTTTCCAATTTATATAGAAACTTTATAAAAATGTATCTTGTAAACCGTGAGTTTCCGCAACTTGAAATTTTACAGAAATCTTTCTATTTATGAGTACTATCTACAAAAAAATTGTGAACTTCCAAATCGACGGACCATAAGGAAAGTTTAGCCCAACAACATTTCTTTTAGGCAGCAGCTTGGTTCTTCTTACAAAAGCCTCTGTTGACTTCCATGAGCGACGGTAATCATTCACCATCTGAGGAGCCGTATGCTCGTTTGCCTACAAGGGCAAGAAAAAAATTGACAGCGACAGCTATTTCTTGTATGGCACTAACAAGGGTCAATGAATTTGGCCCCCTTTTTTATTTTTGTTTTATTTTGTTTGTCGTTTGTTCGTTAATGTTCGAATGTAAAAATGGTTTGTTCGTCTTTTATTTATTTATAATTAATTAAACAAATGATCACCCTTAAGTGGCCCCCCCTTACTAGGAATCTTTATTTTTATCGCTCAGATAAATTAATTTTGATCAATTATTGTTTGTTCGATCATAAAAACAATTAAATTCCCAATTATTAATTATTTTATATCTAACTAGCATTACATTCGAACATTAACGAACAAATAATTAAAAATAAAAAAAATCTGAAAATACAAAAAAGGGGGCCAAATTCATTGAGCCCACTAACAAATAGCGCAACCAAAACTGACTAACGGCATTCTAATGGAGCCCACGCGAACTACAAATGATAATCGAAGCCCCTTACTATTTAAAGAAATTGTAACGTTTAAAGGGTTTGATCGTTCTAAAACCGTGGGAGCTTATAAGCACAAACGAACGCGATAATATAGAAAGTAAGTGTAAGTGTTTAATTTAATACTGTCCATAATTATATCTTAAAAGCTAGCTCGTAGCAACAATTTATTGCGGGTTTGACTTTATTTCACTATGCTATTTTTTCATCGTGAAGATGTTAATGAATACGCATTGATCTGAAACACTATAGTTGGATGACCCAATAGGAGTGCAGCGGACATATCACTACGTAGGCCATTCCTTCTTTATGTTATACTCTTTGCATTAGTCGTGGCTCGTCGTGTTTAGTGGAGGGCTTAAATACCCGGCACCCCTTCTCTCTGGCTGCTCATCTGGTGCTTATGCCACTTAACAGACCTTTCACGCTGGCAAAATTATTATTATCTTCACATTGTAATATACAATTTTAAATATTTATTAAGAAAATAATTATATTCTGCGATCAATACGTATTGATTACGGTACGAACATGGAGACTCCAGCTAAGGAATAATGAGATGAAAATACTTCCTATTATTGGCTGGTCTTCAAAGTGAAAAAAACTAATATTAAATAATATAAGGACTAGTAAAAGCCGTATTTTCGATAATGGCGATTTCGTCATAATTATAATAAAAATCGTCATACTCCCGAAGATATTTATTGCAACAAATCACAGGAAAAATAAAACAATAAATTATCAAAATATAAGTAATCTACTTACGTAAACCCCGCAACTTACAATTTGCTAAATAATATATTACAAAGAAATAAAAAACTAATTATAATGTCTAAAACAATCTTAAAATAGGTACATACAAATTAAAATATCCTGAAACAGAAGCTTCCCCTCTGATTCACCATTTTGGATGCGTATTTAACATAACTTAGCACATACATACAAGTAGGTAATCACAGTATAAAAATAAAGCATTGTTTCATCAGTCGACAACATCACAGCTCACTCAATCGGCAAAACTAAAAACAGCCTGACGACTTAGTTCCGTAAAAAAACATTAATCTAACAATTATATTTAATGTCATTGCTTAAATTTCTGCAACAATACTTAAAATCTGTTTAAAATCATGCATTACTCAAATAAAGATATGCTAAATTATTTAATCAATAAGAATCGAATTCGTATCAATAGCAATGAGCCCTTCGTCGAGCCACAAATTACTATATCGGGATGTGAAAGGCTATTTGGTTTAAGCGACATTTTTGCAACTTTACTGGAGGGCCATTTAAATGTTTAAATTTGAGAAAAATATCATAATAAAATATCTTATTCAGTTATTTGAATGGAGTAACTTAATTGAGGTTTAATTGAAAACATCGAACTCTTAATGTTACTGCCAAATAAAACGCACCCTTAATTACAAAGATAAATGTCGCGTATTAAGCGAAATATCGCTTAAAACAAATAGACTTTCACTCCTCGATATGATAAAAATAATTATACAATAAAAACATAAAACTAAAAAGCTAAATTTCTTTCGGGGTTTTCTACATCTACACTACTTTCTATTTAAATATCTGTTCAATGCAGATCTTTGTATTCATCTAATCATCGATGTTCAGCTTTGGTGTTTCGCGTCGTGTTAAAAAAACGGCCACTTTCAATTTTATGGCACAAACTAAAATATAGTACGGACTTATTTGTTAAGATTGTGTCTCAAATCAATCATTTGTTTAGATTTACATCGCCACGGTTATAGTAAGTTCCACCACTGAACAAATTCTCTAATAGGGTATTTGACTGTGTTATGAAAAATTATATCTCAATGTTTTCATGTACTGACTGAAACGTAATTTTATAAATTATCTCTATAAAAATCTGTAGACAAACTTAACTGTCAAAATATTCACAGGTTACATGACCCATTATGCCAATGAGACCAGTACAAGAACTAAAACTTTAAAAGCAAAAAAGTCCGTTCACTGATAACATAATAAAAGGTCGTTATAAAAATTGACTTGATTAANGTTACATGACCCATTATGCCAATGAGACCAGTACAAGAACTAAAACTTTAAAAGCAAAAAAGTCCGTTCACTGATAACATAATAAAAGGTCGTTATAAAAATTGGCTTGATTAAAAAAAAAAATCCAGGGATCGCGTAAATAATTTTTTTTCTTTCAAGTTACTGTGATTTTTACACTTATTAACGTTCAGGTACATTTTCAGAGCGAATTACGTTTTAATAAAGTCAAATACCAGATTGAGACGAATTATAAAGTAAATTGAACAAGTCGTCTTCTCGCATTAAAACTGTATAATCCCAAAACTTACTAAATTTTACAGGAGAGTGTTTTAAAGGTTTAACATATGATATTTTTAATATTAATCATCTTGGCAACATAAAGATAAAATTATGCATTAATTTTGTTAAAAGTAGTCAAAATATAGGTAAATTAAAAAAAAAAAAAAACTAAAACTAAACTATGCTCTTTCGACAGTATTTATGAGAAAAATACTGGCGGTGATACCTAATGATTACGCATATTAAATCAAGTTCGAATATTTTTGGAAATTGTACAGTTTTAATGCGAAAAGACGAGGTAGCCAGTGTGCATAGGAGAGGTTAGTGTTAATGTTTGGGCTGCGGTGGGACGATCGGTGGCAGGTCGACGGCGGGCAGCGGGTCGCGCCAGTACACCGTCTGCGAGAACTCGTCGCTGGGCTCGCACTGCGCCGGCGGAAACACCTGGTCCACCAGCACTGACATATGGGAATACCTATAAAAGGAAACATTGATTAATAATCAACCTCACCAATTGTACCTCACTTGAGTTTAATCTTATATATCGACGCTTGAAAGGCAAACGTGACTAAGCAACAATAACTGCTTTGTACATAAATTATAGGCAATAACCATATTCGATACGCAAAAAAAAAATATTTCTAGGTCTATTAAAATCATTTCAATCCTACAGCTAGATTCGTTAAAATATATTTTTTTTAGGTATTTCAACTTTAAATTATTATTAGTCTACTGTAAAGTTCACGCATTGTCGCTTAGTCACGTTTGCCTTTCAAGCGTCGATATATAAAAATGAATTGCTGTTCGTTAGTCTCGCTAAAACTCGAGAACGGCTGGACCGATTTGACTAATTTTGGTCTTGAATTATTTGTGGAAGCCCAGAGAAGATTTAAAAGGTAGATAAATATGAAAATGCTCGGAATGAAATAAAAATAACAATTTTGTTTTTCCTTTGATGTGTCCCCTCCGTTGGACGGATTTCTTTTGTTTGTTTTAAGTTTATTTTATACAAAAGTTTAGGTCTTTTTTTATCGATTAAGGCACTTCAAACATTACTAGCCGGGTCAGCTAATTTTAAATAAATTTTAGCTACATTTCAAAATGGTATATAATAATACCATTTTAGGAATAATATAATAAACAATAGAATTGATAATTTAAGGAGTCTAATAGTTATTTTTTTTACACAGGATGTAATTTTGTCAACAGGGTGGTGGTGAATCAAATCGATATAGGAAAAAAGTTAAGAGGGTAATATGAAAAAATATTTACATTTCATTTCGGAAATTTATCAGTTTCTTGATTAGTAGTGGGATTTTTAAATAACAATGACAACTCAACTTAAATCATTACAGAAAATAGATAGTGAAAATAATTGTCGGTATATTTTGAATTGTTTTAAAAATGTCTGTAAATGTAAAAAACTTAAAGCATGGTGTATATTCGTACTTACACCATATTTATTAATGGCGGGTTAAATGTGAACACATATATGTATTAACAATATTTCAAGTTATTTTGTTTTTATAATTATTTATCAAACCAACACCAAGAGGCTACAGGGTTACAGTTTTGACATGAAGAAGCACATTTATAACACAATGACATGTCGATGACTTTAGGTATTAGATATTATAATGCAGTTTTAGCCAATTTTTCAGTTTTAATAGCAGAATGTTATTGTTTGGTTGATGAGGATTCGCTTTGACGTCACCAAGCCTTACAAAATACCATGCCGCCTGTTTCTTACCGGCGTAATTGCCTGTCCGCTTAATTTCTTTCGCAAAATATTTAATTTTAAATTAAACCCTAAATTTCACGTATGATTCTAGAATTTTTATCGCGTTTCAGAGGTGGGAACAAATCATCGACCATGTCACTTTGCACGTGGTAACTGAAAAAAAATACACTCATTACGATGTGCGGATACAGTGTTATTGACAAATACCGGCTCCAGTGTGCTTAGTGCGAGTTTTTTAACGTTCTCGATAGCGTAAAAGTTACCTTATATTTGTATGGAATGGGATCGTTTGTCTACGTTTGCCGCTAGGGGCGCTGTTCCAACTGCATACAAAATTGGGTTAACTTTTACGCTATCGAGAACGTTAAAAAACTCGCACTAAGCATACAGCTCGTGACGCAAACTCAAGCTTGTAACGAAAGTTTGTACAAATGTAAATTAATAATAAAATTTCATTTGATAACTCACGTGGACTGGAATGTCTGTGTTAGTTCATGTTTTAATTCGCCCTTATAGTTTATGGTGAAAATTCTTACAATCGGAATACCGACAGCTTGATATGCACAAACGTCCTGAAATATAATCAAATAACAATATACATTATTAATTAGCAACATAACTACAGTTTGTATATTTATTTTACTGTATATTCACGATACTACGTCACAAGCCAGCAGCAATGGGCGAACGCACGAAATAAACAAACATATTTCGATTTTTCGTCTTAGGAGGAGTATTAACAGATTCGTTGTTGACTTGTAGCCGTTGGATGTGGATTTTATCTTTTATACCGGCGTAAAGGAACTGTTCCCGAAAACGTACGCTCATGATATTCCACACAAACACAAAAAGCAAAATCGAAAAATATTTTAATTTTTTTCATAGCGTGTTTATGTATTTCACGGTATTATTTATATTTTAAATAGTTGATATTCAAATGCAACGAAGTCTTCGGCTTCTACGTCTACGTCTCAGTAACTATCTAACATGATGTATCATGAGCTGGATGTCTATATTTGAGACCGTCAGCGCAATAGTGGCCTAACCATTTTCATTTTCCATAATCATGCATATACATATATTGCAATTTATAGAAAATATAATAAATTTTGAAGCAAAACCGGACTATCCATAATTTCACCCATATATGACAGATGGGTTTGTAAACATTATTTTTGCGCGTATTTTTTTTTTGCCTACTCAAATTAAATTCATGAAAACTTAAACCTCACTGCTCCATAATAACTATATTAGGCCACTTTTGCGCTGACGGCCTCATTTATGTTATACGGTTTGTAATGATTTCCTTTAAATGTACAATAACTTACATTCACTCTATTCCCATAGCCAGCGTAAAATGGATTAGACCCTTGAGGGAACAGCGCCTTGATATCGGCGAGGCACTGAATTTTGAATTCTTCTGGTTTCTTCTCGATGACCTCTCGATGGAAGGCGCGAAGCAACGATGTAGGGTTCAGCAGCAGCGGCCCGTCCGGTAGACACACCTCGCCTTGTCTGATTGAGCGCAGATATTCCCGAGTCACCTGTTTGGCACGTTCAATTAAAACTTACACATCTATACTAATATATAAATCTACAGTGGTTTTTACGGATGTCTATGGATGATTTGAAACTTGGTATCCATGTAGAAAATACATGTACTTAATGGATAGGCTAATATTTATATGAGTGTTGGACTCCCTACATCAGTTGTGGGGGCGTTAATGATGAGAATCTTTGTGGGGGGTGAGAAATAATAATGTTAATTTTAAATTCCCAGCGAAGCGGACGGGTACACCTAGTGTTATCTATTTATACTAGTGTTTTTCGAAGAACCGACTACCGAAGTTTATAATTTAATATTATGTAAACTTACATCGAAACTAAGAAAATACGCTTTAATAGCAATCCTAATGAAAATAAAAATTTCCCTTTACTTTAAATGATTTTGGTGACCCCGAATTTGATATTTAGTCTTATTTACCCTGGATAGTAAGACGAATTAATACAAATGTTTTATTTTCATCAGTCCTTGATATGTATGTCGGTATTCAAATTAAACGAAATACATATTTTCAAAATAACAATGTAAGATTCCGTGACACGGATAGATTGGTACAAGTTAAACTAATAAAGACGTGTTAAAAACCATTCCGCTTCTCCCATTATAACTTGAATATTATTTAATCGTAAATATTGTCATTTTTAATGCGATATGTTTGAAAAACAAACTGACCGAAGTGATTCGCCGTGCCTACTCATCGATTCGTCGAATGTATCGTGTGGTTGGAATTCGAGGACAAAACTATCATGATTTTTTGTTTGTTCCGGTAATTTAATCTCATTTCCCTTTTTGAATACTAAATCATTTTAATACTAGTTTCGATGTTGCTATATAATATCTAAAAATGCAATATTCTTACTTTGGCCTGTCCGATGGCCCTGGCCGACAGATAGAGCAGTTGATATCCGTTGTTCTTTATCTTCGTGAATAGTTGAGCGACCCCAGACTGGGCCCAATCTTTGCCGACCATTGGGAATATATGGCCCAGTACGTCCGATCTGTGCAAAAAGAACTGGTCAGACTTTCAAGTGAAAGAGAACAAAACGAGTCAATAAATTTAGAATAGAACGAAATTTACAATTGTTTTTCGGTTCGCAATAGGCACCGTTCCAATGTGATTTCCATCAAATGCCTAGGGCGGTTGGTTTATTTCAGTATATAGTTAATAAATAAATGTCTCGTTAGTTAAGTGATCTGTGACCTTTTGTATCTACACCACGATGTTCAGGTTCTAATCCCGATCAAAATCAATATATTATTTGATATTCAAGATTTAGATGTATTATTTTTTATTGTTCCCTACCTATGCTGATAGCCTTAAGAGGATATTTCAGCGTAACCCTAACTGCCGGTTTGAGCTGACGGGGCTCAAATCGGAGTGTTGCTAACACTGGCCCTAGCAAGAGCCGTGCTTCGCAGAATCTACCACCGGATCGGAAACGCGACCCACTCAGAAGATCCGGCGAGAAACTCAGCTGGGTTGTGTCTGTGGGTTAGTTTACTCGTAGAACGGTGACCGGTTTAGATGTACTTTTCTTGTCTCGCTTTGTGTTTACGTCTACATAACACACAAGAAAATAGCTTAGGTTACATATGAAAAGTTTTTTTTATGTTTCATTATAGTTTACGGCAGCGGCTTAGCTCTGTCCCTGGCGTTGCTGAAGTCCATGGGCGACGGTAACCACTCACCATCAGGTGGGCCGTATGCTCGTCTGCCTACAAGGGCAATAAAAAAAATGTTGGCCTAGAACCTGTTTAAAGTCTTGGCATAATGAACTATTATTGTTTGTCTTTGACCTAGCTCGAGTTGAACCGTGGTGGGCTAGTGGTTACAGATTGCCGTTGATGCTGGTAGCGCAGTAAAGCGTGTAATGTAGTTACTTGGTGATGGTTCCGTCGATGTCGGAGATGACGACCTTGTCGTCGTAGCGCCAGCGGAACACGTTGCACTTGCAGCGCGTGGTGCCCTGGTAGGCCGTGGTCACGCTGAACACCATCTCGTTCATGCCCTCGCGGAGGTTCAAGTTTCTCTGTCAACGAAACGCACTCATTCACTTTTGATGACAGTATTCTTTTTTTACTATCCAGCTATAAGCAATTTTCAAAATAAAATCGAATAGTATCAATTTTATTGTACGAATATAAATCTGAATCGTGGGTATTAGAATAGTTTGTCGCCTTAAAAATAACAATAAAGTTGAGTTATCTGTTTGAAACATTTCTGTCATTTTACCTCAGCAATATGTTGCAGCACAAATGTTTTTTCATCTGTAATTCATTACCTAACTTTGTAACCCCGGATCTAAACAGTAATTTAGTCACTTACATAGTGTGCCTTTTTATAGGTAATTAGCTTTATGGATGTTTTTACTATACTGTACTGTATATACTTATTTGTATTTGGACACCCACCGACTACACTATATTGCAACAAATATTCCAATATCGCAATAAATTATGTTCTGATTTTCTGGTTCCGCCTCCGTACTGATACACAGAATGAAGTGCCACGAGTGTACTATAAGGCGGGTAAGTAGGTAATGATTGCAACACGACGCGATCTCTAAAGACTTAATAACCACAACTTATTTATTACTAGTTCAGTAAAATCACAATTAAAATTCATTACACGTTTAAAACATACGAAAAAGTATTCCTGTTCTCCTTTTAGCATGTTTTCTCGCAATGATATGAAATGAAAATATCAAGTCCTACTTCAATCACTTAGGAAGATAGTTTAGCATAGAAGTACAACAGAGCGAAGACTGGTGGTAGGACCTCTTGTGAGTCCGCGCGGTTAGGTACCACCGCCTTACCTATTTCTGCCGTGAAGTCTGCGTTTCGGTCTGAAGGGTAGGGCAGCCGTTGTAACTATACTGAGACCTTAGAACTTATATCTCAAGGTGGGCGGCGCATTTACGTTGTAGATGTCTATGGGCTCCGATAACCACTTAACACCAGGTGGGCTGCGAGCTCAACGTCAACCCATCTAGCAATAAACAAAAAGAGTGAATACAAAATATAGTAAAATAAAACATACAATCTGTTCTGATGACAAACGAAGGGTCTTCCGGAAGGTCGAGTGGCGGCGCGCCCTCGACGACCTGGGCAACTGCTGCTCTTGTTCCGAATCCGATGAACTCTGGTCTTGGTGATCCATTGCTGCATAAACAAAGGAAAAGACAATTTATATATTTAGTATTTGATTATTATTATCACTTGTTCTACAAGGAAAAAATATTAGCTACTAATTATTTAACTGTTTAAATAGGAATACCTGTTTAACACATCGACATTGTGCTAATATTTCAATCTTCAAATTTTAGGTTTAAGTGTAAACTACAAATCGAACCTTGTTCTTGGTGGACAGCGTTTTCTGACATCGTAAGTATGTTTTCCTCCACTTCGACGGGCTGAGATTCAAACACGTCATCAACATTTACAATGTTTTGCGTCTCTTCGATTGTTTCCACAGTCGATTCTTCCGCAGGCGTCTCTTGGAGTGCAACAGTGTCTACGGCTTCAGATTGTGGTGGACTCGACTTTGTTGGAATGTCGTCCGATAGAGAGGTCTTTTCGGCACTGAAAAATAAATTAACTAACTAAACTCGAAACCTTAGAACTTATATCTCAAGGTGGGTGGCGCATTTATGTTGTAGATGTCTATGGGCTCCAGTAACCACTTAAAACTAGGTGGGCTGTGAGCTCGTCCATAAAATAAAAAAAAGTTAGCTTAAATTGTGGCGTGAAACTTTAAGGCAGCAATGGTCCAGATTGCAATTTAAATATTTAAGGAGCCACCTTATTAATCTATTAAACAGTTTACAACATTAATTTGACATATTAAAATCTAATTTATATGAAAACTAGCTGACCCGGCGAACTTTGTTCCGCTTTAGAGGCAATAAATAAATGAGCAGACTTTTGATTTTATCAAAGTCTAGGATAATTAATGTAAATTAAAAACGGAAGCATTTTAATGATTCTTTATTGGCCATGTATTTTAGTTGTTATTATTATTATTATTATTTTCTTGTTCTTCTTCATTCGAAACAAACACATCAACCGGTCAACGTCAAAATTCTACTGAACTAACCATAGACTGCATTACGTTTAGCTGTCAGTTGCGTTTTGTTATACTACGTATTATGTCACGTCCCACGGTAACGTGATAAAAAAACTAATCTTATGTCCTTCTCGTCCTTCTTCTGGTTCTAAGTTACTTCACTACCAATTTTCAGCCAAATCCGATAAGCCGTTCTTGAGTTATAAATAGTGTAACTAACACGACTTTCTTTTATATATAGATTAGCGACCCACCCTCGCTTCGCTTCGGAAACATTAAATTTTATTATTGATAGCTCAGTTTCGCAATGTTACCCGCGATTATTGTCGTACCGCAGGTGACGCCGCGGGGCGAAGCAAGTCTAAAAAAAAGTAGCCTAAGTTTCTCCTTATATCATCAGCTACCTATCAGTGAAAGTCTCGTCAAAATCGGTCCAGCCGTTCCAGAGATTAGCCGGAACAAACAAAGAGACGGACAAAAATTAAAAAAAATGTTATTTTGCTGTATGTACCGTATATATATTCATATGCACACAGTAAAAAGCGGTTATTTCAATGTTACAAACAGACATTCTAATTTTATTTATATCTATAGATAGATAGATGAACATGCTATGTATCGAAACTGCCGCTAGTTCACACTAACATAAAATAGTAGAAGCCCGTAATAGTTTAAATGTAAACTAACTGTTTAGCCTCGGACGTCCGCCTCCAGCTCCACCAGGAGTAGGCGCGGGGCTTGCTGCCGCTGTCTCCGCGGTGCGAGCTCGCCGCGTCCGCCTCTTCCTTCTCCGAACCTTTCTCCAGTGACTCCAAGACGCGCTGCCGACAATTAACACGTAGATGCAATACGTGTCTCGAAATAAGCGTGCTGTATCTTTATAAAAATACACAGCCTTTAACACTGATCATACCAACACCTACTAGTACCTTTTTTTTTTATCTCTTATATGTGTGGACGAGCTCACAGCCGACCTGGTGTTAAGTGGTTACTGGAGCACATAGACATCCACAACGTAAATGCGTTGTGGATGTCTGGGTATGCCTGTGGATGTATGTCCATCACCTTGAGATAATATAAGTTGTAAGGTCTCAAGTATAGTTCACAACGGCTGCTCCACCCTTCAAACCGAAACGCATTGCTGCTTCACGGCAGAAATAGCCAGGGTGGTGGTACCTACCCGCGCGGATTAACAAGATGTCCTGCCACCAGTAAAATACCAATGATTTACGTACTAACGGTTAAATACTAACGTTTGGCAAAGGTCGGCGGTACACGAGCAGGGACAGGATGAGCGGCCCCGCGCTGCGCCACGGCATCCAGCGGTCGCCGAGCCGCACCAGCAGCCGGCCCTCCGCCGCCAGTCGGGCGCCGTCGGAGCAGAACTCCTCGAAGGACAGCGCGCGGGACACGTTGTCCTCGCGCACGTACAGACACACTTGACCCCTGGAATACACATGCTTTGCTCTTTTCCATGTCCAATCTTTGGAAGCTCATCGTAGGTATTTTGATTTATTTATTTATTTATTTATTTATTACACTGCATGTAAAATTTACATTGGCGGACGTAATGCCTAAGGCATTCTCTACTAGTCAACAAAGGTAGTGCAGAGTAGATAGTGGTAGATGCAATAAAATTTATATTAAGTTACAAAATGCACATACATGCATACATATATATACACACATACATACATACATAATAATAGTTTATACAGTATTAAAAGGAATATATTAATAAATTTCCATAACAAATAACTTCATCTTAAAAAGTTTTAATATTTTTGTACAAAATTTTACACTCCCATATAGATTCCATGGAACTGCTGTCGAATATTTCTATCAACACCGACTTCAGAGCCCGGAATTCGCATTTGGTAAACTTCTTTGCATTACGGACATATAAAAATAATATATCATACTATAACCCTATGGTAAGAATGGTCAGGCAGTAATGATTTGGCTAAATGTCACTGTAACCTTGATATCTTTGAACCTAGACTCAGGGGATTTGTCAGATGTGTGAAGAATATCCTATTTAACAATGGCTAGTTATCAATATTTGTAATTTCAATTGTGTTTTCAATAGCCAAAGCTATGCACATTAATATGGTTTTGCTGAGTGCACATACTATTTAGATTGCAATCCAGATTAGATCTAGGTACTACTTGTACCATTTAGCTTATATATTGCAATTTGTTTTGTGCATCAATAAATAAATAATAAAACATGTCGGCATGTCACTGCTGTGGTCGAGCATCACCCCCCTCGAATTGCCGTAGCTACCAGTGAGCTTAGTGAGTGTTTTTTAACTTTTCGATCGCGTAAAAGTTACAGCAGTTGGAACAGCTTCCCGTCGTTTGCCGTTAGAGGCGCTGTTCCAACTCCATACAAAATTGAGTTAAATTTTACGCGATTGAGAAGTTAAAAAACTCGCACTAAGCACACTGTAGTGTCCAGTCGGAATAGTGATCCGAAGATCTCACAACGACACGTTACGTTATGCTTAATGACTCGTTTACCATATCACAGACACGTCGTCTTTTTATACTTTAGTCAAACGAAACACAATCTAGTCGATTAAAGAAAAAACAAAAATCGTTTGTGAGTAAAAAATAAATAAATTTAAACATTTTAATTTCATGCCATACAATGAGCATAAAATAGCAAATAATGTCAAGGTTTACACGAGTGCCACACATATATAATGCCAATAGTCTCCGAGTAAGAGGGGCGGCGACTTCCGAACAAACTAGCAGGACAAAATTTAAAAAGAGGAACTGTTTTTTATAAGCCGAAGGTTTCTGGCATAGGTCCATCAAAATAATATAGATAGCGCGCGTTTCATTATAACAAACGCTACGGTAATGCGTTCATCGACTGTGCGTTTCCAAAGATCTTTTTTGCCACGTACCATCCGGCTTTGGAATGAACTCCCCTCCACGGTGTTTTCCGAGCGCTATGACATGTCCTTCTTCAAACGAGGCTTGCGGAGAGTACTTTATGGTAGGCAGCGGCTTGGCTCTGCCCCTGGCATTGCTGACGTCCATGAGCGACGGTGACCACTTACCATCAGGTGGGCCGTATGCTCGTCTGCCTACAAAGGCAATAAAAAAAGAAAAGAAAAAAAAGCCTGGTTCCACTAGCATCTCTCTCACTATGAGTTAAATAACATAGAACTTCAATTTTGTCCGCATCACGCAACAGCAATTGGATTTAGATATACTTTTTTTAGTTTTACTTCTTTGACTTATATAGCAAGTTTTTTTTATTTTATTATTTTATTGAATAGATGGGTGGACGAGCTTACAGCCTACAGGTGTTACATAGTTACCGAAGCCCATAAACATCTACAATGTAAATGCGCCACCCACCTTGAGATATGAGTTCTGGATCTCAGTATCGTAACAACGACTGCCCCGCCCTTCAAACCGAAACGCATTACTGCTTCACGGCGGTGGTGGTACCTACCCGTGCGGATTCACAAGAGGTCCTACCACCAGTAATTACGCAAATTATAATTTTGCGGGTTTGATTTTTATTACACGGTGTTATTCCTTCACCGTGGAAATCAACCTTGAACATTTGATAAGTACGTATTTCATTCGAAAAATTAGTACCCGCCTGCGGGATTCGAACTCCGTTGCATCGCTAGATACGAATGCACCGGACGTTTGTAAGCATGTTTACAGTAGTGCTCGATAGATGGCGGAATAGCGTTATGGTACGGGGACGACAGCCGATTTTATATTAGTGTCAGATTTATAGATACGTACTTTGCTAAGATTTTGTCGTCGTCGTCCGAGTCCATGACGGGCGGTTCTAGCGAGGCCGGCGACTGCGGCAGGGACGGGCCGTTCCCGGACTCGTACTCCTCCTCCGTGGGAGCGGCGCGCGCGTGCTGCACCACCGAGCCTGCGTCGGTACGAATTTATAGCGCAAGCGTCAATGAATGAGATTTTAGCCGCATACCGCCAGAAGGGTCAAAGTATTCAGGTTTATGAGCTTCGGCAACCACGTAAAATTTGAGAGGGGCGGCCGCGGAATCATGTTCAGATGAAGAGTAGCAGATATTGCACAAAAAAGAACCTAATTTAGATGCATTGAAATTATTGCCTTTCATTAAAATGAAAATTCTTGGAGAAACTCGATCTACTTAGAAACTAAATTGAATTAACAATCAAATATACTTACTGCCACGATGACGTTCAGCATGATATTTCGGGAAGTACAGGTCGGGGTTGACCTGACCACGGTCCAGGTCGTCCAGGTAGATCCCCTCGGGCGCGTTGTCGGCAGAGTCCCGCGTCGACATGAAGCGGAACATGCCGCTGAGCACGCCACGCCGGCTGGGCCGCTCCTCATCGGAGCTGAGCGGCTCGGCGGGCGAGGCGGGGGACGCGGGCGAGGAAGGGGACGCGGGGGAGGCGGAGGCGGGTGACGGCGCCGACGCGCACTCGCCTGACTCCACCCCGCGCACCGGAGGCTCCGGGAGCTCACCCCACCTCCACGACTGCGATGACTTGTCGCCGGTCGTTGTTCTCGACAGCTCCACCTCGGTGTCCGACTGTACTGGAGTACCGCCCCGAGAACCTCTGCTGCGATGCGAAAACAAACTATTTATTTAATATTCATAGCCAAGATCTGCCAAATGAAGCTAAAGCACCTAATGAACATTTGCAGCGTTATTAATTTTGTAAATGACGGTAGATGGTTCATTGATTGACTAGTGGAGTGTATCGTGAATGCAACATATTATTTTGATACATCGAGGTCGGCGATGTTTTACGAGTTTCGGAAATCATTTATGAGTCATGCTATTATTTGCTTGATAAGACGAGAATTCCCATTACGGGATAGCGACATCCTGAATCGTATATCATTATGTACTGTTTTTAGTCGACCACTACTAAGATGTTTGTTCTAGTTTCTACTCATTATTATTTAAGATCACTTTAATTACTTAGCGTTTACGTGGTAAAAAAAGTCTGTAAAGGCCTTAATAACGCTGCAATAATCTACTTAGAAATGTTACATAAACATATATACAAACTATAAGCACGTGAGTCAGCATTTAAAATTTAAATGAATCAAACATTTACAAATCTGACAATTTAGTGTTAGTTTAAAGCTACGAGTGTTCTAAATGCAGTGATATTATTGAATTAAGTTATTACGAATGTTTTGAGGCGGCGTGGACCTCAAATGCTGTGTCTGACAACGCCAATGGAATACGATTTTCATTCAGCTTCAAATTCGACATCTCTTCACTGCAATGCAGGCAAATGATCAGGTAATGAAATCGTAAATATGTATTGCATTTGTATTATGGTAAGGAACGTACCTCAATGTAGCAGCATTCAGTTCGGTGTCACTAAAGAAACTCATATCAGTGGCGTTAACAATGGCGGTCGTCTGCAAGGCTCGTTGCTCCGAGCCAGCGCGGTCCGACTGACTAGATACAGAACTAGTGGACGACTTTCTTTGGTGCTTCTTCTTAGAGCTGACTTTTCTGGTTTTTTTCTTTTTCTTGCCGTTCCCATTCTGCTTGACCTCCTCCTCGGTGGGCGCGACGTCTATAGGTCTAAAGTCATTGTGGACGCTAATTTTTTGTACGGCCTGATTCGCTTCGCTTTCCGCTTCGCCAAGCTGAGTGGCCGCGAACGTTTTCGGTGTTTTTCCGTCCGTCCAGTCGGTACCTTCGTCGAGGTCCTCCATTTCAAACAGGGCCTCGTTGTCTTTTGATGGTTTCTCGTCTTTCGTCGTATTCTTCTTAATCTTGGTCAAGTCCGGTTTCTGCATAGTTTGTCCGTCTGCAGTGTATCTTTAGGAAAAAAATCGATTGCTTTGTTTAGAAACAAAGAAAGAAATCTTAGAAAGTTATTTAAGTGTCATGGTGACTTTAATGTTGATGTACTTTTTACGTAAACGTTAATGCATTGCGAGTGTAATAATACTTTTTATGAACCGGATATAAGTTTTTGTTACCGAATTACTAACTTTACATGATAACTACAGAGCAGATGAACAATGACTCTTAAATTATGGTTGGTTTTATGGTTAATTTTTTTACGTAATTTGTGTACCTTCGTTTAGTATAATCTGATGCCTGCCCATGGTCGGGTTCGACAGCAGAGAGCGAATTGCGACGACGTGGCTCATATAATTCCTCGAACCTTGCAGCCGGGATGGGCGAGGTGGCAAGGTGAGCGGAACATTCAGCTTCGTCTTCGCCTACTTCTTCAACGAAAAATGCCTCACCAGACTCCCCCAGCTTCATGTGGATATTCAAAGGCTCACCATTCAATTCTAGGTCCACCTGTCACCGTGAAATCAATATATCAAATAATATTATAAATTAACTGACAGCATTAATACTAAATGGTACCATCACGGGTCAAATGACCCATTTTGAATTTTTGTATTGAAAATGCACGTATCATCTTATTGCTTTTGCACATTTGACTTCATGACTTTTCTTACCAATTAATCTACAGTTATTATACTATTTTGTTTTCTTTTGTTTATTTTGAGTAATACTTGTCGTATACCGTTATCTACCCGCTATGGTAAAAATAGGTACCAGTAAGCGTTGGTATGATTAGTGTTAAACAGAGTTCATTTATAATGTACATGATTATGAAACCTGGAACATTTAAGCGAATTAAAGCCGTTTTACAAAAAGCAGGTGGCCGGATGATAAGTATTTGTGCCAAATATTCATGAAAATTCTTAGTTAGAATTATACCCCATTCTGGCTTTTATCCAAATTTCATACATATGCTATTCAAACGCAGATTCCTGGTCTCATTTTGGCAAATAGTCATCTCGTACTATCAACGGGATTGTTTAAAATAACAATCGACATGAAACATAAAAGTAATTTTGTATCACACAAAGATCATGCAAATAGTAAATACCTAAATCAAAACAATATTAAATGAACACTATATTTTATTTTAAAGTAGTTTCATAGTTTCGACTGGTGGTAGGACCTCTTATGAGTCTACACGGGTAGGTATCACCACCCTGTCTATTTCTGCCGTTTCGGTTTGAAGGGTGGGGCAGCCGTTGTAACTATACTTGAGACCTTAGAACTTATATCTCAAGGTGGGTGACGCGTTTACGTTGTAGATGTCTATGGGCTCCAGTAGCCCCTTAACACCAGGTGGGCTGTGAGCTCGTTCACCCATCTAAACAATAACAAAAAATGAAAAATCAACGACAAAGATATGAATTACAAATTACTAAAAATGTTTTTAGTTCATGAATCTGAGTTTGATTTTTTATACAGTTTTTAAATACCTATGCGTAAATGATTATTGTAGTAGATCCGTGAAATTGGCGTACGTAAGAATGATCTAGAAACATGAATTAGGCTAAGACCGCCCACACAACATCATAAAATATAGACTTTTATCCTGTGGTCTGTTTAATCTAAAATCGTTTTAGTGAAGGGTGATATTTTATCACATTGGAAGCCTTTCTAAGTGACCACGTGTTTTGAATGTTACAAAGCATGTCCTTATCGTTTCATGCAGATAATGGTAATCTTATCAAATTCCTGTTACGTTATTAAAACTTAATTTAAATTTATGATAATCGTGTTAAAACAATACATTTTACAACATAAAAAAATGAATCACCTCTGTTAATTTGGAGTTATTATTTATTACAAAACAAATATACATTGTGAGTACATTTGATTTTGTAGTGCAAAGTTTTTTTGATTACATGTTGGTATTGCATCAAAATACGTTTTGGAAAAAGGATTATGTCTTAAGAGGGATGTTTTCAAATAAAGATGGAGGCGACCAAATAGTAATAATGTCTGAGCCGTGAGATTAAAACACGGAAATAATTTTATATTTGAGCTGTTTTTTTTCCTGGCGCGGCTGTACCACACATACATATAAGCGCTTTACGCAAACACATACAAGGCCCAAATAAACCGTGAATTTGAAAACGTTACCAGCATGTTAATTAATAACGAAGACAATAAACGTAGACGAGGCGCGGTCGTCCTCGACATTTTGCAGCTTTTGCAAGACTAGCAAGCATTGGTTCCGTAACATTTTTAAGAGGTTTGTTTCATTGAAATATAATTTATCTACTAAACAGGTTTTACAATCCGAGTTTATTCTTTAGTAACATCTTGAAAGAAAAACTCAAGAATACGGTTCTTAATTATTCCTTTCAATAAATACCTATCAATGCCCCAAAAGTGAATAAGGCACCAAATAGTGGATGTTACTCTAGTGCTCATATATAAAATAATGTTAAATTGAACAAGTACACTTGAATCTGCCTAGTTTACCATAACGCATGTTACAATTCCGTTAACAAGTGGAATGAAATTCATTAATCTAAATAGGGTATTTTGTGACCCCGCACGGGTTAATACCACTACTTTGTCTATTTCTGCCGTAAGGCATTATCGTGTTTCGGTTTGAAGGGTAGAGCAGCCGTTGTACTATTAAAATGAGATTTAGAGCTCTCAAGGTGGGCGGCGGAATTTACGTTTTTGCTGTCTACGTGATCTGGTAACCACTAAGCACGTTCCATTTAAATAAGCCCTAAAAATGCCAATTTTTTTTTACGTAAATTTTAGCATGTCCGAATATTTTACACAAACGCCAAGTGACAACAACTGTACAAAATTTGAACTCGATCGTATAAACGATGCGAGGACGCGGAGACTGCGAACAACAATATTATTTTCGTACAGATGTACCTACATCGTGCCACGTGTGGCGAAAGTACATATTTCCGGAAAAGAAGACACATACAACTGGTGATTCATAACACCATTAAATTGAAAACATTGAAATTGAAAAAATTATATTACTAACTAGCTGACCCGACAGACTTCGTATTGCCTCAATCGATAAATAAAAGACCTAAACTTTTGAATAAAATAAACTTAAAACAAACAAAAGGAATCCGTCCAACGGGGGACACATCAAAAGAAAAACAAAATTGTTATTTTTATTTAATTCCGAGCATTTTCCACCTTTTAAACCTTCTCTGGACTTCCACAAATAATTCAACACCAAGATTAGCCAAATCGGTCCAGCCGTTCTCGAGTTTTAGCGAGGCTAACGAACAGCAATTCGTTTTTATATAGATATATAGGTATTAGATGTTATTTCTACTGGTTTTTTTTTAGCTTACCACTTTAAATCTGGATCGAAGCACGCCGAGTTTCCCAAAACGCACGTGGAATGGCGAGCAGGTGAAGCTGCCATCGGGCTGTTCGACTACGATGACATCTATAGCTCCAGTAAGTGTTGCTGCGTTGATCTCATTATAGAATTCGCGAAAGTTCGCTATGAACTGACCGATATAATTCATAGAATACATGACTGCCGGTTTTCCGTACAACCTTGTCTTAAAATTAATACTGTATGTATCTCCTTTAACATACGCTTCGTTCTCACGAAAACGCCTTCAATTACCCCATAATGTTGGGACTAAAAACACGTATAACGTCGCCTTACTCTGTAACAAAGAAAATGAATCATTAATTCCCATCTAACAAAGAAATAAATAATTAATGGAATGTTTCAACCGCATTACTAACGTGTCTTTTCCATAATCTTTAATGATGAACGTTAATTCATGTTACACAAATTAAAATTAATTAGATATGTATTTGCATAATATTATTGTTTATATAGGGTTGGAACATTAGGTATGCGGTTTTCTCGTAACTTACAGAATTTCATGAATACAATTTTATGTCGGAAGAAGTTTGCAAATGTAAACTTTGCGTTTAAACACCAACTTAGAATTCTATCGACGTTTCAGGAAGCTAATTTATCAGACAGGAAATTTGAGTTGTAATAGGGGCATGCGTGCACGATGTTAGTGGTTGGATTTAAAGTATTTTTTTTTACTATTGATTCTGAAAACCAAGGTTGTGGTTTCGTCCTTAGATTTTATTAATTACTAACTGAGCCGAACCTCCTTGTTAGGTCCGAATTTCTACATTATTTTTCTGAATTTTGCCCGATTATGCCGATCCCTAATAAAGAAAATGGATCTTGTATAATAAAAAAATTGCCAATTCACTCCAGTTTTTCTCAAGTGATGAGCTTACGAACGAAAAGTATTTAATATTTATTCCCTTACCATTGAGGTGGTAAGTTCATTGGGAGCTTCGTGTACACTCCGTACACACACTTACGTTAATTATATTACTTTCAGAAAATGGAAAATTTCTTGTCTGTATATATGTATGTGTAATTATGTAATATAAATGTAATTATATGTAATATAAATATGTACCTGAACATTGAAGATAACTATAACAATATAGTGTTTACGTTAAAGATTATGTGTCTTCGTCAGAGTACCATATAAGTCTTTACAGTATCGATGACACTTGCTACACAAAGCTTGTAATACTTTATTTTTTTACATATAAAGTTACATCTAATCGCGTTATCATGAAAAGAACCAGGTTGAAACAATAAAACCACATTTTTTCTAGAACCAGCGACATTCCTAATGTTGTAATATAAACTAACATATTTTGTTCACTTAAAATTTCTATAACACGTTGGCTTGTTATGTCTAAGCATTGGTAGCTCTGTTGACTACTTGATCCGGAAATTGTTCCACATTGCATGTTTGACTATAAATATTCAAATGGCTATCGCTCTCTATTAATATCTGGGTATCAATAAAAACACTTGAGGTCGATGACTGACATAGTCTCGAAAACTAACCACTTTGATAGTCTGCAAAAACACAGGCAACAATTTTAAACACACAGATGTTTGTGTTCACACAATATTACGGTTTGAATGTCACAATATGAAATTGATCGCATTATTGATATAATTGTTGGCGTTCCTCGCTACTGTACAATGTGACCCGGATCTGAATTGTAGTTGGCGACATTATCAATATTAAATTGAAATTCGAGTTCCGGATATATTTGTATTTTTCTTGGGGAAATGTGTGTTTCCGGAAAACGTAACACATAAGAAAATCCTAAAACTTGAAACCTAAATATAACGACCGACAAGCAACCCGTTGTTGTCAAGAGAATACCTATCTACTATGAGAAAAAATTGTAACTCCGAGATATGAAATAAAAACGTTCTACTGTAATAAAAAGTATGAAGCCAATTCTTATTATTGTTAAAGTCACACAGTAGACTTTTTATATGAAAATTTGGTTAGTAAACAATTATAATTGCAGTAGTCAAAATGTGCACATATCAGATTTTGGTTTGACAACGACGATTTGGCAAATAAAACACCAGCGAATTCATTCACCCCGTTAGATAGACGTATTATGAATTTGTAAAAGTGAGCACGCGATCACAGCGTGCAGCGTGACGCAATGTGAACGTGAACACCGCTCAAGACGGCTGAGGACTTTACCCCCATAGACGCAGAATGACTAGTTCATAAAAATACTCAAATTAGACTTTGTCATAATATTTTAACTACATCTTACAGCATGATATAGGTAGGTGCCTAATTACCGAGGAAAATGTTGGCACGAGTAGTGTGTTTATTGTGATGTTGATGACCAAGTCAAGATCACGGACCAATGAGTGTATAAGGCGTTTCTGTCACTTTTAAATATCTAAAAATGTTATTGCTCCTCATCTATAATTTGTTTGTCGTTAGCCTAACACTTAACTTAACTTTGGTACGTCGTTATGGATTTGACTTTCATTGAAAACAGCGATCTCATCTGGAGCCTTAAACTTGAGTAATAATGCAAAACAATATCCAATCTATGACTAATAAAAGTTATACTTGTACCAGATGAGACAAACAGCATTTACATGATTTATAATTATATCGCACGTAAGCAAGAATTTAATTTTATCAACAACATTGCTACTCTAGATTACTTAGAATTGATTAACGTGATATCCTCTATATGCAATTCTTTTAAATAAGTTTATTAATTTTCTTAACGTGGATATTATAACTTTTCAATTTACCTTAATTTGATAAAAAACCTCGATAATCTGGATTTATTTTTATTCTACATATTTTAATATATTTTTTAAATTCGACAGGGTATAGTCAAAAAATACCGTGAAAAACAAAACTAAAATGTTCAAAATTTCAAGTCCTTAGCTCCTCAGCAAATTATTTTGAACGCGGTTAAGACTACATACAACCAGCAGCGCCACCCCTGCGATTCCCGACGGGTCGTCGACGCCGACCTTACAGGTTACTCTGTTGGGTCAGAAACAGCCTTTTTTTTCTTTCGGGCCGGGGGCCGAACCTCCTACGAGGCCCCCGCGCCTAGGGGACGCGCGGGGTATTTGACGATCTGCAAAGTGTTGGGAGCAGACCGCGGGCCCACCCACTAAACAACTCCACTGCACTCTTACACCCGACGTCCGATCTCCGTCCGGGGTCAAAACCCGGTCAGAGTAGGGGGATTCCCGCGGTCAACACTACAACCAGACACGCGGCGCCACCCCGAGGACGCCCGACCGACGGGTCGTCGAGGCGATAGTCGGCGACCAATGACGTCGGTCTCCGCGATACGGCGGCCCCCTCAGGCCGCCCGGGCGATGCCGCTGGTGTTCCGGGATACCCCGCTGGGCCAGAACCAGCCTGCCAGGTCGGAACGCGATACACCGCCGACCGGGTTGCTCTTCCACAGTATTTTCGGCGACGACAGCGGCGACGAAAATGCGGACCGCATCGCAGTCCGCAGCCGCCGACACGTCGTCCCGCCCTCCTGGTGCCAGCGCGCTAGATTGAAGGTAGCGTGCGGCGCAGCCTCAACCCCCTTAGGTCGCCCCGTGACCATCACCGGGAAGAGACTGTCTCTTCATAATCAGCCTACACCAGCGACGGTAGCATGTCGCGCAGGCTCAACTTCCTCAAGTCGCCCTGTGGCCTTCATTGAGAGAAAATTACCTGCCCACATGATAATAATACGTGATGCCTGCCTCCTCCATACACCTACTCTTCATTCTCATCATCGGTGCGCAGTCATAGTGCATAGTTACGTCAACTTATTTCCATACATTACTTTCTCTAGTTTTATTTTCAACACTGGTGATAAGTTGAAACCTGGTCACCATAGCAAAGCCGCTTGACGTGAATATGTGCATGCGCGTACATCAAATGAAATGTTTTATCTTATTTGATTCAAATAACATTTTAGGGTTCTGTAGCTAAATTAAAAGAAAAAAGTGATAACTTTATTTGTCCTTTACTCTAAGTCTCTCAAGTTTATCTAATGATGACATAATTCCAAAGGTAGGGATTTTGAAGGTGGAAAGTGAAAATAATTTAACAGGTATATTATACTGCTGCTATGTTGGCCGAATTCATCAAACAAATTTTCTAGAGCACAAAATTATAGGCGTGTGGATTATCGTTCCAAAAATATTATAACATAAAACGGTATCGGTGTGACAGATCTTCTAAATTCGTTAAAATACCTTTTCTTTTACTGCCTCTAGCTTTTCAACTTGATGGTGTTTTCCGAAAATATTAAAACCTTTAGCCAAAACTGACGATCATGTTGAGTAGGTTTTGATTGATAGGATATTATTGATTCACAGTAACGGTAAGTATGCAAAGAGTTAAACAACAAAATTATATGGTTTGCCAACCCAGTTGTATATCTAACAAGGCATTCGTAACACAAAGCCTCAGTGTTGTACATTGGCTAAAAGTAGGTTGAACTGATAAATTCTGAATTTTCAGTGAATTCGTTCAGTAACATGTACATTGTATGAACATTTTGCGGTCATACGATGGTATCGTGGCCATTACACGACTACGCTACAGCACGTCGCGTCGTGAACATAAACGTGATTGATAATAACATTTTGCATAATCAAAAGAAACGCTAATTTCTTTTGTGTACTTAGGTATTAATATAATGTTTATCTATTAGCAATGAGTAGAAGCGGAAGTGTTATTAAGAAAAACATTATCAGACATATGTATCGCTGTGGTTTGACTGAAACCTTATCTGTGTTTGGTCAAAGGTCTTCACGTGTTCCTGTCCTGTAAAGGCGTCATGAACATGTGAGTCGTCTATTATCAAAGGTGGCAATCTGTACATTTGGACAAAAAAATTTTATTGATATGTCAATACAGATTTATTTGAATATAATCGTCTCCTTCAAAGAATACGGTTAAAAAACCTGCATTAAATAAAGGTTAATAGTTAACCTGTTATTTATCTAAGATGTCGTTCCGAAGAGTTTTGTGACTGCCAATGGAATACAAAGTCAATAATTCGTTTTTCTGATTTACCAATCATTGTCCAAAAGTCAGATTGCCGNATATAATCGTCTCCTTCAAAGAATACGGTTAAAAAACCTGCATTAAATAAAGGTTAATAGTTAACCTGTTATTTATCTAAGATGTCGTTCCGAAGAGTTTTGTGACTGCCAATGGAATACAAAGTCAATAATTCGTTTTTCTGATTTACCAATCATTGTCCAAAAGTCAGATTGCCGCCTTTGATAATAGTCGACTCATGTGTACGAATGAACTATTAACTGGATATTCAATTTTAGGTTGTTATTATTTATAACAATATTATTCCTAACGTGTGGTTCTTTCGTAAGCGACAGTTATTATTAAAACAAAATCGAGTCTTCAACCTTTTTTTTCTATTGCTTAGATGGGAGGACGAGCTCACAGCCCACCTGGTGTTAAGTGGTTACTGGAGCCCATAGACATCTACAACGTAAATGCGCCACCCACCTTGAGATATAAGTTCTAAGGTATCAAGTATAGTTACAACGGCTACCCCGCCCTTCAAACCGAAACGCATTACTGCTTCACGGCAGAAATAAGCAGGTCAAATCTCAAGGTGGACAGCGGCATTTGCGTATGGACTCTGAGCTGAGCTGCGACAACCATTTAACTAGGCGAGTTATGAAGTCGTCAGCACATCTTATTGCGGTCCGATTGACATAAGCTATTTTTTATACCTAAAAAAACATCTCATTCCCACGGGAAACTATGCTTTATTATCTTTAAAAAATTACGTGTTTTGTAATGAAGCAGTGCATCGGCACAAGTGATAGTTTTAGGTCAGGAGAGTGACATAGACCGCCTTTTATCCTGAAAAATCACCTCATTCCCACCGAAAACTATGTTTTGGGCCTAGGCAATTAAGCAAATGAGATCAACGAAAAATCATTTTTACTAAATTAGCTCGCAATTACTAGTGATGTGTTTATGGTCAATTATTAAATAGGTCATGTTGCAAAGTTCTCAATACGAAATGATTAAAGACTGCATAGAAACTACTCAGTGATCACGACAGTAAATTAGAATAAATAAATATTGATAAAGCAACGTAAAAAGCGTACAATAACAATTATAAGAAAAAGGCGTACTTAAACGAATAAGAAAGCAACAAAGAAGTTCTGTAACGTTGTTTTGTAACACGTACCTATTTAATTGCTGCAAGTTTTAAACTAATTAATCTGCAAGAAGTTTTGGAATAATTTTACAGATAATTAATATTATGCAGTCTTACTACAAATAAAAGAAAAACGTTTAATGGCTTCTCTCAAAATATACCGTATCAACACAATACACATACAATTTATGTGAGACTTCTTTTCATTACATTTTTATTTTAAAAATTAATAATAATTATTAATTCGTACCTACTTTAATAGTTACACATTTTATATATAAAAAAACTAACCTTAAAACACAATGGTGATTATTCACGATTCAATATATTTTTTGCAATCAATTATTTACAATCTCTTCAAAGTTACGTATAAACTCTTGTGTAAACAAGAAAAACTTAAACGCGTGGTCACAATGTCAATTCAACTAACACACTGATTGTGCTGTGTGCGAGTATTGCGAGTTGTGACTGGCTCGTGTGGGTGGGAAGATACTGCGAGACTCCAACAGCCGATCATAAGCTGACGTAGTACTATGACGTACCCAATCCAGTGAATGTTTTTTAGAAACAGCTCATGAGTCGACTATTATCAAAGCCGGCAATGTGACTTTTGGACAATTATTGGTAAATCAGAAAAACGAATTATTGACTTTGGCAGTCACAAAACTCTTCTGAACGACATCTTAGATAAATAACAGGTTAAGTATTAACCTTTATTTAATGCAGGTTTTGAACCGTATTCTTTGAAGGAGACGATTATATTCAAATCAATCTGTATTGACATATCAATAACATTTTTTTGTCCAAATGCACAGATTGCCACCTTTGATAATAGACGACTCTTATCATTCGCATACAAGCCGATGTTCTTTATACGATTCAACCCACTGACTGATTTCTGACTAAAAGGAAAACTTGTACAAATTTTAAGTACTACGAAGCGACGGGTTGGTCGCGTGGTGTGGATGGCGTGATGTCGCGCCACTCGCACCATGTTGCGAAAGTATTCGTTTTAAAATTAAGCCTCGAGCTGTAGCACAATCACGGAGTAAATACAACACGCAAACTGCTATGGCGGTAGCAACAGATGTTAATTCAGCAGCGGCCTAAAAATAAATAGCGTAAAAATTTCAAACTATCCCTCTAATCACTGAATTTAATTACGTTATATTTAATTTAATTTCGATTAAGTAAGCCATTAATAATTTAATTACAGCTTTTCTGTTGACGCCATTTCCTCGTTATGGATCGATAAAACTGAAAGGTAGAGTAATAATAATAATGGAATGTGCTGCAAAACAAAGGTTGAAATGATTGTCCGAAATGTTTATTAAAAATTTACTACAATTTTTTTGACTTTGTTTGAGCTTGTTCATTTATTATCCTAGAAGCAGTATATGACTTCAGTTAAAGAAAAATTATTTTAATAAAAACACATAAACAGAGACTGATACGACAAAAAATTTTTGTTACTTGATTTAACGCTTATTTTATTTTTATTAGGTACCTATTAATATTAACGTTTTAATAACATAAACACAATTCTATTAGTGGTATTTTTTGCGTAGTGAACGAGATCACGCCCCGCTTGGTGTTAAGTGCTTTACTGGAGTCCATAGACGTCACAAACTGACCCACCTTGAGACGTGGTCGAAATCTCAATTGTGCTGTTTAAAGCTGTCCAACCCTTCAAATCGGAGTGCAAAAGTACTTCAAAATAACTTTCAGCTTCTCAGTTAAATTATAATTTGAAATGTTGAACTTTCAAAATAAATTACCAAGGTTATTTTTCCTCTATTCTCAAGAATTAATTAAGCTACTAATTAGCAGTATGATACACAAGGTGCCGGAAGGTAAATGTTCCCGAAGCCGTAATGGCATCATAGCAACTTGTTTTAACGTAAACCCAATATTGATTACTAACAAAACTACTAATTATTTAGTCTATGCATAATATTTTTCGTTTAACGAAATTTGGTTTTTTTATTTTTTTTATTGCCTCGATGGGGGGACGAGCTCACAGTCCACCTGGTATTAAGTGGTAACTGGAGCCCATAGACATCTACAACGTAAATGCGCCACCCACCTTGAGATATAAGTTATAAGGTATCAAGTATAGTTAGTTAGAACGGCTGCCCCACCCTTCAAGCCGAAACGTATTACTGCTTCACGGCAGAAATAGGCAAGGCGGAGGTACCTACCCGTGCGGACTCACAAGAGGTCCTACCACCAGTAATTACGCAAATTATAATTTTGCGGGTTTTATTTTTATTACACGATATTATTCCTTCACCGTGGAAGTCAATCATGAACATTTGTTGAGTACGTATTTCATTAGAAAAAATGGTACCCGCCTGGGATTCGATCACCGTTGTATCGCTCAACTCGAATGCACCGGAAGTTTAATCCTTTAGGCCACGACGACTTTAATAAGCCTAAAATGAAGACGACGGTAGTGAGTGCACTGAGTTTCTCGCCGGATCTTCTCAGTGGGTCGAGTTTCCGATCCGGTGGTAGATTCTGCGAAGTACTGCTCTTGCTAGGGTCAGTGTTAGCAACTTCGCCAGATTTGAGCCCCGTGAGCTCACCTACTCGTTCGGTAACGCTAATATATGGTCTCAAGGCTATGAGTACAGGAAGGATAAAAAAAAAGAAGAAGAAGACGACGCATCACCCACGTGCTGTTCATTTTATATGTATTGTATCGCGACGTTTTTTAATTGATCGTGTCAATATCTCCAGCCACCTTTTCTATTTAAGTCGCGCAGGTCTTTAAGTTTAAATATATTTCTGTATAGATTTAGTATTACAGTACAGTATTTCTAAAATTAGTAGACGTAACTAGAAAATTGTTTAAGGCCAAAAATGTTGACAGACTGTTACGGATCTGATATGTAAAAATAAAAATCTTGAAAAATAAAATAAACATTCACGCTTACGATGTATTGAATAATATTTGAACACATTATAAATAAATAGAATAGTTATTCGAGACCTGTATTTTATTTTTAATTTAAAACGACACACCCACCGATCATGAAATAAGATCTTTATAAACGTAACGAAATACAAGCAACCTTATTAGTCTACGAATGGGTGTGTCATGACGTGTTTTTACGACAAGCAGTGGCGTCGCAAAACGCCTGTTGCGTATTATTTAAACCGTCAAGGCCATTCTTAACTCCCATTTATAAAAATCGCAAACTAGCATTTGAATTTCGATCTTAAACAGTTGAGGCGTAATATATATTTTACCATCATTCGAAAACTGCGTAAATAAGCGCATTCGACGGCTGATATTATTATCTTTCCAATGGCCTTCAATTTTTCGACTAATGCGTGCCACTACAGTCAATACATTAAAGGTACGCAATGAAAAACAAAAACATGTTTTTCATATTATCAATATACCTAATAAGTTTAACGTTATCATATTGCGTGTACATAACAACATTTCGATCAAATGTTACATAATGTGTGATACTTGGTTGTATTTTTTTTATATTTCTAGGTCATATTTATCTAAAGATGTTAAGTAGTTTCGATGATAAGGTGTATATGCAAATAATATCTAATTTAATTTTATTGCGACTTATTTTGTACCTTTCAAAATAATAACGGATGCGTACACGATTTGTTTTGCTCGATCGATTTGTCACTAAATTTATTTCGTGAAATCGTGAATGACTTAATCATTCTTTTTCAATTGACGATTTTTTTTTTCATAGGTATGAAAAATGAAATTCTTAATCTGGAATACAAATTTTTTAAAATATCAATTAACGCCTGAAAATTATGAGTCATCGATTGCTTGTCATTGTTCGTCGTTCGCCACGTTTGTCCTATTAGCAAAGTATTAAAAAAAAACAACTATGCAGTCATTCGCAATAATAAACAAGTTATTTTTATCTTTAAGGATAGGGCATGTGGTCTTTGTTTATCTCCCTGGGCATTGCAGTCTCTTGCGATTTTTTAAATTATTTTAAATGATTAGATTTTTTAATTATTATTATTATTAATATAAGAAAAAATTAATACTAAATCTCATCACCAATAATTTGCCTATACCCATTTTCTTTGAATTCAACGTTCCAGTAGATATTTGTTACCATATTTATGTATTTCCTGTTTAATTTTCATAATAATGAATTGTATGTATGTACGTAAACGAAAGTCGTTTAAAAAAAAAGCGAAAATAAAGGTAAATAGACAAAGAAGAGTGGAAGTGCTTTAGGAACAATAAAAAAAAGCGATAATCGCAAGAAATAATACAAGAATGTTAGGGTTCCCCTCTACATATTATTTTACATTATATAACAATCTAACAAAATAGTGAATCATCTATTAATTGAGTCGTCTATTATCAAAGGTGGCAACCTGTGCATTTGGACAAAAAAATGTTATTGATATGTCAATACAGATTTATTTGAATAAAATCGTCTCCTTCAAAGAATACGGTTCAAAACCTGCATTAAATAAAGGTTAATACTTAACCTGTTATTTATCTAAGATGTCGTTCAGAAGAGTTTTGTGACTGCCAATGGAATACAAAGTCAATAATTCGTTTTTCTGATTTACCAATAATTGTTCAAAAGTCACATTGCCGGCTTTGATAATAGTCGACTCAATTGTTATGTTGTAATTATTAACTTTTTATGAATAGGAGTAGTCACACATCACATAACGTTTATACACGTGTACACTAAAAAAGGTCTTATTTGCTATCAGTTGTTTGCTGAATTTGTTTATCATATTTTATGTGAGATTATGTAAAGGAGCACAGCAGGGTCTGGCATAGGGCACTTCTGTCGAAGGTACCATTACGGAACCCCCGAGAGACTCTGCAAGTGGATCGCTAGCTTTTTGGATGGGGGAGCATCATTGTCGTTGTAGAAGGCTGCTGCTCCGATACCGTGACCATGAACACTGGCGTTCCACAAGGTTCGGTGCTCTCCCCCACACTGTTCATCCTGTATCTCAATGACATACTATCTACTGATGGCATGCATTGCTATGCGGATGACAGCACGGGGAATACGCGATATATCGGTAATCAGAGTCTTTCTCGGATCGTGGTGCAGGAGAGACGATCTAAACTTGTGTCTGAAATACAGGACTCTCTGGGGCGAGTCTCCGAGTGGGGTGAATTGAACTTGATTCAATGAAACCCGTTGAAGATAAGTTTGCGCGTTCACTGCGAAGAAGGACCCATTTCTCATGGTGCCGCAATTCCAAAGAGTATCCCTGCAACCTTCCAAGAGTATTAGGATACTTGGGGTCGACATTTCGAGCGATGTCCAATTTCGGAGTCATTTGGAGGGCAAAGCCAAGTTGGCGTCCAAAATGCTGGGAGTCCTCAACAGAGCGAATCAGTACTTCACGCCTGGACAAAGCCTTTTGCTTTACAAACCACAAGTCCGGCCTCGCGTGCAGTACTGCTCCCACAACTGGGCCGGGGCTCCCAAATACCAGCTACTTCCATGTGACTACTCCATACAGAAGAGGGCCGTTCGGATTATCGATAATTCCATTCTGACGGACCATTTGGAACCACTGGGTTTGCGGAGGGATTTTGCTTCTCTCTGTATTTTGTACCATATTTTCCATTGGGAGTGCTCTAAGGAATTATTTGAGATGATTCCTTCATCTCGTTTTAACATCGCACCACCACTAGGCCCACCTGACGGTGAGTGGTTACCGTCGCTCATGGACGTCAGCAATGCCAGGGGCAGAGCCAAGCCGCTGCCTACCGTTTAATACTCTCCACAAGCCTCGTATGAAGAAGGACATGTCGTAGTATTATATAATTTGTAACAAATAATTTATCTTAGTCTTAATTAATCTTACTTTAAATTAAACTGCCACATTTTCATGCAACTGCCACATTCACTGCAAGTTTTGCTATCATTGTTCGGAGTTCGGCACAATAGACATCTGCCGTTATTGCTTGACCAGATCAGATAAAGCTATAGTGAATAACACCATGCTGAGACCACCAAACAGTTACCATTAGCTTTTTATTGGTAAGCTTTTCTGTAGGACACTGTTGCGGCGTTTGACCTGGGGTCAGTTATTGCATTTTTCACTTACGGTTTTCTTAAAGAATCCACTTTTCATCACATGTCACAATTCGATCCAATATTCCTTCATTTCTGAAACACAAGTTTCAACACGCGTTTTTTTTTTGCAGACAGTCAAATCATGAGGAACCCATTTTTCATAAATTTTTTTATGCAAATGAATTAATTTTGTTGATAAGGTAATTTTGACCATGCCAATAATTTCTGGGTAGTTTAACTCGGATGGGCTTCCACCACCTCTTTCAATTCATTGTTATTCACATGTGTGGATGGTCTTCCACGTGGTTCATTCTTCAAATCAAAATTTCCATCACGAAAGCATTTAAGACAAAATCGCATGTTGCGTTCATTAGCAGTCCCCTCTCCAAACGCAACATTAATATTGCGAGCTGTTTCTGCAGCATTAGTTCCGTGTCGGAACTCTTATTCAAAAATCACTCGATTTTCGAAGTATGCATCTTTCTTGTCTAAGCTGAATAAAAAAAGAACTGAAGGTCGATAATCGAATGTTGCACATTTTTTAAAAGAAGAACCTCATAGGTACCATTTGAAAAAAGTTTCACTCAAAAATCTCAAACTATGAAGGTTCTATGTCAATTCCAGCTTACCTATTACAACAGAATGGCAATTTCATACTTTAACCCCTATTATGTGTAATTATTGTTTCCTTTGGTAAATACATAAGTTATACTTTACATAACAGGTGGATATGTATATATATATATCTTTTTGCTGTAGTTGGTTGATCTCACAACCCACTTGGTACTAAGTGAATACAGGTTCCTATAAACCTAACAATGTATATGTTGCATCCCATCTTGGACATAATTTAAGGTTAAATCTTATTGTAGCCATAGTGCCCATCAAATCAGAATGCACAAATTAACTGTCAAGAAATTAGCAAAATAGCTAATTATATTATAAAGATTCACAGTAGCAACAATATCCACCATATACCTGCCGTTTACACAAACAAGAAATAATGAGATAATTTACTTTGAAAGAATGGATTGACTGACTGGAAAGATTGACGAGAAGGCAGTTTAAAGCTATCCCTGACTTAGCTTAGCTTTGTTTTGTTGCAACACACCATAGCTTTGTATACATACAAGCGGCCCGCTCCAGCTCCCCTTGGGTCTTTAACAAATTTTCAACGATATTTGACGTTGTTTNTTTACACAAACAAGAAATAATGAGATAATTTACTTTGAAAGAATGGATTGACTGACTGGAAAGATTGACGAGAAGGCAGTTTAAAGCTATCCCTGACTTAGCTTAGCTTTGTTTTGTTGCAACACACCATAGCTTTGTATACATACAAGCGGCCCGCTCCAGCTCCCCTTGGGTCTTTAACAAATTTTCAACGATATTTGACGTTGTTTTATTTTTTTAAATAAAATAACACTTATTGCGGCATAACTATAATAGTTAGACATGTGCTGTCACAACACTTTTTGTAAATAATAATGTGTTCTATAAAGTCGTAGTACATTATTTTATCCTATCATCAATAATTTTCATAGGGCACGCGATGTAAAGAATATTTTAGGTAATTTTTTTACACCTTGCACTACGTTATTGGAGTTTTAATAAGGATCCCTAAATTTTTTTATACTTCTTATTATCAAGGATGCTATCCTAGGTTAGCAAATTGAGTTGAATGACTGATTTCCTGGAGGAACAGAGATGTTATTTGTGGTATTCCTCCCACACTTATACAAATTTGACAAAGTAGCTATCGATTTACAAAAACCAAGACCATATACTATACCACAAATTAATAACGCATCTTCAATCAGTTTTTGTGGATTTATCTATTTTTTCGTGTTTCATACAAAATAAACTGGGTGCATCAAAGGAACTTGTCTTTTAAATTTTTTCTAACTTGACTTCAAGATTGGTAGGTACAATTACGATTTGATCGCTGCTACAACAGCAACTTCATTTATATTAATAAAACCATATTTTTTACAATCAACGTTATCAAATTTAAAATAAGCCCCCATTTAGGTACATACGTTTTACTGTAAATTTAAAGCGGGTGGAAACATTAATAAAATATTTGAAAACTGCAAATTTCTTTTGTTACAAAAATTTTGGAACACTTACCAGAATAATTATAATCCACTTTAGAAATTTGGTGTGGTTTAGATACAATATTTATAGAACTAACAATAACATTCACTTTTTTAATAATCTAATTCAAGAAGAATCACTTTGTTTAAAAAATATGAAAACAGAAACTCTTTGTGGGACGTCGTTTTACAATTGGCTGACTACTAACCATAGATATTTTTTTTGGTAAAATTTTTCCTTATTAGGAAAGGCAAAGAGATCTAAGCCCATACAGCCTTGTCTGTTCTATTGACCATAGATACACTTTAGTTTCTATTGACTCCCTTATAACGTTCGTAAAATGGTGGCTATTTCCACATAATATCCACAGCAATAATTTTAGGTTATATTGACGAAATTAGTTTGGACTACGTAAACATGTGAGGTCTTGTATATTACACTGTCACGAACTACTCTAATCATTAAATCTATTAAATTTCCTAACTCAGGATACTTCAATCAACAACTGCTTAATTCATATCATACCCTGTGCCTATGCTAGCGCCATTCTTGAGGATTTCTGAACTGTTATTTAGTGTAGAAAAGGGGGCACTTTTTCAAGCTTCTCTCATAAGAGTTGATAAGAGACGGTTCTCCTTATCTCCACCCTCCATACATACAATCTAGCTGTGTGATAGGTGCTAGAGATTATAGGGGAGGAAATATAAAGATTATATACACATTATAAGAGTGATAGGTAGGTACCGTACTCGATAAGTAAATGTTGATGTATCGAAAAATCGATTCATTTTTTTTCTTTTGTTTAATTTAGACAATAAAATGTACTTCTAAAATAAAAATAAAACACAATATTTTAAGTTTACAGTTTGTTTTCACCATATCCATGTTGTTTTTCTATTGGCATAAAAACTAACGACAACGAAAATATTTATTTTTAAGTGGTGAATTCTGTTAGACAACCTCATGAATTTTTATTAAAAATGTTTGAATGTATAGATTAAAACTGTTAGTTGTTGTATCCCTCTCCATCCTGCCTATTTCAATCGCGAAACAAATGCATTAAGGATAGGACACGGCGTCAATGCGGTCATTATAATTCTAGATTTCGACATATTCTTGTTCAAGTTCAAAGGTTGTTAGCGAAATTTGTATGGTGTTTGGGAGCTCGCACGAATAAATACAACGACCTTGGCTATTTCTGTCGAGAAGCAATGTGTTTTCCTTTTTGTAGTACAGGAGTTATACTATATAACGGAAACTCAAACCTCATGTGTCATGGCGGGTGCCCTATAGATAATAATACACTTTGGGGTGCCCGCATCGACGTGGAAATGGCAACCATTTAAAACCAGGAGGGCCATGAGCTCGCCCACCAGTCCTACCAATAAAAAATTCAATCTTGGATGTCTATGTTCCGAGACACAGATACACAAGTTGGACCAAATGCATGTTTACCCATCTACAGAAATGAAAAAGTAGAATTTCCCTTCAAAAACCAGTTTACTTCTTAGGTACAGATAAATAATTAATTCCGAAATGATATTAATTTTATTCATTTATTGTAGGTATCACAATTTAATAAATTTGCAATAAAAGTATTTTAAATATATCTATTTACAGTATAAGTGTATTATGCTAACTGAGGCTGTGAATGATCTGAAGTACTCTCAGTGGAATCTGCAGCACCGTTTGGAACAGCATCTGGAGTACCCGATCTTCTTCTGTCAGTTCCAGAACTTTGACATTTATTACGAAGTTCAAAGACTTGCGTAATAGCATGCCGGAAACATAAGAAATTGTAATCGATCACACCTTAAAAAAAAAAACATTAAGTACGTTTTTGTTTTAACTTATGTTTAGTGTAACTAGATAGGTAGCAATAATCTCATGGTTTTTATCATTTATTGATTGCGGTCATATTACACAGTACAAACAATTTTTTTGTCCTACCTACGCCGAAAGTTCAGTTTTCGTACCGCTGTACAGGGAAGAAAGTGTAACTTTTCCTCCCGCTGTACAGGAAAGAAAGTAACTTTTTCTCCCTGGGTACAAGTGCGCATGCGCGTTAGTGTCTACGTCTGCTCTCACGCACATAAAATTCTACGCCGTTGTTGTGCTCCGGTAATTTGCAATATTGTATTTAGTGTAAAAGTGAAATAAACAAAAGGCAATAAAATTTAAAAGTGAAGTATTAAACAAAGATGAGTTCATCAGACAGTTCTTAGTTCAATTAGTAGTAGTTTATTTAAAAATAACAAAAGTGAAATTGTTATTTTTATGAGTAGGGGGGGGGTCCGCCCCCCCCGACTCCCGGCCAGGGCTTCGCCCCTGGACCCCGGCTCAGTACTCCACGAACTTTCGGCCTGGTAGGAGAAAAAATTGAAAAACAAAAAACACGCTGGAGGAAATGTCCAACTTTTCTCCCGCGGTGCACAATGTACTATATTTATTTTTATTGAAAGTTGTTGTAAAAATAAAACATCTTTGTAAAGGTGTGCTCTTGGCTCTTGGCTTGGTAGATGTTGTCAAATCAGCAAAGAAATGTTTAAATCACATACAAATATGATTTATACTTTTACTAACATTCAAGATAAAATTACACTGTAGTGCAGTGCTTCCCAACCATTTTTTGTTCCTGTACCAATTAATAAAACTTTTGATTTATGATACCCCACCCCTGATAACTCCCTACGTACTCCTAATCAGTCTCTCCGTCGGTCAATTTCTATTAAGGTAGTCATTATGTATAAGGTATTGAAGGTACTGAAATCGTCGTGGCCTAAAGGATAAGACGTCCGGTGCATACGATGCACTGGTGTTCGAATATCAGGCGAGTACCAATTTTTCTAATGAAATACGTACTTAACAAATGTTCACGATTGACTTTCACGGTGAAGGAATAATATCGTATAATAAAAATCAAACCCGCAAAATTTAATTTGCGTAATTACTGGTAGTCCCTTTTGTGAGTCCGCGCGGGTAGGTACCACCACCCTGTTTATTTCTGCCGTGAAGCAGTAAAGCGTTTCGGTTTGAAGGGTGGAGCAGCCGTTGTAACTATACTTGAGACTTTAGAACTTATATCTATGATAGTAGATGTCTATGGGTTCCAGTAACCACATAACACCAGGTGGGCTGTGAGCTCGTCCACCCATCTGAGCAATAAAAAAATGGTACATTTTAAACTACATAATACATTATAGTACATTAAATTATATTTTTAATAATTCTAGGGGCACAAGACTATTTAGTTTAAGCATTTCACTTATTAAGCGACATTTATCTTTGTAATTAAAGGTGCGTTTTATTTAGTATAAGTATCAACAGTCAATGTTTTTAATTGAACTTCAATTAAGTTTACACCATTGAAATAGCCGAAGAAGTTTTTTTGTTACGATATTGTTTCCAAATTTTAATCTTTAAATGGCTCTCATGTAAAGTTGCCAAAATGTTGCTTAAATCAAATATTTTATCATCCCTCGATATATATTATAATACATTATAATATTTTTTAAACAAGTTAACTGTTTTAATTTCTCAGTACTTCCACAATCACTGCTTAACGTTATAATCAATGCTATGACATCTATCATATCTAACATACCCCTTTAATACACATTAAAGGGATATATTAGTAACATATTATTACATTTATATTAGTATGTTTTTTCTTTTTAATTTTTAGGATAGCAAACTGTATACCTTGTTTTTGGAAATTTTCTTCCCTGAGAATGCAAACCAATGCCAAGAATTTGTTGACCTCTCGTAGATATAGTACAGTACCATTGTTTAGTTTTATCAAACTCGAACTTTCATTGTTGAACGTATTTGTTTCAGTTTCATCCACCATGCTATTAAACAAATAATTAAATTAGCAAATAATTCAGTTTAATTTAGAATGGTTATTTTGTGTTATTTAGCTATCAAGGTAGATAAAAATGTTATTTTGACAACAGTATAAAAAGAAAAAACATGTGTGCAATTCACACGTGGTAGAAGTGAAACCTTCCAAAATTAAAATACAATTATCCTAAACGTCTTAAGTATATGTAAAATTTTGTCATTAGTAAATAATTGTAAGGTAGCGCCCTCTGTGAATTGATATTTTAACTTCACGTATAATCCTAAATTAAAATTCACTACAAGAGCTTTCATACACACGTTAGTATTAAAAANATATTTTAACTTCACGTATAATCCTAAATTAAAATTCACTACAAGAGCTTTCATACACACGTTAGTATTAAAAAATCTCACAGATGGCGCTGTATTAAATAGTATGTATATTTCTGTCTCATTCTTTGCTGGCTTCATCCTACACATTTTTGTATTTGTGTCTCTTACCTGTCGTTTTTTCCGTTGCATCCGGTTTGAAATCACGATTCTAAAGAAGTTTTCACTTCAATATATAATTTTCTATTCTATAAATGTGACAACATAAGAAATCTTCATACATACCCATAAATACAAGATATATCAATTACGACATCAATCATATCACAGCAAAGCTCATAGCTTTGCATATCTACTGGTGAACTGTCAGTGGCTATATAAATCTTTGATACTACATCAAATAGGAATGCCTTTTCTATTCCGGAGTTCTGCAAAGTTAAAATTTTGTAAAAAGTTATATGTATTTAAAAACCACTACAGTATGTAGGGTTGTGCCCTCGTGTTTTTTTTAGATGGTGGCTGTTGGCGCGGATATAGGTGCAGCTTCATTGGACAGGCGCGCATGAACTTCAACCAGGAGGAGCACGCCCACAACCTTCCACATACATACCCGACTAAGAGTTGCAGCACCACATACCCGACTAAGAGATGCAGCATGTGTTTTTTATTGCTTTTATAGGCAGACGAGCGTACGGTCTACCTGATGGTAAGTTGTTACCGTCGCTCATGGAAGTCCCTGCCTGCCTCATAGTGAGGTCATAGGTCAGGAGAAAGTATTAAATCTAATCCTTATATATCGGCCAGAAAGAAGAAAATTATTCATGTAAACAAATTTCGGCTCCGAGAATATTTCAAATACTCTATTTGTTGCATTTGTTGGCAAGCAATGTTTAGAAAAGAAAAAACTGTGGAAAATAATTTTCACAAAGTTTGAAACACAGTAAGTTTATATTTTAGTATGACTGTCTACAACAATTTTGTAGTCCCTTGTGTTAAGTTGGTATTGGTGTCCATGGACATAACAGGAACCCTTCCGAGTAGGATAGCGATTCAAGATCAAGGCAACACCTTTATATTGTTATTATATTGTTTTTTTATCTCTTTTTATATATTATTTTTCAATCAATCAATATAATTACTATTCAGTAAAAGAATACTTACAGATATCAGTATATTTAAAAGATTTTCTAATGTAGGCAACTGAGGTATTAGCTTTTGGACTACTTTGCTAAATGCTTCAAATATTGAATGGTCATATATGCTTGTAAGATGGAAGGATAGATGTACATGATGGAGACCAGCTTCTGCAAGATCATCAGTGGCCCGGTGGTGTATATCCCTTTGAGATTCCATTTTGTAATCATCATTGAGACCATCAACCTGAATAAATATTATTAAATAATTTTAATAAAACTGAAACGTTTATGACAGTATATGGTGCATCTGATGAAAAAGTCTTGGAAGATAATATTAAGTCAAAATTTAATGTTCCCAAATCAGGACATAGACCTTGTCGATGCGCAAAAGGGAAAATAAATACAATAAACTTTGTACAAAGTATACATTATTATACATTCAAACTATTATAATTGATAAGAAATTGTAACATTTGGTTTACTATTACATTAAATACACATATTTTGTTTCTACATTGACCATGAATATAGATAATTTGTGAATAATTTTAGTTGGATTTGTTTCTATTTTTGTTTTGTTTTGTTACAAACGTCCATAGACATCACAATGTGATTGTTGAAAGTTAGAAAACTGTTGTATCTGGTGGTGATTTTTGTCAAGCAATTAGGGCTCGTTTCTGTTGAGATTACAGCTCTGTTTATTTGTAGAATAAAAAACACCATAACAAATTAACAATTAGCTACTTTGAAACATAAAATTTAGTTCTCAATTACAATGGCAAAAGGTATAAATAGTAGTACAAATGTTTATAATAATAGTAGTTACACTTGAACAATAACCAGAACATGTGATGATTGCTTAGCAACAGGATAAGCAAAATTGTGGTATAGATTAATGCGAGTTCACACATTGCTTGAATTAAGAAATTCAGTAAAAAAAACAATATATTTTGCTATTAACAATGAGTTGGAAGTATGGTAATTGATTGAGAAGATCAATTACATACCCATAAATGTATACATACCTTATAATTTTAGCCTAAGCTTATCATTAAGATCTCTAACTTATATAAAAACTATTGATGATGTCACTGCTATTTTTGTTTGGGTTTGAATATCACACATTTTTATTAGCTTTTTTTATCATAAAATATCAATGATGACATTGCTTACTTTATGTATGAACACCTCAAATTTAATATTACTATTCACTCTGTAGGCTTTAGTGACAGTAAGTTGTAATTTATCCAAAGCATCTTGATAATCATCCTGGAATGACAAAATTAGTAATGGTTCATTTACAATTACAACGAAGGGACAGTAAATAAATAGTTGTGTATAAATATAATGACATTGTAGATATATATTTTGTGAACAGTACTTGTTTTGAAATGAACAAATTGCATTTTATTAATTTAATAAACTTGAAATTCTTGTGTTGACTTAATGTAACATAGTCTTGTTGTGAAAAGTATTTAAAAGGTTATTGTTATGTTTGACAGTTATTTATATCTGAGTCAGAACAGAGTTTGAATCACACTTGCAGATACTATACTATCANCATTGTAGATATATATTTTGTGAACAGTACTTGTTTTGAAATGAACAAATTGCATTTTATTAATTTAATAAACTTGAAATTCTTGTGTTGACTTAATGTAACATAGTCTTGTTGTGAAAAGTATTTAAAAGGTTATTGTTATGTTTGACAGTTATTTATATCTGAGTCAGAACAGAGTTTGAATCACACTTGCAGATACAATACTATCAGTTTATTAAATCTATATAATTACTAGCGACACGCCCTCGCTTCGCTTCGGAAACATTAAAACACACATGAAATAAATAAATAAAAAAATAAAAAAAATTAAAAAAAGTAGCCTATGTTCATCAGGGACAATGTTGGCTTTTAATGAAAAAGAATTTTTCAAATCGGTCCAGTAGTTTCGGAGCCTATTCGAAACAAACAAATATTTCCTCTTTATAATATTAGTATAGATTGCTACAAACTCTGTACAAGGGACAAAAATGGAGGTATATGTATGGTGACATACATTATCACTAATTTACTAAAAGCTGCAATAGAGTATTAGCAAAGTACTAATAAAAAATTGTATTTTCATCAATAAAATTAGTACTCAATCAATCATAATAATTTGGCATTTATTAATTTAAGTGGCAGGCAGCAGCTTGGTTCTGCCCCTGGTATTGACATCTATGAGCGATGGTAACCACTTACCATCAGGTGGGCCATATGCATGTCTGGCTGTTAACTACAAAAAAAAATTAAATTACCTGCGCATCAATTACAAAGACAAGAGCTCCACATCCACCAAATATGGTGTCAGAATCAAATGTAGGGTCAAAGAAGTCTATCTGCCCGGGAAAGTCCCATATTTGAAATTGTACAAAACTGCTGTTATTAATGTCGTCTTTAACAATTTGATTTGTAGATTCTAAAAACAATGTCTCATTTGGAGACATCTTGTGAAATACAACTTTTTGAATTGATGATTTTCCAGACCTAAAAAGTAATATTGATACATTTAAAAAAAAAGTTAAAATTTGTTTAGTCCCATATAACAAGTATCCGCCATAAGTACCTTCTAAGGCCCATTAAAAGGATTCGTGGTTTGTGATCGTCTTGAAGAGAAGAACTATCGCCATCTCCATTTTGCTCGAAAGGTCCATAGGTAAAATCTTTGGGGAACGACCCCACATAACAATTTGGATCGTCCTGATAACTCTGAATCATTGAGAACAAAGATAACTTGAAACAAAAACGACAACATGAACAGGAATGACATGTTCGTGTGTGTACTTACCATAATCTAGATAAAGTCCAAACAAAAATCAGGACAAATGGGAATTACTGTATATTGATTATGATTTCAGTATATTTTAAGCTTTAATCAACATTTCGGCTCAGTAAACTAGCTGTTTATAAATATTCTCAAATGTATGTTCATCAATTTCTCACTGATACACTTCGAAGCAATTTATGTGCCCACTTAACTATGTAGGTAGGTATGTACCTACCTCTTTTAGCACTAAAAACTGTCAATGAATAAACTGGTTACTGTCACATTTGACAGTGACATAAAGTATCTCGTGTCACTTACGATGTTGGTGTTAAATGACAATAGTGTTTTTTTTTTTTTTCCTACCTATGCTGATAGCCTTGAGAGGCTATTTCAGTTTACCCTAGCTTGTGTAGGTGAGCTCACGGGGCTCAAACCGGAGAATTGCTAACACTGACCCTAGCAAGAGCAGTGCTTCGCAGAATCTACCACCGGGTCGGAAACGCGACCCACTGAGAAGATCCGGTGAGAAACTCAGTGGGCTGTGTCTGTGGGTTAATTCGCTCGTCGAGCCCTTCGTCGCAAGCGACGGGTTCGACGAGGACGGTGACCGGTGCTTGTATTGCCTAAAAGCACCACAATAGTGTAGTTTCTCTTAGGTTCAAACCGTGGAGGGTAGACCTCTACCATCCATAGTTCAAACTACTAAATCGATCCCATTAAAATTAATGTATCAATGTACGTACTCGAGATAGGTTAGTAGTACTTAGGAATTGCAACAGTTTGATTTCATAAACAACACACCATTGTAGATTTTTAAATTTGTTGCGATGGTAATTTGCTTGTAGCCGTAGTTGCATTATCTTTTTCAACAGGGTGATCAATTTTGTGAGGGCTAACTCTATTTCTACGTTAATCTACCGTCTATTGGTTCATCTTATGGTGGTAGTAGGACGATTTAGAAGCACCTGTGAAGGCTTATTTGTATCAATTATTTTAAATGTGCCTATTTAATTTTGGTTAAGATCAACTGGTAATTGAAGTATACTACACATTTTCATTTGACTAGATAACCGGTGTAAAGGGGTTTACTATTTTACATACGACTTGTAACAAAAAAATCGAAGCTATGGGATTTGATTGATTTCAAATTTAAATGAGTGTTATCTACATATTTTCCCAGAAGCATAATTGAGGCGTATAGTCCGCACAAGCAGCAATAATAATTAATTGGCAACACCATGCTGCCTACTTGTTTTCCCAGGTCGCAACAAGCATCCAAATAACTTCATAAACTTTCACATTTCTATTTCTAGTATGATACATATTTATGTACATGTACTTTGTTATTATATATAAAAATGAAATGGGGCGGAATGAAAAAAGTAGATGAGCTAAAATGAAGTAATATCTCAGTAGAATGCTGGGAATTTACGAAGATTTTGGTGAACTTTTTTAAAGAACCCGAGAAGTCACGTTTAGTGATTATATTTCATTTTTCCTCATCCAAATATTAAACGCTTAACAAGCTACCACTCCCACCTATAACACGAGATATCGAGGGAATCTACAATGTTCCGTCGGTAGCTTATCCATCTTACACTAATACAAAGAGCTATGTAAAGTCACTCCGACGGAAGTTAAAGACCTAATCAAAGACCTAAGTCCTTGCAAGGCTCTCGGTTCCGACGGTATATCGAACCGCTTTATTAAAGTCTACCCGTCGAACTCATCGTGATATTGACATTTATTTTCAATGCCGCTATGGCGAACTATATTTTTCTAGCGGTGTGGAAAGAAGCGGACGTTATCGGCATACATAATCCCGATTAACTTAAAAATCATCAGACTAGTTACTAGGGCATTCTCATCGATGCACAATTCGGACTCTGCGCAAATCACTCATGCGTAGAACAGGTGCACCGCCTCACAGAGCACATTCTCGTAGGGCTTAACCGACCTAAACCGTTATACACGGGAGCCCTTTTCTTCGACGTCGCAAAAGCGTTCAACAAAGGCTGGCACAACGGTTTGATTTTCAAACTTTTCAACATGGGCGTGCCGGACAGTCTTGTGCTTGTCACATGGGACTTCTTGTCGAACCGCTCTTTTCGATTTTAATTTATTTATTGACGATTTTCCCCGGTCACCACTGACCCAGTTAGCTCTATTCACCGACGATACGACCGTTTACTACTCGAGTAGAAACAAGTCCCTAATTGCGAGTAAACTCCAGAACGCAGCGTTAGCCCTCGGATAGTGGTTTCGAAAATGGCGCATAGACATCAACCCAGCGAAAAGCACAGCGGTGCTATTTCAAAGGGGAAACTCCACACGGATTTCCTTCCTGATTAGGAGGGGAAATCTCATACCTCTTCAGCCAACCCATACCCTGGGCCAGGAAGGTCAAGTACCTGGGTGTCACCCTGGATGCATCCATGACATTCCGCCCCCATATGAAATCAGTCCGCGACTATACCGCATTGCTTCTCGGCAGACTCTACCCCATGATCTGAAGCGGAGTAAAATGTCTCTTCGGAACAAAATGACACTACAAAACTTGCATAAGGCCCGTCATGACTTACGCGAGTGTGGTGTTCGCTCACGCGGCTCGCATACCATAGACACCCTCCAATCCCTACAATCCAGCTTTTGTAGGTTAGGCCGTCGGAGCTCCGTGGTTCGTAAGGAACGTTGACTTACACGACGATCTGGGCCTCGAAACAATCCGGAAATACATGAAATCAGCGTCGGAAAGATACTTCGATAAGGCTATGCGTCATGATAATCGCCTTATCGTTGCCGCCGATGACTACTCTCTGAATCCTGATGACACAGGAGCCAGCCACTGTCGACGCCCTAGATACGTCCTTACGGATCCATCAGATCCAATAATCCTTGCATTAGACACCTTTAGCTCTAATAGGAGTAGGGACCCCGATAACCGTACTCGTCAAACTCGGCAAAGAGTTCGACGTGCAACCTAATCCGTGCATCAGCTTGCTGAGTTTTTCGTCGAATCTTCTCAGCGGGTTGCGATTCCGATCCGGTAGTAGATTCATTCGCAAAGCAGCTGCTCTTTAGTTGTTAGGTCTCCATCGGAGGCGCTCGGGCAGCTGTTAGCAAATTCCACCCCTCCGGGCTGAGCTTTTGCTCCCCCACCTGTCCTGATGAAATGGAAAAGGCCTCCGGGCCACCTCCGGGCCTCCGTCTAGTAATCCTTCAATCCTAAAAAAAAAAGCAATGTAAAGTTACATCAGGTTTTGCATCAGTGAAGCTTTTCTGTTCAGAGACCATAAAAAAGAAATACAACAATTTAGCTGTAAAATTTATTTAAAAAATACAGTAATAACGAATAAAATTTAAAAAAATGAAACAAACTCGTTATATACTGATTATTTAAATTGTTAAAAAACAGACACAGTACATGTTCTTGTAATAATCGAACCCTTTTACAGATTACAATACCAAGATATAAACTTTACATAACAAATATTTAGTACTTTAATAAAACTTAAATGCTCAGGGAATTGTTTGAGTTGATTTTGTCATCATATTATACCCCTATATCACTCATCAAGTTCACTCTTAGGGCCTGAAAACACTGAACACATCCACAGTGCGTTTCCACACTGCCACACTCCGACTCTGGATTTAATTCCCTCCACAGTACTAAGTTTCACGACAGGTCCGAAAACAGGGTTTAAAGAGATCTCGACAGTAGGCTTAGCGATGTCTTTATATTGGCGACGTCGATAAACGACAGTGATAAGTCACCATCAACCATTTAAGTCGTGTGCTAGTTAGTCTCTCTTCGAAGACAATTAAAAATGTTGTAGTTCTGTATGCGCTAGTCTTTATAGTTTGATATTTCGTCTTTTCTATTCGATACAAAATCTTATTAAATGGGCAGACGTGCGGGTATTATGATGTTATGAGGGCAAGTTTAAAAAAAGGCAACATAACATGAACACCATGGCCCATTTTGAAAAATGCGTTGAATAATTGCATTCCTCTTCTGGAAAACGAAATTCATGTTCCGTTTCGCAGCAGAATAGATAAAATAGACATATATAATGGCACCTCGTACAGACCCTCAAGTCGTTATATTACTAGTAAGTATTAATTATCTTTGGGATATTAATCCATCTACTGAGCCGAGGTGCCGAAAAGGGTATTTTCATAATGTATTCTAAAATTTAATCTAGACGAGTGTTATAATACAGGTTAGTCGAAGATGGTTTTCTACTACATTTGCAACATGGTACGAAGGCGGAGGAGCTGGCTGACATAGTTTGCAATATGTGCCGCGGGGGCCGTGAAATAGCTTTAGTAATTTGATCAGCACTCGCGCAAGGTTCATCTGGATGTAGCCGACGTTGTCGTTCAATTCTTAATCTTTCGAAGCGCTGAGCAAATGCAACGCTTCGCTGAAGTCCGGCAAGACTTTGAGTACGTGCTGGAAACCGTTCTAAATTGTTCGAAACTTCTCCAACCTCAGCGGTATCAGTATCAACGATTTCTTTGTGGTCTAAAATCATTCCAATGTTTAATTTCAAGTTGGTAGTACCATCTCTAAAAATGAGATATACTGTGGCTTGATCTAGTATCTTCAATGAGAAGTTATCATTGATCTTCAAAGCTTTCATTTTTATTTGAAATGGTTTGAAAGATTGGGACAGCTTTTTACTTTTCTCTTTTATAAAGTTGTCGAACTCAATAGCGAGCATTTCCTCATTGTCTGGGCGCGTGTTATCATCTGCATGTCCACCAATTTTCAAAATTTCAGGATCTTTTTGCGCTAGCTGCGTATCTATCATAACTTTTTGTAAAACCGGCGGATCATTCAAAGTGTGCCATTTCCAATGAGAAACTGGTCCTAATTTTGTGTCCAGTATAACGCCTTCAGTTTGATTGTATTTGAGTCTATAGTTTAAACAGATTAATATTATAGGTAATTATTTGTAAGAAGCCAATGCTTGTGATTGACACTTCAAACTCAGATATGAAGTGCGTGGGTAAATTCAGGGACTGATTTCTATGGGCACCATTAACCATTTAACACAACATAAGCTGGGAGGGCTTTCACCCATCTCGGTAATAAGAGAAAATGATCAAAACTTCCTAAAAGAATTTTGTGGAAAACTATAGTAAGAAGAACAAAAATAAAGAACATCAAACTTCTACTTCGGAATTCAACTTCAATTTTAATTTTTCAATGTACTTTACTCACCGAATTTTACCACTGTGATCAAATACTATACCATTACCCAAATAATCAAACGTTGCTAAAACGGTAGTAGGATGTGATCGACCATTTTCATTTTTCTCGCCGCTGCTATATACCACAAATCGCTGCTGCGCATTACTCTCTGTTTTAAAAATTAATTCGATTAAATTCTCTTAAGAACAAACCTGCTGTACCCATTTCGTCACGAGTTTATATTAACGTTAACCAAATAACAATAATAATAACATCTAAGTATCTAAATTACATTAAAAAAAAATCTCGTTTTATCTCGTATTTATCGTGAAAACTGTTGTATGCGGCATACCGTCTTTATAATTAAATAAATGTCTTCTTGTCTGTCAGGATAGGCTTCAATTCATAAGATTCTTTGCCAAAAATGTTGTTAGTTTTTGGCCAAACCTACTTATTTGATTTACATTAATTCCTTAGAAATCCGAAGTTTCTATTTTACAAAATTTACGAGAGAGAGCGCGCCGCTTTTAGTGGGGTCCCCGTTTGCGATTGATCGGTTTGCGTCCGAAATATCATGTAAATACTAACATTAGTAACAAATGACAAAAATATTACTGTGTAGCAAACTAAGCAACCTTCTTATAAGCGATAAATATCCCAAATACAATTGAATGAAATTAATAATAAAATTGACCTTCAGCGTCGTAATAATCAAGAGCAAGTTGACCATTTCTGTAAAACCAACGACCACGTCCATTATCATCGAATTCTGCTAGTTTTTCTCCAGAGTCGTAATGTTTTATACCTTTATTCTTGTTACGTTCAAACCAGTTAAATTCAGGATGAGCTGGTCGCATACGATATACGTTCATCTATTAATTAAGCCAATGTCTAATGATTAACAAGATCATAATACCTACCTAATAACACTTATTAATTAAAACAAGATGTTAACAAATAATTTTAAGCATTTTTTTTACATGAAATTTGGCAAACGTTTTGCGATTCAGGCGCTCGCTAAGTACCTAAGTTTAATAGTATTTCAAAATTAAAACCATTACTCAAGATTTTAAAAATACCAATTAACATTATCATGGCCATACGATAACCATCGACATAGGCTCCACGTTACTTCTATGGGCTCCGTATTATACATTTTATGAATTAATAATAAAAATTTGGATATTTCATAATATCGCAGTTGTTCCTACACTGTTACCTAAAATATTTGTTTATCGAATACGTTTTTTTTTTTATGTAGTTATTGCATAATAACATCTAAAAACATAGTACCCTGTCTCTAAATATACTTACTATTTGAGATGATATATCTATGAGATGATGTATGATCTACCTACCAATAAAAGTCCTGTCAGGATCGGTTCCGCTGTTTCGGGATTGGCTCGTACAAAGAGACACGCGGGCAATAGACGGTTAGATAAAGAAAACGAATTGTTTTTGTTTGCTTAAATGCAGGAAAAACCAACATTTGTCACTTAAATTTTATATATTAAATAACGATTAATGCTACAAATAAATAACAAATTTAACGCCGACGAAACAACGGGGAAAGACTCAAGTCGCAAGTCTATGGGCATGTAAAGCTCCGACGTCTCAACGATATGAATGAAATTGAACGTTTGTTTGTTTATTGGCCTTAATGCCTTTCTAAGCCAGTTTTTCATATAATTAGGGATGGTCACAGCGTGGTGGGGTTGTGTGGATTTCACTATATGTACCTATTAGGAAAATTGCTTACCTTGCGAACCACTTTTTCAATAGGTAATAACGTCCATCCTTTATCAATGAAAGACCGATCAGATAAAGCATAACGCGTTATACCTTTTGTGGATTCTTGATCAATCTGCGATTAATAAAACACCTCGATAAATTTTATAATATTACGTGCCTATGCCTTTAGTTTTACTCTGAAAGAAGCGAGCCCTGAGTATACTTTAATTTATGTTTAATTTACGTGCTTATCTAACTACACACATCAATTTTGCACCACGCAAACACAAGTAGGTATTTAATAAAAATATTAACTAAACTAAACTACGGATAAACGAGGTTCGAAGGAAAGTAGATTTTGCATTTCATAATGCAATTACTGATGCACTTGAATGATGTTATTATAGTTTCCTACTTTCTCCTTACATCATTTTTCTTCACTTTAGACATTAATAAAATAACCGGAAACCGATTTAAGTGTGTAAATGAATAAAAGTATGTAATATAAAAACAATAAAAGTTATGACAAAATTTGTAATTTTACAGTCAAAAAGACATTACTAGTCCTTGATCTCGTGTCATATTTTAAACAGTTACTTTATTTAATAAAAATAATTACAAAAAGTTTGTAATGAGCAGTAGTAATAGTTGAAATACGATATTTTTTAGTGAACTTTATCACAGACAGCGAAATACGAAATGTGCAAATATATCACGCCGCCCGGCCCGCGCCGTGAACGAAAAATCAGTTTTCCTTAAATTAAATATTGGAGAAAAAAGGGTCGCTTAAATTTTCTTGGCTTGATCTTTTTTAGTACTTGCATCTTCGAACAATGTAGTTATAGATTTAGTTTTTTTTATACATTTTTATTCTAAGCTTTTTTATAAATCAATTAAAAGGTAATTTGTAATTAATTGTATTAGCCAATATAAAAAAATAAGCAAGCATGTATTTTTACAGTCCCGGCTAAAATGTACTTACTGCTTTTGGAATCTTCGAGCTTGGCATCGAAATAAGTTTATTCTCATTATTTAAATTTTTATCTGATCTATCTCCAGATTTCGTATAAGCCATATTCTCATCATAATATGTCTGAAATAACAGAGGCACAGAGCCCTCGTCGTTTTTTTCGTTTGGTTTGGTTTTTAATATTTTCTGTCCAACCACAACATCATAATTAGTTTTTCTATTTTTAGCGTTCAATACAATATTTTCAATGTCCAATTCTAAATCTGAATCAATACATATCATACAAGAAGACGTTTTGTTATTTTTGTGAAGTTCTAAGTGATTTTGAACCATAAATGACGAAACATTAAGGTCTGATAATCGACTAGGTTTTTTTGGAATACTTTTTGAAGATTGCTTCAATTTTACCAAACGAAGAATCAAATCATCCGTTGATGGTGCGCGTACTTTTATTTTATTAGGATTCATTTCGTTATTTTTCAAATCTTTATTTGGCAATTGAGTAATTTCGTTTGTTTTTAGCTGCTTCTTTAATTTATCTTCACTGGTAATTTCATTTAGATTTTTTCCAACATTTTTACCCGTCTTTTCTTCGAGGTTACTTTGGACCTTTTTATCCTTAACTTGATTGAGTTTCTCTTTTAATTTTTCTTTAAATATATTCTGAACGTCTTCTTCACGGCCAAGCGAACTTTTTTGTTTTTCGTGCGTATTACTCTCATGTTCATTCTGGAGAACATCTAATTTTTCTAGTCTTAATTGTTTTCGCTTTACCTTTTCATCAGGCTGTGTTTCTCCTTTTTTCTTTTTTTTTAAACGGTCTTTTTCATCGTTACTTATTTTTAAGAGGTCATCCTTTTCTTTGGTATCTTTAATTTTCTTTTTTTTAAGCGTGCTATTATCACCACTTGGGCTATTTCTCCATATTTGATTTTTTCCGTTTCTTTTGTAGTCCTTATCCTGTTCTTTTAAATTTGGCTCTTCTTGCATGTTATCTGCTGGACCATTTTTAATTTTTTTGTTTGCTTTTTCTTTTGAAATATGTGTTATTTCGTTTGTTTTATTTTCTACCTGATTAATGTTTAGACGCTCGCTTTCTATTCGGCTATTTTTGTGCTTTGTTTCACGAGTTCTAATTGGCAAGGGTTTTTTTTCTACTCGCTTTTTTTTAAGGATCTGAACTTTAGCTTGTATTTCTCCCTGAAAATGATTTCCTTCATTTGTTAGTTTATTAAATTTGGATTTAACTTGCAACATTTCTTGTACTTCTTTTATTAAATCCGTAGAATCTTTATATGATTTAATTTTATTTACTAAAATGGGAGATTGGGGAAAGTTAAAAGTAAAGGCCTCTTTTAGGGATATAACAGAGGAAACACTTTCTTTGCGAGCTTCTTGCTCAAAATTATTATTTTTAAGAAAGTCCTCAGATTGACTTTCTTTTGGAACATTTTTATTTTTCACTTTTCTCAAACGGCTTTTATAATGATCATCGGAAGGAGCTTTGGAGTAAATTGTCTCTACAGCTTTGGAGGTCTTTGTATTAAAATGAAGTTCAGAAAATCTATTGTATTTGTTGAGTTTTTCTAACTCAACCGTATTTAATGTTTCTATGCTTAAAGAAACCGCTGTTTTAAAATCCGTTTTAAACGAAACCTTTTCATTGAAATTAATTGCAGATTCACGCACAGGACTAGTAATCGATAGATAGCTTGCGTTTTTTATACAGGTTCGGCTCTGTTCTAAAAATGATTTTCTTTTCTTTCTTTTCTCCAATCTAAAATTGGTTGACAGTGAAACTTTATGACGTATACTTTTGTTACATGAATCACTAGAAAACAATTCAGACAGAATACTTAGTTTGTTTGTTTCTCTTGCAGACTTAACACTTTTGGCATCTTCTGTGAATCGATCTAAAGAAAATTGTGCGCTTCCAAACTGTTTCATTGTATTGTGCTGATTTAATGCTATATCTCGTAGTATTGTTTTTATCTTTTTTAACCATTGCTTAGTTAAATATGCTTTGTTTTGGCTCGACTTAGAAGTGGTACTTTTTTCTGTTGTGGTTTTGCACGCATGACACGGACAGTTGTACCGGCCGAAATCTACACAATGATGACACAATCCCACGTTGCTAGATTCTGTTTGCCGGAACAGCTTAGATTTCTTCGTAATAAATCTAAGACAACGGGGACAAGTGATTTTTCGTGTGTCTGTAAAAGATATCCAGAAATAAACAATAAAAACAGTTACCCAGTCTATACTTAGTCTGGCCATAAATACTGTTACAATAATTAAAAATAAACAATATTACATTTGAATTTGGAATCTGTCATTTTTATATGATTGCTCATTGAGTTTTCTCATTTTGGCGCCAATACATTGTACAATATTTTGCGATATTAAAATGGAGTGGGGTGATAAAGAGAACCGAATCGCTGTGATTGCATTACACAAAGTAGGTATGGAGCCAAATGCAATTTTTAAAACTCTCCATACGCTTGGTATTAGTAAAATGTTTGTGTACGGTATCGGGCTATTAATAGGTGCAATGAGACCTCCTCTGTTTTTGACAGAAAAAGATCTGGCCGTCCACGTAGTGTTCGTGCGAAAAAGGTGGTCAAAGCAGTAAGGGAAAGAAGTCGAAGAAATCCTGTCCGAAACTTCGAATAAGCTTTTTATACTTTAAATTGTTTTATATTTATGTATTAAACTAACACACTGTAAAAGTAATAAATGTTATTTGCAATATAATTTTTTTTCCCTTTGTCTCAGTATTTAGGGCAAGACTAGGTAGGTATAGTTCTTACATCTTACAAAAGGTTAAAACTTACAAATATGTACCGATATACTTACCGGGAGTAACAAAACCGATTGCTATATTCATAAGAAGCTCATTCCAAAGCTGGATGGTACATTGCAAAATATTTTCTGGAAACGCATTGGATCACCGTATCGGTTCCAAAAAGAATCAACCCTACTCGAGTGACGGGCGGTACAATGGCAAAATGAAGATGATTGTATCATCTAAAACAATTGCTCAAATAACTCCCTATGAAAAATATGGTACAAAACATAGAGATAACCATAGCCTCTCCGTAGATACAGAGGTTCTTTACGCGACTATTCGAACGACCTGCTTTTTTATGAAGTAACATAAAACTAGCCGGTGCTTGGAAGTTCACCGTTGACTCCACGCGAATCCTAATTTGTACTTTGTAGAGAATAAGCCCCAACTCCAGGCTTTTGTTGGCTGAAAACTCCCAGTAAGACGTCAATTTTCCATGCCAAATATCTGAGACATCGAACCAGCACAAGTCTTTCTTCACAGCGAACGCTCAAACTTATGGGATTAATTAAATTTACTTTATTTGGATTTCCTTACAGAGTTCTTTAAGTAGGCGTAAAATGGTAATAACTTATATATTTTTTTCGTAGACCAGTACGAACGAGCTCACGGCTCAAACCTTGTTTGAATGGTTATCGGAGCCCATAAATGCCACCACCAACCTTGAGATATGAGGTGTAAATCTCAATTATATTGTTCGACACCTGTTTCATTCTTAAAACCGGAACGCAATACTGCTTCGCGGCAGAAATAGGTAGGGTACCTTTACGGACTCACAGTATGCTTTCCACTAGCTTCGAGACCGATTCATAATACTTGGTTGGTATAAGGAAATGAGTATTAGAATTACCGATGAACATTTTCGTTACATTAGAATCTACATTCAAATTATTTACGGGAAACTCCATACAGACTTCGGGTTTCAACTCATAGTTCTGAAAAACAACAATTATATATTTTTTTGTGATTTTACAATATGCCTTAAAAACAACATTGACCATTTTATAGTCACCCACGTTCTTGTTTTGTTCTATAACACCGATGAAATCTGCGATATTTTTATCGTTTACAATTCCAACTTTTTTTGAAACTTCTAGCTCTTCGCAGTATTTGCAACAAGAAAATCTTTGAATACTTTCACTGCAATAGAAAATTTGTGAATTCATTGTTATAATACTGCCACTTCATTAATCCGTACTGTCTAGAACCACTGCGATCATACAGCGCGTTTGCAAAGACGTTTTTTTGCCACGCGCTGCATACCTTCTGGCTTGGGAATGAACTCCTTTTACATGTTCTATTTCAAGCGTGGTTAGAAGAGACTACCTACTCAGTAGTAGACAACGGCTGCTTGCCCGTGCCCTTGGCATTGCTGACGTCCACAAGCGACGGTAACCAGTCACCATTAGAAGGGCTGTATGCTTGTTCGGATTCTACTGAACACAATATTCAAATGTCGAGGAAAACACCTTTATTCGTTGTCACGAAAACTGTGGAGTATTAGAAAGGACTCGAATACTATAATAACAATAAAAAATGCGAAATTTAACCGAAAAGTAATTTTAACCATCCAAAATAATAATCACGGGCTTCGTAAATGTATGGTCATAAGGGTAAAATAAACCTATCGTACCTTTTATACGGCTTCATATTGAGATTAGATAACTAATTTTACACATAATACACAAAATATTGATTTAAAAAATCATATACAGTTTATAGTAAAAATAATTATAAAGCAGTAGACTACACAATTGAGAATAATATTGTCTATTTGACATTAGGTAAAGCGGTCTTTTTTGGCGGAAAACTATATTAGCAACTTCACTCTATCGAAACATCGATTGAATTAAAGTAATGGATATCGAACTACCCCTCAAGCGCTATTTATGCGTTTTTAGTTCTAGGTATAGCTGTTATTTTTTTTATAAGATTGATGGGTGGACGAGCTCATGTCCCTCCTGGTGTTAAGTGGTAAGCGCAGCCCATAGACATCTACTTACATGCCGTCACCCACCTCGAGACATGAGTTGTAAGGTCTCAGTTTCAGCAGTAGGTACAACGGCTGCCCCACCTTTAGAACCGAAACGAACTACTGCTTCACGGCAGAAATAGGCGGAACGGTGGTACCTACCTACCCGAGAGCATTCCTAAGACTTATCACCAGTAATAACGCAAATTATATTTTTGCGGGTTTGATTTTTATTACACGATGTTATTCCTTCACCGTGGAAGTCAATCGCGAACATTTGTTAAGTACGTATTTCATTACAAAAACTCGTACCCGCCTGCGGGATTCTAATACCGTTGCATCACTCCACACGAATGTACCGGGCGCCTTATCCTTTAGGCCAGTGATTATCAAACTTATTTCTTTTACCGCCCCCTTTGAAAATCAATTATTTTTCAGCGCCCCCCATTTTTTATACACCCCTAAAACTTTAAAACCACAAATTCATTAATTTAATTAATAAATGTTGTATTAACTTTAGTAAATGTAGTACCACGTAGTACATATGTATTTGTAGATGCTATTATTGTTTCTTCATATTATTATATGTCCGTACATTGCTACAGAGCGTGTATTTACAAATTTGCAAAGTAAAAATGAATTCTTCTCATCAATATGTTTGTTTAAATTCAGAATCACCAAAATAAATTGCTAGTTCACTGTACTATTACTATGCTAATTTATTAGAACGAAACTATTTTTGTTGAATATCTTTCTCATTAATATAAGATTGTCATCATAAGATAATTAAAAATTTATATTTCGACTAGTAAATAATACTACCGTGCGTATTACTGTTGCGTACGGTGTGTGGGCTATCCTACGAAATCTATGTTAATTATTTTAAGTTTTTTGTAACATCATACGGGGTAGGAATATAAACTAATTATTCATTATTGTGTAGTAGGTGAGTTTTAATTTTAGTGAAATTTAAAATACTATAAAGTAAATGAAATTACAAATTTTACAGCGTCCCCCTAACCCACATCAACGCCCCCAGTAGGGACACATTTAGCAGCGTATGCAGTTTTGTGCATCGCATGCATTTAGTCAGTCGTACATAGCCCACCCGACACGGCAGACACTGGTGAATGAATATACGGAGTTAAAATTGCAATCAACTTGTTTCATAAGTAAAGGGCAGTTTACTCTTGCTAAAGCAACCGTACAGTGGTGACCCCGACGTGATGATATGGTAATGCTTGCCAGTTGGAGAGCAGCTTCCGGAGCCATGGTTTGCTTGAAATCGTCTGCGTCGGCCTGCGCCATGGTGCAGGAAATCGCAGTAGTGGGTCGTACCGGTCCAAGTCCCAAAAAAACACTTTCACAGTACACAAAACGCACGGTATAAATAAAGTTCGAGTCCTCGGGGTCACCACTGTACGGTTGCTTTAGCAAGAGTAAAGAGTAAACTGCCCTTTACTAATGAAACAACTTGATTGCAATTTTAACTCCGTATATTCACCAGTGTCTGCCGTGTCGGGTGGGCTATGTACGACTGACTAAATGCATGCGATGCACAAAACTGCATACGCTGCTAAATGTGTCCCTACACCCCCCATTTTTTCCTGGGCCCCTTAGCGCCCCCCTCTAGGTTTCAAACGCCCCCAAGGGGGCGTTATCGCCCACTTTGAGAAAGACTGCTTTAGGCCATGACGAAGTCTTGGACCTCATGTCTCAAACCGGGGGGGAAGCATTAACATTATGTCACATTTGAAGTCGTCGTGATCTAAAAGATAAGACGTCCGGTTTATGCGATGCAATGGTGTTCGAATACCGCAGGCGGGTATCAATTTTTCTAATGAAATACGTACTTAACAAATGTTCACGATTGACTTCCACGGTGAAGGAATAACATCGTGTAATAAAAATCAAACCCGCAAAAATATAATTTGCGTAATTACTGGTGGTAGAACCTCTTGTGAGTCTGCACGGGTAGGTACACCACGCCTATTTCAGCTGTGAAGCAGTAATGCGTTTCGGTTTAAAGGGCGGGGCAGCCGTTGTAATTAAACTGAGACCTTAGAACTCATATCTCAAGGTGGTTGGCGCATTTACGTTGCAGATGTCTATGGGCTCCAGTAACCGCTAGTACCAGATGGGCTCTAGTAACTGAATCACTAATCAACCCAGTAGACCAGATCAGCAATCTACCCAATAGAGAAATGTCATATTACGGATAGGTGTCATGAACCCAAGCTGGACGCATAGGTATACACGCGGACTTGAAACGTATTCTAGCCTATCCTAGCTACTTCTGCGAGTCACTTAGGTGTTTCGGTTTAGAAGACGGGACAGCCGCTATACAATATACTTGAGAATTTGACATAATTTCTTCAAGTTAGATTCCAAAATTACTACTTAAAAGTAAGTCACAGAACAGAGTCAAGTCAAGATATCCATGCTTGTTATTGAGCTTCTCTGAAGAGAGACTTATTTTTATTTCCTTTTTTTCACGATTTTCTTCACTCTAAGTTAATAATTAAAGTGTTCCTCCTATCAGGGCTTATTCCCTCTAGCTGAGATTCCAATTATAGGATTTTATTTATAGATATCTTATGTGAAACAGAATAAATTAATTATTAAAGCTTTTTTATTTTATTTATACAATTTATTTGGTATTGCAAATTTATGAAAATTTCACTCCTTTTTCTTTTTAAATAAATTAATAATCTTTTGTTTTAAAGTAACAGAAGAACCAACAACTTTGAGAACTAATTCTTTTGTACAAATATTATGCAGAGGTCCAAAAGCAAGGGCCACAACTGTACAAGCAAGACATATCACATTATATGGCATACTGAAGTCTGGTGTTGGTAATGATACCATCACACCATTAGTACGAAATACTGCAGGATACCCTGGAAAAAAAATAATGCAGTTAGACATTGCTGAATCGTATGAACTGATGCTGTAATGTACTTGTGGGAAAATACTAAATTGTACCAAAATCTAGGGAAGTTATATTATTGTTAGGAACACAAAACAAAAACTATTTACAATGTAGTTTAGGTCAAAATTGAATATCTATTTTTGCTTACATGGTTTTGATGCATTAATTGAAGATTCAAATAAGCTTGCAGTCCCTGGTAAACTAGTATAATTTCTTGCTGTTGGTAAATTAGCAGTTATTATTGCTGACCCAACATAAAAGCCATGATTAGCATCTGGTGGATACTCTTGCCATTTTAAGAATACGAATTCAAAATCAATAGTTATCTTAGTTGTTGACTTAGGTGGTAGCCTCAGCAGTAACTCCAAGTGATAAGGTTTTTGTCTGCTACGCCCAGGTGAATAATGCCTAGCTAACACCATCTCACTTGACGCTTCCCCGTTGATTCTTAAAGAGCTTAATTGAATAGGCAACCACCAAGGTGCATTCTGCAATACAACAACATCAATGGAGGANAATGGGGTTGGCCGGTTAAAGCTTTTCTCAGATGTCGCCAGCATAGCTTGTTCTCTTGTCACAGAGAGCCGCCATTTTGTGTGTTTTGCGTTAGTGATATTTCGGCATTTTGTGACTTTGATACGGTTCTTATTACTTTCTAAGTAGTGTTAAACAGTTTTACAACATGTATTCCAACTGGATAGTTAAAGAATTAAAGGAGGAGTTGAGAAAACGTGGTGCATCTTTACGAGGAAAAAAAGTGGATCTTGTCGAAAGGTACAATGTTGATCTTTTATTTTAACTTAAAAAACTTCTCTCAAACTGTTTCCAGTAGCTATTATAATAATAATATTAAATTGTGTACCTTAGGAACTTTATTCCTTGTAACTTGTGCAGAAAGAATTGCTCATATTACATACATTACCTACCAATTAATGTATTATTTTGCTTTTTTCAGATTAGAGCTATAATACCAAAATTTTAATTTTGGTCGTGCTGAAAGAGTCGAAGACGATGATCCATGGACATGGCTGCACGATAGTGGAGCCATGTGGTATTTTCATTAGCCAAGAGCGCCCATATCTTGCTGCATCTCCTGATGGTGTGTTGGGCAAAGAAACTATAATTGAAGTGAAATGTCCATACGCTAGCAGAAAATATGAAATTAATATAACAACGGTGCCTTACTTAGAACAATGCAACGGGATATTGTCTCTAAAAAAAACCTGTCCATATTATTATCAAATCCAAGGGCAGTTATACTGCTCAGGCAAAACATACTGCAACTCGGTCATTTACACCTAGAAGGACATTAAAGTGATTTATGTTGAAATAGGCAATAATTTTATAAATAATATGTTAAATAAATTAGATATCTTTTATGAAAATATTTTCAAAAAAGTGTTGTATGAAAAATGTCTGTATTATAGTTATACACACTTGTCGAAATAAAGAATCAGTAATATTTTTAATTGTTTTTATTAACAATTCCTTCTCTAAAATTACATAACATTACACACATGAAAAATATTTTAGATACTAAAGGTACATAAAAATGATTTAGTTCATTTTTTAATATTAAATAAGTTTTTGTTAGCCCTATTAGTCGTTTTATGTGAACTCTCTGACTAGCTAATTTTATATCTATCTTTAACTGGACATCTGGGATTTGTGATTTATCTTTTAAAAAAGATGGGATATTTATACTCATTCCTTTAGGGGCAAACAGATCCTGTACATTAAAACCTCTGTCTGCCATAATACTATCTCCAGAATCACAAATCTGCAGCAGCTTACTTTGTTCTACTATCTGTCGATCACTTGCAGAACCAGCATAGCCGTTTGAAACATATGTTAATAATCCCCCTGGTGAAGCTCCTACCAAAAATTTCAACGTATTTTTATGTTTATAAGAACTAAATGAGGCTTTTGGAGCCTTGTGGAGGGATAATGTGTTCTAAAACAATTATGCATATAATAATTTACTTAGCTGCGGCGAGGCTAAATGTCAATTAGGCTCCAGATATCACTGACAAAATTTATCCATGTCACAACAATATTAGACACTTCAGTTTTACTTACATCAAAAATTTTACTTAATTCAAAATCTGTTGTGTTTCTTCTAAGCTTAATTAGTAACATTCAAAATTGATCTTCTATTGATATGCCGACCACTCTACTCCAGCGATATCTTATATCATTTGCCACAGGCAAAAGTGTGATTAAAAGTAATGAAAACTTAGATGCTGTTTCCAACTCGGTGTAGTATTGCACTGTCTCATCGTCTGCAAGTAATAGCTCTGTAGAGAACAATCTTAATATATTGGGTGTTTGAGTTCCAATAGTAATATGATGCCTTGTAATCGTTTCATCTATACTAGAGTTATGATTTTCTATTAGAATTTCTTGAGAGACATTTGAATCAAAATGCACATTGCTGTGTTCTTCAAGGGGTAGTATGTATATCTTCACAGTATTGGGAAGTGTTGGACAGGCTAAAAAGCTGTTTTTTAAGGTTAAGAGTTTGTAGCCTTTGTTGTCTACTTTTTGTTTCTTCAGAAACTGGTTAAATATTCCAATATATATGGTACAGCACCTTTCTTCAGATATTTATGTTGATGTTTGACACCTACAACACAAAGAAAAACATTTAAATATACTATCACAAGGAAACCTGACCATAGTTTCAAAATATTTGTTATTACAATGGATGCAGCGTTTTAGAAGAGCTTTCAACAGTAACAGCTGATAATGAACAACAGCTCATGAGGAATGTGTTTCCTCCAGTCTGATTTTATGTTTGTTAAAAGGTTCCTTACAGCACAAATCTACTTGCAAAATATGTTAGCAACTAATAGTGTGCCTAACTAATTATTTTTGGGATTTTTTTTTATAAGAGAACAAAGATGTGTGCTATATTATATATAATATTTAATAGAAAGAAGCATACCTGTGTATTTACTAATGTTTTCATAGTCAGATTCCACAAAGTGTTACCGACATAACCTCGAACTTTTTGTGGGAGTACTTTTTTCGCGTCAATTAACCTTTAACCGCAGTCTTCCAATTTTCTTGTTCTTCGGGAATTGATGTACTCCAATTTCTGAGCATATTGGCATAAAACAACGCGTCATTGTGTTTGAAATAATTTTTAATCAAAAATGCCAATACAAATATTAAATGTTATGGGAACAATGCACAACAGCGCCACTTTGACAGTTGCCAACCCCATTCAGTACCATTTCTCGTCTATTTGACAATAGATTTTTTAAATGTTTTTGTATAATATAGTGTCTACCGAAGAACTTCATTATTATTAAGAATATTTGTTTCAGAATATTCAGTTTTTTTCCTTTCAAAATGTCAACAATGAAACAAACAGAGAAATGAGAATTTAATTCTTAATGACTTTTGGCGGGAACGCGAGGAGCGAAGTTGTTGCGAATTGTTTTATTTTATTAATTTGTTTCTTCGGGTTTAAATATGTAATAAAGGAGGTCTATTAAATGTTTATCATCTGTGAACGAGCAAAAAACGGAAAAATGAACTTCTCGGGCTCTCCCAAAAAGCCACTGAAAAAGCCTCAGTAAAAAAACACTATTTTGCTGAGACTTTACTTCATCCCATCTCATCTCGTTTCATTTAATTTCATCCTAATTGNAATTCAAAATCAATAGTTATCTTAGTTGTTGACTTAGGTGGTAGCCTCAGCAGTAACTCCAAGTGATAAGGTTTTTGTCTGCTACGCCCAGGTGAATAATGCCTAGCTAACACCATCTCACTTGACGCTTCCCCGTTGATTCTTAAAGAGCTTAATTGAATAGGCAACCACCAAGGTGCATTCTGCAATACAACAACATCAATGGAGGACCAAAAAGTATTGGTCAGTTCAGTCACAATACCTCCAAATTCCTTTCCATAACCTAATACATAACGATTGAAATAAAGTGGGGGCAGTTTCATAAGAACCAAATCTTTCTTACTGATATATTTGGCTCCAATAGTAGTCATTTTGTTTTCAGGTTTAATTGTGTACAGAGCAAGTTTTGTTTCACTGCCTCCTCGCTGTGACAGTAGAACCTTTTCTGGCTCTGGAGATAGAAGGAATGGCTGGGTATCATTGGTGGTGATATCTACATACACTTTGCTACTTGATGCAAGAGGGCATCCACCAGGCAACCCTTGGCCAAATAATTTAGTAAAAGACCAATCGGTGGTTCGAATAATCTTAGAATCATAAACCAAAGCTACCGTTTGCTTTATCTCTAGGCTCACTACTGAACAATCACTAGATGAACACACTTTTCTTGTATGAACTCCAATAGAATGATAATTGGTATTGTGTATCATTCTTGAGTTTAACAATGCTGAAAGCCCTCTACTAGATTCACAAGGAAGAAGTTTCTTCCATGGTGTTAAGTTTTCTGTGCATACAATTTCTCTAGGCAGAGAAGCATAGCGTAACTGTGATGTTATATTAGGATTTTGTGGTATAGCACCGGTCGGTTGTAATGCCATTTGAGGTGTTATAGTGTTGAAATCTTCAATAAAATTTAAAGATGCACAGAACAGTCCTGCAAGGGTGGAACTTAATTTTTTCCATTGTGTATCAACATTTTCCACATCTGAGGAAAACCAAGCGTATAGTTCTGCTCCAGGAGCTGCATCAAGCACAGGATAACCCCAATGATTATGCCTCCACTGCCCCTCGGTTAGTGTGAAATGCAGTTCATCAACTTGGAATCGTGTCAACACTTCCACCAAAGACCTAGGTGCTAAATAGGTGTGCTCGGCTGGAAAACATTTTTGTAAAATAAATATCCAAAACTATGTTTATAAAAAAGCCATCATACAAAAACATAGTTGCTAAATAGTGAGCACTGCACTTACATGACAGGTTATCATTTACTAAGGTAGTAAATTGAAAATATGTGTAAAGGTGTGCCGGTGGTAGAGGTTTAATAAATAGCTCTTCATTAAATAAATCACCATTAGCGTTAAAAATTGTCTCAATGAATACGGCAATAAAAAACAGAAAGTTTTTNATAAAAAAGCCATCATACAAAAACATAGTTGCTAAATAGTGAGCACTGCACTTACATGACAGGTTATCATTTACTAAGGTAGTAAATTGAAAATATGTGTAAAGGTGTGCCGGTGGTAGAGGTTTAATAAATAGCTCTTCATTAAATAAATCACCATTAGCGTTAAAAATTGTCTCAATGAATACGGCAATAAAAAACAGAAAGTTTTTCGAGTTAAACATCCTGTTTAAATTTGTCTTTTAATTTGATTATACCTAACACATACATAAATTGCAATTTAATTCAAAGAGCATAATTAAATTCTTATTTCTTTGCAAATCGGCTTTTGATTTTTAACTTTATCTATCTAGCTCCATAGATAATAGCAATCTAGCTCCATAGATATATATTTTTTTGGTACAATTTTTCGTTATTAGGAAAGGCAAGGGGATCTAAGCCCATAAAGCCTTGTCTGTTCTATATAATTATATATAATTTCTGAAATAAGCTCCATAGATAATAATATTATAGGTCTACCAGGATCTGATGGCGAAAAGAGAAAAAAGAAATTGACGCTAGCAATAGGTACTGGGGAAATTAGAGTAAAGCGGACTTTTTGGCGGGAACGCGAGCAGTGAAGTTGTGTGATTTGTTTTATTTTGTCTATTTGGTGTTTCTTCAGGTTTAAATGTGTAATAATGGTGGTTTATTAACTGTTTAATATCTGTGAAAGTGCACAAATGTGGGAAAATGAAACAAAGCCGCTGGACGTCACTTCTTGGGATTCTCCAAAAAGTCCAACGAAAAAGTCTCAGTAAATGACCACCATTTTACTGAGATTATATTTCATCCCATATCATCTCATCTCATTTCATTTGATTTCATCCCAGTTGATTAATGTCTCAAATTGATCATCTTCATTTCATTTCATCATTTTTCATAAAAATAAGAGTATAAATTAAAATAAGACATGACTTAAAGGTCTTAGTTACCAGGTCATAAAATACCTATAAAAAAAAATTGAGTGAAGCGTTTTGATACTTCCAGCAGCTGATTCTGTGTGTGATACATGCAAATATACAAATTTATGCAATGGTCAAGGATAATTTTTGAAAATATTACTGGGGCGAATGTGGGGTTCGAAGTTTAGATGAAAACTCCAATTACTCTGTTCATGAATTTATTAATTAAATAAAGGCTATCAGAACTTGAAAATGGTTCCAAAACTGCACCACCATAAAAAAATCTTCATCGGAAGAGGAAGAGGGGGAAAACTCAGTATTTGTGATATATAATATATATATTTATTTATTTTTTCATGACAGTGGGTATTTCTTTTCGTACAGTGTAAAACTCATTTATCTTGTTTCTGATCAATTCTAAATCAAAACTATCCAAGTTTTATTATTTTGTGCACAAAGAAAATGGGTAAAAACCAGGCGTACTAAATACGCCTCTGTTAGATATGCCTTCAGCAACAATTCGTCTTATGGTAGTATTAAAAACACCTGAAATAAACCAAAGCTTAGTATACATAATACACACGAAAATGCAATAAACCAAAGTATCAAAACGTGTCATTCCTACTAACCAGTCAACGCTTGCACATGGCTCGATTGATCGATGATTGTGTTTGTTCTGCAACTTGTTCATTAAGTATTCGTTGATAAACATTGAAAACAATAACTCTTGCTTGCGATCGAAGAGGTTTCTTCGACATTTTCACCACTTTTTAAAGGAAAATTAAAGCCAAACCAAAAACACTTCCTCGAAATTTCAGTTTTGACAGATGTCATTTTTTTGTTGCCATATGAAAATCGCAATTTTTTAAACTTTTTTTTGCCATCTAATTCTGGTAGACCTATATCTATATATAGTCATAGATAATACCGTTATTATTTAAGACTAGCGACCCCCCCTCGCTTCGCTTCGGAAACATTACATTTTATGTATATTATTGATGGTTGAGTCCCGTGATATTACCCGCGGTTATTGTCATACCGCGGGTGACGCCGCGGGGCGAAGTTAGTCTAAAAAAAGTAGCCTTTTTATACTAAGTTACTTCTTATATCATCAGCTACCTGTCAGTGAAAGTCCCGTCGAAATCGGTCCAGCCGTTCCAGAGATTAGCCGGAACAAACAGACAGACAGACAGACAAAAATTGTAAAAAATGTTATTTTGGTGTATGTACCGTATATATATTCATATCCATGTAGTAAAAAGCGGTTATTTCAATATTACAAACAGACACTCCAATTTTATTTATATGTATAGATGTATAGATATATAATAATATAAATATTATGTGTGTTACATATCTATGTACCTAATAAGATATTTGTATGATAAATATAAATGTCTTTTCCAGGGTTATGGATGTATATTAAAGATATGTATGTGTATAATAAAAATCTTACATTTATTTCCGTTATCTGGTACCTGTAACACAAGTTCTTTACGAACTTATCACGGGACCAGTTAACGTGGCGTGATTGTTAGTAAATATTTATTTATTTTATTATGAAAATAAACTTATAATAATTATAATATAAATACACTTAATAATTTAGCTCTAAATAGGTACCTATTATTACATGCTACCATAAGTAAGACATAAAAAATTTAATTAAACGGCAATGCTACATTGTAATATATGTAGGATGGTATGGCGAAATCTAGTGGATATTTAGTTAAACAACAAAACCTTTTATTTTTTCCAAAAATACTATTCGTAACGTCTCTGAAGTCTCTATGTCAATGTTATATCTGTCATTTATATTTTCTTATTTTAAAATAAAATTAGTGTGCCCGTGTGAATTTAACAAAAAGTACCGATCTTCCCACTTATACAGGGAGTCCCAAAATTCAACGATAAGCCGGTACCGGTGTATGTTCGGGTCACCCATGAAAAAAGAATAGAAAAAATCCAGCTCTATTTTTTAAAAGTTACATTAACATTTTTTTTAAATGTTGTAATTTGATATCTTACATCCTATGATTAGATACTGTGGTTACAAGAAAAACAATTGTTTATTTTATTTTTATATTATAAACTACGAATGTTTTGGTCCTATTTGGAACTGCAATTAATAGTTATGTTACTTAGGTAGCTGAAAAAGAGCTGGATTTTTTATTTGATTTTTCTATGGGTAGCTATTGACCCGACCATACAACGGTACCAGCTTATCATTGAATTTCGGGACACCCTGTATATTTATTTTTATGTACCTACATACCGGTAAAATGGGGTGGTTAGGGACAAATTCTAACTTGATTGTCCTAGTCTTGAGGGTATCTTTGTTATCTAATTTAAAGCTATGCAATTAGCATTTCAGTTTAAGCAAAAAAAGCAAAAATAGGTGTTATCCCTATTTACCCAGAAATTGCGGTTATTGGTTACGAAATTAGTGTTGATAGAGAAATATGGTAGGGCTGGCACTTAATTGCTGGTTTTAATTAATTAATTTATTTAGTTGCACCAACAAAGTGATCGAGCTCTAGTGCGAATATCCGTGTTTGTCATCGCGGTCTATTAAATATCATTTTGGCATGTTATTTGTAAATATTTTCTTCTTTGTGAGTGTTTAACATTTATTTATATAGTTTAGTTTATGTGTCTCGGTGTTGGTAAGTAGTTTTATATTCCTTAAATATCAGATTTTCTTACTTATTATAAATTAATTATTTTTTATGGTGTACCCTCACTTATATAATGTAATATGAGTTCTGATAAAAATAAAACTCCCGATCCGGGAATACCAGAACATGATTCTGAATCCCGGGATAGTGAATCCCTAGGATCTCCAAGTTTTTCAACATTAACAGCTCCTTCCATTCGGTCAAGTTCTTCCTCACCTATTCCTGACGTCGAGCTATTACCAAATAAAGCCTCGTCGAGGAAAAGAGGCCCAATCGCAGATGATCAGTCCATTAGACACAAAATAACTAGGATTAAAAATTCGACAAAATCATCGAAAAATAATCAACCTTCGATCCCGGCATACGCTCGTAAATATCTATCATCAGGTTTGGGACCTTTTGCAGTACATGTTTCTAAGATTGAACGTGACCCCTCTTCAGGAGTATCAATCCACCCTATAAAATTTGGTCAGTTCATCTTTAAACATAACATTCCACATATCAGTAAAGACGGAATTAAAAAATTAGGCCGTAACAGGATAGTTGTGAAATTTACGATCTCGTCTGCTGCAAACGATTTCCTAGAAAATAGTCTCCTGCCTGAAAAAGGCTATAAAGCTTTTATCCCATCTTATCAGGTAACTCGCATGGGAATTGCCAGAGGCATTCCCACAGATTTCTCTAATCCCCATTAGGTTGCGGAAAGGTAGTTAAAGCTAGGAGGCTTAATTATAAAGTTAGGAACGAGACATCCTACGAATGGCGTCCTAGTGAGACCGTAGTTCTGACTTTTGATGGACAGCGGCTCCCTCGCTACGTTAATTGCTTCCATAACTCTATTGAAATAGAACCCTATAAATTTCCAGTGATACAGTGTTTTAACTGTTGTCGTTACGGCCATGTTAAAGAAGCGTGTAGATCAAAGCCACGTTGTCATAAACGCGGCGGATCACATTCTAGCAATAGATGTTATATTAACGATGACTCCCTGTCCTGCATTTTTGGTTTAGGCACACATTCTGCCTTAGATAAAAATTGTCCTGAGCAACAACGTCAACGCGAAAACAAAACACGTATGTCAGAAGAAGGAATATCTTTTCAGGAGGCTGCAAAAGGCATTGCCGCCTCTCAACGTCCATACTCAGAAGTTCTAAAACAAGCCCACATTACAAGAGTGCCCACCCAAGATCCAATAAATTGCATTGAGACTAATTCTTACAGAAAAACCATGTTTTTAAAACCAAAACCTAGAGCTCCAATTCAAAAGGGTTATGATAAAAAATCCCATGAAAATATCATTCGAGAATTAAATATACCTACTCCTGAAAACGGTTGTGCTCTGCAGAGTTCTACAACTATTTCCAACTCTACAAATATCTCTAAAATATCAGATATCCTTGATCTACTACAACAAAGCCTAGTTATTTATGTATCCACCTATCAAAGCTTACCGTCCAACATTGCCGAAAAACTATTCGAACGCGAAATAGTTTGGATCCCTTTACATACTGGAATTCTTGGGAATGAAACTGTGGATCAAATGGCTAAAGAAGCAACACATAGTGGTGATTGCGAGTACTACGCGAATGTAAGTCGTGATCTAATTCATATTAATAAACTTAATCTCGTATCAGACTGGCAAAAGCAATGGGAGACCTATAAATATCAATATTCTAAAATAAATCCTAGTGTCTTTATCAAACCTTGATTTTATAAGTTCAAAAAATTCAACATGCAATTAACTATAGTATAATTTTTTGGTCCGTGCAGTTTGGGTCATAAAAAATCGGAGCGGTGAAGCGAGTATTTCGCTCTCTCTTCCACTCACGAATCTTATGGACGGGCACAGTGATGCGCATTATTGTTGTCGATAAGCGTTATCGATAGTGTATTTAGTTTTGTCATTTTGTGAGTTAGTGATAAAAATGAAAGAAAAAAGCACTAATCGAACACTTACACCACATATCGCCGCAGCAAGTTAACGAGAACGGCAGAAATTAACAATTTGTAACTTTTCGGGATCTATTCTTATTTCAGTGAAAAATTTAACACATTGTTGATAACAAAACGTCCAAATATTATTTTGAGTAAATTCTGCCGTTTTGATACAAAACAAAGGAGTAGCCATTGTGTCACTAAAGAAATACAGAGAACGAATGCATAAAAACACATTTCTCTCCGACATAATGTACTATAATTTGCAGGTAAGTACAACATAACAATGTCTCACCACCCTTCGTATACCATCCCGCCGCCGCCGCGCCGTGTACCGGCCTTCGATGACTCATTTGATTTTATCGATAATGGCGTTGCGCCCGCGCAACATGCTCACCGCCCTAGCCGGGCTATGTTTTATGACTCAAACTGCACGGACAAAATAATTCTACTATAGTGTACTTATCAGGCTTCGATTGGGTCACTTTTTCTCACCACAATTTTTATATAAGCTAAAAATTAAACCTTCTCCTATGTGTAGTTGCGGTAAATCTATCGGTACTTTAGATCATATCTTTCTAGAATGCGCTCTTAATGATGAATGCCCACTACTATATTGTTTACTAACTAACACTAACATCCCGTTCCCAGTTAATATGAACTATCTCTTAAGATTCCCTAATCCTAAAGTTGTAAATGCATTAGCTTATTTTATTTCCCGCAATAACATTAAACTGTAAAAATATTTACAAATTTTTCTCCCGTTCTCATTCATCTCATCTGCTATCATCTATCTATGTCACTGATATTCTATCTACCTGACATTGGCAGAGTCATTCGTCAAAGAAGACTCGAGCCAAAAAAAAAAACAAAGTGATCTATCTATCTATCTATCTTTTAGGTTTATGGAACAAAGTGATCATCATTAGAAAACATTGAAAAACTGACAAAAGTACATGGCAGATGTCACCTCAATTGTAGGTGCAATCATAGAGTTACTATTAACTCCATGGGTGCAATCGGCAGTGCATTGACAACGAAAATAAAAAATATATAACTAAAACTTGATCACATTTAATTACTTATGATTAATTTATATTTACTTGGGAAATTATCCGCGACGAATGTTTCCTGTAAGTTGTGAGACAATTAGAAAAAACATCTATTTCATCACTTAAAGTTAGTTCAGCGCAATCAGACAACTCCGAATGAACATTGACGGAGGCCGCGCTACCGTGGACATTATGTAGTCCCAAACGATTCTGTTTAAGGGAGAGTAAGCACCTAAATTCGAACGAGCGGACTTTCTTATAAGCGGTTTATATTTCTTCGTTCTTATTAAGTACTTTCTTTTATTTTTATATTAAGTGTTTGTAGTCGTCGTGGCCTAAAAGATAAGACGTCCGGTGTTCGAATCCCGCAGGCGGGTACTAATTTTTCTAATGAAATACGTACTCAACAAATGTTCACGATTTACTTCCACGGTGAAGGAATAACATCGTGTAATAAAAATCAAACCCGCAAAATTATAATTTGCGTAATCACTGGTGGTAGGACCTCTTGGGAGTCTGCACGGGTAGGTACCACCACCCCGCCTATATCCGCCGTGAAGCAGTAATGCGTTTCGGTTCGAAGGGTGGGGTAGGCGTTGTAACTATGCTGAGAGCTTGGAACTTATATCTCGAGGTGGGTGGCGCATTTACGTTGTAGATGTCTATGGGCTCCAGTAACCACTTAACACCAGGTGGGCTGTGAGCTCGTCCACACATCTAAGCAACAAAAAAAAAAAAAACTTAGGGGCTGATATTTTTATCTGGGTTAAGAGATTAGGTGTGTCCGTTATTCCATGATTTTACTTATTCTCATCCCAATTGCCCCCTTTTTCTTTGTTATTTGTACCTGAGACGTCCCCAATATCTTCAAAAACAACAGATTTTTACATGTATTTTTATTTTATCAAATACATTAAACCCAATAACAACTGAGACTTACATTTTCATATTTATGATGGTTCAAACACTAAATAACGTTTATAAATCACAGTCGTCTTCTATTATTATCAAATAAATAAAAGAGAACAAAGTTTCTAGCACTAAAATAATTACCACCACAAAAAGTTAATTTGAAACGCGATTTTTTATAAGTTAGCAGCTATTATCATGCATATCCAGAGTTGTTTTGTGAGTTTTCAACATTCTATTATTACACTACAAAAAATGGAAGATTTTGCAACGATTAAAAAACTAGTATTGCGCGAGTTATGTCGGCGTAACCTACAAGACCTCCATAAACAACGCGATAACAACCGTCACATGAACCATTCCTTGTTTTAGGAAGCCATAAGAATAACATCTAATGACACAAAGCTCCGTTGTACATTACTATCACACCATTGTTACGTGATAGCAACCGTCACATGAACCATCCCTTGTTTTAAGAAACGATAGAGATAACATTTAATTATATAAAGCTCCTCTGTACATTACTAACACACCATTGTTTAGCTTAAGAGTATATATAAGCATTAATTATAATAATAAAGTCAGTCTCAAACCATCCTCCGTGTTGTTCACTTGCTTTTTAAAAAGCCTTTCGCCCCTGCCCGCTACCTAACTGGCGCAGTCGGTAACTCGTGAAAATCGGTACGGTCCTGAAGAATCATTCTAAAGCATCGTCTCCGCATCCTCGAGCAAAGAACCTTCAGCGGGCAGCATACGGCAGCAGAAGCAGAGAGGTCCAGCAACACCGTCAAGAGCAACAACGGGAGACGAGACTCACCATCGCCTTTTATCGGCAATGCTCGTGTGGTAAGTGTAAATTCCACTTATTTCCCGAGAAAAACCTCCCTTTATCCCACATTTCAGACACCAATAGACCCTCTGGGTACTTGTCCTGTACAGTGGTGAACCTTCGATAGAATTCTTAACCGTAATTACAGTCACTTATTAAAATGGCAAGCGGCAGTAAGGCAGGCAACGAATCGTTAGTCGAAGAGAAGGTTGCAATCGAAATTGCATACCCTACTTTGTCAATGCTATTACCTACGTATGATGGTAATAGAAAAACACTTAGTTTTTATATCGAAGGTGTAGAGAATGCACTTGATTTAATAGCAAACAAAACGGATCCTAGCATAGCATGCTTAATCCGAAACAAATTAACGGGTAAAGCCGTTGAAGCACTGTCGCAGAGCGGCGGCGCAAAAACATGGCCTGAAATTAAGGCTACACNATTTAAAGATGCACAGAACAGTCCTGCAAGGGTGGAACTTAATTTTTTCCATTGTGTATCAACATTTTCCACATCTGAGGAAAACCAAGCGTATAGTTCTGCTCCAGGAGCTGCATCAAGCACAGGATAACCCCAATGATTATGCCTCCACTGCCCCTCGGTTAGTGTGAAATGCAGTTCATCAACTTGGAATCGTGTCAACACTTCCACCAAAGACCTAGGTGCTAAATAGGTGTGCTCGGCTGGAAAACATTTTTGTAAAATAAATATCCAAAACTATGTTTATAAAAAAGCCATCATACAAAAACATAGTTGCTAAATAGTGAGCACTGCACTTACATGACAGGTTATCATTTACTAAGGTAGTAAATTGAAAATATGTGTAAAGGTGTGCCGGTGGTAGAGGTTTAATAAATAGCTCTTCATTAAATAAATCACCATTAGCGTTAAAAATTGTCTCAATGAATACGGCAATAAAAAACAAAAAGTTTTTCGAGTTAAACATCCTGTTTAAATTTGTCTTTTAATTTGATTATACCTAACACATACATAAATTGCAATTTAATTCAAAGAGCATAATTAAATTCATAATTCTTTGCAAATCGGCTTTTAATTTTTATCTTTATCTATCTAGCTCCATAGATAATAGCAATCTAGCTTCATAGATCTATATTTTTTTGGTGCAATTTTTCGTTATTAGGAAAGGCAAGGGGATCTAAGCCCATACAGCCTTGTCTGTTCTATATAATTTCTGAAATAAGCTCCATAGATAATAATATTATAGGTCTACCCATGGAGTTAATAAGTACCTACAAGTAAGTACCTACCTTAGAGTAGTAACTCTATGGGTCTACCAGGATCTGATGGCGAAAAGAGAAAAAAGAAATTGACGCTAGCAATACTGGGGAAATTGGAGTAAAGCGGACTTTTTGGCGGGAACGCGAGGAATGAAGTTGTGTGATTTGTTTTATTTTGTCTATTTGGTGTTTCTTCAGGTTTAAATGTGTAATAATGGTGGTTTGTTAACTGTTTAATATCTGTGAAAGTGCACAAATGTGGGAAAATGAAACAAAGCCGCTGGACGTCACTTCTCGGGATTCTCCAAAAAGTCCAACGAAAAAGTCTCAGTAAATGACCACAATTTTACTGAGATTATATTTCATCCCATATCATCTCATCTCATTCTATTATTACACTACAAAAAATGGAAGATTTTGCAACGATTAAAAAACTAGTATTGCGCGTCGAAAGATTTTCCTGGTTTTTTCCCCATTCACCTCTCGATCCCTAATCACCCCATTTTACGGTATCTACTGAAAATGTCACTCATTTAATTGTTTACACTGAAGTAGGAAACCTAAGGTCTATGATTGTTTAAACGATCATTCATTGACAGTTCGGGTGTCATCGTATTCCGATAAAGAACTGACTTTTCCTGAAGGAAAATAATTTCTCACTACATCTACATAAACCTACGTATTTATAACCATGGATTAATATATCATAACTATTATAGGTACTAATCTGTGGCATTTATTTACTGTGTAAAACAATGCAAAGTAAATAATCAAAATAGTGGTACACAATCGCTAGTAGTATTAAGAAATAGTGATACAAAACAGAAACAAGAAAGCATAAAATGGATAACGAATTTATAGATATATCGACAAGTCTCAAACTACAACTGGGCTATGGAATTGGTCACATACTTAATGATGTTTGTGCCAGTTTGTGGTTTACATATTTTCTAGTATATTTTAAACTAGTACTAGAGTTCAGTAATGTGCAGTCTGGTACACTTATGTTAGTAGGTCAAATGGTTGATGCTTTAGCCACTCCTTTTATTGGTTATCACTCGGATCATACAGACAATTTCTGGAGTGCAAAATATGGAAGACGGAAGCTCTGGCATTTGTTTGGTATGTATGATTACAATTTTATATTAATAAATTATGGTCATTGTTTTTGCCCACTAACTTGTCAAGTGACTAATTTCCTTGAGCAGTAATAAAATGTGTTTCCTTTTTATTTATTACACCTTGCCTATTTTACTATATCGCAGGGTGAAAAGTTTGATTTAAGCAACATTTATCTTTATAATTAAAGGTCCGTTTTATTTGGTATTAGTATCAACAATTCAAAGTTTTTAATTGAACTTCAACTAAGTTTACCCCAATAAAATAATTGAATAAGTTTTTATTATGACATTTTTTTGTAAGGTTGCAAAAATTTTGTCTAAACCAAATTGCCTTTCACCCATTGGTATGTTAAGTATAGACATTATACCTATTTATGAAAGCATTAAGTTTGTCTGACAAAATTCTTAGAACATTTATGTATGTTTTTTCTTTACGTATTATTAACTAAGTGACAATTGCTTGTTAGAATGAAAATAGTTTGCTAAAATACATATTAAAGTACAAAAGAGCAAATCATTTATGGCAAGCTCAGCATCATTCATAGCATTTAAAATCATTCCTTAGGCAATTAATTCATTAGACTAAAAGAAATATCTCATAGTGACAACACACTCCATTGTACTGCTGTGTTGAAGGTTTTTCAGTTCTTTTATAGTGTACAACAGTGTTTATAGTCAATCATTCAAAATAATAATAAAATGTATTTTTGTTTATTTTAGGTACAATCTGTGTTGTGACCTCATTTCCATTTATCTTTTCTGAATGTGTTGGATGTTCATTGACACACAGATGGGCTCAAATGTACTATTTTGCTGCTTTTATTGTCATATTCCAAATTGAATGGGCAGCAGTGCAAATTTCGCATTTGAGCCTAATACCTGAATTAGCACAAGATGACCACACAAGAACACACTTGACCGCTATCAGGTAATGCCTTATTAGTAAATATTTGTAGTACAAAGTTTTTTTTGGTTCATTTGTTTACCTTTAGGTTCTATTAAATATGTTACATATATAGATAGAGCATTGATAGAATTCAGTTTGTGACTGTCTTCATACTACGAAATAATATATTTTTGTTTGTTGAGTTTACTTGATTGATCAATTTACAGATATGCATTCACTGTGTTCTCTAATTTGTTGGTGTACATTGCTACGTGGATAATATTGCATATTACAGGAGAATGTGACAAAAAGGTTTGTTCAGAGCTAGTTTAATTAAATGGTCTAATGATTGTTAGTTAAATTTAACTAATGTTTGTAGAAATCCAAACTTTTTTTTTTTTTTTTATTGCTTAGATGTGTGGACGAGCTCACAGCCCACCTGGTGTTAAGTGGTTACTGGAGCCCATAGACATCTATAACGTAAATGCGCCACCCACCTTGATATATAAGTTCTAAGATCTCAATATACTCATAGTTACAATGGCTGCCCCACCCTTCAATCTGAAACGCATTACTGCTTCACTGCAGAAATAGGCAGGGCGGTGGTACCCACCCGTGCGGATTCACAAGAAGTCGTACCACCAGTAAATGCCAGTATTATAAAATTAAACATAATAAATAATTAAGAAAAATGTAGATTTTTTTTTTGTATATTCAGCTTTAATGTAATATTGTTAAACTATATTTATTTACAGCAAGTAGGGCCATCTGACAGTTGGAAATTCAGGCACATAGTTTTTATAGTTATGGGTGTTGGCACTATAGCCTCACTATTGTTTCATTTAAGTGTCAAAGAAACACAAAATGCACGGAGTCGCCAGGTTTTAATAGATGCTGAAGAAAGCGGTGCTCACAACCTTTTCATTCGTAAACCACTTTTATATCAGGTAAATGTACCAATTTTGGTTTGTCTGACTTATGATAAATAATAGTTGAATATACAAGCAGTATTTTGTTAGTTTATTTACTTACAGGAAATCCAACTGTTATTTTTTTCCTCAACATTTAATCATCTCCTGTTTTCCAGGTAGCCGGAGTTTATATGAGTACAAGGCTAGTAGTTAACTTATCGCAGGTGCTCATACCCTTATATCTTCACCTTACTTTAGGCCTAGCTGCGCGCGCTCTAGCTGCTATACCACTCGCACTGTACATTGGTAGTTTAACAGCAGCAGGATTTCAGAGGTTGGCTCCGAGATCATTTTCAAGAAAAATAAACTACTTTTTTGGTTCCACATGTGCAATGGCTGGTTTTGTATGGATATATTTTGGATCAGATCACAACTATAAGGAGTATTTCATTTATTTGGTCGCATTATTTATAGGTCAGTAAAATAAGACTGTAGAATTGAGAAGGATAAAAAAGTGTTAAATTTGACATCACAACTTTTAATCGATTTATATTTTATACTCGAAGCTGTTTCTAATTTTTGGTTTGAAATTTGAATGATATTTACTATTATACACCAAAGCACAGAGCTGTCTAGAAAAAAAAAACAAATAAAAAAGTTATTTTTATTAAGTCATCCAGTCGAGCCTAGTTAAAAACCCTTGACATATGTGTTGAGGTGCACAGTTCATTGTGTATTTTTAGTCTTGTTTAACTATAATCGTATTTTTCAGGTTTTGGTGGTGCAGTTATGTTAGTAACGAGTCTGGCGCTAACAGCAGACTTGATAGGCGAAAGAACCGAGGCTTCTGCTTTTGTATATGGATTAATGAGTTTCAGTGACAAATTGTCGTGTGGACTAGCCATTGCTTTAGTGCAAACATAGTACGTAGCGAAATTATGTTAATTAATAATTCTAATGAGTTGTAAGAGTCGTCGCCGAAAGGATAAGATCCCTGGTGTGTTCGTATCAACCTATACCGGTATTTAAATCTCGCGGATGGGTAATATTTTTTCTAAGAATATACATACGAGTCGACTATTATCAAAGGCGCCAATCTGACTTTTGGACAATGATTGGTAAATCAGAAAAACGAATTATTGACTTTGTATTCCATTGGCAGTCACAAAACTCTTCGGAACGACCTCTTAGATAAATAACAGGTTAACTATTAACCTTTATTTAATGCAGGTTTTGAACCGTATTCTTTGAAGGAGACGATTATATTCAAATAAATCTGTATTGACATATCAATAAAATTTTTTTGTCCAAATGTACAGATTGCCGCCTTTGATAATAGACGACTCATACATAACACGTGTTGAGTATTGATTTCCGTGATGAAGGAATAAGGTTGTGTAATTAAATCCATTACTTCGTTCTAAGCGCATTGAAATAGTTATCCTTCCATTTGAATCCGAACGAATGATTGCCTCAAAGTGTAAATAGGTCAATTACTGTACTGATAATACTTGACTAAACAAATTATCAAAATTTTATTACAGTGCCGACGGAGCTGAATCAACATACTATCGGAATGCTTTGGTGTGGGTGTGCGGAGTTGCAACGATAACCGGCCTNTTACTTCGTTCTAAGCGCATTGAAATAGTTATCCTTCCATTTGAATCCGAACGAATGATTGCCTCAAAGTGTAAATAGGTCAATTACTGTACTGATAATACTTGACTAAACAAATTATCAAAATTTTATTACAGTGCCGACGGAGCTGAATCAACATACTATCGGAATGCTTTGGTGTGGGTGTGCGGAGTTGCAACGATAACCGGCCTCATCTTTACATTATTATTACCTAAATTTCAAACAGATGCCCTTGTTTTGAATGGTTCGTAAAATGATCTGATTAGGCATAAAATATTACGTATTTGTTCTAGTCCCATAATAGTAAAACATGTATTTTTTATTTTTTTGTTTATCATATTTGTGGACGAGCTCACGGCTCAACTGGCATTAAGTAGTTACTGGAGCCCATAGATATCTACAACGTAAATACCACCACCTACTTTGAGATACGAGTTCTAAAGTGTCAGTTTACAGTACAACGACTGCCCCAGCCTTCAAACTGAAGTGCATTACTGCTTCACGGCAGAAATAGGCAGGGTGGTGGTACCTACCTGTGCGGACTCACAAGAGATCCTACCACCAGTAATTCAGTTTGTTTAATTGTTTTTTAAGAAACCCCAAAACCCTTTTTCTGTTTTTCCTTCCTCATTATCCCATCAGTATATGAATATATGATCAGTATATGAAGGTTATGAATGATAACCTATTATTACATCACCCCAACTTTCAGGCAATACAACATCACAATATTTGTGTTTATAATGCTGTCGAGCAGATAAAAAAGTTTTACAAGAAAGCCATATCTCTATTTTTTATTTTATTTCTTCTCTTTTTTCTCTAATTAGTTTTCAGATAACAAATTACATAAAAAACACTCCATTATAATTTTGCAACACAGATTACTATTCAAATTATTTTTCGAAAGACAAATAAAATACGAGGTTGACTAAAAACAACTTTACGTGGTTATGATCACAGTAAACAATGCTGTGCGCATGCATTTGTGAGCAAGCATTATCCTTGCTTCAGTGTGCTTCAGCTCCAATAGCAAAATGTACGAAATAATATTACCTAATTTTAATTTCATTAATTTCAACTATGTAACTGGAGGACTGGAATAACGTACCACGCAATTTGTAGGACAATGTGGGTGGTAAACTATGCAAATGTAAGCTAACCAATAGAAAAAAAATCAGCTAGTTAGTAATTATTTTTCATGACCTTATTTATGATACATGTTGGAGAGGGGGGACTCCCTAACAAAACCTTATATTTTGTAGGACAAATATTTTTTCACGTTATTTAGATAATTATCACGATAATTAACAAAGAAAAATTCAGTTAGTAATACATTTTTAAAATTCGTGAAATCAACATATTTTGTCCTTGCTACCCCTAGTAAGCTACCACTTACCAACGTTACTGTAAGGAAAAAAGTTGGGCGTCTAGTCAAAAGGAAGCTACTCACGAAAAATCAGCTTGTTAGTAATATTTGATGAAAAGTGTACCAGGGATCCTGTCCTATTAGGTATGTATTAAAATATTAAATAATTTTGAAATCTAAATTCATTTTTTCAGATGGTGCGGCAGACAGTAACACAGAAGATGCGACGAGTGCACCAATAGATAATATATGAATGCATTCCAATAAAATTAATATAATCAAAGTTAACTACCGAGAACTGTTCTAATAAAAGTATGAAATTTTAGCGGGAAAAATCCCATTTTTATTTGAGTACTTAACGCTTGCCATTTCTTAGTAGTTCGACTATTTAAATATATAGTTAATATCTTGTATATAGTGAAAAATGATTTTATTACAATAGAACAATAAATTTAATGAAAATAAAATTTTCAATTTTTTATAAAACTTGTTATTTTTAACTAGTGTTCACCCAGTGATTGATACGATCATAATCATTAATATCTAATGCAAAATTTAGATTCGTGTTATGTGTTACGTTTTCCCTACTGTTTTATCCTTTATTCTTGTAATGGTTGGAGAAAAAATCTTTTTCTTTTTTTTTTTTTAGCGACCCGCCCTCACCTCGCTTCGGAAACTGTAATTTATTATTGATTTCTCCACTATTTAGGGGATGTTATTATACATATAAACCATCCTCTTCAATCACGCTTCAATCTATCTATTAAAAAAAACCGCATCGAAATCCGTTACGTAGTTTTACAGATTTAAGCATACATAGGGATATAGGGACAGAGAAAGCGACTTTGGTTTATACTATAAATAGATATATTAACGCTGGGGAATTCATTTACGGATACCCGGTTCAGGGGGGTAACGAACCGGGTTATGTCGGACTCCGGCGCCTCCTGAGAGGAAGAGGGGGACAAGGAGGGCCAAGGTCCTCCACCTCCCTGAATTCCTCGCAGGAGACTACGCCTTGAAAAAGGCGCGCAAGGCGCTCGCCCCGCAAAACCAACTACCGACTAAAACCCATCGAGCTCCATGACACCGGCTACACCAGACCTACGGTACCGCAGTGCGCGCCGAAAGTCCGCCTTCGCCGGTAGCCGTCTTGATGATAAGACGGGATTTCATTTCCGGGAAAATCCCGAAGGACGTCATCTCGGGAGACACACCGTGGGCGGCGCACAGGAGCCGCCGTGCACCGCCCCACCACCGGACCGACAGTCGAGTACCGGGCGCCTCCGCACCCGCCACCTGATAGTCCTTACGGGGGCTGAGCGGGAGCTTCACGCCCGCGCCGCCCACCCCGCCTTCTCACCGCGCGCGCCCGTTGAGCTCTAAGCAGCAGAGCCGCATTTCGCGCGGAGAGTGCGGGCGACCACACAGGAGCACCGTACAGGGCCATACTGCGCTCCACCCCAAGATACAGTCGCCGGGTACCGGCGCTGCATCCTCCGACGTTGGGAAGAAGACGGGTCAGCGCACCTGCCGCCCCCATGAGCCTCGGAACCAGCGCTTTAAAATGGTGGTCGAATCTCCATTTGCTGTCCAGCACGAGGCCCAAATACTTGAGCTTCGGCTGGACAGCAATGGTGACACCCCCGACTACGAGATTCGCACCTTGAGGTGGCCCTTTCCGAGCTGAGTGGAAGCACACTGCTTCGGATTTTTGGAGGGCCATTTCGAGGCCGAGTCTCTTTATTCGTCTTACCACAGTTATAACAATGTGTCCTATGTAATTTTCAATACCTATTAAGCCGATGTACTTACTCACTACTTACTACGGACAAGGTAATGGTGAAAACAAGCCAGATAACGGATCGATCTGCGCGTCACAGCTAAGTTCACAAGATTTTTTTATTGCTTAGATGGGTGGACGAGCTCACAGCCCACATGGTGTTAAGTGGTTACTAGAGCCCATAGACATCTCCAACGTAAATGCGCCACCCACCTTGAGACATAAGTTTTAAGGTCTCTGTATAGTTACAACGGTTGCCCCGCCTTTCAAACCGAAACGCATTACTGCTTCACGGCAGAAAAGGGCGGTGTGGTCCACAACCAGTAAAAAACTAAAAAAATGCGATACAGTTTTGGTTAATTTCAAAGCATTAATAAAAATTGATCAGAGGGGTTGATATCGAAAATCTTCAACTAACGCTTCAATTTTCAGTACCTATACAGCAGATATTATTACTATCCGTAACCTTATTTTATACAGGTGCTTTTACATACGATTTTATTTGACTTTTCATAGTAGGTATATAAAAAAAAAGTAAATGATGAAATATAAATACAACCTGTTATAATTATCTACATAAGTTTAGTTAGGAAGATTAGGAAGGAATTACAAAGCCTAACAAAAATCAAACGTGCAAAATTTGTAAAGTTGTGCAATTATTGGTAGGGTATATTGTAGCCCACATAGATAGTATGTAGAGGGTACTACTATAGTTACTAACTATAGTTGGATGGTCGGAATAAATGTTAAACTCTATATTTGCGACTTCTACCTCATGACTACTTAACACCAAGCAGGACGTAAATTAGTAGAACATTTATGGTATAAAAGTATGATATGAAGTCAGCAGGAAAGCCACATAGACACTCCTAATACAGAGATAGTAAGACAGATCATTTAATTAGATTACCAGTGATTCTGAAATTGCAATACAATATTTTTTATTGTTCATACAGAATGTAGGTAGATGAGCATGTGGCCAACCTGATGGAGATTGGTTACAATTGCTTAGGACATCAGCAATGCCAGGAACAGACCAAAACTGCTAATTAAGTGATCTCTATTTAATATGGGTTATTTGTAAGGTAGAAATAAAACAAAATTCAATATAAATAATTTATTATCACATAAGCTTGAATTGCACCTTTAGCATAGAATAATAGAATACTTTTGAAGCTTTACTAAGCAAAGCTGGACATCACTCAACAGCTTTTTTGTTGCTCGAAACTTAAAAAACCAATCAATTAATCAGATGCTACTAGAGCAATGACTGTAAAGCGTACTTCATTCGGATCGCGAGCCATAAATTCTTTGCAAATTTTTGCTGCATCTTCCAACAAAGTTTCCTGTGAAGTTGGGCCATGATTGACAGGAAAAGCTTTACGGCCATCTAACTCATACAACGCCCCATCTTTATGGACAAAGCTGATAAAATGATGGTTGACGGGATCTTCAGCACTTGGTGTATTTGTTTGGCCTTCTTGAGCCAATTCCTTGTGAGCATTAATGATGCCTTCAGACTTTTCCAACAATTTACCACGAGCAGTAGCATCAAGTCCTTTAGCTTCATTTAAAAATTTCTGCATATGACCATCAGATAATTCAATTATGTCCGTATTGTTGGCCACACTATGTACAAGAGCTATAGTCCCACATGCATTGCTGATATTTTGTTTCATATAGAAAATATTTCCAGAAACTTCTTGCCCTTTGGACAGAATCTCATTTTCTTCAGTCTTTTTGTGATTTTCGTAAGCATCAGAAATTGGGAAAAGTAGCATTACGGAAAGCACAGGGCGAGGTACCCACGAAAGCGTTTCAGGATCAAGTCCCATGACATCTACAATATTCCATTTGTTTGGTACGCCGAGCTTTTGCAAAAACTTGTTCAGGACATCGGGATTGGATTCAAGAGGGACTAAAGTTTCAGTCGCCATTTCAGTCACTCTGTAAAATAACTGAGTAGGTTACCGGTGCACCGGCAATGACAAATGAAAAAATATCTACGAAGATTCACAATTGAATTAAAAACGTACCAAATTGTGGAGTTGATGAAGGTGATTAATCAATAAAATGGTAACAGCTTGACAAATCGAATTATATTTTCAAAATAGTAGAACGACAAACTTCTAACAAGAATGAGTTCGCAATCTCGAAATGGGAAAAAATAAATCAATAATATTGTTTGTTTTGATCACTTAGACAGGTATAGGAATTATGTCACTAACAGCCAAGTTTTAGCGAGAAATAGAATGAAATAAGTTAATGCTCAAATAAGTAGAAGTAGCTTAGGGCGGTTTCATCGGATTTTTTGAATGATCTGAGAAGCCATAATGTTTGATTTTGTTCCAGTTCCTTTTACGATTACTAAGTTTGTAATGAATCACCATTATACCAAGTGAAAAACTATTGAATACACTGAAGAGTTAACCATCTGTAGGTATATTAATAGCTTGATACGATGATTGATTGTCTCAAGATGGGTGGTGGCTTTTACGCTGTAATGGGCTCCGGTAACCACTTAATACTAGATGAGCCAAGAGCTCATCCACCCACCTAAGCAATAAAAAAATATATCTGAATTTCAACCAGAATTGTTTAAGATCATGTTTTACCTATGGCGGTACATCTATCATCTAAGAGTACAATGTGTTATTTCTGTGTGGACTCCAAACTGTATACTGTTTGTAGAATAACGAAATTTAAATGATCTAAATTATCTGGAACCGCTGCGTTCATCGACAGTGCGTTTCCAAAGATCTTTTTTGCCACGTACCATCCGGCTTTGAAATGACCTCCCCTCCACGGTGTTTTCCGAGCTCTATGACATGTCCTTCTTCAAACGAGGCTTGCGGAGAGTACTTTATGGTAGGCAGCGGCTTGGCTCTGCCGCTGGCATTGCTGATGTCCATGAGCGACGGTGACCACTTACCGTCAGGTGGGCCGTATGTTCGTCTGCCTACAAAGGCAATAAAAATTTTTTTTTTATTTGTATATTTTATCAACAAGCGACGATTTTGTATAAGGACTATGTTTTTAAATTTTTAGCTTGCCGATGTTTCTAAATTAAGAATTGATTTTATTACTTACAAGTCCCTAGTGATTTATATTTAAAATACTATTCTCCTAAATGTCAAATGCCTAATAATGGAACTTCTCGGGGTCCTCCAAAAAGTCCACTGAAAAAGCCTATTGAGACTTTACACTGAAACGACCACCATTTTACTGACATTTTATTTCATCCTGTTGGACGGTTAAGTTTGAGGGGATTGGGTTCTGTAGGTTGATGAGGGGCTATTTAAAAACACACTGCTTCATTATAATATAATTATATTGCAGATACTTTGAACACTGTTACACCACTATAAAAATATTATCTTTATAAAACTCTTAGATGCTGTTCTGACCGTGTCTTGATGAGAAGTCATTATCTTCACTGACGAGAAGACAATCGTTGGATTTAAATATTTAAAAGCATTCCAATATTCGAAATCTGTAATCTTATATGTGTCAAGTGTTGCCTAGAATTACGTTCATATTCAAACTCCAACACATCTCATATCGTTTCATTTCATATCATTTTTCCTAGAAAAAAAGATGTGTATATAAGATTAGGCTATATAGTGTGATACCCTTGCCTTTCCAGTTGAAAAAATAAACTACTACTATATAAGGGATTTTATGACCTGGTAACTAAGACCTTTAAGTCATGTCTTATTTTAATTTATATTCATATTTTTATGAAAAATTATATTATGGAGTGAAATGAAATGAAGATGATTAATTTGAGACATTAATCAACTGGGATGAAATATAATCTCAGTAAAATGGTGGTCATTTACTAAGATTTTTTCAGTGGACTTTTTGGAGGATCCCGAGAAGATACGTCCAGCGGCTTTGTTTCATTTTCCCACATTTTTGCACTTTCGAAGATATTGAACAGTTAATAAACCATCATTATTACACATTTAAACCAGAAGAAACACTAAATACACAAAATAAAACAAATCACAAACCTCACTCCTCGCGTTTCCGCCAAAAAGTCCCAAACTACTACTAGTAAACTCAAATGCATAGTCATAGATTATTGTCAATATTCAACAGTCAAAACGTAGATTAGAAATAAAACAAGTCAAGCAAAACTAAAACCTATTTTCAATAATCAAAAACTGAAGTCTGTTTAAGTAATATTTAAATCTTTATTGAGCTATGTTAATTAGAATTAGAAATGTAATTAATGAACTTTTTAAAAACATTGTGTTGAGTACATAAGTAATGCATATAAGAAGGATTTCAAATAAACATTCCGTCCACATATACCTTTCGTTGTTTCCAATATTCCATCGATATGGCCGTTTGTGGTCTTAGAACTGTATTACTCATCGTTTGTATACTTGAATTGGTATGTAATATTCTTTGGTTCGATATAAGTTCAAGCAACATTAACGTCAGCTAATTAACTTAGTTGGGAAAAAATTATAAAAGTCAATAATGGCAATATAAATAAATACATATAAGCATATAATTGTATATTTATATAGTTTGTAATAGCTAGTATTTATTCGCAATCTGCATTATATTTGTATATTCAATTAACTTTCCATTTTACAGATAATTACTATTCAAAGACAGGTCTTTGATTTTTTAGGATACATGTGGCTGCCCATCATAACTAATTTTCTTAATATTCTACTTATAATTTTCGGATCGTTTGGTGCAGTACAATGCATCACAAAGTACCTAATAGCGGTATGTATAACCAGCAAACTGATTATTGAGTAGTAATAAGTTTGTAATAAGTGACCTACTTTTTAATTTCTTGCAATGTTAAAACAGTTAATTGGGTATTGCTGCGTAATTGAATGGCAAATGCAAATCATAATTTATAAATAAATAGAGTAATTCCAGCATCCCAATAACACAGTTGATTTATTATGTATTGTAGGAAAAATTCTGAATAGTGTGGTTTGTATGATCCCATGTACAACACTGCACAAACCATTTTTATTTATTAAATAGTACCTTTCATCCAATGAAAGTTAAACTATTTGTAAGGAACAAATAATTTTTTACAATAATGCAAGAAAAATTAGTTATTTAAAATACTGCAGGGTAGCTGAAGTATTGGGTCAGAAAAACTACGGGCAATAATTTCTGATTTTATACTCTTGAAATGTGACCAATTTTACTCATTATAATAATTTCAGTATGCTGTATGGAGTTTTATGTGGATGGTGTGGAATATCTTCCTTATATGCTACTATCTAAACCTGGGCACTTTAAATAGGGTAATTATAAAATACGTATTTTTGTAGTTAACTAAGGATGTTATTAATCATTTTAGATTTATTTACTTTTCATAAATCTTGTTAATGGGAGCTTATTTTGCAGGAAAGTGGTTTATTATCATTGGGTACTGGTAGCGTTAGTTGGTGGGAAAGCAATGGATGGGGCTGTCAGCCAGAATGGGGAGAATTGGACAGACCTGGTCTATGGAGGCCGACTCATGTTGAAGGCTGCCACTTCCAATGGTATCATGTTGAATTGGGACAGTCTGTACTTGGTGCCATTTTTGCTGCCACTGCTATACCTCTTGCCACCATTTTAGCCATTAAGTCATACAAGAAAAAGACGAAATCAGGTATGGATCAATAGTAGGTTTTTAGCTAAAACATTGTGTGGCAAATTTTACAGTTCATGTTTAAAGAATTAATAGATTTCTCTGATTGTTTTAGATAAAGGTACAATATCCCGCAGACCAGTTTATACAATAGAATTAAGTCCAGCTGAAACTAACGTAAGTGAAAGTAGTTTGAAACCAATGACACCCCGTCGAGTCAAGCGTCGATCGGGCTCCCGAGGTAATAGTTCGTCAGTTCGTAGGTCGCGACGGTCTTACAGGAATGCTGGTTATTCAGCTTCAACAGGATCCTTACCCCGTGAACCACGATCGAGACCAACATCTGCACATTCGTCATATTCGAATTTTCATGGAACACGCCCAGTTTCATACCATGTACCTCGTAATGAAGAAACTGTTTCGGAAATTGTTAACAACGCATATGAGCCTGCACCGCAAGTTGAATCAGTACCGATTGTCGTTAACAGAAACAATACTATAGGTCGAAGCAGCATAAAATCTTCCGGTTACGATGTGGCTGGGCCATATAAAGAGCCGAAATCGGTGCGAACGTACGATTCAAAACCTTTGAGTAATTACGACGCGAAATACGATACAAATTCGGCAAGAAATTATAATACCAACGTTCCCACTTATGACAACATCGAAAATGTTTATGACAGAGGTCAGATGAACACCAATTATGATGGAAGGATAGATACCGTTGGCGGTTGTGAGTCTCCTTCGTACGGATACGGCGACAGCGAATGGCCGCCCCCGCCCGCTCCCCCATATAGCGCGCGAGCCACGCCGCAGGCACCAGGTCCCCCGGCCTATCAACCTGTCAACGACCTATATAACATGGCGCCATGAAATCTATATTGTTGACATTTTATAAATGTGCCTTATTCCAGTGTTTGGAACTTGTGAAGCGGAGTCTCCTGCATTGTCACAATTTAACTAACAACATTTTTTATAACAAAATTTTAAATGTTTTAACAAAACAAAAAACATACATACAATTTGATAATTATGAGAAAAATTATTAGGTTGGAACTAACAATAAAAACGATTTTTATTTAATTATGTTGCCTAGTTAGTTCTGTTTTATTAGTAGAGTTTGTTTTTTGTTTGACTGCAGTTGTAGGAGACTGTTTTACTTAATTTGTTCGACGTGATAACTTTACAAAGCTCAACACCCTGATAGGTGTACAAAAAATTCCCAGGGTAACTTAAAAATATTTTGTACATTAAAGTAATCGAAGATTTTCATCTAGTTTTAATGTAAGTCATTGTTGCAAAGTTAATTATAGGTTACGAATTTAGCTTTAACATAATTTAGTGCAACGAAATTATAAAAATGTCTAGTTATCATTTTTAGTTGTCGTTTTTGACAGCACAAATTGCAGAACACGGTATTGTTTTTACTAGATTTGTTATTTATACGAACTAAGTAGACTACATTGTTTAGTATATAAATTTAACTATACATATATTATAATCATTCCACCGGTAAGCAGACTGTTGAGAAATCTCAATTTAATCTTCAATTTAATAATCTTAAGGTTAATCTTATTTTTACAATGAGCTTATTTTTACGTTAAATGTATAAAATTTTGTTGAAGTATCAACAAAATACTGTCTCCGTCCAATGTTTGCCTTGTTTATGTAATAAGTANAGTATATAAATTTAACTATACATATATTATAATCATTCCACCGGTAAGCAGACTGTTGAGAAATCTCAATTTAATCTTCAATTTAATAATCTTAAGGTTAATCTTATTTTTACAATGAGCTTATTTTTACGTTAAATGTATAAAATTTTGTTGAAGTATCAACAAAATACTGTCTCCGTCCAATGTTTGCCTTGTTTATGTAATAAGTACTTAGTCTTATCTTTTTTTTAATGTTGGACCAATTAATTAAGAATATAAAACGAAGCAAGCAATCAAGCTTTAGTAGAATAAGTTCTGTTTTTTTTTTTCTGATGGATAAAACTTTCCATTCATTTTATACCAAATATACACTGTTCAGAACATGCGCCTATTTATTAATTCCTGGTAATTATTTAAATAAAATAACTATTGGTATCGAGCATAGAAATTATATTTAACCAAAACGAGATTTCTTGTATTTAACAACAACAAAAAAAATCACAATCATTTGCTAAAAACATTAAGTACTATTCAAAACACAGACGTACAAACTAGTATAATGTTATTATTCTACATCACTGACCAGTTATACAAATAATTTGGTTTGTTTTTAGTTACTTGCAACAAAAGCTTTGGTATAGCAGATATTAACGAAGAAAATTTGAAATACCTATACAAAATGTTAGTTGGACTAAATGCAATTAAAAGAAAATTAACTTGCAAATTTTTTGTTCATAAGATAAATGTGATGAATAAAAGCACTGATCAGATTTCAAAAACACTGATTCAATTACGCGGTGATGTTTCAAAAATATACCAAACTGTCCCACCACTCAGCCCGTTATCAAACTACGACACGAAACTGATTCTAATTTACTTGAAACTACTACTTTGTTAATGTTGATATTTGATTTTACTTTAAGTTTTCTGTTAAATAGCAGGTAATTGTCGCCTCTCGGTAGGCGTAAGGTCCGGGTGCCACACGTCGACAATGAGCACTAGACGAGTACCGGTGCCATTGTGCCACACCTCGTGTTCGAAGCTGTCGTCAAACAAGAGCACCTTGCCGGTCTGCCACTGCCTGTAAACAAACAATAAAAAATTTACTGGTCGTAGGACCTCTTGTGAGTCCGCGTGGGTAGGTACCACCGCCCTGCCTCTTTTCTGCCGTGAAGCAGTAATGTGTTTCGGTTTGAAGGGTAGGACAGCCGTTGCAACTATACTGAGGTCTTAGAACTTATATCTCAAGGTGGGTGGCGCGCATTTACGTTGTAGATGTCTATGGGCTCCAGTAACTACTTAACACCAGGTGGGCTGTGAGCTCGTCCACACATCTAAGCAATAAAAAAAAAACTAACAAAATACGCTTTTATAGAAAATCAAATTAAAAAATAGAAAATAAATTTTAATAAATTTTTAGTTGGATTTTCTATAAAAGCGTATTTTGTTAGTTTTTTTAAAATTTTTTTTTTTTTTTTAAATATTGAATTGTCTTCGGTCCTTAATAAGTATACCAAATTTCGATTTAACCCGTCGTTTTGAAAGGGGTCAAAATGTGTTCAAAGATTCCTTTACAAACATACATATTACGTTTGAAGCTAATAAAAGCGTATTAAAAATAATAACTATCGTGCTTTCACTAGTAATTAAGTATAGTGAATGCGAATTAAAACTGTCTTAGTTACGTAATATAGACGTAACATAATAATATTATAGACTTAGCCGGTTTCATTTGATGTCGTCGTGGCCTAAAGTATGAGACCCGCCATCGTATCGAGTGATGCCACTGTGCCGGTGTTCGAATCCCGTAGGCAGGTACAATTTTTTGTAATTAAATACGCACTCTCAACACATTTCCCATGATAAAGGAATAACTTGTCACAAAAATCAAATCGCAAAAACTGAATTTTTTTTTTAAATTTTTTGTGAGATCTCTCACGAATAGGTGTTCACAATCGCCATTTCTGCCGCGAGGCAATAATGCGTTCCGGTTTGAAGGGTCGGGCAGTCTTTATGTTATAAAACAGACTTGGAATTCAAATATCAAGGTGACTGGCGGTATTTAAAATGTCTATGGGCTCCGGTAACCATTTAACACGAGGTTTAAGACAGTGAGCTCGTTCAAACCTCTAAGCAATAAAAAAGCCATACCTGGTCTCTTTGTCCACTCTTATATAAGTATCTTTGGTGTTGCTCAGTCCTAAATGCATTCGCAGGCGACAATTGGTGGGTCCCACGTGCGGTCTGACGTGGGTGCCCGCTTCCATTGCGCTGAACTTGATCTGTCCTCGACGACATCCGACCGCGGCTACTTCTTGCCGCACTATAGAACAAGTCACTGGAGCCTTTTTGCATCTTCCCGGTATTTCAGAACCGCGCGCGAACAAATCCAATTGTGACCATTCTCCGCGTTCTTTTAAACCCTCTTTTTCTTTTTCATACAACGCTCGTAAGCTTTCACCTTCTTCTAGAATTTGCCTCCACGAGCGTTCTAATGCACGTGCCAATTTTGTGTAGGGTGTGTTTTCTACGTTCCACCAGGGTTTACTTTTTAATCGCTCCACGTTGTATAGTGAACGCTGATTCGGCGATAAGAAGTGGCCTAGAGCTGCGCCGCGTTTGTGAACTTCGTGGGCCTCATTGAACCTTCCTAATAACAGTAATGCGTCGCCGTAGTGGTAGTAAAAACGCGGTTCGTTAGCGGGCCCAGTTTGATCCTCTAAAGCTTTCTTGAATGCATCTACTGCTTCTTCTAAACGGTTATAACTGGTTTTCAGGATGAAGCCAAGATGAGCCAATGCGACGTGGTCGTTAGGCCAACGCTTTAAAGTTTCCTTTAAAACGGTTTCCGCTAGATCAGCCCTGAAGTAAGGTCAGTAGCTTTAGAGGCCGACTTACATTTGAGTCACGTTTAGTTAAGAACATAATTCAGTACCTGTTTGCCATTAATAACGATACAGTCAAATTATTTCGATAGTTCGGATTGTCCGGAAATCGTCGAATCAATAGTTTGTAAACAGGCTCAGCACTCAGATATGTTCCTAAAAATATTACAAGTTTATGAATACATTAGTTCTGATAAGAGGAACGAGAATTTACATAATTATTATTGTTATTGTATCAATAAGTAGATTAGATTGTACTCTTCTACCCACTTATGTAAAGCTCTCCCTCTTTAAGAACGGTTAGCTGGTAGATAACTCAATTGTTGAGTTAAGCTCGCCATTTTATAACTTTTCGCAATTATTGTATAACCCACCCACTAATTGCCATTATACTTTATCAATTCTAGGCCGTTCACATGGAAGGTAAGGGCTTGTCGTAAAATTTAAACCATATCATGTTTATAGCAAACCCATGAAGGTAGGTATAACTGATTGCAAAACAAAGAAGCTTTGAAAATTTTATATATATCTATACTAATATATATATATCTACAGTGGTTTTTACGGATGTTCCGTTATAACTACTGAACCATGCATCCGATTTACTTGTAACTTGGTACCCATGTAGAAAATACATATACTTAATGGATAGGCTAATATTTATATGAGCGTTGGACTCTCTACACCAGTTGCGGGGGCTTTAATAATGAGAATCTTTGTGGGGGGTGAGAAATAATAATGTTAATTTTAAATGCCCAGCTAAGCGGGCGATTACGGTTAGTTATTTATAAATACCTCTGAATTTGATTCTTTCTAGTGTTCTGTCAGTAACTTCGATTAACTTCTTATCCGAGAGACGCTCGTTCATCTTGAGTAGGTCGATATACGCGGCTATAGCTTGCGAAAGCAGTCTATTGTCGCGCCGAGCTTCGGCCGTTGCGTCCAGTGCCCGCGCTTTTACGTACCGAGCGCGGGCGCTGGTCTGGAGGCTCGGCGCGCTAACTCGACCCAGCGCAGCGCTCCACTCGCCCTCCGTACGTTAGTACACAACACTCACACACAGGCAACAAAACTGGACGGTTTCTCGTTCATCCAACGGGTACAGGTTGGACGAATGAACAACCCTCTCTGGTACTATATAACTAAGTGGGAAAACGTCGTCCGGGACTCGTCAGGGGCGTCGCGTGCGGGGTGCGGGCACGAAACGTTACCTGAACGAGACCCGGACGAGGTACGGAAAATGGCACAACGAGCAAAGTTTATATAAAAATTGAAAGAAATAAAAACTGCAAAAACGAGTTAGTCGAGCCAGTCCTGGAAAATTTATGAATGTATTACACTTCTGTCTTCTGAACAGATCACGCACGATCATTCGACCCCAAGTTAGGATTCCCTGTAGTGTGGGTATCTACCAGAGACTGACATACATACAAACATACATAAGTACATTTTTATACATATGTACGCATATTAAGATAATAAACACCCAGATAAAGAGCAAACAAATCTGTTGATCACACGAATGTTTCCCCGATGTGGGAATCGAACCCACGACCCTTGGAGCAGCACTCAGGACCTTTAACTATTGCACCACCGAGTCGATCAATTTTAAGTATTCGCAGGTTGGTGTATTCTTCTATATTGTATTTTATGGTTAGTACTAAGCTTTAAGCAATAAAATCATGGGCTTATACAGAATTGATTAGGTCTTTTGCAGAATACTTAATATATTTTTTCGGAAGACCATTCGAACTTAATTTGTCCTCGTTTTGAAGGTCAGATTAGGACAAGGCGTCAAGAAGCTGCTTTTAGCGAAAAGAAGCGATAGCGATAGCTTCTGTTCGCTACGATACATCGCTGCATGCGTGCCCTGGCCATTACCACCTCTCTGATTGTTATTATCTCTCGTTACTAATTTAGATTTTACTCAACAAATATTCAGGATAAACCCATTATACCGATTAGAGAATTAAAATTGTTCATGCATTCAACATTCCATGTCTAAAGTCACAGTAATAAAAATACACCAACTATAAATTAAAGAATACAACAACCTTAGCTCTGTTATTTAATTGTGACGTGCGACCGAAGATTTTTCTATTATATCCTATTAGCAATTCTGAATAATGGCGGAATTGTAAGACATTGTGTTTTCTGAAGATCTACATAATATGTATAATTCATTTTATCTCACATATTTAGATCTAGATTAATCTATTTGCACCAATTTAGTTTTTACCTTATCATTTTCATATAGTTAATAATTGATTTGGAATAAAATTCGATATTTCGTCTTCTCGCATTAAAACTGTATAATCTCAAAACTTACTAATTTTACAGGAGAGTGTTTTAAAGGTTTAACATGTGATATTTTTAATATTAATCATCTTTGCAACATTTATTTTTTATTTTTTATCTGTCTTTTAAAGTAAGCTAAAATTATGTATTAATTTTGTTAATAGTAGTCAAAACATAGATAAACTAAAAAAAAAAAAAAACTAAATCTAAACTACGCTCTTTTGACAGTATTTATGAGAAAAATACTGGTGATGCCAAATGATTCCGCATATTAACACAATTTCGATTGGTTTTTGGAAATTGTACACTTTTAATGCGAAAAGACGATTTATCTCTCTTCATTGAACTATTAAAGATATAATTATTGTTTTTATTTATGGGTAAATACCTGTCTCAAGTCCTGTTCGGCTTGGTCCAGTTGCTGGCGCCAGTAACTCTCGCTAGGTTCGCCCGGCCAATCGTCATCTAGGCTGTCCCCACCATCTTCTGTAAAGCAATTCGTACCTTGAAACTGTTTCATTCGTGGTATTATAGTGATTTTCAAATTAGTTTGCGTCCTTTGTTCTGGCTACACCCCTGGAATTTGTGGATTCTATAGAGAGCAGATAGCCTCATAATATCATGTGAGCTATTCGCTCGTCTGACATTGAAAGCAATGATATAATACTGATATTCCTATACAAGGCATATGTGTTTCAACAATCCTGTTTTTAAATAAGTAGGAGTTTCATTTCCTTTTAATGCCTATGATTTTTTTACTTTAATTTAAAATGTATTAAAATTGTAAGCAATCATAAAACAATACAAACACAATTCAACATGCAACATAAACATTAATTAAAAACAGATGATTGTTTAAATTGTATCTGAAAACTCACGTTATTGCAAATCATGCCGTATCATTGTTATTGTGTTAATAGCAAGCCAGTAGCCGAGATCTACATAAGCGGACACATTCTTGTTTACTAGTTTGTTTCGGTCGGTCGGGTTCGGGGAGTCGGCCATATTTTGCTTCGAGCCTACTCAAAAGTTCTGCGTCATCAACATCGGATATTTCTTCTTCCTCAATCAATTCTTCTTCCAGTTCTTCGTCGATTATTTCGACGTCATCAGGATCTTCTTCGGAATCCGCGATTTGTTCCTCAGCTTTGCGCGCTTCTACGGGTGCAACCTCTTTGGGTGTATCTATTTTTTCTTCAATCAATTCCTCGTCAAGTTCATCCTCATCGCTGTACAACTCTTTATCTACCTCGTATTGTGTTTGTATCACCTGCAAAATATGTTTATTGGAGAATTTCAAAGGAACAACTACCTTCATAGATCTCAAGGAATCGACTTTACCTCAGGAGCAGGCGTGTCTTCAACCTCTTTATCTACGTTGAGTTGACTTTTAATTGGTGTGGATTTTTGTGTACCAACGTTTTTCTCATCGACCTCTCTTTCAACGACAGGAGGTAACGAATAGTCTGTTGGAACCTCAACCGGCACCTCTAAAGTATTTAAAATCGTTATTTTAGCTCTCGAATAAACTTTTAAATGTGAGCCAATTAAAGTTCCATACCTGAATGTTGTTCTTCAAGTATTAGAGTCATTCGTCTATCGATTAAAGATGGTGTTTCCTCTCTCGCCATATGTTCGTATATGTTATCCGTCTCTGTCATGAAATTAAAGTTTTTGTTCTTTTCATATTTAATACTTTTGTTTGTCCACTTGAATTATAGCAATTTCAAATCATTATAAAGACTAATTGAGCGTAGAGATGAGTTTACAATATTAAGTAAAAAAATTGTGGTAAGCTCAAGGGATATTTTAATTTATGTACAAATATTGATACTGATTAAAGTACGAATTTTAAAATTAGTTTCTTTGTTTAATTTCGAACATCTACGATATATTTAGTAGATATAGTAAATATAACAAGATACAGATTTTTCAAGAAAATCGAAATCATATGGTTATGAGCTGAAAATAATGTTGATTCATAAAAAATCAAGACGTTTATACATATTACTTCTAGCTATCTAGTACTTAAAATTGCATAGTACACGCTAAAATTAAAATTCCGCGTCAAAATTAATTTTATCAGACAACAAATTCAGAGACGCATTTAACTTTCGCGTGCACTACACCAGCATTATCCTCAAACGCACCCACCAAAACCGCAAGTGTCGAGTGATTAATAAAAGGGATGCGTGCTTCGGGCATGCCTAACGGTGATTGCGTATTTTACAAATGGCCATTTCGTACAGATGCGGCTTAGGTGTGTGTTCATGCGTTAGTACGCACCGCGTGACGCAGTGGCGCGCCGCACGACTGCGTGCGTGGCGACCAGTAACGCTGCACCGACCACCACTTTCAGCCACACTGCAACACACGGGTCACGCTTTTAAACGATACAATTCTATTCGTATACGTTTAACAATATTAATTCGAGCGCTTTTTTTTCCTACATATTCTAGTAACCTCGAGTGGTTATTCTAAATTCATCGAACTAGTAGGTGAGCTCACGGGAATCAAACCGGAAGTGTTGTCAACACTGGCCCTAGCAAGAGCAGTGCTTCGCAAAATCTACCACCGGATCGGAAACGCGACCCACTGAAAAGATCCGGCGAGAAACTCGGCGGGCTAAAGAAACTTAGTGGGCTAAGTGGAACGCATTAATTATTCGCGTAGACTTCACGCTGAACTATTGAGGGCTTAATATTAAGGTTTTTGAGTTTTAATCATTTTTTTTTTCAATGAAGGAACTATCTGATAAAACAATTCATGGTCCTTTTTATTTTATTAGCCGTGGTGGACTACAGACGAGCTCACAGCTCACCTGATCCTGAGCGCTTACTTTTTGTTGCTTATATATATCGTCTTATATGTATCGTCGCTACGACGTCAGCAATTCCAGGGGCATAGTCAGGTCGTTGAAATGCTGCTGACTATTTAGAGACAATAAGATTGACGTCTGAATTGCATGACGGATTATTGATTTGTGACGGGCACAGCCTGCCTGGTTATGGCTTATATCACCAGTACAGGAATTCATTTTTTAGTCTAAAATCTAATTCAATTCGCGGCTTTTACATCTAAAGTACGTTTTCATATATCCGATATTTTTTGAATATTCAATAAGAAAAAAACAAATATAAAACTTTTTCTTATACTTTTAAAATTTATAGGTAATGCACACAAGATAGCTTTGGTGTCGTTATATTTACATAAGCTGTAATACAGAAAAGCAAATGGAGCGAAATAAAAGAAAATAATTTTGCCATTATTTATTTTTTCAAGTCCAAAAAACTTTTCGTCAGTAATATTACAATATTACTTATGACTTTTTTTACTTCTTTTCTATAAATAATGCTTAGATATTATTGCAACATAAGTACACAAGTAGGCATCAAGTTATAAAGGGTGGGTGAAACATTAGAATTAATTTTAATTTTGAGCAACAAACGTTTACTCAAATTTTGCATTCATGCAACGCGTTAACATGCTCGTCTTATAACGCGAGACCCAAGTTATCTATACATTCAAACCTACAACCTAAATTATGAGCTTTGTAATTTTGCAATGTACGTGAATAAAATGAATTTTTAGTGTAGATTTTAGTAAAAATTAGTAATATTAGTTGAGTGTAAATGGCTAGTTAAAGTCATGCCAAGCTGGGTGCAAGATAATTTAGTTAATACACTTACTGTGCGACGCTTGTTCCTTCTCAAGGCGCAGTTGTTCTTGTTGCTTCTCATATTCGTCTTCTTCGGTCAAACTGTTGATCGGCTTTTCGGTTGAAATGTCATCCTCCAACTGTGAAATAGTGGCAACTAAATGTACTTGTCGATGAAGCGAGAGAGCTGTTCGGAGTAGTTTGGGTGTAAAATTAAATATGTGGGTATATTTCACGCGATTATAGCCGTCTTGAGCTATTTATATGTATATGCCTTTATATGTATGTACCTTTATTTAAAAAAAAAAAAAACGTTACGTTGTTTGCCTGCGATGAAATTCTGAACTAATGAAGCGATTTGATGTATCGAATGAAGCGTATTAAAATGTGTAATTGAAATTTCATTTTATTTCACCTTATGTTAAGTGTTTACTGGAGCCCATAGACATCTACAACGTAAATGCCGCCTCCCGTCTTGAGATATGAGTTCTAAGGTCTCAGTATAGTTACAACTGCCCCACCCTCCAAACCGAAACGCATTACTGCTTCACGGCAGAAATAGACGGGGTGGTGGTACCTACCCGCGCGGACTCAAAAGAGATCCTACCACCAGTAATTCAGTTTGTGTAATTGTTTTTTTAAGAAACCCCAAAACCCTTTTTCAGTTTTTCCTTCCCCGTTATCCCATCACTATATTTTAAACTCCACAGAGTTTTTAATTTCCAGTTAGCGCAAAATAGAATTGTATAGTGAAGCATTCATGAAAGTAATTTTACCTCAGGCAAAGGTTTCCCTGCGGGTGCTGTGATATGTTCCACTACAGGCGATTCTTCGATATCTTCAGGTTCTAAAAATTCATCTTCATCATCCTCTACAGAGTCCTCGACTTCATCTTCAGGTTTTCCGCCAACGATTTTTTCTATTCCATGAAATTGAATTTTAAATTGTTCTTTTTTATGTTCTGCATGTATTTCAATGAAATGTTGTCTGTGTGATTATTTATAACGTATGGTTTCTATACTATTTCTCAGATTGTGATTAAATTTAGTGACATTAGGACAGGGTTCCCAAATACCAAATAATTTCTGTTAATGTCTAACCAATTATTAATACATTGCTAGGAAAACCAGTTCACGGACCACCCGGTCTTAAGTCATTATGCAATAATATGTAATAAGATATGACTATTTCACGTCAGAAGTACACCGGATGTTAATAGTAGCATTAACTAGTTTCAGTAACAGGGAATTATAGCCCTAGATAGCTTCAGTAACATTTAGAAAGTGTACCTTCACTTTTTTGGACAGGTGCGTTTACTTCGTTTGAAGATAATTCCTGTTGGATTTCTTCGTCTGACACTTCTCTTTCGATTCTTTCCACTTCCACTTCGGAATCCTCTTGAACATTGTCTTCGAGATGGTCATCCTCCTAAAATGAATTATGCCAATTTTAAATATTTTCGTCTTCCTTTTCTACTGTAAGGATTATCGTTAATAAATGTCATTAGTCTCAATTTTTTATTAGCGCAAATAGACAAGGCTAGGAGCTACGTTACGTATATTAAACGTTCATTAGAATAGCGGCTATCATCAAGCCGACTTACGACACTACTAGCTAATATGGCTACTGGTTATCAGAGGCATCCTATCAAAAAAAAAGAAGCCACTGGATCTCATGTTTATTTCTGGAAAAATATAAAACATGGACTTTTAAAAAAATGTATATATCTTGGGTACATATTATCAATACTTTATTAACGAAAGTATTATAAATTAACAGGTAATATACAAGAAGCTATAGGTTGTGAACATACTGACAGAAATTGGGTTTAAAATGTGAATAAATAATTACAATTTTATTAAGTTTTAGAAATACTTGATAAATTAACTTCTATGCTAGAATTCAATGGTATACGAATAGTGCCTCCCAGGGGAAATGTTTGAAAACAACTTATTAACTCATTGAGGAAAACTTTAATGAACCAAAAGGTCGTTGTGACGCTTATGGCTATTCAAAAGCTTCGTTCGCCTATATACTTAGTCTGGCCATAAATACTGTTACAATTAAAAATAAACAAAATATTACATTTGAATTTGGAATCTGTCATTTTTATATCATTGCTCATTGAGTTTGCTCATTTTGGCGCCAATACATTGCACAATATTTTGCGATATTAAAATGGAGTGGGGTGATAAAGAGAACCGAATCGCTGTGATTGTATTACACAAAGTAGGTATGGAGCCTAATGCAATTTTTAAAAATCTCCATACGCTTAGTATTAGTAAAATGTTTGTGTACCGGGCTATTAATAGGTGCAATGAGACCTCCTCTGTTTGTGACAGAAAAAGATCTGGCCGTCCACGTAGTGTTCGTACGAAAAAGGTGGTCAAAACAGTAAGGGAAAGAATTCGAAGAAATTCTGTCCGAAAGCAAAAGATTTTATCTCGGGAGATGAAGATAGCACCTAGAACCATGTCGCGTATTTTAAAAGATGACGTACTGGTCATTTCTTAACTGATAATTTAAAAGAGAATAGGGTGGTAAAATCGAAACAACTACTGAAGCGGTACGCAAAGGGAGGTCATAGAAAAAATTTGTTTACGGATGAGAAATTTTTTACAATTGAGCAACATTTTAACAAACAAAATGACCGTATTATTTTGCTCAAAGCTCTAAGGAAGCTTCCCAATTAGTCGACAGAGTGCAACGTGGCCACTATCCGACTTCAGTGATTGTTTGGTGGGGTATTTAGCTATGAAGGAGTGACTGAGCCATACTTTTGTGAAAAAGGTATCAAAACATCGGCACAAGTGTATCAAGATACCATTCTTGAGAAGGCAGTGAAGCCCCTTAACAACACCATGTTCAATAATCAAGAATGGACCATCCAGCAAGACTCGGCACCAGGTCATAAAGCTCGGTCTACGCAGTCTTGGTTGGAAACGAACGTTTCGGACTTCATCAGAGCTGAAGACTGGCCTTCGTCTAGTCCCGATCTTAATCCGCTGGATTATGATTTATGGTCAGTTTTAGAGAGTACGGCTTGCTCTAAACGCCATGATAATTTGGAGTCCCTAAAACAATCCGTACGATTGGCAGTGAAAATTTTTCCCATGGAAACAGTGCGTGCTTCTATTGATAACTGGCCTCAACGTTTAAAGGACTGTATTGCAGCCAATGGAGACCACTTCGAATAAGCTTTTTATACTTTAAATTGTTTTATATTTATGTTTTAAACTAACACACTGTAAAAGTAATAAATGTTATTTGCAATAGATTTTTTTTTAATTTTAATTGTAACAGTATTTATGGCCCGACTAAGTAGTTTAATTATCAGACTAGCTCTTTAGTGCCGTAATATGGTGCTGTCATAAAAAGCACAGATGGATGTTAGTTTTCATGATGAAATTACAAATTGGTGCAAATTTAGTTTAAGAATGCGTTCATTCACTCATGCATATTAATAGTTAAGTACAAGACGTCAAGATAATAGAAAGCGTTAATGAACTGATTTCGATTAATGTGTATTTTTTTTCGATTAACGATTCGACTTTTGTTTAACTTGAATTAATAAATTGTTAGATCTGGTTTTAAACAAAATATTAATGTTTATAATTTTTTCTATTGTAATTTGACTAACTGAAGCTTTACAAAAAAGCTACTGAGCCTAAAATTTTTATTTTGAAGATTTTGAATGATACCTAACTGATTTTGATATTTGAACATTGAATCTACACATTCGCAGCCTACAATTGATTGCATACTAAGCAAAAGAGTGTGTGCGCTAATAACTAATAAATAGAGCAATATGATCTAAAATTAAATTTTTGTGTTTGCAACAAAAAAATTACACATTTAATAATATTTTCATTGCCATATTGGTACGTAATTATTCACCATTTTAAAAAGAATGCTCTTCCTGTACTTAAATGTAAATTGAAATCATTTCCGATTTATATAATTTTTTACGGTTCATCTTTTAAAGTCCTAAAAATTAAATAAATGCTACATAATTAACAGCCCATTGAGTTTCTCGCCGGATCATCTCAGTGGGTCATGTTTCCGATCCGGTAATAGATTCTGCGAAGCACTGCTCTTGCTAGGGCCAGTGTTAGCAATACCTCCGGTTTGAGCCTCGTGAGCTCACCTACACGCTAGGGTAACGCTGATATAGCCTCTCATCAAGGCTATCAGCATAGGACGAAAAAAAAACGACATTAAAATTGTTGTTGCGATAATCCATTATTAACGATAAATGCAATCATATAATCTGTATGTTTGAACAATTTCAAAAGTTATAATGCTGATAGTATACGAAAGTCAAAACATTAAATAAATTTTCCTCAAGCTTTTTTCCTATTGTATTAGATTAGAATTAACTTATTAGTGCACTCTATGTATCTTCATATTTCAATTTTAAATTCTTGCAATAAATAATATACACACGAACATAAACGCCACAATGATTATTCCATTTTAGAAGCCGAATTAGTGCCAATCAAATCAAACTGTTATCTATCATCTATTCATTAAATTTAGAAAACAGACACACGTTATTTTTTATTGACCTCATCGCTTTCTTCTTCAGGATATTCGGCACTGTCATGTTTATCTTCATATTCGTCTGTTTGTCCATTTTGATCGTCTTGTTTGGATACATCATCATTTTGTTCAAATGATTCATCTTCGTCATTTTGTTCGATCGATTGATTATTAGCATCAAGTTCTTCAATCGATTGTGATTCTTCTTCTTTCTGTTCGACCCACTGATAGTTGTATTTTTGTTCTGTTGATTGATAATCGTCATCAGCAGATTGTAAATCTTCATTTTCGCTATCATCATCGTTTTCGTTGCTATCGTAAGACTGCTCGTGTTCATTTACACCCTGTCGACATTTAAATTTGAAATGCACAATTTTGCTAGCTTTACTAAGTACCATTATTCAAATAATTTAGTAAAACACAAAATATGTTAATTTAAAACTTATTAACACCTTTGTTACTTTATTTAATGTTTTCATGTAAAGGGAATTATTGTACTTATAATTAAAATTAAGTATTGTAACTGTTATTCACACCTCATCAAGTTCATCTATGTCTTGCTCTTCACTTTCGTTTTCTTCATCGTCGACATTGTTGATTTCTTCACTGGTTTTTTCAGTATCGTCTTCGTCACTATGAGTGCCGTCTTCCTTTTGATCGTCTTCAGCACTGTGATTACTTTCATCAAATTCTTCTTCTAGCTCATTACTTTGGTCTTCTCGATCATCACCGTTATCATCCTACATGTTTATGATCGTTTACGCATTTGAAATAAAAAAATCGATTTGAGACTAATAAACGAAATTATAAGCAGTGATTCATTTTATCGTCCTTATTTTTTTCAGTGAGCCGGCGTGGAGATGCATTACTGGAGCACATTTATCAAAAGTGGAATGCCACTGGCCACTTCAATACTACAATAACTGTTATTTTACTGTTTTTTTTTGTTTCTCATAGTTTCTGAGGTGGCCTTAGAATTTTGCTAAGACTATTTCCTTATCACACATCCACAACAATAATTTTTTCTACCGAACTTTCTAATTTTTACACATCATGCACTCGGAAGATCATGGTGCAAACCCTGACATATGGATCTAACCTCTGATGTAAAAAATGTTCTCCATGTCAAAGTAATCAGTCATTTATTTGCGAGGGTGAGAGTCGTTTTACTGGTGCAATTAAGAGGGATTTTCTATCACAAGGTGGGAGACCAATACATTGCTATTTTTTTGATGAAAAAAAGTTAATGCAGGTTTATATGGCCACAATAACTTTATAAAACATTATTCAATTATTATATTTATGACTATATTATTATTGGTTTGGATCAAGCCACGATTGTAATGCTGTGTGCAGTATGGGTATAATATATATATTTATTAGCTAAGATACCTAGATCAGAGATATTCAAGACCAATCTAAAGTTTAACAGTTATATTGGGACCATAGACTTTCAGAGACAGAGTGCAAGTCTCAATTATATTGGTTTAACAGATATTTTACCTATAGTCTATACATAAAATTCATAATTGCTTTGTACCAGAGATAGACAAAAGTTGTATGCACCTTCTTTGATTTTAAAAATTTTAGTTCAAAGATAAATTAATCTTGCGGAAGCTGGAAACACTACAGTGGGAAAAACATTTCCTCTGACCCAAAACAAAAAAGACCCTTTGAATCTCTGAATTATCTGTTTGTTCTTTCCTGTTTGAATTATCTGATAAGCTGACTCTGCCCCTAGCATTGCTGACGTCCATGAGCGACGGTGACCACTTACCATCAGGTGGGCCGTATGCATACAAAGGCAATAAAAAAAGGGCCATATTCTATTTAACATTTAAATCTTACATGATGCTTCAAATCCAATGTTTGTTCATCATGGTGATCATCTGGTGCATCTTCTATCCAACCATCTAAGACTCCTGAATATCTTGACTCAACTGAGTTTGCCTCTACTGTAAAAGGATATATTTAACATACATAAAAACAGATATGCAGATATAAAAAAAATATTTGTATGTATGTTGTTCTTTCTAAATAAAGGTTCAATGCTTATTATTCTTGTAAAAGTTTTTAATTTAATTCCTTCAATAAATAATAGTAAATTCAAAGTTTACAGTTGTTACTATATTGTGTCAAACAAATTTGTTTTTTTTAAGAAACTACTGTTTCTTCTATTTAGAAAGATTCCTACAAAATTAAATTCTTCAAAGCAATTTATCTGGATTAATTGTTAATCAATTTAAGTTTCTTGGTAATTAGCCAATTTGAGTGGCATTGTTAAGAGCAATTAAGATTTTATAAATACTTACACTCTGTAAGACCTCGATTTTCCAGGATGATCAACCCAATAAGTGTTACAAGGACTGCTAGCAGAGAGAAGAAAATTATTTTAGCACACCAGTGACCACCCGTGCCATGATCATGTTGAGAGTGTAGGAAGACATCTCCTTCACCTAGAGCTGCTGCAGTACCACGAGGCTCGTCTACGTTTATTTCATCTAGAATAAACCAGCAATGAGATGGCTACACTTAAAATTGTATTTAAAAATAATGTTCCTTTATTTTGTACCTTTCTTTTTCCGTTTATCTTTACGTTTCCTTGGTTGTACGTCACCTGACATGCTTCACTCCTATCTGGCGCACAATAGGCCACAAAAATTCGTTTTAATGTTTCATAACCTCGGGTTAAATGATTATATTGCTTTTGGTACACTTTACAGTAGAATGCTATCGTTAATCCTTACTGTGCAGCCGTAACTGTATTTTATTGAAGGGAAGCCGCTAGGAAAACATTTAAATTAAAAGAGAGTATCTTTGGGATAGATCACAGGTACTTCTTCAATTTATTTTAGAATTTAACCTATAAATAACCGGATTAGACAGCTGGTCACGGTACACACCATAGATTTTCATAATTTCTTTAAAGAGATTTTATGACCTGGTAACTAAGATTTTTAAGTCATATCTTATTTTAATTTTGTTGGACGGTTACATTTGAGGGGATTGGGTTCTGTAGGTGATGAGGGGCTATTTAAAAACACAACAGCTTCATTATAATTATATTGCAGATAGCTTTAACACTTTTACACCATTATACAATTTTTATCTTTATATTTTTTATAAAACTATTACATGTTTTTCATGCCGTGTCTAGATGAGAAGTCACTGACATTTTCTTACGAGAATACAATGATCTGTTTTTTTTTAAAACATTTAAAATAATTCCAATATTCGAAATCTAATCAAGTGTCAAGTGTTGCCTGCCATTACATTTAATATACAAACTCCAACAAATTTATATTATTATTTATATGAAAAATGATAATATGGAATGAAATGAAGATGATTAATTTGAGATTAACTGGGATGAAATTAAATGAAATGAGATGATATGGGATGAAATATAATCTCAGTAAAATGGTGGTCACTTACTGAGATTTGTTCAGTGGACTTTTTGGAGGATCCCGAGAAGGTACGTCCAGCATCTTTGTTTTTTCATAAAAATAAGAATATAAATTAAAATAAGACTTGATCTAAAGGTCATAGTTAACAGGTCATAAAATCCATAGACCTATAGGTTTCATACTTCAGTGATAAAATCCTTTTAAAAAAAGATACTCAAGTAACTAATAAACTAATCTGTGTATACTCAGCTGTCGTCTGTCTACATCAGCTGAGTGCTACTAACAACACTGAATCAACTTCGAATTGACTACGTTTCGATAAAAAATGAGTGAAATTATTGTTTTATTTGATGGGTTCTCAAACATGAGTGGAAAAGATCAGTTAGATGCCAATTGCAGTTGTACTCTGATAAAAGGAATGCATAATATTATTGTTGACACCATGACAGCTTGGGATGCGGATAAGATAAAAAATGGTATAAAATATTAACAATACGACGATCCAATGTGGGTTTGAGTATCTTTAAAGTGTTTGTTCCTAAATGTTATTTATTAAATTAACATTTATTTTAGTTTATGTATGATTATGCACCACCTGCGTAATGCTATTCAAACGTCATTTTTATGTTTATTACAGTGTAAATACATGTACATGCTAAGTGTATAAGTAAATATAAAATTATACGTTGGTGAGAATTAACATCTTCAAATTCAATTCAAATTCAAAATCTCTACTAATCTTTACTCTTATTTCAGCCCTACAACAAAACCAAATGATACCTGAAGCAATAAACTATGTTGTGTCAACACATGGACATTCAGACCATGTAGGAAATAACAATCTCTTTTTAAATGCAAAACATATTGTTGGGTTCAGTATATCATTTAGAGAAAAATATTTTATGCACCCTTTTGATAAAGGTAGCTAGCTAGCTTTGTCTAAAATAATTTTTTGAAAGGGTTTATATTACTCAGAGTATAATTTTGTAAAATAATCTTACAGGTGAAGAATACAAAATTAATGATAGTGTAAAAGTGATACCAACCCCTGGACACACACAATCTGATGTCACAGTAATTGCAACAACTAGAAGAGGAGAAGCAATAGCTATTACTGGTAAGTTTGATCATTGTGTTAAATGAAAAAAGTCACACAACAGTTACTGTTATGTTATTACAGTCAAAACCGTTTACTGCGACATCGCTTAGAACAACATGCCGGTTATAATAACCTATAACAAAGGTCCCGGCTGAATGCTATATGACCGCCTTATTAAAAACATTGCTTTATACGACATACCTCATAAAACAACCACATTTAACTATATTTCGGAGAACTAGATCTGTTAGAACAACCGGCTAAGCTGTATTGTAAACAATTTGAATAGGTATCCACATTTGTCTTCAATGGCTATTAAAACCAGGAAAGAAAACAATAGGATTTAGTTTATAGTCTTTTCTAATTCTTAGAAACAAAACACGTGCATGCGGTAGAGTCAAAGCCCGCTTCTTCATATCTCTTCAGTTAGTTTGTTACTTATCTATACACAAGACGCATCAAAACTTTGTGGAGTTATTCGTGAAACTTTCAAAATGTCGCAAAGAAAAAGAAAACAAATTAATATTGAAGAAAAATCGCATATTATGTAAATATATTTTTCCAATAATTCCCTATCGATTTGTTTGTACTTGCACAATACACGTTAAACATCACCAGTTGTTACGACTATCGGTTTTTACGACTGAATATAAGCAGTCCCTTCGATGTCGTTATAACAGATTTTGACTGTATGTACCTAAACTATGTAACAGTTTTGTCTTTCATTCAGTTATGAATGAGTAAGTTTGCTTAATTGTGGTTATTATCCTGAGTGTTGGTATTGCATGACATTTCTTAAGTACTAAATAAAGTAAAACAAGATCTCATAGAGCAGAAATATGTTAGTTTATTAATAATATAGACCTTGTGAATGTCGATTGAAAATAAATATGAATAATAAAATACTATTATACAGAGAAATTAAATAATTAACTTACAAAAATATTGTTTTCATGCTAATCAAATATGTCTCTGTGGATTCATGGATCACTGAATATCATCAAGTCTTAAACATAGCCCAATTATTTCTGTCATAAAATATTCATGCTTTTTAGTTTGAAGACTGCATAGCCCTTATAAAATGCAAATAACACTTTGACCACGTCTCAAAGTTGGAGGCAGCATTCATATAATAATATAGGCTTCGGCAAAAATTAGTGTTTGTTAACTTAGTCATTATATTATTAAAACAAGAATTAGGAAGAAGAGTATTCTCTCACCTGTGGAATATGAAGCATGACTTATCAAAAATAAAGATTATGTTTAGGAATTTTAAATGTAATTTGCAGTGTTTTACATTTCTGTCAAAGTGTGTGCTGTGAGTGACTTAACTGTCCACTGTAACTGTAACACTTAACTGTAAGGGTAACTTAATACTTATGTAATTTACATTTTAGGTGATTTATTTGAAAGACGTGAAGATATTGAAAATCCTAGTATTTGGTTGGAAGCTGGAAGTGAAGACCCAGTACAGCAAATGAAGAACAGATCGAAAGTCGCAGATTCAGCAAGCTGGATTGTACCCGGTCATGGTACTAAATTTCGAGTGACTGATGAAATAAGACAAATATTAAGGAAACAAGCTCAAGATAGTTCATAGTAAAAAATTCAAGTCCATAATGTAACTTTGATATTTTACTGCTGCAGAAATAAAAATACGAAATATTGAAGAAAAAATTTATTACACATACATATTGGAATTAGTATTTGAAATATATGAAATATTTAATTATAAAAGTACAGGAACAAACTAAGCAGATCTATTTCAAAGTATAGATTTCTTAACATTGCAAATAGGTATACTTCCATGCTTCTATGTACTGTAACAGGACCAAACAAATATTCTTGTAAGTGCCTTATAAATGTTAAAATCTTACTTATGTAATCCAACAAAAGATGGACATTGACACTGATAGTATATTGTTTTATTTTAAAAAGTTTGATAGAAAACATAGTATAAATAATTTTTAGGGGCCATTCTTTAATTGTTGACTTTGATGATTTAAGGATCATGTTAAGAAATAGTTATTTTTGACCTATGAACCTGAGAAACACTTCTTACACAAGGTTTCATGTAGTTTTCCTAAACAGTTCAAAATCATTAGAAAAGGAATACACTACAAGAGAGAAAAGGGAAAAAAAGGAGAGAAGGACTAGAATACAGGAGTACAATAATCATACTAGTATTATAAATATTATAATTGCGAAAGTGAATTTCTGTGTTTATTTACACTTTCGTCACGTGATTTTTCATGCATGTTTTCAGGTGTACAAAAAAATGTTTCATCAAATAAAAGTACTATTCCCGAAGGGATATATTTAATTCTATATGAACGCGACACAAGCCGCGTGTGAAAGCTAGTAATATAAAAAATTATTAGAAATGACACGAATTCATAGTTGTTTTATCTAGTGGTTTGCTCACACTGTACAAATTATGTAAGAATAGCTTGATGTAGAGATTATTTTACACCTTCCCTTTCAGAACTTTTACATATGAATGGACCCCTATTTTTTTCACGAAAATGACAGATATAATATTTACTAATATGCAGTTTAGAAAGCCACAAGCTCTAAGCATTTGCTTTATTACACCGGTTTTTATTACATTTCGATTTGATTACGGCAATAGGTAAATTGCATAAAAGTGCATTAACATTATTGAAAAACTGCATTAAAATTAGTCTTATTTGAAAAATTTGGTTTTCAAAACCATCATATTTTCCTTTAAAATTTTAAATCAAAACTATTTCACACCAAAGTTAAAAATATTTCAATCATTTTATGTTCCCATTTAATGGATTAAAGAAAAACCGTAAGGATAATCCCAAATTAAATTAATTTTCCCATCGGATAGGAATTACATTTACAGACTAGATAATTAGAGGACAGTTTTAAAGATGACATTTTGTCACACTCAGTGTTTAAGCCTTAATTAATAATTGTGTACTTGCGGAAAGACGAAACTCGTAAAAAGATAAATTGGAAAACAAAGTGCTTTATTATATTATATGCAACTATGGTTTTAAATTAATAATCATTAAGTACAACTAGGCATAATCAAATTGAAACATATTGTAAATTTGACTCCTGAATTTGACAAAACGTATTCTAAAAATCAATCCAAAAGGTTTTTCACCAGATGATCTTAGTAACAACTATACATGCATACGTTTTAGACGATGAATAATATGATAACGATGATAAGCTACGAAAGAAGTTCTTTATATATAACTTCTAAAACAACATAATAATATGCGCACCATTTTTGCGTAAAAACATGTCATTTATCACATAATGTGAATCATTACTAATACTACAAAAATATATTTTCAAGAATGGCTTATTCTTCTGATAATTTCATATCTTTGTACCCAGTACTATGTCATACTTAACTTTAAACAAAAACATAAACTGTCTTTTGCAAATATTCCAGATCGATGAAACTGCCACTTATTACCGTTCACAGTGCGTATGACAGTAATTTTTTTTTTTCTAACAGAGCAAAATTAAATAGGGTTTTATTCTTTTTATGAATGACGCAAACAATAATCTATTTAAATGTTACTTCCGGTGATACCTTCAACCGAAATCCTTGTGTCGACGAGCCCAGGCCATAATTGCTGCGTGCAATGATTAAAAGAAAATTGCCTATTATTTGTCCTTTTCTGTACACTATGTAGAGAAAGTTTATATCACAGCCGAAGGTCACTAACACTACAAAGCTCAAACATGCCCATATCCATTCCTTATATTAATTGATAGCTGCAACCAAAATAGAAAAAAAACAACTTAATTATTTAAAACATTTCAAACAATTTACACATTGTTACTAACAGTATTTCAAAATAAAAATAATCAATAAGCACTTTGTGATAATAATATACGTAAATTTGATATGCATGTATGTACATGTTATAAACAGAAATATTTTATTAGATAATATGCGGAACAGTTGGTAGCGATATTTCTCTGGAAAAATAATATCCATAATAGATTTTTCTACATCGTTCCATATAGGTAATCGATATTTTCGAACAGAACTAAATTAAAAAATCACTACCAACTCATAATTAAGTATATTTTTTAAACAATTAATACACTCGAGTTAAAAACAGTAAAAAAATAATCACACGAGTGACTTGAAATTATTTATGGTAAAAGAAACCCTAAACCCTCTAAGTATTGGAACCTTAGCTTGAACCACTTGTGAGAATGCCCTTAAAAATTTTGCGTAGTTGTAGTGTTTGTAAGCTTAAATATAGTTAACATAGACTTGTGACATAGGTCGTCGTCTCTGTCGTCTGTGCCAGTAAGTCCTAATGGAGTTTGTAGATATTCAAGCTTTGATAAACGAGCAAATTGATAAAATGTTAAGTATTCAGGATATTGGAACATGCTCCTTATCGCAAGTTAGCGTTCAGACCGGTCACCGTTCTCGTCGAACCCGTCGCTTGCGACGAAGGGCTCGACGAGTAAATTAACTCTCAGACACAGCCCACTGAGTTTCTCGCCGGATCTTCTCAGTGGGTCGCGTTTCCGATCCGGTGGTAGATTCTGCGAAGCACGACTCTTGCTAGGGTTCGTGTTAGCAACATCGTCAGGTTTGAGCCCCGTGAGCTCACCTACTAAAGTTANAAAAAAAAAAAAAAAAAAAAAAAAAAAAAAAAAAAAAAAAAAAAAAAAAAAAAAAAAAAAAAAAAAGCGTTCAGATTTGTTTGTTTGGTTTTTTTAAATTCTATCTAAGCTGGTAGCCTTGACAGACTATGTCAGCGTAACCAAACAAGTATGTGAGCTCACGGGTCTCAAACCTAACGACGTTGCCAAAATTAGCCCTAGCAAGAGCAGTGCTTCGTAGAACTAACCACCGGATCGGAAACGCGACTCACTGAGAAATTTGTTTGCGGGTTGAAGGGCCACATCGAAATAGTACTAGAAAAACTAACGATACTAAAAACCCACATCTTTTTGGAGGGATTTTTTAGGCATTTTTCTTGAGTAAACTGAAACTTGTTTCTATCGCTTCACCATAGCATCAATTTTAAAATAATTATGCGTAAAAATTTTGAATTTTAATATAATGTAAAACCTTTTTTCATATATTTTTTTGTTAACACGCTAAGTTTTTATGAGAAAGTTTTATTGTAGATAAACGTACTTGTGTACGTTATTTTTGCGGACGTTAACAAATAGTGTGTGCGAATTATAAATTTATATGATTTCTTAATATCACAATTTCACATTTTTTCATTAAAAAAAAAAAAAGTTGTGAAAGTGATTTATCAGAAGTTAAAGACAATAGATACAATTTAAAGGAAGGATCAAGGAAAATTTATTTCGTCATAATAAATATCGTTATCAAAACTGACAAGTAATGCTTAATATATTGGGGGTATGACTACCAAATAATTACATATTGACTCAAAAAATTTATAGCAAAAGGAATCCCTTCCAACCGGCTGTATATAAGGCACGTTTTATTTCATATGAAATTATTTATTGATACACTTTCAGGAAAAGCTTCTATATATTTGCCTTGTGGAACAGTAAATAAAATTCATCCTACCGATTATTTAACGGCTTTTTACATTTCGTCTTTGAAAATACTTGGCTTTCACGTCGCGAGGCCTCGTACGTATATTTAACATGAATTCAAGGGGCTTGAAAACTCACTAGTATCGACCTCAACTTCCATTAGAACCATCTCATCTCCTAAAGAATGCTTATCGAAGGAGAGAGCTTACTTTCGGGCACTTATAGCCCGGTTCCATTAGAAGCTGAATAAGAGCTAATATGTCGGTTGCCGCTGCACTAGAGGTCCTGTGGACCAGGCAGTAAGCTTTTTGGATTTCCCCTCTCATACTTTGCTGTTAAAAGGACATCGTATCAGGCTTCTTTTGCAACGTAAGGCAACTTCGCGGCAACTTTCTCGATTGAGCTCACTGATACCCACTGCGTAAGGGATCTTGCTTACACAGTGAGCATCATTTTGAAAGCTCTCTAAAGTTTTAATTGGCATCTGAACTTTAAGGCGAAAGTGGATTAATATGTCCCTTCTTTCAGTCAATATTGGAGCTTCCAAATAGGTATGCTATTCTCACCTCCAGCCTGATGTACCCGAAGAGGGAGAAAACGATTTCGAAAGCGGTTGAATTGGACAATCTGGGCCAGAAATTTTCCCTAGCCTAATAATCCCTATGCTAGAGGATGATGTTTGCGACCTGGGAAAAGCCCCCCAGTAATAAAGCACATAGTTTTGCAGGTGTAGAAAATAGAGTCTGTTCACGCTTATTAACGTGTTCGGCGACAGAGGGTCGTCATTATATCCCTAGACTGCTGGGGGAAAGTTCACACTAAAACGTTTGAACCTATAAACATATAAGATATAATATCAGATTATAAACACATATGTGCATACATCACAATGTAGTAATATATGATCAAACAGGTAAATATACTTTTCTGAAACATAATATCTGAGAAAAAGATCCATTAGAAAATATTTAGACCCCTTTCATAATATATTAAATCTTCAAATCATATCAAAGATTATGTACACCGGTGTACAAATGCGACAAAAGTCTGTGTCAAACGGATTTGCGAAAGAAAACACTCCAATTACGCTTTTTCTGTCGTTTGGCGGAAAAATGGTTGCATTTTATGATCAAATACAAAGAATCATAAATGATATAATTATGCCCTTTCCTGCCGTGATAGTCTATCAGACTGTTTCTGCATGAATGAATTCTCTCTGAATCCTCTACCAAAATTAGTCACCTAATTCTAAAGTAGAGTACTTGTAGCATGCGTTATAAATATACGCACGGGTTAATACCATCATATTTTGTCGCCATGAAGCAAGAATGTGTTCCGGGTTGAAGGGTGAGTTATTATAGAAGTTATTTATGTTATGACTCAGCTTAATACCACGATGTTTCTGTCCACCTACGTTAACCAAAAGAGCATATTGATATGTTCTAAACACTTTCTGATTATTTTTATAATGTTAAATCGTTACAAGAAATGTACCACTAAGTACCACCAAATGTACCTACTAAAAAATAGCATTACACATAAATAATACATTATGTAATTTTGGACAGCTTAAAAAGAAACTTAAATGATATACTTAAATATATTATAATATTGTATGTATATTAATAATATCAGTAAAAATACCGAAATAAATCCTGATCGCGTCAAATTATTTATAACGTTACAATTTTTTCGAAAATTGATTTTCTCTTTTGTTTAATTAATTATAATTCAACTGCTTCAGGTTTCACTTTGGCACAAATAAATTTCGTTTTATTTGCATAGCAAAAGTCACAATTAGTTAGCTGTAACTTCACATTTAGGTTATGTAAGCGCACGTTCCTACCTGTGGATCGATGCTTGAAGGTATCTGAGGATCATCGATACACAGATCCGAATCAGAGTCCGTTCTGCGAAGCGTATTGTCCTGGAAATAATAATTTTATACTCTTATAGTGTTGCCATTATAAAAACGAGTACACCACAACTAATAATACCTGAAAATAGCAGATGGTTAATTGGATTCGATTAAACCTTTGTGGGCGTGAGGATTTCAGGGAGCGTCTCTGTCGTAGTGTCATTAAGGTGTGATAGATGGCGCGCGAATGATTTCATAAACTTTCATACAGTTGGCGATACTATATACATATAGATTTTATCTGGTTTCAAGAGTCCTCAATAAAAATGACATATGTTTGTTTATACATCTTTCATTTACGCTTATCAGATTCTGCCGAAAATTTATAGTTGTTGACGCACAAGAAAAGGAACTGTCTCAATAATTGAATGTATTCCATTAATAATTTCGTAATGGTCACAGAGAAACGTGGTTGGATTTCGCTAGTATGGTTTATATTATCACTTCATTCTCTGGACGGATAAAAGACTTGGTTAGTGCGTATCAACAGAATTTAGCCTGAGCGAAAAATATCGATTACTAGCGACCCGCCTTCGCTTCGCTTTGAGGACTGTCATTTATTATTGATTTTATTGAATTTTCTTTTATAGAAATCTGAACCTGAGAAAAGGATGCATTAAAGGATGTTCTATAGCGAATTGCTTGTAGTACCACCGTTAGGTTCTACCACGTGGCTTTGAAAACACTTTGTCAGCACTGCCATTCCCCTAACCCCTATCTATTGCCTAGTCACTTCTGGCTGCTTCTGGCAATACGTAGAGCTACAAATGTGCTTCATGGCCTTTCAATTGATACACCATTTCAATTGAAGCCTGCCAACTATTTTGCTATAGACAAGTGTTGGTAACAGTTCATTGTTTTTCAATATACTTACTTATCTTGGAAGTTGACATAAAATTTTCTTGAATAGCCTTTGTAGCTCCAAATGACGTCATTTAAAAGCGATTATTGTATTGCTAAATATGAGTCAAAAATGTTTATTACGCAATATCTCTTCCAAATATGAATTGTTTTAATTCTGCAGTTATATATGGAGAAAGATTAGCATACTTCTTATAAACTTACTCCCTGCGTGTACTGATGGGTGGTTGTGAGTAGTCTGGCTACCGGTCTCATGAATGCAGGCAGCGTCTCCGTGAGTGGGGGACGAGCGTGAGTCAGTAGAGGCTTGAGGAGTCTAGAGTCGAGGGCGCCCCACACTCGGGCGAGACGAGCTTTCTGCCCCCCACCAGCATCCCCTCCGCCCCTTGGTGTATCCTGATATACAAAAGTGTTTTCGAAAATTAATGTCATAAAAAGCTCTTTCTTCAAATAACAGATCTCTAATTAATTATAAAAGTTGAAAGTTATTGAAGTTTATAGTTTGAAGTTACGATCTAAATTTAGAATATATTTACGTGAAAACAGTTTTGAGGACTAGAGATCTTTTGTCCAGATATGTATAGGAAAATTTCTAGGATATGAAAGAAGAGATTTGAAAAAATCAGTGTAAGTTATATAATTTAATATGTACATAACTATAAAATAAGTGTTTGGACGGTGACGTTGTAACATGTCATGCAAATTTCAATTGACAGCTGCATTCTCATGCAATGGGGTGATATCACTTAAATAAAATACCAATAAAATCAAAATATGTACATACATCGTAACCGTTTAGTTGCCAAGGCATTATCACTTCCTTCGCTCCATTAGACCATCTAACTATCATGCGGCTTCTCTATACATTAAAAGAAAATCAAAAAGCTTAAAGTTAAAAGAATAATTAAACATGCTTTAAATGAGATACTTAATGGATTTGTCTGTAGTATAATCTCAATGTGCAGTTTCCTTAAATATGTCGATCCAAAGAACTAGTACAGCAGAATTGCAGTCCGTACATTCCCACAGCTGCNGCTCCATTAGACCATCTAACTATCATGCGGCTTCTCTATACATTAAAAGAAAATCAAAAAGCTTAAAGTTAAAAGAATAATTAAACATGCTTTAAATGAGATACTTAATGGATTTGTCTGTAGTATAATCTCAATGTGCAGTTTCCTTAAATATGTCGATCCAAAGAACTAGTACAGCAGAATTGCAGTCCGTACATTCCCACAGCTGCACATATAAATTCTTGCTTAATTAGCTTTGGTTTTTTGTTTAGTACTTAAAAAAAATATGGCAGGAATTGCAGTGATAATGCAGTTTCAGTATGTTAGTCACCCAATAAAACCCGTGCAAGACAAAAGCGTGCATTATATTATGTCCTTACTGATCCCCTGTCGCAGTTGCCGGACTGCGAACCGTCCAAATTTCTGAGGCCGAGACCGATATCAGGCGGCTGAACAATAACAAATTAACAGTTTAGTCTCGTTTTGAACCCTAGAAACAGGGCCGTCCCATTTTGAAAATCTACGCGATTAAATTTAACTATGTATCTGGTAAAATGGGCCTTGTGCATCCAAATTTCTGAGGCCGAGACCGATATCAGGCGGCTGAACAACAAATTAACAGTTTAGTCTCGTTTTGAACCCTAGAAATAGGGCCGTCCCATTTTGAAAATCTACGCGATTAAAATTTAACAATGTATCTGGTAAAATGCGCATTGTGCACGAGACCGAGCTTAGAGTTTCGATTCTCAAAATTTCGCTGATTTATATAACATTTAACAATAAACATAACACGTTTTAATGAGTCGATGAATACAAATTTCCCTCAAACGTAATTAAGACTAATTCAAGGCGCCCTGCGTTTGAGGAAAATCCGTGAAGCGATTTAAGCATGAAGGCTATTAACAAAACCCACATTGTTTGTTATATGTGAACGGTGCATATTGGCGTGATACGTACCGATTCGCCGGTGTCCGTTGCGTGGTAGAGCTGCCGTAACAAGTTCTTATTAATTAAACGCTCGGTATTTGGCTTGTATGTGCTTTACTGCGAGCGAAAGGGGTCTTACGACGATAAAAATAAAATATCAAAATTTATAATCTTTAGCGCAAATAATGATTGCAATGCGTTTAAAAACGTCGACCCTGCGATCGAATATCACGTGCGAACGAATGAAACCACTCTGCCTAGTCGTATGAAGCGAGAGCGAATGGTATTGCATTGCTTCATTCAATCGTCCGATACTTATGGTCGTGGAAACATTACCAATTTCCTAAGTACACCAAACGAACAAGAAATTGGTAATATGTATTTGTATATAATTTTTTTTTTTTTTATGGTAATGGATACACGGAAACAGCTCATACAAGCGTGTCATGGATTTGGAATTACGACAATAACTTGAAACGTTTCGTTTCTTAACAAAAAAAAAACTTAAATACTATTAAGTTTTTAGAGTAAATAACTTCACAAGAAAGCACATTACGGTGAGACAAAAGCGACATTAAATCTGTTAACAAAATGTGAATTTATGATAGCATGTTTCGTAAATTAGTTCTCTTCGAATCACCGAAGCGCGTTTCTAATATATCGTTCAATGAATTAGTTCTACGTTTACTTTAATAATACATACATATCTAAAAGAAAATCTAATTTAGATAGAATTCTGTATCTAATCAAGGTGAAGTGAAGTAATAGTTTTGAAAAATTGTTAAGAGCGTGAAGGAACGTTAAAAATACATACACTTCTTACATCTCTATAAGGTAACGCCTCACTCTCTTCATTCGAACCTTCTCTGAAATTAAAAAAAAACAAAACGTCTTTGATTACCATTATAATTAATTCGATTTAATTTAAAACGCTTTTAAACTCGTATTAAAATTTATTTTTTATACAACATGTAACATAATTAACGCACACCCTGAAAGTAATTTGTTCAGAATCGGAATCTGGATCGATTTTGATTGTTTTTTATGTACCAAATTTTTTTCTAAAATTTTGTTAAAACTAAGTAAATTACAGTCACCCTACACAGCTAGCTAAACAATTCATAGAAACGAAAATGGAACGTAAGTCGGGGTTTTAAGACTTTTTAAAATGAAATATCTAATTAGTAAAAAAAAATTTTTATTTAGTTAAAGAAATCTGATACTTATTTCAAGGCTAATACTCTATTACAAAATAAAATACCTACGCACACAATACCAACAGCGACCGCCGGCACACAGCAACACTACAATACATAAAAGAAAGCCACGTAATACAAAAATAATTACTATCCCTTTCTTTCGTCGGCTTAATATTCTTACAATAGACGGCAGGCTAATCCCGATGTTCGCGGCGCGGCGACGCGGTTGCGTCGGCGGTGATCAAAGAAAAATCTAAACAACGAAGTCAAAAAATATTTTTGACAAGTCAGTCACGCCGCGTCCACCTTATCGTTAAGAGGTCAAGTGATAGTGCAAATAAAATATCTCCCGTATTTCGCTATGTCTTTTCGGTCAGTGGCTGCTGATCTAGGAGTCAGCTGATTTGACACCTCTCGACTTTTTTTTGTGGGGGCGAATTAAATCGCTAGTTTATAACACACAGACAATAAGTGCCGAAGAACTAAAGAATAAGATAATAACCGCCTTTGAAAAAGTGAAAAGTGACATGCAGTATTATCAAAAATAAAACAACAAAATATACGAAAACGGTCATTAAAGTGCATTGAACAAGGGGCGCGGCGCGGCGGCGAGTGTGTACATGTGTCTGTGTGTGCGTGCGCAGCTGAGTGTGAATCGGTGACCATTTTATTTCCACGAAATGGGAATAACTAATTTCATAAATAATCAATGTTAACGCACATATAAATAATATTTGGTGTATACATAGCGTTTATACTATTAAAGTCTAATTGGGGTGTTTGAGGGTGTGCGTTAAATATGTTACATGTTGTATATATATTTTTTTTATTGTTCTTATGGGTGGACGAGCTCACAGCCCACCTGGTGTTAAGTGGTTACTGGAGCCCATAGACATCAACAACGTAAATGCGCCACCCACCTTGAGATATAAGTTCTAAGGTCTCAAGTATAGTTCAACGGCTGCCCCACCCTTCAAACCGAAACGCATTACTGCTTCACGGCAGAATTAGGCAGGGCGGTGGTACCTACCCGTGCGGACTCACAAGAGGTCCTACCACCAGTAAATATTTTAACATATTATTATGTTTTTTAGAATTGAGTTACGCGTGAAACTCGAGGTCGAACGGGTGTGTAACGCAGGGGCTCCCAAACTTATTTTGTCTACAGCCCACTTTGAGAATAAATTATTTTTTACCGCCCCAATTTTTCACCTACTATAAACCATTATAGGGAGAGCTCAGTCGGTGTCTAACAGTCCGCCTAGATGAAATTACAAATCGCCTCTCAAGCCTCTAGACAACGCCCCCTTTTTTTCTGGGTCTCTTAACGCCCCCTTTAGGCCTGCAGCGCCCACAAAGGGGCGTTATCGCCCACTTTGGGAAAGGCTGGTGTAATGTAACGAAAATATAAATTTGTGTTTGTTTTTATATTTAGAATAGTCATAAGTTGGTACACACCCGGTGGGAATACGAAGGTAGTCCAGGGCATGTGTGGCAGCACCACCTTGGAGCACGACCGTCGCGATGACGATCAGCGAGGTGGTCGTCAGCATCGCCTGTCGCGCCTCCGACACCGTGTTACGTATAGCGAGAGCAAACGACATAGCCCCGCGCAGTCCTAAGATTATAATTTACGTATTTTATACTTAAATATCCAGATACACGCACACATAATATGAAGAGGTTGAATAAAAAAGATCTAAAATATGAGTGATATTGATGTAAACTCTTTTGTTATAACCTATTTTGTTCTATTGTGTTTCACACACACACACACATCTTAAAAAGAGGTTGAATAAAAAAGATCGAAAAAAAGAGTGATACTAATGTAAACTCTTTGTTATAACCTATTATGTTCTATTGTGTTTCGTCATATTACTTAAGGGTGGCTTGGCTTATAAACTATTAAAAAAGGTTATAAACTGCAATTTTAAGTGTGCGGATTACCGATATTTTGCAGAAAAAATTGTAGTTGACTATGAGATTACTATATAGAGCAGGAGTGGCCAACCGGTAGATCGCGATCGACCGGTCAATCGTGGCTATTCAAAGACAAAAAATAGAAATACATAGAACAGACTGCGCACCGTAATCACCAATTGCTGCACGCATCATCTTCATCATTTGTTAATGAGCATTACGTCACATTATTTATCCTCTCTTCCACACAATAGTTTTCTTTTATTATATAATTTCAGGTTCATTTTAATCTTTTTAATAAAAGAATATATTTTGCTTATTTGTATACTGAACTACATTGTTTCATTAAATTGCAAGAAAGGTCATTGGTAGATCGCAGGGTGTTTCGTCAGTAGACAATAAATCTTGGTACTAGTTAAGTTGGCCACCCCTGATATATAGTAATGAAGAAAAAATAAAGTCTTGTTAGGAATGAACCAAAACAAGTTAATAAAAAACCGAGCGTTGATCATATAAATTTATGAAAAAAAAGCGATCAGACGGCACAAACCAATTTTTTAAAAACAATTTTTTTACGGTTTTGGGATGCGTAAAGCATTATCGCACCTTACACGATTATAATTTCGGGTTCACCTAAGTTGAATGAATTCGAACATTGCTTTTAGCTTGAGTTACTAGTTTGGTATATTTATTTTGTACATTTTTTATAGATTATAGATAATATTAATTAATAAACATTTTTCGGGTCGCACTAATTGACGAGATTTGTATCAGACGAGATAAGATAATGATGAAACACAATAAAACTTGAAAATGTCTTTTCTTATATGAATATAATCACAAAAAAAAAATCTACTGTGAAACAGTAGTCGTGAGTGACTTACCGGAGAAGAAGAGCATGTGTTGGAAGTTCACCGGTATGGGCGGCTTCCGTCCTAAGTTCAACAGGAATGACAATGGGTATATGTTAACCGCCCGGCCGAGCATTGAAGTTATCTGTCGATCGGTTGAGGAGACTATTTCTGAATTAATTTTATATAATAGGTTGGGGAAAAAGTCTTTTCGTATTATAGTATATAGGAACTTGTAATAAAACCTCTTTGGCTATTTGTATCTGGCTGGTTGGTATCATTAAAAGTTTAAATTTTAAAGAAGATAATTGCAAATTCAAATTAGGAAAATGTGTGATTTTTATTTACTACAATTTTATTATTTGTGTTACATTAGAAAGTTAGTGAAGCCCATCAACCGCGGGACCCGAGAGCGGAATCTCGATTTTATTTTAGAACGACCGTACCAACCATCTTCATGCAGTCGAGTATTCGATTTTTTGTTCAAAACGTTATTATTATTATTATTATTATTATGAATATGTAATAAATCCATTCGTGTTCGTTCTTTGAAAATCACAACGAAAGTTTTGCAGTTCCGGCCAGCGTAAAGATTTGAAGTCGTCTTGGCCTAAACGATAAGAGGTCTGGTGCAGTCGTATCGAGCGATATGACCATGTCGGTATTCAAATCCCGCAGGCAGGTACCAAATTTTTCAAAATGAATACGTCCTTACGTTCTTGTATTGCTCTTCCACGATGATAGAATATTTGAATTGCAGAAAACCAATAGGCATATTAAATAATAATAAATAAATAATATATATTTACAACTATCACGCCACGTTAACTGGTCCCGTGCTAAGTCTGTATAGAACTTGTGTTACAGGTACCAGATAACGGAAATAAATGTAAGATTTTTATTATACAGATACATATATTTAATCCATAACACTGGAAAAGACATTTTAACATATCATCCCTTGGCGGGATTCGAACCCGCGAACCCCTTGTGTGGTGACCATATCACTTGCCACTAAACCAAAAGGCGTTAATTATATATTGACTTAGTTTTATAAATTACGAAAAATGTATGTATGAACTTTCTTTTCGCGACATAAACTAAGCTGACTTATCGAAAACAGTACACGATTAAACGTCCACAGAATTAAAATGAATGTTGTAAAGGATACAAATCCGGCGATGATGAACCACGGATCGAAATGGTGCTTCGGAAAAGTGAACATCGACACCCCGATGTACGTGAATATGAAGTTCTCCGCCAGGAAGTTGAGCAATTCGAACAGCTGTTTGGTTCGATTGCGTGAATCGGACGACAAATTGTTGTAAGTGTAATGAGCTTGGCATATGCCGCAGAACAGGACCGCTACCACACCTGGAACGCCGTTTTATAATAACACTTAAACGGGATTCTATTCTGGACGACCGAAAATGTGACTGGTTTGTCGAGAACCAGCGATTCGCGCTTATCTCGGTTATAGGGCTGTCATATAAGTGTAGATTTAAGGCAGGGCTGTCCAAACAATGGCCTGTTTTCGTGCGACCCGCGACGCAATTTTAATCAGAAAATAGTTAAATAGTCTAAATAGTTTTGGATAATTGAATTCTTTGTTAAAACATTTAATATTTCATCATCATCATCATTCTTTCCCATTACCCTCTGCTGGGGTGTATTGCTCGAATCAAATCCTTTCATTTATATCGGTCTTGAGCAGTTTGTTCTAGCTCCTCCCATCTCATGCCCAAGACACCTAGCTTCTGTTCCATCGAGCGACGCCAAGCTGGGGCGGCCTCTCTTCCTTTTTTATATTTGGTTTATTGGCGTTAGCGGCAATTTAATATTTGGTATAGTTTATTTTTATTCTTGTGATACTCCATTCCCGTGACATAATTTAAAAGTGAACTATTATTTGGGGAAATTCCGGAGAGTATTTATTACCCTGTATTTTTGGAGTTTACTCCTTTAGAATCGATTTACATATATAGGCCCGGGGTATGAAAATTATGGGGACCAAAATCGTACTAGCATGTCACACGAAATGCGTTATGCGCCTGCGCCGGCAGTCCGCCACAAAGCCTCGTACTGATCGCGCGTTTCTCTCATTATTGTATTTTCATATATTTGTTAGTCGTTTGTTTTGTGTCTCGTTNTGATCGCGCGTTTCTCTCATTATTGTATTTTCATATATTTGTTAGTCGTTTGTTTTGTGTCTCGTTAATTTGTTAATAATCTGTAGTGTATCGTGTTGTCGTAATATAGAACTATTTCTCGTATTGTTTCGTTTAATTTTTTATATCCAGTAAACTCCAGTCGTGCGTCGGAGCGGACACACACACTTTTTTTTTACTTCACGCCTGTAAATATTTTTTTCTGCGGCCCTTCAGCTTTTGTAGTAAATTTCATTAGCCCCCAAAGGTATGTAGTTTGTACAGCCCTGGTGTAGGCGATTAGTGCACATGCATCATAGTGAAATAATATTAGATAATAATTCTCTATTAGCATAAACTTTAATATCGGTTGAACTATTAAAATTGGACAGTTTTAAAATTATATGATTAGACAAAATAAACTAAACGGATGTGATTCTCGCTGAAAGCGGATCCGACCTAATTGATTCTAAAGACCGATGATAATTTTATTATAATCAAGACATATATGTATACATATGTGCTTATGCATTTTTTTCTGTAGAAAGTATTACAGGTGGCCCTAAGGCCTTTTCAATTCCACCAGGACAGGTGGGCGAGCAAAGGTTCGGCCAGGAGAGATGGGATTTGCTAACAACTGCCCGAGCGCCTCCGAAGCAGATCTAACAGCTCAAGGGTTGCTGCTTCGCGAATGAATCTACTACCGGATCGGAATCGCGACCCGCTGAGAAGATCCGGCGAGAAACTCAGCGGGCTGATGTATGGATTATGTANAAGGCCTTTTCAATTCCACCAGGACAGGTGGGCGAGCAAAGGTTCGGCCAGGAGAGATGGGATTTGCTAACAACTGCCCGAGCGCCTCCGAAGCAGATCTAACAGCTCAAGGGTTGCTGCTTCGCGAATGAATCTACTACCGGATCGGAATCGCGACCCGCTGAGAAGATCCGGCGAGAAACTCAGCGGGCTGATGTATGGATTATGTATTGAATTACGTTACCTGTCAACTCGCAGACTTCAGCGATGAGGAAAGCCGCGTACGACATCAGCACGAACAACGCAGACTCGAGCAGGGGCCAGTCACGGACGTGCGTGAACTTGGTCATTTGTTTATGCGTTAAGGATCGTTAATATGTTACATCTAAACTATAATTGTTATACAAAAGACCTCCTCCGTGCGTTGTGTTCCTCAGTCCTGAGAACCGTGACCTTTACGGAGTACATACGTAAAGGTTTTCTTGGGAAAATTACTAGTAGTGGGTTCCTCAGGTGGGCGAGTAAGCGCTCAGCCAGGAGGGGTGGGAAGTGGGTTCCTGTGACCTTCCACAGCGACAGACACGCGACACAAAAAAAAATTACGTTATAGTAATTTTATCTAATAATAATCAATTTATGGAAATGGCAAGGTAGAGGGGGAAGAGGTCGACCGAAGAAGACATGGATAGAGTGTGTGAATGACGATATGAGAGAGAGAAAGAGGAGTGAGTGTTGAGATGATGGCTGATAGAAGAGAATGGAAGAGAAATATTAGCTGTGCCGACTCCACCTACTAGGATAAAGTGGAGAAAAAGAAGATCTAATAATAATCAAACCCGTAATAAATTTAATTTGCGCGATTACTACAGAATTCTAATATAGCTCTAAAGTCCTTAAGGTGGGTAGTGGCATTTACGATGCATATCTATGGGCTTTGCTTTCGAAACAAAAACAAAATATTTTTGCGATGCGGTAAATATGTCAGGCACACTTGATACAAAGGTCAAATATATAAAGCTATTTGTTTATTGCTATAGATGAGTAAACGAGCTTATAGTTCATCTAATGTTAATTATTTATTGGAGTCACTCAAGTACACGAGGTGGTGGTTTAAATCGTATCGTATAAAAGTTAATACATTTTTTTCGAGTATAATTTTTGTCATCTCTTTCCTGACTGTTCGGTAAAGAGACGACAAAAATAGAACGATCGTGAAATACAATAGGGAAAATTCGATTTTAACAATTAATTTAATCGATATATACAAACTAGAAACGCATTATTTTTAAATCGTTTTGTCCATAATTCAAATTATGTTTTAAGTATTTTTTAATTGATTAATTAAGCTGATTGGAGTGATCGTAATTAATGTTGGCCTACCTACCGAAATAGCTATAATTTAATTGGAAGGGTTCGATGGGCGAGACAGTCGTTTGTGTTTATGTCCCAAGGTCGGAGGCGGCAGTCACATTGTGTTTCTATGGAAACAGATAAAAAAAAATTTTATTGCTTAGATGGTTGGACGAGCTCACAGCCCACCTGATGTTAAGTGGTTACTAGAGCCCATAGACATCTACAACGTAAATGCGCCACCCACCTTGAGATTTCGGTAGGCAGCGGCTTGGCTCTGCCCCTGGCATTGCTGAAGTCCATGGGCAACGGTAACCACTCACCATCAGGTGGGCCGTATGCTCGTCTGCCTACAAGGGCAATAAAAAAAAAAAAAGATATAAGTTCTAAGGGTCTCAGTATAGTTACAACGGCTGCCCCACCCTTCAAACCGAAACACATTACTGCTTCACGGCAGAAATAGGCAGGGTGGTGGTACCTATCCGCGCGGACTCACAAGAGGTCCTACCACCAGTAAAAACCTAATAACCTAACAACAGATGCTCACTAAAAATCTTTGCACGTCTAAGCTAAAAAAACATAATGATGATTATCGTCACAAGGTCACACCGGAATCGACCATAAATAAATTCATTTGAAACAAGTTCAAGAAGAACATAACACGTAGGTATTTGTAATATCGTTTCGTATGAGCGTGGGTTATTTGCGTTTATTAGGACACGTTTAAAAGGATATCAATGCTGTCAAACATCCCATCAGAGCACCAACTAGCAGAGAAAGGCTGAATATTCCTATGAAATCCCCAATGGCTCCTAGGAAACCGGATATTTCGAAGCCGCCGTCATGCGAGTATCTCGTTTCGTAGTTTTGTATCGCTCTGAAATAAAACGGTTAATTACCAAGTGCCTTCTCACATATCTCAATAACAATAATAATTTCGAATATTTTTTGTCACAAAGTCGTCGTTGCCTGAAGGTCGGTGCTTAAGAATCGGTGTACTACTCATAACGAGCGGTGCACAAATTTTTTAATTTGCGTAATTGCTAAAACATTCAAGACGTGTAGACCTTTAGTCTCAAAGTGAGTAGCGGAATTGAAGCCGTGAGCTAGTTGACTAGTCCACGCCATACAAAAAAAAACAAAAAAATGCCACCTATTAAAAGGGAGAAGTAAATTCATTATATTATTATAAAATTATGATGAAATCGTTCACAACCAAATTAGATTTTGGAAGATTATTTTTTGATAAATCGCAACGATAAAATTTAAGATTGTGTCATTACCAAGTCAGACCTTCTTAATTATAATGATTTAATTTAAACACTGTATTAAAATAGATCAAATAATATACTACTATTTATATGGTCTATATCCTTTTCCTGTTTGACGTTTATTCTGTTTAAATATTTTGACGCTGTTACGTATGTTTTTGCGCCCGTATGTATAGTTTTAAAACTCGTTTTTATTTCGTTTTCACGTCACGTGATGCTGTTCCGATTTCACGGGTTATCGCTCACAATCGTAACGCAAACTATGGGGGTTTTATTGATCGAATACATCATTGCGTATACGACACGTCATCACAGGTCTGACACATTTTTTTGGATTTATCTTATGGAAATTCTATTCACACGTCTATTAGTCTGACGTCGAATCAAGGTAAGCAATTATGGTGAGGACAATAGAGGTGTGCCTTTTATACAACGTAAAATAAGCTCCGAAAAGATACAATGTTTTTGCAACAATGGTTTACAATTAGATAATTTCAATTTAAGATTTTTCCTTTCACTTTCTATTATCAATGTTCATCGGACTACGGATTGCCCTGCACTGATTTATTTTATGATTTATTCCTATAAATTAGTGACAGAACCAAAATCATAACAAAAGAAATCTTTTTCAATTTTTTTATTGCTTAGATGGGTGGACGAGCTCACAGCCCACCTGGTGTTAAGTGGTTACTGGAGCCCATAGACATCTACAACGTAAATGTCACCACCCACCTTGAGATATGAGTTCTAAAGTCTCAGTATAGTTACAACGGCTGCCACATCCTTCAAATCGAAACGCATTACTGCTTCACGGCTGAAATAGGCGGGGTGGTGGTACCTACCCGTGCGGACTCACAAGAGGTCCTACCACCAGTAAAAATGTACTGGAATCGTTAATAAAACACGAAAAGTATATGGGATATATATAGTATGTATTAAGAATATTAAGACATATTTTAGGAAGGGATAATAATATGGAAAAAGAGAATATTCAATGTCTCCCGATCTTGCATGAATCCTATCCTGTTTCTAATTTCAAATTACACTGTATAATACCATATTCAAATAATAATAAATAAAATATTACCCGCTAAGTACAAGAGCGACGGCGTCATTCAGAACGCTTTCACCAAATATCATCGCATACAAATTGACGTCCACCTGTAACAACATGAATTGATTGTAACAAAAAGCGATATTGATATATATCAAAATTTTGTTGCCACTTTTGCGTTTTTTTTATTAGCTCAAAATATGTGTAGACGAGGTTGAAGCGAATCCTAATCGCGGTAGATATGTATATACCATTACTTGAAAGCAGTGAATTTTACAAAAGCAAATGCATACAACAAAAGTTATAAATCTTAATATCTAACTTGTCTCAAGTTGGACAACGGACCTCGGATAGTTCGTATGCTAGACAAAAGATAATAGATACCTACTACTATTGGGTATTATGGTCTAAATACAAGAAAATGTGATGTTTCATCCAAATGATTTCATAAGTTCCAAAATTGCAGGTGTCTGTGATAACAATAGATAATATTAATAAAGACGGTATTTGAACTTGGTTCTTTACCTTCAAAAAAAATGTTTAATAAACATAAAATGATCTACGTGTACATAAACACCTGATAAAATAGAGACTTATCATTTTAATTTGTTTAATAACGAGAACATAAGTGTCAGGTAGGTACATTTTGTTCTTTAGCGCAAACTCAACAAAATAATAGGCCTGTCGTCAACAAACTGTGGAGTTGTCGTTTTACAATACTGGTACATATCTTGTGAAATATTTCCAAAAAAAAAGTAGGTACTTTAACTTCCTGTACACTAAACGACAATTTTATAGTTAAGTTTTATAGTAATACATACTAAAGCATTCGAAATTGATTATATAGTGTGATTTGCAAAGACCGAACGAAACTACAATTCGGTATAATCATTTCAAAATTATGGATTACTAGTTCGGTGTCAAATGCGTGGTTGAATTGACGTTTTAATTAAATAAAACACGCGAAATAATATGCATTTGCAATTATGCAAAGGTTAACTCAAAAAATACATCGATCTTGATCAAAATGGACATGAATTACACTAGCTTTCGTTTAATAAAATAATCATCCAGATTTGCATAGAAAAAGGTTCTACGCATAAAAAATACAGTCGATTTGAGAACCGCCTCATTAATTAAAGTCTGTTAAATAATCATTACGCGAGATAACGTGTGTGTTATATTTCTCATATCACGAATGATTTGTTCTTAGTAAATTGTGCTGTGCGCTATCACGAATAACGCTATTGAAAGTTTCTAGTAATTTCGATAACCGATTTGAGTTCGAAGCCTTACCTTCAACTGTGAGAATATAGCCAGCACCGTTAAAGGGTCCGTTGGTGAGATCAATGCCCCGAAATACAGGGTGTCAAGGAACGTGAAGCTGGATGCCAATGATGCCGGCATTAGTTGCACGCAGCCGTACATCAATGCTCCTATGACTAAAGCCGAGAGAGCTGTTCCGACCATAGCGAATGTCAATATCGCCCCCAAGTTTCGGAAGAAATATTTCTGGAATTTTCCATTTTTATTACGACGAATCCATACATATCAGTATTATAAAATAAACAAAATAGTTCAGTTCTTTTCCTCTGTTTGATGTCAACTGATTTGTATATTTTGTTTATTTATCGTTATTAACAATAATTACATTGGTGTTTTCAATAAAAANCCGACCATAGCGAATGTCAATATCGCCCCCAAGTTTCGGAAGAAATATTTCTGGAATTTTCCATTTTTATTACGACGAATCCATACATATCAGTATTATAAAATAAACAAAATAGTTCAGTTCTTTTCCTCTGTTTGATGTCAACTGATTTGTATATTTTGTTTATTTATCGTTATTAACAATAATTACATTGGTGTTTTCAATAAAAATATTCAACCCTTACAAAATTTTATATTACTAAACAAAAGAATGTAATACTGTGTCAATAATTATGGTCGAAATTAAACTGTTAAACAGGTATTATCTAACACATTATTCATATTTGCTCACGAGAAAATTATACAGCTTATGAGATAGGATATATTTATATTGATCGTATGTTGAAATAACTATAAAGCCATTTGAGGCAGATAACAGGTTTTTGCTCAGTTGTATGTTTTTTTATTATTTAGGAAATATACTGAGAGTATTAAGAAACTTATATTAGAGATTTGAAGTAAAGCAGGCTAGTTAGTCATTGAGTGGCAGTCAATTTTGTGCCAACCTAGTTGTGGCTAGAAGAATAACACCGCAATATGTATTTGTAATATACTTAGTCTGGCCATAAATACTGTTACAATTAAAAATAAACAAAATATTACATTTGAATTTGGAATCTGTCATTTTTATATGATTGCTCATTGAGTTTTCTCATTTTGGCGCCAATACATTGTACAATATTTTGCGATATTAAAATGGAGTGGGGTGATAAAGAGAACCGAATCGCTGTGACTGCATTACACAAAGTAGGCATGGAGCCAAATGCAATTTTTAAAACTCTCCATACGCTTGGTATTAGTAAAATGTTTGTGTACCGGGCTATTAATAGGTGCAATGAGACCTCCTCTGTTTGTGACAGAAAAAGATCTGGCCGTCCACGTAGTGTTCGTACAAAAAAAGGTGGTCAAAGGCGTAAGGGAAACAATTCGAAGGAATCCTGTCCGAAAGCAAAAGATTTTATCTCGGGAGATGTAGATAGCACCGAGAACCATGTCGCGTATTTTAAAAGAAAACTTAGGACTTGCAGCCTATAAGAGACGTACTGGTCATTTCTTAACTGATAATTTAAAAGAGAATAGAGTGGTAAAATCGAAACAACTACTGAAGCGGTACGCAAAGGGAGGTCATAGAAAATTTTTGTTTACGGATGAGAATTTTTTTACAATTGAGCAACATTTTAACAAATAAAATGACCGTATTTATGCTCAAAGCTCTAAGGAAGCTTCCCAATTAGTCGACAGAGTGCAACGTGGGCACTATCCGACTTCAGTGATGGTTTGGTGGGGTATTAGCTATGAAGGAGTGACTGAGCCATACTTTTGTGAAAAATGTATCAAAACATCGGATTCTTGAGAAGGTAGTGAAGCCCCTTAACAACACCATGTTCAATAATCAAGAATGGTCCATCCAGCAAGACTCGGCGCCAGGTCATAAAGCTCGGTCTACGCAGTCTTGGTTGGAAACGAACGTTTTGGACTTCATCAGAGCTGAAGACTGGCCGTCGTCTAGTCCCGATCTTAATCCGCTGGATTATGATTTATGGTCAGTTTTAGAGAGTACGGCTTGCTCTAAACGCCATGATAATTTGGAGTCCCTAAAACAATCCATACGATTGGCAGTGAAAAATTTTCCCATGGAAAGAGTGCGTGCTTCTATTGATAACTGGCCTCAACGTTTAAAGGACTGACTGTATTGCAGCCAATGGAGACCACTTCGAATAAGCTTTTTATACTTTAAATTGTTTTATATTTATGTATTAAACTAACACACTGTAAAAGTAATAAATGTTATTTGCAATAGAATTTTTTTTTCCTTTGTAACAGTATTTTTGGCCAGACTAAGTATAATATATCTAATATATAAAATTCTCGTGTCACGGGGTGCCTGATTGAACTCCTCCGAAACGGCTCGACCGATTTTCGTGAATCTTAGCATGTATATCGGTCAGGGTTGAGAATCAAACAACATCTATTTTTCATCCCCCTAAATGTTAAGGGTGGTCCACAAACATTTTTTTTATTTTTTTATTCTTTATTTGTACACACTGTTAATATAATACATTAATTGCGATAAGATATAAAAAATGGCGAGCTTAACTCAACAATTGAGTTATCTACCAGCTAACCGTTCTCAAAGAAGGAAAGCTTTACATGAGTGGGTAGATGAGTACAATCTAATTAATTTAATTATTTATACTATATACATTAACAATAAAAATAATAAAAATGAACACTAATACATAATATATCAAACTATATACATACACAATTACACACATAAATATATACATACACGCACATATATAATGAAATACATAAAATAAATACATATTTATCATATTTTTTTATGATACAGCATACAAAAATACATACAACCCTAAATTTTCACCTCTCTACGATCAACCCTTATTTTTTATTTGCTTAAAAACTTTAATTTTTTTTGCGAGAATTTTGTTTTTATAATGTCATGACTTAGAATAAAAAATTCATATTACTCAGAAATTTTTACCCCTCTACGATCAAACCCTATTTTTTATTTGTTAATTATTTTCAATTTTATTTTTATTTTGTCATTAATTAAAATAAAAAATCTGATGTTACTCTCAATTTTTCATCCCTCTATGATCAACCCCTATTTTTTATTTGTTAATTATAAACATTAATTTTTTTGGCAAGATTTTTATTTTTATTTTGTCATGACTTAAAATTAAAATAAATTATATTACTCTCAATTTTAACTCTTATCGATACGATCAACCCCTATTTTTCCATCCCGATTTTTATTTTTTATTTTTTTTAAGGGATTTTATGACCTGGTAACTGAGACCTTTAAGTCATGTCTTATTTTAATTTATATTCATATTTTTATGAAAAATTATATTATGGAGTGAAGTAAAATGAAGATGATTAATTTGAGACATTAATCAACTGGGATGAAATGAAATGAAATGAGATGAGATGATATGGGATGAAATATAACCTCAGTAAAATGGTGGTCATTTACTAAGATTTTTTCAGTGGACTTTTTGGAGGATCCCGAGAAGCTACGTACAGCGGATTTGTTTCATTTTCCCACATTTGTGCACTTTCACAGATATTAATCAGTTAATAAACCACCATTATTACACATTTAAACCCGAAGAAACACTAAATAGACAAAATAAAACAAATCACACAACGTCACTCCTCGCGTTCCCGCCAAAAGTCCGATTTTTATTTTTTTATTCTATGCACAGATTCGCATTAGGTTGCAAGATGGCAATCAAATATTATAATTGTAGTACGATAAATTCTTATTCAGAGTTTATAATTTCAAGTTTCTTTAATTATGATTTTTTTTTAAATTCAATTTGATCTCCTGCCCTCGCCTGTCGATTACTGATCAACTATCAATCGATCAGTTATCCCCGCCAGGTGCCACCACTCATCCAGCGAACATCACGTAGTAGGGATGAGGACGAAGCCGATCTACTGTCTTACTTACTATACATTTTTCAGCCATGTTTTTTTGGTTTTATTCGGGTATCAATCGTAGCTTGCCAGCCATGTTTTTTTATTTGTGTATCAATAGTATGTTCAGCAGGTCTGAGAATCGTCTACTATCTATTTTGGTTGTCCACCCTAAACATTTAAGTATTTTTTATTTTAATTTTTTGGATGTGGTTGAATGAGGTTTTTTTTTCTACACTAGAATTTCCCTAGAAATCTTATTTAAGGCAACACAATGTTTGCCAGCTAGTATTTTATAAAATAATAATACTTACCCGTTTTAGGCAATAGCCCGCATGGAATATGATTGGCGGTAAAATTATATTAAAGAATATCTCAGGATCAAACGTAGCTTTGAGATCAATTTCATTTTGTTCTACATTTACTATTTCACCCCTGAAGCTATATGCGTATGTTTTGTTTGCTATTGGAGAATCTGTTTGGTAAAAAAAATACAACTTAACATTATATCAGTCTAAGAGGCGTAAATTTCAGTACTGGACAATTTATGTTTCGGTATTCAATTCTAATGAATAACATAGATTGTTTTTTATATAATATATATTCCATAGCTTGATGAATGGCCTGTCTCAGGTGCTATGAGATTAGCGCCCATAAACTTCAAAGTGAATATCATTATCAATCTTGTCATAAGGTGAAAGTTTCAATTATAATGTATAATGGTTGTAAAATCCTTCAAACTAGAAATAGGTAGAACAGTGGTTCAAACCAGTGTGGGCTTACAAGTTTACACCTTACCCAATTCATGATCTGTATTATAAAAACTATAATTACCTCCTGGTGTGATCGGTAAGCTAGCAGGGAAGTGAAAACGCAACATATCCGGTGGTACAGACAGGTTGTAAGTTGTGCCGGGTTCTGGATTAACATTGATGTGGGTAATATGATTTGTACTGCCTGCATAACGAATGATTGCTCCTACTATGAGACCTGTGAACAAATAACATTGAATGCCTAAAATGTATCAGTTAAAAAACTGGCACTAAGCACACAGAAGTATTTGTATTTTGTTTTCGTTCCTGCAGAAGCCACACAACAGGTATACTAGTGTCTATAGTGTGTTATATAGTTACTTGAGTGCACAGAAGTGATCATCTACCGAACTTTGAGATTAGTAAAGTTACTTCAAGAGCTAGAGTGACACTTATGTGATTTCTCCAACTCTTTGTCTGAATTAGAAATTTGTTTACGTGTAATTGGAAACTGATTAGCAACAGTATGGGAATGCGGTTTAGTTATTGTTGTATGCCAGTAGTTGTCAAATAAAAAGTTACTGAGATATAAACTGATTTCATTGCATACAGGTTAGCAGGAAGATGTTAATAATAATAGTATTGGCCACTTTGAACATAACATACTTGTTAAGTATAATTTGTAAAAAAATCTTTTTAAATTTAGAAGAATATCTATAATGTATTCATCTTTAATTTGAGTGCTCATTATTTTAAGATTCATTAGTATTTGAGGGAAAGACTGGTTTGTCTTTGTAACTGAGAGCTTAAGATATCTGTGATATGCGAAATATAACTTCACCAAAGGAAGTATATTTTGAGCAGAAAAACTTGAAGTTTCCTTAACCAAAAACCTAACTGGCTATAGTGGAGTGGTTTTACATCAGGGTAGTTAGAGAATAGTTTAGCAAAATATGTAAGTATGCATGTATACAATAGTTTCATAGACCACACATGAAACTGAGCAAGCACTTAATATCTGGTAAATATAAGATACCACTGTAGCACTCTAGTGCCTATAAGGTAGACCATGACTGCAGGTTTTCATATTTAGCATATAAACTTTATGGCAAAATAAAGCTCATTAACCATTCAAGAATATAGCAATCAAAACAATTTATAGATCTTTGTTTAAGAAAGGTGTTTTTTTTTTATATGAACATCAATTTCATACTTTAGCCATTGTATTAAGTAAACATTATTTCTGTATCCTCCTACATGACTCATTCAATACAATCTCTGAAATGTCAGTTTAAAATAATTGTCTATAAGATAAGACAGTAATAAAGTTGTATCATTACTTATTTATATTTTATTTTGATACATTGTTCTACATTTAAAACAAAGATCAAATCTTTTGTTTACTTGTAAGTTTTTATCTTAATAGTAATAATAATTAAAACACTATCATGAAAAAAAACTACAAGAATTTATATTTCAAAAATATATACAGAAGAAACTAAGTAACAGAATTAAGTTAAGGTATTGCAGTGTACAATAAAATATGTTAACCNTAAAGTGGATGGAAGACGATCCAGAGGTCGTAGCCGAAAAAGATGGAGTGACCAAGTGTCTGAGTGTCTGGACATGAGACTAAGCCACGCACTTCACTGTGCCACAGACCGACATAAGTGGCTACAAATTACAAAAAAAGGTCACAGGCGGGCGCATCACGATGCTCAGCAATGAGCGATCGACTGAAGGAGGAGGAGGTTTAGACATACTTAGTAACATCATATACATACTATATGATTTTTCTCAAATAAATTTATTGTTGATACAAAATAAACTCAAATATTTGGCACCAGTGCACAAACTTAAATTAATTATTGTTATTATAATATGATTCTATAATTTTACTCAGGTAAATACTCAAGTTACTCAGGTATTTACTTTACTCTTTAAATTTGATGTTGTTACTTTACAATGTGAATGTTTTTTCCAACTATCTTTATATTTTTGGTTTTATAAATAAAATTGATAGATGTTATTAGTCTGGGTTATTTTAAATTCCTGACTTTACAGAAATAGTTATTGCAAGTTATCTTTTTTTATGAATATTTAAATGGTATCAAGAAGTTTTTTGGTGAGTTCATACATCATTTTTCTGTTAATGTATCTATGAATTGCGCGAAGACACATAATTGTGTTCAAGGTCTCGTCGTTTTGTTGAATGTATCACATGACTGGTCTCTAATACTATAATATTGAATTTTGAATTAACTACTCACCATAAATTACTGCCAGTCCAGTTTCGTGAAGCCAGCTGACTCGACGATGTTTGAACACCCAGATCGTTAGCACAGTAAGAGTTAGGAGGCAAGTGTAAATAAGTAGATTCAAACTATCTATACGGTGTAAAAGAGTGGCTTTAGCATCTAGTGCGATGTCCGTACCTGAGCCTCGACATATTGTTACAAAACAAAACAGAAAAAATGTGAAAACTACATTGCGATTCATGATTTTATTACGAAATTGGCAGGTTTACATCACAGAAAAATGACTTAGTTTAGCATTGAAGTTCAATGTAAACAACATTTGAATTTTCACTTTCGTTGAGTAGTCTAGATTTTTTGCTGACAAAATAAAATCTTCGACACAACAGCACACAAATTGCCTGTTTTTCTCTGTCTGACAGAATCTGACTATTGAAAAAATCAGATTTGACATATGTCAATCGTCACTACTTTGCCTTGTTTGTTTCGTTAGTTTAGACAGGCAAAGGGCTTGAAACCCAGTACAGTTTCCTATGTTATTAATTTTAGGGCATATATTTCAAAACAAGATTGTTCAGTTATTTCAAACAATAGGTATAGTTTTTCACCTAAGAGGGTATCGTTGGTACATTTTTTAAATATTAGGTTTTTTTATCATATTATTTCTATCCGTTGAAAGCTACCATTATGCCGGTCACTGACATGTGCGCAAATATTCGTACATTGTACGAATGTTTGCGCGCATGTGAAGGGCCGTCAAACATTCATTCGCAAACCTAGCGGCTGTGCAAATGGGTTCGCATACTCAATTTGCGAACCCGTTTGCGTTTCCTCCTACACTTGTTTACGAATGTCTCACGAATTTCTCCTCCTTTTTAATTCGTCAATAGAACATTGAAGAGAAAAAGAGATGCTGTTTTTATGGGATTTCTTTTGATGAAGATACGATACACAGTAGACGTCACGAACTATGAAAATGGCGTATAGTATACGTCCGTTACCTTCGCAATCGTCGGCGCAACTGGGCAAGCGAATGTGTGGGAGACTACGCGAAGGTTCGAGGTTCGCGCGCTTTGATGTCTGTTAAAAAACCGACACAGCTTGGAAAACCACGAATGCAGCGAAAACTTTGCATAATCATTCGCAAATGTTGTCCTACACTTGTGGGTTTGCGTATTCGTGCGCATGTGAGTGACAGGTGTTACATTACCATTATTACATCCTCAAATATAAAAAAACGTTAAAATGACAAAATAAATTTGTCCTCGTCACATTATTGTATAATTTCATTTTCACGTATCTCTTGAAAATTATAATATTGGCTTAAGAATAAAGCAAACTTGGTGTTTGGACCACGCTGCCTTTGCCTGTTGAATTCTATAAAACCAAAAAACGATCATCTATCTGCAACATAGACCTAGGTTTCCTACTTCATTGATCTGCAATCCGCACTATGACAAGTTTAAGGAGGGTAGAAGCATGGAGGATAGAAATATGGAGTACGGTATCTACCATTTTGATGGGACAAGTTGTAAACGTGTCCACCTGTAAGCAGTAAGTTATTGTTCAAAGACTCACCGAAATAGTGCTAGTGTAGGAAGTGGGAAAGGTTTGAATATAGCTATTTTAAGCAGAGCGAAGGTTGCTGGATCGCAGTTAAGGCTATCTTCCGATATGCCCTGCAAGCACTGTTCAGTGCTCTTAGTCTCGGAGAAATTCGTTCCGTTAAGGACTGACAGTATGCAGTCGCAGTATCCTAAGGAAATATATGAATGACATTATAAATCGTGGCGATTTTACTCTGAACACAGGTGTTTTCGAAGTAAGATGCTCTTAGTGTTTTGATCACGTTTAAGCAGTGACTGGTATAGCTAGCTTTAAAGGCAAATTTGTGTATTGTCTACGTTTAAAGGAACGGCTTCCCAGAGTACTTAATTGCGTCACAGCTTACAGTTCTTGCAGTGGATATCGGAACATATCTAGTTGAAATGTAGTAGTTTATGGCGCTGTTTTTAAATTCTTTCCACTAGTAGCAAGTGGTGCCACCTTAATTGGTAATAGTGCTCTATCTAACGAGCACTATATCAGTGTATTTAAAGTGTCCGCTGAAACGGAGTTCATTGAGGTGGTGCCTTAGTAGCAAGTGGAAATATTTAAAAAATAGCGCCATAAACTACTACATTTCACTTCAATAAGCAAACTTCACTGCGTATAAAACTGCTATATTCATATCATTTCCACTTTCTACACTAGCGCTATTTCGGTGAGTCTTCTTAGGAAGAATCACCTGTAACACCAAGCTATCTAAATACTCGCTGTTTACAGGTGGGCACTTTTTTAACTGGTCCTTTATACAGATGGTGGTTCTTTCCTCTCTCTGTTGGAGTTTGTATATAAATGTAATGGCAGGCAACACTTGACGCTTGATTAGATTTCGAATATTAGAATTATTTTAAATGTTTAAAAAACAGATCATTGTATTCTCGTAAGAAAATGTCAGTACTTCTCATCTAGACACGGCAAGAGAAACATGAAATAGTTTTATAAAAAATATAAAGATAATAATTGTATAATGGTGTAAAAGTGTTCAAGCAATCTGCAATATAATTATAATGAAGCAGTTGTGTTTTTAAATAGCCTCTCATCACCTACAGAACCCAATCCCTTCAAATTTAACCGTCCAACAGATTATGGGCCCAGAATTTATAAGGTAATATTTATTATCATAGATTATACACTTAATATATTAGATTTATTATAATTTGCTAATCAAAAAAGCCTACAACATCACCATGGAAACGAAACTGTTTGTAAAGAAAATTCATAGCAACCAACACGTAATGAATTTAATGAAAATAAAACCATTCAAAAACAGAAAATGTTATAAAATTTGGCTGAAAGACCAAAAAGAAAATTATTATAAGAACAAGAGATATAAGGCAATGAAAGGGAGAACACTAACTTAAGTAACAAATAAAAATAATCGCGAAGATGAAGTCGAAGTTCGAGAAGCTGAAATAGGATGAATGGTGGACCAATTGCATGGAGCTCAAGAAAACAATCAGTTGTGGCACTTTCGAGCACTGAAGCTGAGTATATTGCTGCTGCAGAATGCTGTAAGGAACTGCTATATATTAGAGATCTGGTAAAAGAAATTACGAATGAAAATTTGGATATTGAAATGCGAGTTTGACAACCAATCTGCGATTTGGCTTATGAAGAAAGGAATTATGAATAAAAGAAGCAAACACATTGACGTCAAATATTACTACCTAAGAGAAAAGATTGATGAAAACCAGATTAAAGTTAAATACTGTCCAACTGGGTCACAGATTGCGGATATTATAACGAAAAGTTTAACCCAGGATAAAGTTTGAAAGCTGTCAGAAGAAACTAGTGTCATAGTGAGATAGGAGTATGAAAGTGCGATGTCTCAGCTACAGAAGATCTGGAAGAATAGAGGGATAGGCCTGAAAACTAAAACCAGACTGGTGCGGACTCTTGTTTTCTCTATCTTCTTGTATGGAGCTGAGACATGGACGTTGAAAGCAGCAGACCGAATGCGCATCGATGCTTTCGAAATGTGGTGTTGGAGACGGATGCTAAGAATTCCGTGGACAGCCTTCCGGACTAACGTGTCGATATTGAAGCAACTGGGCATCAAAATCAGACTGTCTACTGTATGTCTGAAGCGGATCCTCGAATATTTTGGTCACATTGCGAGGAAAGACGGCGATAACCTGGAAAAACTTATGATCACAGGGAAAGTTGAAGGCAACAGATCTAGAGGCCGCAGCCAGACTCGTTGGTCCGATCAGATCCGCACCGCTTTGGACAGTNCACATTGCGAGGAAAGACGGCGATAACCTGGAAAAACTTATGATCACAGGGAAAGTTGAAGGCAACAGATCTAGAGGCCGCAGCCAGACTCGTTGGTCCGATCAGATCCGCACCGCTTTGGACAGTACAGTGTACAGCGCGCTGCATGACGCCGTGGACAGGGGAAAGTGGAAAAAGATCTTAAGATTGAAGCTCATGGATGATGGTGGTCACGACCCTCAGACATGAGGAACACGACTCGAGGAGGAGGAGGAGATAAGAGTATATTAATTTTTCAAAAGTGAACTTATTGTGTTTCGGGGAAATGGGTTGTTTTTTTTGTTAGTTTGTAAGTTTTATAGGGGAATTTCAATGTTGTATACAACAATATATATGACTAAAAGGAGACAAGGATAATTAAAAAAAAAATTAATGGGGTGCTCTCTTTCCACCGACATACACAATTAAGGGGGTGATTATATAATATAATTGTTTATTAGTAAAACTATAGTTATCCTAAGCCATGGAAGAAGTACTAATTTTTAATACACACAAATTTAGTCGTTTTCTAAAATCCTTTTGTCTTTTTTTTTTACAGTTTTGTTTTATTGTTGTTTTTGTTATAATAGATGTTAGGCATTTTGGTTTGTGTTATATTTAAATAATAGAACAGATATGTGCAAAAAGTGAGAAAATTTAAGAAGTGAGAAAAATAAAAGTTAATGGAAGGTTGTATGTGCTATGTGAATTCAAATGTTGAGTTTGTTGAAGTTGTGCGAGGTTATTTGTTATGAGTTATGTTGTCGATAGAGGTCGAGAAGGAGTTTAAGGTTATAGAGGTCGAGAAGAAGTTTAAGGTTATAGAGGTCGAGAAGGAGTTTAAGGTTATAGAGGTCGAGAAGGAGTTTAAGGTTATAGAGGTCGAGAAGGAGTTTAAGGTTATAGAGGTCGAGAAGGAGTTTAAGGTTATAGAGGTCGAGAAGGAGTTTAAGGTTATAGAGGTCGAGAAGGAGTTTAAGGTTATAGAGGTCGAGAAGGAGTTTAAGGTTATAGAGGTCGAGAAGGAGTTTAAGGTTATAGAGGTCGAGAAGGAGTTTAAGGTTATAGAGGTCGAGAAGGAGTTTAAGGTTATAGAGGTCGAGAAGGAGTTTAAGGTTATAGAGGTCGAGAAGGAGTTTAAGGTTATAGAGGTCGAGAAGGAGTTTAAGGTTATAGAGGTCGAGAAGGAGTTTAAGGTTATAGAGGTCGAGAAGGAGTTTAAGGTTATAGAGGTCGAGAAGGAGTTTAAGGTTAAAGAGGTCGAGAAGGAGGTTATTAAAGTTAGAGGTTGAGAAGGAGTTTAAGGTAATTAAAGTTAAAGAAATAAACTTGAAGAGTTTATGTAGGGAGTTGAGAAGGAGTTAGACTATTATAGTCAATGTTTTATATAATGAGTAAGAGGGAGGTTAAGGTTGAATGGTTATATGGTTGAATGAGAGTACATGTATGATCGAATTGGAGTTGGACAAGTAAGAAAGGATTAAAAGTAGCGACATTAAAGATGGTATTAAGTTTGAAAGGTTGAATGAATAGTTGTTGGTTGAATTGAGGGATTAAGTGGAAGTAACGGAATGTAAGTGGTTGTGAGGTTTTTAGGTATGTATGGAAAGTAATTAATTTATGAAGGTCAGGTTAGTGTTATTCTTTTTTTGGTATTAAATTATAGACGGAGAAAAATGTGTGCAAGTGTTGAGGGGGTCTGTTGGAGTTTGTATATAAATGTAATGGCAGGCAACACTTGACACTTGATTAGATTTCGAATATTAGAATTATTTTAAATGTTTAAAAAACAGATCATTGTATTCTCGTAAGAAAATGTCAGTACTTCTCATCTAGACACGGCAAGAGAAACATGAAATAGTTTTATAAAAAATATAAAGATAATAATTGTATAATGGTGTAAAAGTGTTCAAGCAATCTGCAATATAATTATAATGAAGCAGTTGTGTTTTTAAATAGCCTCTCATCACCTACAGAACCCAGTCCCTTCAAATTTAACCGTCCAACACTCCCTCCTTAGAAAAGCACAACCCTGCATTGCTTTATTACATGTTTACCAGCTATGGAAGTGCACAAAAAGTCTTCTGAGAAAGTCTCTAAATATCTACCATTTTACTGAAAGCATATTTTATCCCAATTAATTAAAAGAATTTTGAAGTCGTCGTGGTCTAACGGATAAGACGTCCGGTGCATTCGCGTTGAGCGCGATGCACCAGTGTTCGAATCCCGCAGGCGGGTACCAATTTTTCTAATGAAATACGTACTCAACAAATGTTCACGATTGACTTCCACGGTGAAGGAATAACATCGTGTAATAAAAGTGAAACCCGCAAAATTATAATTTGCGTAATTACTGGTGGTAGGACCTGTTGTGAGTCCGCGCGGGTAGGTACCACCGCCCTGTCTATTTCTGCCGTGAAGCAGTAATGCGTTTCGGTTTGAAGGGTGGGGCAGCCGTTGTAACTATACTGAGACCTTACAACTTATATCTCAAGGTGGGTGGCGCATTTACGTTGTAGATGTCTATGGGCTCCAGTAACCACTTAACACCAGGTGGGCTGTGAGCTCGTCCACACATCTAAGCAATAAAAAAAAAAAAAATCCCAAATTTATCAACTTCATCTCATTTTACTTCGTATCATTTTTACATTTTAACAGAATATAAGAAAACATGGGATGTAGCTTAAAGGTCTTGTTACTAGGCCAAAAAAACATTCAAAATTAAATCTGGTTTAATATCAAATTAATTAGGAACATAGTGAAAAATTGAAGAAAGGTTTATCCTCTATAATGAACTACCCTCGCCATGTCGAATGCAGATGCGGTAATTATTCGCCTTTCGTAGTTCGAGTCGTACGACTTCTTCGCACTTCGTTGAACTCGACAAAGAGTTCGACGTGCAACCTAACCCATGCATCAGCTCGCTGAGTTTCTCGCCGGATCTTCTCAGTAGGTCGCGATTCCGATCCGGTAGTAGATTCATTCGCGAATCAGCTGCTCTTTGCAGTTTACTGGTGGTAGGACCACTTGTGAGTCAGCACGGGTAGGTACCACCGCCCTGCCTATTTCTGCCGTGAAGCAGTAATGCGTTTCGGTTTGAAGGGTGGGGCAGCCGCTGTAGCTGTACTGAGACCTCAGAACTTATATCTAAAGGTGGGTGGCGCACTTACGTTGTAGATGTCTATGGGCTCCAGTAACTACTTAACACCAGGTGGTCTGTAAGCTCGTCCACCCATCTAAGCAATAAAATAAAAAGTTGTTAGGTCTACTTCGGAGGCTACTTTGCTTGCCTGTCCTGTCCTGACCTGTCCTTGTGAAACTGGAAAGGTCTCCGAGCCACCAGTAATTCTCCAATCCTTAAAAAAAAAGTTCAGGGTAACTATTTGTCGGTTCGGGGATCAGTGAAGAAGAACTACAAAGGATGCATTGGGTTACTGACATAAAATTACCTCATTGGTTTTGGCCCAGCGGGTATTTGATTCTTGGATAACTAGGAATTTCTGTTCGGGTTCGATTTTGGATGATTAGTTCTGGAAGGGTGGGGAAAAAATTCTGTTTACAGCAAATTCAATATCAAGCAAAGAACTAAAACATATTTTTGTTTAATTTAATCGTCCCTGTTTGCAATATGGTCTTCTTGTAACGTGCGTTATCTCTCTTCTCATCACGTTGTGAACGTTTCCCAAGTGGTAGGTTATTTTCAAGTGAAGTCCTTTACGGCTTTCCGTATTCTTCTGCCTTAGTAAATCTATTATTTTTTTTTTAGTTATTAGACAATAGATTTTAGTTATTATTAGTGCACTCTGGTTAGAATTGTAGGACACTAAATATTATTTCATGAAATTGAGAATTGTCTCCTTAACCTATAGGCGATGCGCTATAACAAAAAAAAAGGCTTGAAGCACCAGTTACATAATAACCTTTTTTTTTTAATTAACGTTTAGCATCGAGAAACTCGAACTACCTAAGTAGTTCTGTAATTCGTGAAGTTTTTCTAGTCCTTGGCGGCTACACCATTCTCTACCTGATGACCTTGAAGAAGGTCGCATATACGTCTGAATCCGCTAATAAAAACTGGTCAGTCGCTAGCCTCTCTATTTCTCAAAGGGAGTATGACGACAATGAACGTGTTTTATCTTAGCTATTACTTGCTAAGTGCGGCTGTTCTCTGCCTTTAGTGTAAAATCAGAACAGTACGCGGTATAACTCCGCTCGTGCTGAACGTTTATTGTATATTTAATACGAAACAAATAAAAGTAAATTACGTTCTGTGTGATTTAACGTTCATAGATTTGACCTTAGTGTTAATATCGAGTGTAAAATATACCTCTTTATTTATTTTAAAATGAGATTGATTTTAATCATAGCCTTTTTGTGTGAAGGGTAAGCATCAAATTCAAATTTCTTATAAGTATAGAAACCAATTAATAGTACAAGGACAAGGGTTTATTTTAGTTGAAAATTGCCTATTTTTGAACTATGTACTATTTTAATTTTTTTAATACTGGTATGAAAATTATTTTGAAATTAAGAAGTCCTTGAAATTGAAGTCTTCATGGCTTAAAGGATTAGAGCTCGATGTATACTATGCCTTCGATCGATGCCTTCGATATCAATCGATGTTACTATGCCCGTTCAAATCCCGTAAGCAGGTACTAATTTATCTAAGGGAATACGTTTACGGTCGACCTAATTTCACGATGAAAGCATAACATAGTATAATATTAATAAAATCCACAATATTTATAATTTGTTTAATTAATAGTAGTAGGGAGTATAGTAAGGAGTAAGTGCAGGTAGGTACCGCCGTCCTTGTTATTTCTGTCGTGATGCAGTGGTATGTTCGTCATAGTTATCATCGCAATTTCACATCGAGAAGGCGGCACAACATGAAAGCCCTCTTGTCGTGGCCGCCGGTAATTACATACCCGATCCTGTGGACTGAATAGTAAACAGTCGACGTCGCCCTAAGCACATCATTACGGATCCTCCCGATCCATTAACGGTGCTTTTAACGGATTTTCTCAGTGGGTCGCGTTTTCAATCCGGTGGTAGATTCTGCGAAGCACTGCTCTTGCTAGGGCCAGCGTTAGCAACACACCCGGTTTGAGCCCCGTGAGCTCACCTACACGTCAAGGAGAAGCTTAAATAGCCTCTCAAGGCATAGGTAAGAAAAAATAATAACCGCGATCTACCATAAGACAGCCAGACAGTGACAGCTGAAGTCGTCGTGGCCTAAAGGATAAGACATCCGGTGCATTCGTGTTGAAGCGATGCACCGGTGTTCGAATCCCGCAGGCGGGTACCAATTTTCTAATGAAATACGTACCTACTTAATAAATGTTCACGATTGACTTCCACGGTGAAGGAATAACATCGTGTAATAAAAATCAAACCCGCAAAATTATAATTTGCGTAATTACTGGTGGTAGGACCACTTGTGAGTCCGCGCGGATAGGTACCACCACCCTACCTATTTCTGCCTTGAAGCAGTAATGCGTTTCGGTTTGAAGGGTGGGGCACCCGTTGTAACTATACTGAGACTTTAGAACTTGTATCTCAAGGTGGGTGGCGCGTCTACTTGGTAGATGTCTGTGGGTAACCACTTAACTCCAGGTGGGCTGTGAGCTCGTCCACCCACCTAAGCAATAAAAAAAAAGCACAGAAATCAAACCGGCAAAGATTATAATTGGAAAGATTGCTATGCTATTGATACATTGATTTCAAGTCGAGAGCAACATTCCAGTGGCACTTAACATTAGCTGGGTTGTGAGCTCGTTTACCGCTTTCATTATGACCCAACTAAAACTTAATTCATTAAAAACGACTTATTCAAACAACGGAAACATCATGTTATTTCTATTAAAAAAAGGAATTCAATCATTTTTTAAGTATACCTAAGCATTAGTGATCAAATCAATGTGCATGGTGTGGTTCTTATAACAAAATGTAGTAAATGAATCGATTGTCATATTTTATTCAAATAATTCGCGAGGCCCTTTCACCGTATTCATTTCGCAAGGGCTATCGAAATCGTAAGGTTTCATTCCATTACATTTTAACATTAGGGTGCATAGTGTGTTCCAATATGCTTTTTATTTAAATTGTCACGATCCATTAAGCTAAACGCCAGGTGCTCTGTTATACTACACTAGACGATGACCGAGCTTTGCTCGTTTTTTTTTTTGATAACGCCATCTTGTTGTGTCTTTAAAGCGGTTAGTTGCCCTCAATTAAGAAAAATAGTATTATTATTCGCCAATAGATGTCGGGAAAAGTCATAAAGTTGATTATCGATAAAGTTCATTGAAAACACGAATAAAACAACATTTTCTGAAAATAAATCGTATCTAGATCGATTTATCGCCCCCGAAATCCCCTGTATACTAAATTTTAGGAAAATCGTTGGTGCCGTTTCCGAGATTCAGATTGCTTGTTTAAAGGTATAATTGAGACTAAGCCATGTTTCAAGGTTGCTGGCGGCATTTGCTTTGTTGATGTTCATGAGCTCCAGTAACCGTTTAACATCAGGTGGACCATGATCTAGTTCACCCGCATGAGCAATAAAAAATGGCAGGTAGTAAATGCCCAATTTTCAAGAACGACCTCACGATGAAGGAATAAAATTGTGTATTACGACGGATTTCAAATCCTTAAGGTGTTGGTAATAACATAATACCAAGTAGCTGTGAGTTATAAATTAAGAGCAGTCGAAAGAAACGCCATCTGAATAGAAACCTATTGTTATGGGTCTCATGATTTTGTAGTAGTACGACTTTCCAATCGAAAAGGTAGGTTATTTTTAACCTAAAGTTCTTAATACAGATTGGCGAAGAATAGTTCGTATGGTGATGGTAAGTTTATTCATAGGAAAATCTGAATGAAATCGAAGAATGAGGTAAAAAATTATAATTCATTACGATATTTGAATGGCCAGTGGTTTTCTAATGACAACAGGAAGGATAATTACATACCATCATACGCCTTCAACACGCTGTGATTTCCAGAATTACTCCATTTTGTTAACTTGTTTAGCATTGGTACACACGGTATAGCAAATCTGATATCTGAACATGGCGTGTGGAAAGGCTATCGAAGCCTATAGACATTACTATGTATGTAATAAGACTTATTGTTTTTTATAAAGGCTTGCGGCAGAGATATGTGCATATGAAAAACTATGGTGGTAGGATCTCTTGTGAGTCCGCACGGGTAGGTACCATCACCCTGCCTATTTCTGCCATGAAGCAGTAATGCGTTTCGGTTTGAAGGGCGGGGCAGCCGTTGTAATTATACTGAGACATTAGAACTCATATCTCAAGGTGGGTGGCGGCATAAATGTCTATGGGCTCCGGTAACCACTTAACACCAGGTGGGCTGTGAGCTCGTCCATCCATCTATGCAATAAAAAAAAATACAAAGAATAATAAGAAAAGGAGCTGTTTAGTATCAACGATGCTTAAGATTGGAATTAGATTGTCGCAGATTAGATTATTGGAGTTAGGTTCGAAAATAAGATTGAGATATTGTTACTTCGCGATATTATTACCTGGATCGTATAGTTGAAGCTCTCGAAGCCTAACAAACTAACATGTGATGTCCTTTTTTTTTCGGGCCTGGGCCGAACCTCCTTTGAGGTCCCCGCGCCTAAGGGGGCACGCGTGGTATGTAGGACTTGACGATCTGATGTTGGGAGCAGACCGCAGGCCGCCCAAGGAGTTTTAGGGCCCTACCGCACTAAACGATTCCCCTGCACTCTTACACCCGACGTCCGATCTCCGTCCGGGGTCAGAACCCGGTCAGAGTAGGGGGATTCTCGCGGTCAACACTACAACCAGACTCGCGGCGCCACTCCGAAGACGCCCGACCGACGGGTCGTTGAGGCGATAGTCGACGACCAACGACGCCGGTCTACGAACATATGATAATAGCCCAGAGGTCGGCAAAGTGCGGCTCCGGAGCCACATGCGGCTTTTTGAACTCTTGAGTGTGGCTCTGGCACAAATATCCTAATTGTTTGCCCGGCCTCTAATATTCTCCGGCTGTGGACGAAAAAGCTGGTTAATAGTATGTACGGTCATTTAATATCAGCACCCCTAAGTGATGTCGATTATTATATATATGTATATTAATCGAAGAAGTATACAATATAGCATTTATTTTATGATTTTCAATAATAAATGCTTATTACATTTACAAACAGATTTGGCTCTAAATTTTTTTAAGTCGTTTAAATTTGCATATTTGGCTCTTTGGCTAATAAGTTTGCCGACCACTGTGATAGCCTAACAAACATAGAAAGATAAGTTTTCGATTTAAAAATAAATCGATATTTTACAATTAGAGTGTTTTATTTAGAGTCGCGATATGTTAGGATGAGGATATATTAAGATTATGATACCGAATAGGTGTTAACTACNTCTAAATTTTTTTAAGTCGTTTAAATTTGCATATTTGGCTCTTTGGCTAATAAGTTTGCCGACCACTGTGATAGCCTAACAAACATAGAAAGATAAGTTTTCGATTTAAAAATAAATCGATATTTTACAATTAGAGTGTTTTATTTAGAGTCGCGATATGTTAGGATGAGGATATATTAAGATTATGATACCGAATAGGCGTTAACTACATGTTATTCTGTTGGCACATTAAATAGGGTCGTGGACTAAATATACTAAATCTTTAGAAAGGATTAAGTGATCTGATAATACAATAATTACATTCATATTGCTTACAATGTAGATTATGCACTCTCGAGTAAATTTTATTACTTTACTGTCTATTGTATTCATAATGCATTTGTAAATAGTCACTTATCTATTAATATATACTAACACGTTTTTGTTTGTTTTATCTTTTTGTACCAGCTACATGAAAATGAAGCACTTAATATCAAATTATAATTTCAGTATATTTATATAAAATGCATTCTTAAATAAAATTAAATTGTCGATCAATTGACTAAGGATACGTTTATACATATAAAGTCATGCATGCAATAAAAGTAGAATCCGGTGCGTCTACACATTTAAGAAAAGTAATAAATAAAGACGGCGATAAGTAAGGAATAGCAATAGAATATAAATGAGCGATTTTTTTATTTTTATAATATAATTTGTTTATTCGTCTAAGAAAAGTAATAAATAAAGACGGCGGTAAGTAAGGAATAGCAATAGAATATAAATTAGCGATTTTTTTGTAATTTTTATAATATAATTTGTTTATTTGTCTGTTTGTTTACGCTCATCTACTAGTAAACGGACTATCATGTGGTTTTTACATAAAGACAAACTGAAATACAAACATAAATTTACATTTATAAAATATTGCAGGTTAAAGAGAAACAATTGGTGATTAGATGTTAGGTTTTTCAGAATAAATTA